ATTTTCATTGGTAGGCAGCCCTCCACTACCATTCTAAAGCTTTGCGGTGGCGTCGCATTCCCATCTGAGAATTCTTTCTTGGGGGTTTTTCTTCTTCTATCTGGATCGATTCATAGAATTAGTAATGATATACCCTATTTACCTACCATACCTATAAATAATATTATAAAGAAAACTTGTTAACTGACGTATTCATTAATTCTTTTGTACTCATGTGACGAGAGAGATAAAGATAAATAGTGTGTACACTATGTCTTTAAGATTTACTTTATATTATAGCGTTGTTCATGTATATTAAGCATCTTATCCATATTTAAAAAGTTCATTCTTCATTAATATATGGTATGTAATTTTGTTATTAGAGGAGAAACATAAGTTGCAATAGGATAGGATGTATTGATGGGGGTGGAAGTAGAAATCAATTGTTGTTTTTCCTAATACAAGCTTTTAAAAGGGAGAATGAAAACATGACATTTAATGCATGGATAAATGCTCTAATGTAGGTAGTTGAAGATCTTTACGACAAATTAAAGGAAAAAGAACTACTTCCATTAATTACAGTTAACTCATACCTTGTTTGCAAACTATGACAAATCTTAGCCCTCTTCTCAGAAAAACAAGAAAAACCTCTATAGTTGCACATACTTTGAGGGGGGAGGAGATCACTATTCCTCCTTCTCCCCTCTCCTTTCTATTTTGACGCACAAATCCCTATCTCCTTCCCTACTTTTTCCTTTTATGTCCTCTCATCTCCTTCCCACCCAACCTCCTAAGGGTGGCATTTTAGATCGAAAAACTGAAAAAAACCGCAAAAATCAACCGACATTATACCGCATTGGAACCGCAATAGCTAAAAATCGACCAAAAATTACGGTTTTAGAAACCGAACCGCAATTGCGGTTGCAGTTGTGGTATGTGATTTTGGCAACTCACGGTTACCGCAAACAACAAATTTTTTTTTTTTTTTTTTTTGCATTTTAGTAGTTAGATGTTGTGTTTTAATTTGGTTGAGTTTAAACTATTATTAATATGCTTTTGTGTTGTGTTGTGTTATAGATGGAGTCTATCCACTCTAACACACTTAATACCTCTAATCCCCCAAACACAAACCGATACACCCAAAACACAACCTCCACTCCAACTCATAAAGAATGGCTTCTTCTTATAATAAAATCCACTCACCACCACCTACACTTGAGTTCTCCTTTTGATTTGTAACTTTAATTAACTTTGAATTGGATTTTTCTTTAGGTTGTGAATGCTTAAGAAGTTGGGGTTGAGGTTGTGAATTTATATATGCTTGAGAAGTTGAGGTTGTGAATTTATTTCTTTTGGTTGTAAATTTATATATATGCTTGAGAAGTTGAGGTTGTGAATTTATATTTTTTGGTTAAAGTATGCTTGAACTCAAAAAGCTTCAAAAGAAGCATCAAACCTAGACTTAAAAGTGTGGAAGACTGAATTTTTACGGCACAAAAAGACCACACTTAAAGATCTAAAATTGTCTAATTTAGGCCCAAAATATTCAAATCGGTTTAAACCATTAATTCACAGTAACCGACCGATTTTTGTGGTTTACAAAATAGTCGGTTTGTAGTTTCAAAAATCACCTTACTGCAAATAGTCGGCTGGTTTGCAGCCACCCATCCCCTCACTTTCCCTCTCCTTTTTTTTTTTTTTTTTTTTTTTTTTGTGTGCATATCTAGGGTTTGAGCTTTTGATATTCTTGAGGACCACGTGGTTGCCTTTGTAGGTTTTATTGGGTCGTTTTGCAAATTTCGAGTTCCAGCTTTTGATTTACTTCGTGTGTTTTTTGAGTTTAATGCATGTTCGTAGTCTCTACTTGTAATTTTTTACTTGTGAGAGTTTAAAGATTATAGTTTGCAATTGTAGTTCTGTGCTTTTGCAAGCTTGCAACTTTTATGTTGGAATTTCTTTGGCCATTTGTGTGGAGGTACATTTGTGTGCCTGATGTTGCCTCCAAAGTCTTCCGTATTTGGATTAACCCTTTGTGGTTACTGTGCTTCCGTATTTGTAATAACCTTGTGTGGTTATCTGTATTTGTATTGGTTCTTGTAACTGACGACCTTTGTGCCTAAATTATAAATGCAATCTATCGCCTTTGTCTTAAAAAAATATGAGATTGGAACTTTCTCTGCTCATCTCACTAACACCTAAGCTAAAGTTAATGGATTACATGCTCACTTATCCAAATTAATTACTCATACTCTTGTTCAAAGCATCCGGTGTTAGATCTTTTCTTAGTCATATTCTGACCTCACCAAACTGAATTACATACTCACCAAACTTGTGGACATCTCAACCAACAAAAAAGATTACAATTATAAATAAATAAAACAAGGGAAAGGATTATCAAAATCACAAAGAGAAAACTATGACCTTTTGTGATTATGAAGGGCTATGTCTTTGTATGGATTCTGATTTCGAACCGTCAAAGCAGCTCTTTTCTCTCACGCAAAGAATTATTAGAAAGATGAATATGTTCTAAGTTATAAAGTTTTTTATTTATCTGAAATTATACTATGAGTTCAAAAGAAATTACATTATCAAAACTTGCCATTTAAAAAAAGTTACAAAACTATGAAAAATATAAGTTGTGTGCACTTCCACTATAGCCGCACCGACCTTGAGGGGGGAGGAGGATTCCTTTCGCTGCTTTGATGCACAAATCCCCCTCTCCTACTTTTCCCTATCTTGTCCTCTCATCTTCTTCCCACTCCATCTCCCCTCACTTCTTAACCGCCCATCCCCTCACCTTCCCCCTGCTTTCCTTTTGTTTTTTTCTTTTTTAGGTTTTTTAGGTTTTAGACATAAAAAAAATTTCACTTTTGGAAATAGCCAAAGCTTTTTCAAAAAAGACAAAAAAACCGTTCAACTTTCAAATTAAAGACATGCAAATGTATTGGATTCCTTAGGAAATCTAAAAATAAATAAGGGCATTTTTGTCCATTTTGCTTCATTTAAAATTTTTCTCTCTCCTTTTGATTTTTCCAAAATGTCCCTTGTTTTTTTTTGTTTTGTTTTTTTTTCTGCTGTAAATTTAGGGTTTGGCCTTTTGATTTGTTTGGGGACGACGTAGATGCCTTTGTTGGTTTTGTTGGATCATTTTTCAGCTCTCCTCGGTTCCAGCTCTTGATTTACTTCGTGTGTTTTAGTTTTTGTTTGTAATAAGTGCATCAACTCCTTTTGAGTTTGTTGCGTGTTTGTAGTCTCTGCTTGTAATTTTTTACTTGTGAGAGTTTAAACATTGTAGTTTGCAGTTGTAATTTTGTACGTTGTGGTTTTATATCGGAATTTCTTTGGCTCTTTAAGGCTATGTGTGGAGGTACACTTGTGCGTCTAATATTGACGATGGAGACCTCCGTATTTGGATAACCTTTTGTAGTTACTGCGCTTCCGTATTTATAATAACATTGTGTGGTTAAATGCAATATATCATCTTTATCTATATATATATATATATTTATGTATAATCATACATAACACAAAATTAAAAGGACTTAAAATCATCAACAACAAATAAGTAAATTGCAGCAAACTTATATTTTTAATTTTGAACTTATCCTAAATTTTCTATATTTATTTTGATGTACACATATGTTTTATTGTAATATTTAATCAGGTGCACAATCTCTATCTATCATAAAAGTCAACGGAAAACATACAAAATTGCAGCATTTAAAAATTGGGCAGCGTAGAAAATACAATCAAACGCTCCAATAAGGGCGGGCGGGATGATGAAGAAGCAAAGCTGTGGTCCGTGGAGTGTTGGGCGGTGATCAGACTGCTGCCAGCTGTAGAAAATCTTGTGGGGGCAGCTGCTTCTGTCACTTGATGTGGTGCCAATTAGTTCAACATTTCAGTTAACTTGTATTAAAATCCACTAATAATAATTTGTATTTTCAACTTATCTTAAACATTTTTTTAACTAAATTATCTCCTAAGTTAATATTGGCACATGTGTCACTGACTTTCCACAAACTTTCAATGTTTAGATCATTGGCCTACTTTACTAACAGAAGAAGTATGGAAGGAACTCCACTTTAACTCGGCATGTCATTCTTCTCTTCTCCTATTTATTTTTCAATTTTTTCATATTATATTTTTCTTTTCCTTTTTGTGGGTTCCATACCGAAAGGGTTTTTTTTTCTCCGGTACAAGTGATATAGTCTATAAATTATAAAGGAGAGAGTTTTTCACACACGCATATAATCACAGTGTCATGGAAGTTCGAACTTGATACCACTAGTCTACAACTCAAGGCCTTTTTCCCACTACCCCATTGATCCCAGAAAAGCATTTAAATTTAGAATTCGTGTACAAATTATTGGATATCATTAAGTCCCTTTTGGATGAAAAGGGTCTACTTATAGGCAAGTAATTCGGATTTGAGTTTTCAGTGTAAATTTAAATTATATTTATTGAATCTTAGAAAATGTTCGATTCAATATATAAGGCATTTGCAATGCTATAATTAACATTAAAAAAATTAGTTATCCAAAAATACTTTTGGTATGGGCAAAAGTTTATTTTGGGAATATATATATATGTAATATATGTGATGACAAATAATAGTTCAAAAAAAAATTAATATATGTGATGACAATGATACAATGTAATATATGTGATGACAAATAAGAGTTGAAAAATAAATTAATATATGTGATGACAATAATACAATAAGAGCTTTCAGATGAGTGTGAGACTAGAGCTAGAGCCCACGCGGCTAAAATGTCTCCTTTTCATACACGAAAAAAACAATGTAGCCTTCCCTCATCAACTTATCTCTTCCTTATAAGAAGAGGACATCCTTGTTTCACTTCCCCTCAAACTATCACACAACAAATCTATCACTCACCAAACTTAGAAGGAGCTTACACCATATAACCATGGCTCCTTCCAAGGTTTTTCCAATCACTTTCTTCTTCGTCTTCTTCTTCACCTTCTTCTCTGTCTTCATCACTCTCTCAAAAGCTCAGATGGTTCCGGCCATTTACGTGTTTGGTGACTCCTTAGCCGATGTGGGTAACAACAATTACCTAAAGATCTCTCTTCTCAAGGCTAATTTCCCTCACAATGGTGTTGATTTTCCCAACAAGAAAGCAACCGGCAGGTTTGGAAATGGCAAGAATTCTGCCGATTTTCTTGGTAAGTTCATTTCAATTACTTACATCATCACTCGTGGCTACAGACTGTCTATGCATGTTTTGAGAATGAGAGAGTACCTCCTGTATATATGTATATATAAGTGAGATAGATTTACGCTTCTTGTAGTAAGTGATATCTCTCATATATATTTTACAATGTGTATGTATCTCCTTTTCGTTTGGCAGCGGAGAAAGTTGGGTTGCCAACATCACCACCCTATCTCTCACTTGTATCCAAGTCCAACAATCAAGATTTGTCCTTTGTCGCCGGAGTTAGCTTCGCCTCCGGAGGGGCTGGAATCTTCAATGGCTCAGACGAAAAATTTGTAAGCATTAAAGAATATATATATTGAAACAAATAAAGATACATAACGCACTCTTTCAACAAAATAAAAAAATAAAAAATTGAACAAATATCTCTTTTGCACGTGTAAAATATTCCACCAAATTGCTTTACAACCCAATTCATTCTTTTTACATGAGGTGGAATCGATACAAGATCCACTTATGAAAGTTGGTGAAAGATGTTATTAGAAAAGTTGGTTCCAATCCCAACTCAACTAAGTTATGCCCGTCTATGAGTGATGTTACGGATCTCATATATATTTGTGATGTTCGTCTCTATTATAGAGATAAGCAAAATGATTAATAAATATGATATAAGTAATATTATTAAATTACATAAAAAATAGAAAGTATTATTGAATTTGTAATATCTAATGCCTCGTCTATTTTACTTTTGATGTCACAGCGTCAGTCAATTCCTTTGTCATATCAAGTAAACTACTATTCACAAGTGTATGAAGACATCGGTGTAGAATTATTAGAAAAGTTGGTTCCAATTCCAACTAAGCTAAGTTGTGCGTAATGTCTAAAGCGTAATGTCTAAAGAGTGATGTTATTTGTATCATATTTATTAATTATTTTGTTTATTACGATTCACGATTCTAATACATACGGGTCCACAATATTTGTGAAGTCCACTTTTATTATAGGAATCAACAAAATAATCAATAAATATGATACAAATCACTTAAGAAAAGAAAGTATTATTGAATGGGTAATATCTAATGCCTTTTCTATTTTACTTTTGTTTTCACAGCGGCAGTCAATTCCTTTGTCATATCAAGTAAACTACTATTCAAAAGTGTATGAAGACATCGGGCTAGAATTGGGATCCAACGGTGCCCAGGACCATCTGTCAAAATCTCTGTTTGTCATTGTGATTGGAAGCAACGACATCTTCGCCTACTTCGACTCATCCAAGCTCCGCGAGGAATCAACACCCAACCAGTACGTAGATTCCATGGTCTCAAATCTGAAACAGCAATTAGAGGTAACAAAACAGGCTTTAGCTTAGCTCCGTATTTGATTGATGTTATATTGAAATTTCAATTGCACTTCAATGCTCAACATTTTCCCTTTGGTTTTTGTTTTGTTTTGGCAGAGAATAAATTCTATGGGCGCTCGAAAATTTGTAGTTGTCGGGACTGCGCCAGTTGGATGCTGCCCAGCTCAAAGGGTTTCGAATGACGGAGAGTGCAACGACGATGCAAACTCCATGTCTATCCGCTACAACAACGGCCTTAAGTCGATGTTACAGCAGTCGGAAGCGGCATTGCACATAAAATTCACCTTCTTTGAGACGTACGGTGTCTTCTCGGACATCATTCAGAACGGAGCTTCTTACGGTACTCACATCTTACTTACCTACTCTATCAGTTTTTCTTGCATGTTATGTTATCATACTGAAAAGTATGCCCGCGCATTCTTATTCGCCAATTTCCCCATACAACATCTTTAGTTAACTTGACTGAGAAATTCCAAATTGTGTATGCTATTCCAGGATTTACAGAGACCAAAGCTGCATGCTGTGGTTTTGGAAAGCTTAACGCCGACTCTTTTTGCCTGCCGATTTCGTCTTTGTGCTCCAACAGAACGGACCATGTCTTCTGGGACAAATTCCATCCTACAGAGGCAACTCATCGAATCTTGGTGGACAAACTTTTCGATGGTCCTTCACAATACACATTCCCAACGAATGTGAAGGAGTTAATTCAGATGCAATAGAAAATTCCACATGTAACTTTAGCATGTTCATAGAATACATACAGATGTAGTTCTTAGGCTAAATGCATGTGCAGAAAAAGAACAGAGAATGAATGATGTTTTTCATTCAAACGAAACAATTATATGCCAGAATCAGGGGCTTCACTTCACATGATATAATTGAAAGGAAATTTAGGATTGAATTGTTTGTTGTCTGTATTCTTCTTTCTTTGGAGGTGAGTAGGGAGCGGATCCACTGTCGCTTCTATGTACAAGTTGACTCACGCCAACACATATAAGCCATTAGCAATGTTATAATAAAAATTTATTTAAAAAAAAATAGTTATCCAAAAACACATTTGGTATGGCCAAAAGTAAATCCAAGCAAAAGTTACATTTGGGAACAGACAAGCAAGAGTTCAAAAACTGAAAAAATATACATTATTGGAAAAGGACAATGACACAATAAGAGCTTTCAGACGAGTGCTAAAGCTTAGAGCCCGCACGGCTAAAATGTCTTTTTTTCATACACGAAAAAAAAAAGTACCCTTCCTTCCCTCATCAACTTTTTTACTTTTATTTTTACCAACAAAAATATATCCCTCCTCTATAATGTCCACTTGTTTCATTGCCCTCAAACTACAACATACCAAATTTAGGAGGAGCTTACACCACTTACTTCTCTATATACACCTTATTAGTCCCCCTATTGCTCTACCATATGATATGACCATGGCTCATTCCAATGTTTTTCCAGTCACTCTCTTCTTCTCTTCTGTCTTCATCAGTCTCTCAAAAGCTCAGATGGTTCCGACCATTTACATGTTCGGCGACTTTAACCGATGTGGGTAGCAAGTACCTAAAGATCTCCCTTGCCAAGATTAATTTCCCTCACAATGGTGTTGATTTTCCCAACAAGAAGCAACGGGAAAGTTTGGGAATGGCAAGAATGCTGCGGATTTTCTTCGGAAGTTAAATAATTCAATTACTTACATCATCACTCGTGGCTATAGACTGTCTATGCATGTTGTGAGAACAAGAGGGTACATCATGTGTATATATATAATTATATATAATACATTAGTGAGCGATGGGCATAGGCTTTCTTGTAAGTGAGAGATCATATGTCAATGTATTTGTATCTCTTTTTCGTTTGGCAGCCGAGAAAGTTGGGTTACCAACATCACCACCCTATCTCTCACTTGTATCCAAGTCCAACAAGCAAAAACCATCCTTCGTCACCGGAGCTAGCTTCGCCTCCGGGGGCTGGAATCTTCAATGGCCCAGATGAACACTACGTAAGCACTATTGAAACAAAAGATATTCTCAATAAGCAGTACTCATTCAAAAATTAAAAAAATATTTCTATGGCACGTGTAATATTATCCAACAGATTGCTTTACAACCCAATTCATTCTTTTTACATGAGGTGCGATCGATGTTAGACCCACTTATGCAGGTTGGTGAAAAATGTCAAGAGTGATGTTATTTGTACTATCAAATCCAAAAGAAATTCAAGTATGACTTCTGCCGAAAATTCGGCAGAGTTTCCCCTGTAAGTTGAGCATTTTCCAAAAATTTTCACCTGTGAAACAAGCATATATATATATATATGTGTGTATATAACCCAACTGCCAGCATGCATTAAATTTTATCCAAGAAAACAACAGTATAACATTCTGGCCTCAGGCCTCAACCAATCAAATAAATCATTCTGCAAAATAAGTTCATTTCAACTTTCAGAAAATCCATAGTATTAGCAATCTAAAGGACTCCAACTTGTGGCTGCACCTTATAGCATTAGGCTACCTACGTACTCTTACTGAGGGATCAAGCCACACGTAGTTCTTTATTTGCAAAACAACTCTAGTTCTCATTTCCTGTTCCAAGCTTCCTGGTATTACTCACATGGCAATATCTATATTTAAATGAAGGAATAAAAGCATTTATATCAAGTAATCATGCTTGCAAAACCATAACCATCAATTCCTCGTGACACCAATGGTGACACGTCCTGACCTGTAATCCTCGCTGGACTCAGGAGACATCTGGTCAACCTGGTCCGCAATCCTCGCTCCCACGGTCTGGATAACTCTAAGACTCGTGGGGCAAAATATGCTAGAAAAACTTAAGATATTTAATACTATATAAAACAATGAAAGATAAAGATGAATAGACATACTAAAGTAAAATAAGATGAAATAAAATAAGTTAAAGATTTATAAGTTCTGAAAACCCTTATACTATAGCATTGAAACTTACCTAAAATATATATATATATATATATATATCAATCTTTCTCTCGTGACATAAGTATATCGATTAAGAAAATAATAGTAACTGTATAAAATCCTCAATTTAGTTTAAAAGCATCTCAAGGCTTAAATTCTCTTCACCTAGGCGTACCCCCATATCTGATCCGTCAATTCCCGATATCCGTCAATTCCCCTGGCAAGTCTCGGTGACACAAGGTCAACCCGAGCTGCAAACTGGCAGGATTCAAGGGACCGTAGTAAGCCTGATCCACAAACTGACAGGTCTCGGAGACAACACCTCAATCCGAGCCGCATTCCTCGCACCACACGATTTAGGCGTCCCCAAAACTCGTGGGGCATAAACTGTCTCAAGGCAACTGGGGGGGTACCCTTGCGGCGAGTTTGAAAACCATAATCTGTTATTTACATAAACTTTCAATAAATTGGCTTTCAACTGAACTTAAAATATATCCATATATATATATATATATATAATATACAAAGAGCTTCCATTGAGGGACACCCCTTGTAGGCCCCACTCCGAATTGTATTTCACTAATCCAAACCGTCTATTTAGTAGATACTCATTTAAAGATCATCTCTACAAAAAATTACTTGAATCCGATATCATTTGACCACTCATTTGAGTTATTGAAATTTTAATACTTTCTTGAAGAACCGTGTTCATTGACTTTGTAAGACATAATTGAATGTCGAAACGGTTTTCGATTTGTCTAATTTTTTGTAAGGATGATCTATGAATGAAGACCTAAAAAATAGATTGTTTGGATCATTGGGAAAAAAATTGTAAGGTATCCTAAAGCGCGTCCCTCAAATAAAATTATTTGAGGGATCCCTCGATAGAAGGGGACTATATATATATATATATATATATATATATATATATATATATATATCAGTGAGAGATAATGATGAAGCAGACTATCATTCCATTTATATCCACAAAGTCATGAGTCAAGATTCATTCATAGCCACCCTTATGAGTTGAAAAACCCTCTAGTCAGAATTGCAATATAATTATTCTGATTACATTGAAGCCTGGTACTCTTTTCTCCTCCATCAATCTGAGGATTTTAATCACTCCTGGTTTATAAATTTTGACAATAAGTTCAAATGCTCCTTTTCCTACTGGTTCTTCCACTGGTGGGAAAAACATGGTCCAGTTGATGAAATTCTGCCTGTTTCAGTCCATGAGTTAATTTGCCATTTCACCAAAAAAGCCAAGTTCTCCAAAGTTGATTTGTTCTTCGCAAAACAATTGCTTTTTGTTGCCAGATACAAGGTTCCTTGGATCCTCAAATGGTCCTACAGAGTTACCAAAGATACTAGAATATTTGCCCGTCAATTTTCTGTTAAATGGTGGGATAAGTTCGAAGTTGACAGAATTGCTAAATATGTCTACAATTATTTGCCTCATGATTTTGTTCCACATCTAGCTTCCCCCACTGGTTCAACCCGATCTTCCCTTTCAGTCGAAGGAAAATCGAAGTCTGAACTTCAGGAGATTGCTCGCCAGTTGATAATTCAAGCCTCTCAAATGGATGATGATGAGGAGAATGACAATGACTCTCCTTCTTCGTCCAACTGCCAGCCCATGCAGAGCCCGGTCAAGCCTAAAAGTTGGTATGAAGACAGTCAAGACCCCTATGATTTGAACTCTGACTAGGCTCATAATTGCATACATAATAATTGCTTCGGAGAATGTGACTGTTATAGCATTTGTTAAAGCAGCCGCCTACTTTCTCGTGCCTCTACAACCATTATTCCCCGACACTTTATCCTGAGTAAAAGCAAAAGTCGCTCGACACTTCATCCCGAGTTAAAGCAGCAGTTGCCTAGTAAAAGTTATTCCCTACAAGAAGACAAAATTGAAAGTTGAATTGGTTTCTTCTCGTGTCTCTACAGTTGAAGTACTCGAAGTTACCCTAGTTGCTTTCAGTTACCATAGTTGCCTAACCAGAGTTGTCTTTCCTTATTTAAGCTGGCTTCGGCCTCAGTTGTAAGCAGGTTACATTTTCATTCCAGTTTTTTTTAAAGATTCTCTCTGAAACGCTTTTAGAGAAATCATCTTTGTAAACACTGAGTGTTCTTGTCTCCTCCACATCAAAGCCTTCAGCACTTCCTGTCTCTGTGGCTGGTTCTTACAACTGAGGCCTGGTTTAGGGCTGGTTCAAGTCTATGCTCTAACATATGGAAATGTATTGATTAGAATAATGAAGAACATCCTTTTCTAAATAAGGAAAGACAACTCTGGTTAGGCAACTATGGTAACCGAAAGCAACTAGGATAACTTTGAGTGCTTCAACTATAGAGACACAGGAAGAAACCAATTCAACTTTCAATTTTGTCTTCTTGTCGGGAATAACTTTTACTAGGCAACTGCTGCTTTAACTCGGGATGAAGTGTCGAGCGACTTTTTCTTTACTCAGGATGAAGTGTCGGAGAATAATGGCTGTAAAGGCACGAGAAAGCAGGTGGCTGCTTAACAAGATGCTATAACAGTCACATTCTCTGAAGCAATTATTATGTCTGCACCTAGGAGCCTAGTCAGAGTTCACATCATAGGCATCATAGGGGTCTTGACTGTCTTCATACCAACTTTTAGGCTTGACAGGGCTCTGCATGGGCTGCCAGCTGGACGAAGAAGGAGAGTCATTGTCATTCTCCTCATCATCGAAAGCAGGGCATGACCAAAGGGACTTACTTTTGCGAATTATTCCTTTTTGGAGCAATTCATTGATTTCTGTTTTGCAAATTCCATTATTTCTTGACTCATCTGGATCGGTCTGGCCTTAGTGGGGATATTTTTCTCACTAAAGGTTTTGATATAAGGAAGATTAACAACATGTTGTTTCCTATACCAAAAAGCATGAGGCAAATAAGAACAAATTTCATTTTTCAACTTATTTTCAAATTGTTGAATGGAAACGGCAATTTGTTATGGGGAATTTGGACAGATTCTTTGTTTGAGGATACTACCATAACCTATGTCAGAGGCATCAGTTTCAACTATTTTAAATGAATCAACTGAAGGAATACCAAGACAAGGGAGTGTCTTGACATGGACTTTGATACTTTTGACGATTTCAGTATGAATGGTTGACCAAGGAGGAGGGTTACTTTGCAACCTATCAAACAGAGGCTTACATTGTTTTCTTAAATTTTGGTAAAAATCAGAAACATAATTTAGAGATCCTAGAAACCTCTGGAGCTGACTCTTATCAAGAATTTGATCAGGAAATTTATCAACTAACTGGATGACTCGGTCAATTGGAGAAATCTGTGACTGGCAGATATTGAAGCCGAGAAATCGGATGTTGGTTTGAAACAACTTGATTTTCTTAGCAGAAACAACTAGACCATTGGTTTTGACAATTTCAAAGAATTGGTGCAAATGCTTCCAATGTTGTTTTAAAGATTGGGAAAAGATTAGAACATCATCAATATAGACAATTGAAAAATGACTGTATGGATTAAAAATCTCATTCATAATATTCTGGAATTCACTAGGAGCATTTTTCAGACCAAAGGGAATTACATTCCATTCATAATGACCAAAAGGAGTGACATATGCAATCTTATATCTATCTGACTCATCTATTTGGATTTGCCAGAAACCACTCTTCATATCAAATTTGGAAAAAACAACTGCTTTTTCTAACCTATTAATTAGGTCTCTCTTATTAGGTATGGATACCTAATCCATTCTAAGACCGAATTAAGGGGCCAGTAATTGATAACTAATCTTGGGACTCCTCTTTCTAACTTAGCATTTGAATTGCTAAATATGTCTACAATGATTTGCATCATGATTCTGTTCCACATCCAGCTTCCCCCACTGGTTCAACCCGATCTTCCCTTTCAGTTGAAGGAAAATCGAAGTCTGAACTTCAGGAGATTGCTCGCCAGTTGATAATTCAAGCCTCTCAAATGGATGATGATGAGGAGAATGACAATGACTCTCCTTCGTCCAGCTGCCAACCCATGCAGAGCCCGGTCAAGCCTAAAAGTTGGTATGAAGACAGTCAAGACCCCTATGATGCCTATGATTTGAACTTTGACTAGGCTCCTAGTTGCAGACATAATAATTGCTTCGGAGAATGTGATTGTTATAGCATCTTGTTAAAGCAGTTGTTAAAGCAGCCGCCTGCTTTCTCGTGCCTCTATAACCATTATTCCCCGACACTTCATCCTGAGTAAAAGCAAAAGTCGCTCGACACTTCATCTCGAGTTAAAGCAGTAGTTGCCTAGTAAAAGTTATTCCCTACAAGAAGACAAAATTGAAAGTTGAATTAGTTTCTTCCCGTGTCTCCACAGTTGAAGCACTCAAAGTTACCCTAGTTGCTTTCGGTTACCATAGTTGCCTAACCAGAGTTGTCTTTCCTTATTTAAGCTGGCTTCGGCCTCAGTTGTAAGTAGGTTACATTTTCATTCCAATTTTTTTTTAAAGATTCTCTCTGAAACGCTTTTAGAGAAATCATCTTTGTAAACACTGAGTGTTCTTGTCTCCTCCTCATCAAAGCCTTCAGCACTTCCTGTCTGAAACTTTGTGAGTATAAATAAAAGTAGTTGTATTTTGAGATATCCCTATTTTGAGTATTTTCATATAAGCATTATTTTGAAGTATCATGTTCTTATTTGCCATGTTTATTTTTTCATTAATAAGATTCATGCATAAATTCCGCATCTTCTACTATGTTTGCTTCATCACTATCTCTCACTGGTTCTAGTTCCCTTTTGGTATCAGAGCCTAATTATCATAGGAAAACAGCTAGTTACAATAGAAACTAAAATTGATAAGTTAAATCCCCAGGAAACCAAGTCTAAACCCAAAATTGAAAAGCCGATAGTTCAGTTCCAGGATCTTAAGTCAAGCCCTACACTTAAGATTAAACCCACAATAAAGAAAATTGAAGAAATGTTAGAACAGTTGACCCCAAGTAAAGTCGAAAAATCTGGTCTTAAAACACGAGATTCATTTGCAGTCGTAAACCCATCTGAGTTCGATTTTGAGTCTGCAATAAGCATAGAATCAGAAACCATTAATATTTCGAAAATTGAAAATGCCTTTAGAAACCTTGAAGTACAAATTAAACCTAAGCTTAAAAGGCTAGATAAACATATAAGCCCTACAAGTCTAACAAAAAATTGGTACCCTAGACCAACTCCTCCAGACATCCAGTTTGAAGAAAGAAATTGCCAAACCCAGTTTTCAATTTCTTCTGACAAATTATATGAATGGAACATTGATGGTCTGTCTGAGCAAGAAATCAAAATAAGCTCCAACATATGTCCATGGTTGCCAATAGCTACATCACCAATCACAATTTCAGATAGTCTGAAAATTGTGCCTCTGTTAGTTACTGGATTTACCGGTACTCTCAGGTATTGGTGGGATAAACACTTAACCCCTGAGTCTAAAAATTTGATAATTCATGCTGTAAAACTTAATGAAGATGGTCTCCCTATATTTGACGAACAAATAGGTCAAGGTATAGAAGACGGAGTCAACACTTTGTTTTACACAATAATTGAACATTTCATTGTGAACCCCTAGTAATACTACTGCTAAATCCATGATCAGCTTAGCAACTTCCGTTGTCCTAAGTTGTCTGACTTCAGGTGGTACAAAGATGTTTTCATTTCCAGAGTCATGTTGAGAGATGATAGTAATCAGCCATTTTGGAAAGAAAAATTTGTTAATGGTCTTCCAAATCTATTTGCCCACAAAATACGCACAACCCTGAGCAATGAACAAGGTCATATAGATTGGGATGTTCTTCCTTATTTAGAGTAGGCTTGACCAATCAATACACATTCTCATACCGACTTGGTTAATTGTGCTTATTATATATATATACCCAAAATCTGATAAAAACCAAAAGCTATAATTCTTCCTTTTCAACCACTGAATATGTGTATCAAATATGGACATGCACTTAATTATTTAGCTAGGTTGTTAATCATATCGATCTCTGAATAACATACGAAACCGTCGGCATAATATGGGTATATGTAACAATCTGTAAAACTTCAAAATCGATCTTTAATACCTACATAAATGGATAGAGCAAGAAGAGTAGATGAAGTTTCATACCTGGCTTGACGGATTTCGTGGCCGGAGTCGCCGGAAATGCAAAAATATCGCCGGAAAAGCCTAACCGTTCCTTAGCTTCAATTCGAGCTCATCATTAGCCAATCAGATTGGACTTCGGTGAGTTTTATAGAGAAGGGCGAGATGAACACTTTTCGTGAAGGTGGCGTGCCATCCGGTGAACGAAGACGTCGATTTTGTGGCTTGGAAGTCGAACAGTCACTGTTGCTACAGTGACTGTCGAAAAACAAAGAACAAGAAAAATGCTGAAGCTGCTGGAGGAGGAAGAAGGAGAGAAAAATAAAAAGAGTTCGGGGGTACTGTAGCGGGTACTGTAGCAATAAGGAATTTTAAAATTCTATTTACGTCCTTTTCGTTTCTAGACCCTTTCTCTTTCGTTACAACTTGGAATTGGGCGTGCCGCATGTCTATGAACTCGTATCGTCGAGCTCTACCCAATGGTACCACCCAAATTTCCAAATTATTTCCCAGTCAAAAAGTCAACTTTAAACCTAATAAAATATTCTAGGGGTATAATTGTCTTTTCTCATAATAAATTATTAATTAAAGACCGGGTTGTTACAATAACACATAATCTATTTCAATAAATTTTTAATATATTATTTTGGATCAAAATCTAAGACTTTATAAATTGGACCATATATTTATTAAGTCTTGGGCCTGATATTTTCAATATATAAGAGGTTTTGGGCTAAAACCTTAAAGGGCTTTACTTATTTAGGGTGCTGAGTGGGGATTCTGCATGCAAAATATTAGCCTAGTGTTTAATTTTTATTGGCAAAGTGTTTGGTTAGATGGGTGAAGAAACCACCTAAGTGTAGGCAGCTGCCCACACAGTAGGATGTATTGGATCCACCAGTGGATGACCCATATCATTTGACCATAGATATGTTCCCACAAACCAAAGATGGTTGTGAAATAAGGACCCAAAAAACGAAAACCCATTTCAAACGGAACAAAGAGTGTGACACCGATACATGGACTAGTCCACATTTCACTCACTATTTGTGAAGGGTTGAATTGAACAACTCATTTTGTAGTGCAACCCATTTTCATTGGTAGCCAACCCTCCACTACAATTCTAAAGCTTTGCGGTGGCGTCGCATTCCCATCTGAGAATTCTTTCTGGGGTTTTTTCTTCTTCTATCTGGATCGATTCTAGAATTAGTAATGATATACCCCATTTACCTACCATACCTATAAATAATATTTATAAGAAAACTTGTTAACTGAAGTATTCATTAATTCTTTGTATCATGTGACGAGAGAAATAAAAGATAAATAGTGCGTACACTATGCCTTTAAGATTTACTTTATATTATAACGTTGTTCATGTATATAAGGATCTTATCCATATTTAAAAAGTTCATTCTTCATTATATGTAATGTAATTTTGTTATTAGAGGGAAAACTAAGTGCATGGCTAGTCGAATGGAGTAGATAATTTTTGTGATTAGAAAATTTACAAGGATGTATTGATGATGGAAGTAGAAATCAATTATTGTTTTTCCTAATACAAGCTTTTAAAGGGGAGAATGAAAACATGACATTTAATGCATGGATAAATGCTCTAATGAGGTAGTTGAAAATCTCTACGACAAATTACAGGAAAAAGAACTATTTCATTAATACATGTTAACTCATACCTTGAGGGGGGAGGATATCACTATTCCTCCTTCTCATCCTCTCTTCCTTTGAACGCACACATCCCCTCTCCTTCCTTACTTTCCCTTAATGTCCTCTCATATCCTTCCCACCCAACCTCCCCGCCTTCCATCTTACCGCCCATCCCCCCACACTCCTTCTCCTTTCTCTCTCTTTTTTTTTTTTTTCCGCATATCTAGGGTTTGAGCTTTTGATTTGCTTGGGGGACCACGTGGCTGCCTTTTAGGTTTTGTTTGGGTCGTTTTTCAGATTTTGGGTTCCAACTCTTGATTTACTTCGTGTGTTTTTTGAGTTTGATGCATGTTCGTAGTCTTTTACTTGTAATTTTTTACTTGTGAGAGTTTAAAGATTGTAGTTTGCATGTAGTTCTGTGTTGTTGAGGTGCTTTTGCAAGCTGCAACTTTATGTTGGAATTTCTTTGGTCATTGTGTGGAGATACATTTGTGTGCTGATGTTACCTGTGGAGTCTTCTATATTCTGGATTAACCCTTTGTGTTTATTATTTGCTTTCATATTTGTAATAACCTCATGTGGTTATCTGTATTTATATTAGTTCTTGTAACTGACAACCTTTGTGCTTGAATTATAAATGCAATCTATCTTCTTTTTCTGTAAAAAAAATATGAGATTGGAACTTTATCTGCCCATCTCACTGACACCTAAGCTAAAGTTAATGGATTACATGCTCACATATCCAAATTAATTACTCATACTCTTGTTCAAAGCATCGCGGTGTTAGATCTTTTCTTAGTCATATTCTGACCTCACAAACTGAATTACATACTCACCAAACATGTCGACATCTCACCACCACAAAAAGATTATAATTTTAAATAAATAAAACAAGGGAAAGGATTATCAAATCACAAGAGAAAAACTATGACCTTTTGTGATTATGATGAAGGCTATGTCTTTGTATGGATATTCTGATGTTCGAAGTCAAAGCAGCTCTTTTCTGTCACGCAAAGAATTATTAGAAAGAGAATATGTTCTAAGTTATAAAGTTTTTTTATTTATATGAAATTATACTATGGTTCAAAAGAAATTACATTATCAAAACTTGCCATTAAAAAAAAGTTACAAAACTATGAAAAATATAAGTTGTGTGCACTTCTCTAGCCGCACAGACCTTGAGGGGAGGAGGATTCCTTTCGCTGCTTTGAGCACAAATGCCCCTTTTTTTTTTTTCCCCCTTTCCATCTGGTCCTCTCATCTTCTTCCCACTCCTCTCCCCTTTCCAACCATGCCTTCTTTGTTTTTTTTTTTTTTTTTTTTTTTTTTTTTTTGTTGCTGCAAATTGAGGTTGGGGGGCGGTCTCTTTGACTTGTTTGTGTTGACCACACGGTAGATGCCTTTGTGGTTTGTGGATCTGTTTTTCAGCTCTTCGGTTCCAGCTCTGATTTACGTTGTGTGTTTTGTTTTTGTGGTAATTAAGGGCATCAACTCCTTGAGTTGGTTGCGTGTTGGTAGGTCTCTACTCATAATTTTTTATTGTGAGAGTTTAAACTTTGTTAGTGGGCAGTGGTAATTGGGTAGTTGTGATTTTAGTAGGCATTTCGTAGGCTGGGAGCCCTTATAGTGTTGAGGTACACTTGTCTCTAATATGAAAGTGGAGATCTCCGTTTTGGATAACCCTTTGTAGTCTGCGTTCCAATTTATAATAAGAGTGTGTGGTTATTTGTATTTATACTGGGCTACGTTGCGAATTATAACCTTACAATCTATCGTCTTTATAAAAATAGATATCTTATATACTATATATACTCATACATGACCAAAGTAAAAGAACTTAAAATCAACAAAAAAAAAAAAAAAAAAAAAAAAAAAAAAAAAAAAAAAAAAAAAAAAAAAAAAAAAAAAAAAAAAAAAAAAAAAAAAAAAAAAAAAAAAAAAAAAAAAAAAAAAAAAAAAAAAAAAAAAAAAAAAAAAAAAAAAAAAAAAAAAAAAAAAAAAAAAAAAAAAAAAAAAAAAAAAAAAAAAAAAAAAAAAAAAAAAAAAAAAAAAAAAAAAAAAAAAAAAAAAAAAAAAAAAAAAAAAAAAAAAAAAAAAAAAAAAAAAAAAAAAAAAAAAAAAAAAAAAAAAAAAAAAAAAAAAAAAAAAAAAAAAAAAAAAAAAAAAAAAAAAAAAAAAAAAAAAAAAAAAAAAAAAAAAAAAAAAAAAAAAAAAAAAAAAAAAAAAAAAAAAAAAAAGTATTTGACCTAATTGGGAATTAATCAACCTAATTGGGAGTTACTCAATTTAATTGGGGGTTACCCAATTAAATTGAAGACTACCTAATTGGGTTGAGAATTGATTCTAATTCCTACCCCGATTCTCAATTAAATGAGGAGTTACCTAATTGAAATAGGATTTGATTTGATACCTACCACAATTAGGGATTTGATTTACCCTAATAAATCAAATCCCTAATTAATCAAATCAATTCCATAAAGGGGAGGAATAATTCCCTTCCATCTACGGAATTATTCCTCTGAAACCCTAGCCTCCAAGACCATTATAAAAGCATAGCCACACACAATGGTGGAGGTACGTCTAAATTCCTACTGAAACTCTGCAGAAATCATTTCTCACAAACCCTAGCCACCACTTTCTTTCTCTCCCTTACACAAGGCTCCGGCCACCACACACGGCTCCGGCCACCCGGTTTTCCTTGAAATACCTTACCTAACTTAGGCATCGGAGGGCCTTTGGCCAACACCCCCCGGGTGTGGTCCTTTTACTCCGATTGTTTTGCAGAGAGAAAGAGAAGCGGAGAAGACGAAGGAATCTTTGACGAATATTCTCGTGGGGAAAATCATTCCCTCCAAATTGGTGCTTTCATTGAGAGCACGAGTTATACTCAACGCGTGCTCAAGGAATCCGTTCCTCCTATTTTCCAATCCACCGAAGCCTTCCAAACAACCATGGTTGGAAGCATGAAGACGAGAGGCAAAACCGCCGCGATGGCTAAATCCGCGACGGCCCAAAGCCACTCCGCCCACGATCCCGCGATCGACATGGTGGCCCCACCACCTCTCACCACCGCACCGGCCACCGCCGCCGAACATGGTGGAACCTCCTATCAAGGTGGGCTTGTTACCACCGCTGACTTAGGCCCGATCTTGGAGCAACTTCAAGCGATCCCTTCATTGCCTCCACGCTCGACACACGCTCCCGCGCACACCTCCAATGAAACCCTAGCCCGTGTGCAATTGGGCTCCACACACTTCTCTCCTCCTGATCCACGAAGTCAAGCAGACCTTAGTCTGAGAGTTGACCAGCTAGCTCAGAGAATGGACGACCAAAGCGATATGATGAGGCAACTCCTCCACCAAATCAGCTTGGCTCAAAACCTTGGCCTTGGACAACTAGGCGAAGAGAGAAGGATGGACGAACACACCGGCAGGCAACTCAAACGGGTACCCAGCAGGTCAAGCAGGAGTAGGCAGACAAGGCGAGGGACAACAACTTGATCGGCCTACCGACATGTCACAAGCATCCGCGAGCCCCACTCGGAGCAGATTAAGTTTCGAGGAACAACATGCGCGAGAGGCTAGGCCCACGACTTGACGTCCACGCCCGCTTGGGACCGCAGGGAAATGTACTTCAAAGGCTAGGCCCCCACGGAGGACAATCAGACAACCATCGCAACGAGGATCGTGAAGAAAGACGCTCGGCTGTCCACTCGCAGACGAACATTCACGAGAGGCTACGTCCCCAGGGTGGTCAACCGGATAATCCTCACAATGAGGACCGCGAAGAAAGACGCTCCGCTGCTCACTCACAAAGAGACGGCTCTCGTCGACCAACTACGGAGATCTCTCGCAAGCGCAGTCCACCAACACGCCGCCTAGGCAGCGCAGACGAGAAGGTCGACCCTCGCAGACCCAGGAGGAGGTCAGTCAACGTCGCCCGAATCGCGAAGGTCGCCAACGTGATCGACCAGCAATGTGTATGGAGGACGTTGAGAAGCTTATGAATGACCGACTTCGAGATCTGAAGACTGGTGGGAACCTCGACGATGCACTACGCAAGGAGATCGACCAGGCAAACTCCACACCTTTCACTGCCGAAATCGAGCAGGCTGCTCCCCCGAAGCGATTCTCCACGCCTTTCGTTTACACACTTCAAAGGGGACTCCGATCCCGAGAGTCACCTAAAACACTTCAAAAGTGTCATGATCCTCCACAAGGCCGACGACGCGTTGATGTGCAAGGTATTCGTAGTGACCTTGCGAGGAGCAGCCCAAGATTGGTTCCACACCCTGCCATCTGGGTCGATCAACAGCTTCAAGGAGTTGGCTTACGTCTTCACCAAAGAGTACACCTCTTACCGGACGATCAAGAAGAACCCTGACCACCTGTACAACCTGCGCAAGATCCGACGAATCCCTTCGAGATTACATCAAGAGATTCAAAGCAGAAAAGGCCAACATTGTAGGATGTGACGACCGGATCGCATCATCTGCTTTCAAGAAAGGCCTCCCAGCTGAACACGACTTGTACCGCGAGCTGACTATCACTCCCAGCCAGACTCTGGCAGAGGTCTATGCGACCGCGGAACGCTACGCGCTCTGGGATGACGATCGAATCGCCGCAAAAAAGTCTACTAAGCAGGAAGATCAACCGACTAAGCGGGCAGGTCAAAGAAGCGATGGATTTAGCAACAAGAACAAGGATAAGCGCAGGTCACACCCACAAGGAGACGCTACAGCAGGAGAGAACTACACCAAGTTCACCATCCCCATACATCAAATCTTAGCCCAAGTGAAAAACAAACCTTGGGTAAGAAGACCGCCACCCTTGAAAGGAGATCCAGACAAGAGGGATACAAGCAAATACTGTGCCTTCCATGGGACACACGGGCACACTACCAATAACTGCCTCGCTTGGAAAGCACACCTTGAAGAACTCGTGAAAGAGGGTCACTGCACGGAGTTCATCGCGAAGCAGGCCATCCAGCGGATTGAAGATCGAGACACCGCCAAGGAACCGCCCCAGAAGGTCATAAGGATTAACACAATCCTAGCCGACGCCAAGGAGTCAGGACTGACCAGCAAGGAAAAGAAGAGGAAGATCAAACAGGCCACTATGATCTCCCAAGTCTCGACTGACCTTCCACCAACAGAAGACGATCCTATAATCGGCTTCCAAAAGAAAGATCTGATCGGCCTCGACATGCCACATAACGATGCCCTTGTCATCAGCATACAAATCGCTCAGGCCATGGTCGACCGAATCCATGCAGACGAGGGCAGCGCAGCCAATATCCTGCAACTGGCTGTCATCCAGCAGATGGGCTTGGAGGCAAAGATCAACAAATCAGCCAGATCGCTGACCGGCTTCAATGGCGCAACAACGGTTACCGTGGGCACAATAGACCTTGACGTCTACTCCCCACCTGTAGTCTGCTTGCAAACGTTCATGGTCATTAATGAGGTCTCACCCTACAACGGCATTCTGGGCAGGCCATGGATCGGCATGATCAACGCCATCACCTCTGCCACACATCAGAAAATTCGGTACCCAATCCCTGGGGGCGGTGTTGGACAAATCAACAGCGATCAGGCAATGGCGAGGAAATGCTCCGCCCAAGGGCTGAAGAAAAGCAAGCAAGCGCAGTTCCTCCCAGTAAGCCAGGCAGATCTGAAGGAGGTGGAACAATCGAACCTTGCTATCTTATAGCAATCAAAGCGTCAGGACCAAGCCGAGGAAATCCGTCCAGAGGTCTTTCTGAAGAAGGATGGAAGCCCGAGGAGGACATCGAGTTAATACCCTTGGATCCTGACCAGCCAGACAAAAAAGCGCGGATCGGCTCGCGCCTAAGCCCAGACGAGAAGGTGGAACTTACCACTTTCCTCCAGAACAACAAAGATATGTTCGCATGGTCGCCGTCAGACATGCCTGGTATCGACCCGAACATCATATGTCACCGACTCCACGTCAACCCTGCCTGCAAACCAGTGGCGCAGAAGAGGCGCAACTTCGCACCCGAGCGGGTCGCCATCATCGAAGCCGAGATTGATAAACTCCTAGCCGCCGGCTTCATTGAAGAGGTCTCCTACTCGGAGTGGCTCGCTAATGTTGTTCTAGTGGCAAAACAAGAGAAGGGAAAGTGGAGAGTTGCGTCGATTACACCGACCTCAACAAAGCGTGCCCAAAAGACAACTTTCCCATTGCCAAGAATCGACCAACTAGTGGATTCCACTTCTGGCAATCAGCTACTCAGCTTCATGGACGCCTACTCCGGCTACAACCAAATCTTGATGCACGAGGATGACAAGGCGAAAACTTCTTTCATCATCGAGAGAGGGACCTACTGCTACAAGGTCATGCCTTTTGGGCTGAAAAACGCCGGAGCAACCTACCAAAGACTGGTGAACAAAATCTTCAAGGAGCAGATCGGCAAAACTATGGAGGTGTACGTGGACGACATGCTGGTCAAGGCCCCAAAACGTGCAGATCACCTCAAAAACCTCGCTGAGGCATTCAGCCTGCTCCGCCAGTATCGCATGAAGTTGAACCCAAGTAAATGCACATTTGGTGTATCCTCCGGCCGATTCTTGGGATACTTAGTCACACAACGAGGTATCGAGGCACACCCACGTCAGATCAAAGCTATTCTAGAGATGAAGTCGCCTTCCACAGTGAAGGAAATACAAAGTCTGACGGGCAGAGCAGCGGCCCTCAACCGGTTCCTCTCAAGATCAACCGACAAGTGCAAACCATTCTTCAAAGCTTTGAAGAAAGGACAAAGAGACAAATGGGATGAGGAGTGCGAAGTAGCTTTCCAGAGTCTCAAGGCTTATCTCACTTCACCTCCCCTGCTTTCAAAGCCAGTCCCTGGTGAGGACTTGTTCGTGTACCTGGCAGTGTCCAACTCAGCTGTCAGCTCAGCTCTCATCAGAGAAGAGCTGGGGGCCCAACATCCGGTATTCTACACGTCAAAAGCTCTCCTCGATGCAGAGACTCGTTACCCAAAATTGGAGAAACTCATTTTGGCTCTTGTAGTTTCTGCGAGAAAGCTACGACCCTACTACCAAGCTCATCGAGTCATCGTCATGACCGACTTTCCTTTGAGATCAATCCTTCATAGCCCTGATGCCTCTCAACGACTCATGAAGTGGGCTATAGAGCTAAGCCAATATGACCTCATCTACCGGCCAAAAGCTGCAATAAAAGCCCAGGCTTTAGCTGACTTCGTAGCGGAGTTCACCCCATCGGCCGAAGAAGAGAAAATGGTCAACGAAAAGAAGGAAAGTTCAAAAGCAGACAGGACCCCCGCTGAACCTAGCCAACCTAGAGACACGTGGCAGTTGCGGGTAGACGGAGCGTCAAACCAGAAAGGAGCTGGAGCGGGTGTCGTCATCATCACCCCAGACGGAACCTTGTTGGAGCAAGCTATCACGCTTGGATTCCCGGCCTCGAACAACGAGGCAGAATACGAGGCATTGCTCGCCGGCCTGCGCTTGGCAAAGGAACTCGCAATCAAGAAGCTAGCCATTTACTCAGATTCCCAGCTGATCACGAATCAAGCGTCAGGTGAATACATGGCGAAGCACCCAAGGATGATCTTGTACCTTGACAAAGTCCAGGAGTTGTTGAAGGCGTTTCCTACCTTCACCATCCAACAAGTACCCCGGGCAGAGAACGCACATGCAGATGCGCTAGCCAGTCTAGGGTCAGCGTTGGATACCCAGTTCAGACGCTCCATCCCAGTCGAACACCTTGACCGGCCAAGCATTGAAGAGGTAGAGCCAATCAACACCATGCGAATTGACGAAGACCCCAGCTGGCAAGACCCCATCATTGACTACTTAGTGAATGGAAACCTACCCGCGGACAAGTCCGAGGCTAGGAAGGTCCAGCAGAAGGCCGCGAGATACTACATGCACGACAACAAGCTCATCCGCAGATCATACTCCGGCCCTCACCTTACCTGCATAAAATACCCTCAAACACTTGAGGTCCTCTGCAAAATTCACGACGGCGAGTGTGGCAACCACTCTGGGGGCAGGTCACTCGCCCAGAAGGCTCTAAACATAGGCTACTTCTGGCCTACCATGCGCCACGACTCCGCTGAATATGTCAAAAAGTGTGATCGTTGCCAACGGTACAAGCCGATTCCTAATTTGCCTGCCGAAGTTTATCATCCGCAAAACAGTCCATGGCCATTCATGCAATGGGCCATCGACTTAGTGGGTCCCTTGCCACCGGCGCCCGCCAAGAAAGAAATGATGATCGTCGCCACCGACTACTTCACTAAATGGATCGAGGCTGAAGCTCTATCCTCTACTAAAGAAGCCGATGTGGAGCGATTCATCTGGAGAAACATCATATGCCGATTTGGCTGCCCACAATCGCTGGTCACTGATAATGGCTCACAGTTCATTGGCAAGCATATCACCGCCTTCTTTGCGAAATACAAGATCAAACAACACCTGTCAACTCCGAGGTATCCACAAGGAAATGGGCAGGCCGAGGCATCCAACAAAGTCATATTGGACTGCTTGAAGAAGAGGCTAGAAGGCGCCGAAGGAAAATGGGTGGATGAACTCCCTGGAGTACTATGGGCTTATCGCACCACCAAGCGAAGGTCAACTGGTGAAACCCCATTCTCCCTCGCCTATGGGACGGAAGCAATCATCCCTCCTCACATCACAGTCCCCTCTATAAACCTCGAGGTGGGCAGTGTTGACCAGAACTCCAAGCAAATGAGGCTCAACCTTGACCTACTTGAGGGCGAACGTGAGAAGACCATTATCCGAGTCGCCTCCTACCAGCAGCAGTTGAAGTCGTACTACGACAAAAGAGCTAAGGTCAGACAGTTTCAACCAGGCGACCTCGTGCTAAGAAAGGCTTTCATCACCGCACCAAGACAAGGGTCGAAAAAGATGAATCCCAACTGGGAAGGCCCTTATGTGATCAGCCGGTCCGGGGGCAGAGGAAGCTACACATTGGACACCATGGATGGGAAGCAAATACCACGACAATGGAATGTTCACCATCTCCGAAAGTATTATCCATAATGCTTCCTCATGACTACTAGAAGTTTCAAGTTTTGTACTCAGTTATTTTCATTTTCGAATAAAGGACTGTAATCTTATGAATATCAATATAAGTTCAGTTTCTCATTCCAAAATGTCTTATCTGCCTACAAAACACAAGCAGTTGCCCATAAGCAGCGTCCTAAGGGAGACGCAGGGCGACGACCAAAGCGTCCTTCGGGAGACGCAGCCCGTAAAAAGCGTCCTAAGGGAGACGCAGGGTGCGCCAGGAATTTCTTAAAAGGAGGTCTCCATGCCTTCTGCGGGAAGTATCCAGGTTCCTATCCGTTTCCTAAGGGAGGCAGGATAGACACGCAGTTGCCCATAAGCAGCGTCCTAAGGGAGACGCAGGGCGACGACCAAAGCGTCCTTCGGGAGACGCAGCCCGTAAAAAGCGTCCTAAGGGAGACGCAGGGTGCGCCAGGAATTTCTTAAAAGGAGGTCTCCATGCCTTCTGCGGGAAGTATCCAGGTTCCTATCCGTTTCCTAAGGGAGGCAGGATAGACACACAGTTGCCCATAAGCAGCGTCCTTCGGGAGACGCAGGGCGACGACCAAGGCATCCTAAGGGATGTCCAGAATACGCCCGGAGCCTCTTAAGGGGGGGCCCTGGCACTCGCCAACTTCCTAAGGGAAACCATCCTAAGGGATGTGCAGGACACGCCCGGAGCCTCTTAAGGGGGGCCCAGGCACTTGCCAACTTCCTAAGGGAAACCATCCTAAGGGATGTGCAGGACACGCCCGGAGTCCCTCAAGGGGGACCCTGGCACTCGCCAACTTCCTAAGGGAAACCATCCTAAGGGATGTGCAGGACACGCCCGGAGCCTCTTAAGGGAGGCCCTGGCACTCGCCACTTCCTAAGGGAAACCATCCTAAGGGATGTGCAGAACACGCCCGGAGCCTCTTAAGGGAGGCCCTGGCACTCGCCACTTCCTAAGGGAAACCATCCTAAGGGATGTGCAGAACACGCCCGGAGTCCCTCAAGGGGGACCCTGGCACTCGCCAACTTCCTAAAGAAACCATCCTAAGGGATGTGCAGGACACGCCCGGAGCCTCTTAAGGGAGGCCCTGGCACTCGCCACTTCCTAAGGGAAACCATCCTAAGGGATGTGCAGAACACGCCCGGAGTCCCTCAAGGGGGACCCTGGCACTCGCCAACTTCCTAAGGGAAAAACATCATACGAGATGTGCAGAATACGCTCGGAACCCCCCAAGGGGAACCCTGTCACTCATAAATCTCCAAAGAAGAAGTGCAATTAAGACTGAAGCTGATTACTTAACAGTTCACAGGTCGATATGCAAATTGAAAGTTGAGAGTAACAACTGAAATTTCCATAACAATATGACCAACCGGCCAAGTTCAACAACAAGAATATGGTCAAAAAAGACCAATTATTCAAAACAAGAAAGCAAACTACAAAAGCTGAAAAGAAATAAAGAAGTCTTCATCTACTCTGAGGCGCCGGCAGGAGACCTATGAGTCGCAGCCTCTTCGGCATCCACCTGATCAGCTATGCCTTCAGCAGCCTCATCTGCCATCATCTCATCTACTGTGTCCACCTCCCCTCCATCCTCTGCAACTTCTTGCTCTTCAGTTCCTCCTTCTGCACGGGGTGAATCAGGGCAGAGTGTCTCGATGTCTACATCGTCAATCGCATACAAGGGAGTAACCTCATCCGCACAGTGCAGGTAGCCCAACTTGTACGCGTCTATGATGGCTTCAGACTTGGATTTTTCTGCGGACTTGTGGTATGCGTGAAATCTAGCCAGGAGCTTGTCATGGCTAAGGGAGATGTCAGCATTCTTACGCTCAAGACTAAAGAAGGCATCTTTGCGACTAACTAAATCAGTGGCAAGAGAGTTGAGCTCAGAATCCTTCTCGGTAAGGGAGCTTTTCAGCTCAGAAATCATTGCCCTCAAATCATGCGTCTTCTTCTCATAACGGGCCTGCTCGGCAGCAAGATGGCTGGCCAATTCAGCATTCTTCTTCTCCAGCTCGCTAAGCTGAGCAGAAGAGGGGGCAACAGCAGATGAGTTCCGAATGGTCTCTGCAGCAAAAACCAATCCTTTTTGAATCAGATGGAATGACGCTTCCCTTTGTTTTTCCAAGGAAAGGCTCGAGAAAGTGCCAAGATCGCCTGCCTGACGAATGTGATCAACCAGCTCAGCACATGAAGACGGGTTTGATAGGAAGTTCGTCTTGAGCAGATCAGACACACATGCATCCCCCGCAGGGTTAGACTTATCCACCTTGGGTCCAACCGCCGTCGCTGAAGAAGAACCCTTAGCCCGAGCAGATGACTCTCTCATCTTCTTAGCCTCCGCCAACTTCATCTCCAAAGGAGTCAATGATACTGAATCAACTCCACGCTTGACTGCCCACGGTTCAACAGCTGGATCATAAGCAGACCTCCCACTTCGATCTCCATCTTTCGACCGATGCAGACGACTCGAACTTCGAGGAGGAATGTCTACATCTCTTTGACGCTCAGCAGAACTAGGCCGGGCACGAGCTGTCTCACGAAGCATGTCATGGTTTTCGAGCGTGTCGGCAGGAGGCTCGGGCAGAACACCCCGAGCACCGCGCATACCACCAACCTTCGTGCTATCTGCACCCACGAGATGCTTGACCCTGGCAGATGATGACGGAGCAGACCCCACTTGAGCCTTCTCAGCAGAAGGGAGCCTTGGCTTCTTCCTCGATGGAGACCCATTCTTGGCATGCGAAGAAGTGGCTTCACCTCTGGAAGATTTGCTAGCAGCCTTTCTCTTTGGTGGAGATTCAGCAGAACACTCTTCCTGTACTGTAGGCAGATCGTCAGGGTCAGGTCCATTCTGCTTCCACCTTTCGACATCCTCGGCAGGGGGCAGACCACCATCTACCTCTCGGTACTCGCTCAACAGCCAGCGCCACTCGCGAAACTTTTGGGATGTTCAAAGCACGACGGACCTTAGCCATGTCTGGTCCAAGCTCCAATTGCTTACTGATGTCATTTACTATAAGCAGAAGACAGAAGTTAGTCAACCACACTTTAAGAAATTCAAATAAAAAGGAACATATCAAAAGTCACAAAAGACATACCAGGGCAATAGGTCACGGGAACAAGTGGGCCGTCACGAACGTCGCCTTCCCACCGTCCGCTAACTTCCAACACGTCGTCATGCCAAGCGTGATCTCCCTGACTGAGACCGTCGAACAGCTTGGTCTTGTAGGTGCGAACTTGGGCATACTGCTCAAAGTGCCTCACCTCGAAAAAATAAAAGAACTCACGCAATGTCAGCTCCAAAGTGAAGAAACGGCTCAGATTCTCGAAGCACATGATTGCCCGGTAAACGTTGGGAGTACACTGGCTCGGAGCACACTCCATGGCGCAGAACACCTCCTTGAAGAGCTTCGACAGTGGGAATTTGAAGCCCAAGGAAAAGTAAAAAGGACGGAAGGTAATGACCCTAGCGCCGGGATCATTCGCATCTACCAAAGGCTTGCTATCAGCCCAAGACTTCAGTAGCTTGACCTGCACGTCATCTGGAATGGCAGATGTGAAGGCAGCCCGCCACTTCTGGAACTGAGCATCGGTCGTCACGCGGTGCAAGTTGGCCACGAATTTCTTGCTAGGCACTAAGGAGCCTCCCCACAAGTATAAAGGTGCTTGAGAGCTTGGAGCCTTGCTACCGTCCCCGGAAGACATAGTTGGTCAACGAGTGGCTGCCAAAAAAGAAAGAATTCTACAAGTTAGAATACCGGAAAAATTCGCAAGTCGAAAGAAAAAAAAAAACAGCAGAAGAAAAAAAAAAAAAAAAGCAGCAGCCCAGCATGAACTGCCCAGCGCGCGCAGCCCAACTCGGGGCTCCAGCCCAGCGCGAGTCTCCAGCCCAGCTCGAGCGCCCAGCGAGGCCCGCTCCGCATGCGAGGCCCAAGTGATGCGCCAGACCGCCCCAAATTGGAGCACGTGGCCAGCTTGCCTAGCGCAAGCCCATGTCGCGCGATGGCCCAATTCCCCCTTGCTCCAGCTCTTGGTCCAACGCCTCCATGCCCCTGCTTCGAGCCCAACACGTGCAAGGCCTGATCCTGCCAGCCTTCCAGACCTCCAATCATGCCCCAGTCCAATCACAAGGCATGGACTACTTCCTTGCTGCCAAAGTCGGACCAAGATGCTAAAAGTCAGAGACAAAAATTCTTCTAGGCTAATTACCTTGGATGGACAGCAAAGATGAAGTTTCAAGCACGCTGGGAAAGCTCTCCAAAGTTTCTCTCTCTCTCACTTACAAAATTGGTGGAATAGACTTTTTGATGTGAAAAATAAATTGGAGGAGCCCCACATTTATAAGGATCAAAATTCCTTGACCTACAAGGAATCGCAAACTCTTTCCAACTTAGGAGTTCGTAAAATTGGCAAGTCAAATACCTCCTCTACTCAGGAGCCCAGGTCCACGAAGGAAGCCCAGTTACAGTTGGACAACCCAACGAAGCAGTTACATCTCCTACATGCCACCACGCGCCATGCAGAAGCTGGGGGGCATTTGTGGTAACCAAATTAAGCCAAAACCCTAGGTCAAATAATTCATTCCATTTGGGGATTATTTGACCTAATTGGGAATTAATAAACCTAATTGGGAGTTACTCAATTTAATTGGGGGTTACCCAATTAAATTGAAGACTACCTAATTGGGTTGAGAATTGATTCCTAATTCCTACCCCGATTCTCAATTAAATGAGGAGTTACCTAATTGAAATAGGATTTGATTTGATACCTACCACAATTAGGGATTTGATTTACCCTAATAAATCAAATCCCTAATTAATCAAATCAATTCCATAAAGGGGAGGAATAATTCCATTCCATCTACGGAATTATTCCTCTGAAACCCTAGCCTCCAAGACCATTATAAAAGCATAGCCACACACAATGGTGAAGGTACGTCTAAATTCCTACTGAAACTCTGCAGAAATCATTTTCTCACAAACCCTAGCCACCACTTTCTTTCTCTCCCTTACACAAGGCTCCGGCCACCACACACGGCTCCGGCCACCCGGTTTTCCTTGAAATACCTTACCTAACTTAGGCATCGGAGGGCCTTTGGCCAACACCCCCCGGGTGTGGTCCTTTTACTCCGATTTGTTTTGCAGAGAGAAAGAGAAGCGGAGAAGACGAAGGAATCTTTGACGAATATTCTCGTGGGGAAAATCATTCCCTCCAGTAAACATACAAATTTGTCAATACTCCAAAGAAAAAAAGTATGGACTGGACTAAGAGAGCACAGCCAGCAGTGATGGGGTTTATCCAATTTGCTATAGAAATCTCGAAGACCATAAGAGAATTTCTAAGAATCAGACTTGCGCCTTATTTATTATTATTATTATTATTATTACAATTAATGGAATATTATAGTCAAAGTTTGCAATACTTTGCTGCTCAAACGGTGAAGGGACAATTGCGTTCCAAAAGAGATAGAACCAAAACACTCTAAAATCTGAAAAATAAACTAAAGAAAATAAGGGCTCGTTTGATGACTATTTCAATTTTAGTTTTTAGTTTTTAGTTTTTATTTTAGTGGTAGAGTATAGAGGAAAGTGAGAGTGAGAATGGAAGTAAGGATGAGATTGGTAGAGAGAAATGAGAGCGGAGGATGGGAGGGATGAGTAATAAAAGTGAAAACAAAAACTTGAAAGTGAAAACAATTCCAAATAGATTTTCAGTTTTTAATTTTTGTTTTTACTTTTGTTACTCCTCCATTCCATCCTCCCCTCTCATCTTCTCTCTCAATCTCATCTTCATTCTCATTCTCACTTCCATTCTCCCTCTTTTCCCCTCACTGCTCTAGCACAAAAAATGAGAACTAAAAACTAATTAAAACAGTTATCAAACGGGCCACAAGGGAAACTTCCCTAGAGATCTCAAGCATCTGACACCTTGAATTGCTTTCCATTTATAGGTCTCTTTTTCATATATGAATACTTTTACTAGGAATGGTCACTGATATACCTTTTGTGATAGAAGAGCTATAACCCATTGAGCTTCAACATTAGTTTCGAATTTAGGTAACCAAATTTTCACATTCATTAGGTAATATATGAACCAAAATCGCCCAGCATTAAGAAAAATAAAGCATGACTGATGATCGTAAGAGTTTCACTTTATTTTTCATTCATTTTTCATAGAATAGATCGAAATTAAAGAGGGTGCTACTCAATAGAAAATGAAAAACTGAGACTTTCATTTCGTTATGATGTGTATAAACCGAGTGAGAGAGTACAGGTACTTTGTTTTACATAATGCACACCATGACATGTGCTGATAACAAAGCCCTCAAACTAATTTTATTGCATCAGACTTATTCATAGATATTAGGCTTACTTACTTTAGTGCTCTTGAAACTTTTGTCAAATCTCACTTTACTATTGAAAGTTAAAATGGTCCACTTTGCCACCTTGACCGATGTTTTGCATCTCAATTTACCCCCAACCATCAAGTCAGTCAAAAACTCTGTTAAAAATGTTGATATGGCACAAATGAGACCCATAATTTTGTTGAATTGGATGCCACATAGGTGCCAAGTGTAAAAAATAAAAAGAAATATTTTCTCATAAAAAACTTAACTCAATTATTAATAATAATATTTATAAATAATAAATAAATAAACCCAATCCCCTCCTCCCTACCCTGTTACGCATCTACCCAACTTCTCCCTATCCCCAAAGGTGGCCCCATCATCTTTCCTCCTCCCACTGCAACTAACCATCACCCCAACATCATCCATAAGCACCCAAACCCACCACAAGCCATGCCCCCATCAGCCTTCCTCATTCCTTTGCAACCAACCACCACCCACCATCATCCATATCCACCTAAACCCACCACAAGCCATTCCCACCACAAAAAATAAAAAAACATAAAAATAAAAATAAAAGAACAATGCATATTGTGGTGGGGATGGGTTTTTGGTAGAGCTGGCAAACAGGTCGTTTTTGCGGGTTACGGGTCGTGTTCGTGTCAACCCGTTATCTTAACGGGTTGACACGAACATGACCCGTTAGCTTAACGGGTCAGAAACACTAGACCCAAACACGACCCGCACAAATTCGCGAATAAAACGACACGACCCGTTATGGCTAATGGGTCGTTTTTCACCCGCTTAACCCGTTTCACCCATTTAAAAAATAACAATATTTTTTTAACAAATTATTAAATGAAAACACCTCAAATTAGAGATATAATAAAAATAAAGCTGAAATCCTTTAAATAAGTCTTACACATTACACATTGGCAAACAAAACAACTCTTAGACAATGTGAGTTTCAAATTAATCTCAATTCAAACAAGTTTTAAAAAAATGTTAAGGAGAAAAGGAACAAATTTAGAGCCTCCACCATGAACCTAATCTCAAAACTTGAAGGTCCTCCATGTCCATGATCTCAAAATTGCAACTTTCACCAAATATGCAATCTCACTGTAAGGAAACAAAAAACACAACAACCAAATATGAGAAAAAAATAAAATTATGGAGGGATACAATATGAATAAAATATCAATTATTTATTGTTACCTTTCATCAATCTTCAAGGGAAATACTATTGGAACATTGTCCTGATCTAGTCTCTTCACAAGTAAGATTGAAGATATCTTCAGTAAGACTTTCCACTTCGGCACTTCCTTCATCTATTGCTAAGCATTGAAAAAATAAAAATTACAAAGAATTCACATAATGGAAAAACATAAAAGAAAAAAAAATAGCTACTAGTATTAAGTTATATAAATATTACCTCCATTTCCAAAAACCCAATCTCGAGTGCACAACAAAGCTTGAACAGTTTGAGGTAATAATGAACTACGATATTGATCTAATACTCTTCCGCCAATACTAAAAGCCGATTCCGATGCAACAGTAGAAATGGGAATTGTTAACACATCCCGAGCTAAATGTGAAAGTATTGGATAATGAAAATGCTCGATTTGCCACCAAGAAAGAACATCTATATCTTGCTTTCTATCTAGTCTTTCCTCATCCAAATACTTATGCAATTCATTTTTCTTACATGAACTTGAACCATTTTTGTAACTATTATCAAAATCCTACACCGTACAAAATCAAAACACAATTATTAGTTACATGCAAATATGCAATATGAAACAATACATAAATAAAATAATAAGAAATAATTTCAATTTACCTCAAGAATGGTGTCTCCACCTTCATTGTGACTAGTTGTCTCATTCGTTGGAAAACTTGCATTAAGAAGAGGAGATAAAGTTTCCGTGTACACATGAAAAAGGGAATTCAATGTGTCTGTAACACCCTTGAATTCTCGAGAATCCTTACCATGAAGCTTAGTATAAGCCCACTCTACAAAATGCAACTTATAACGAGGATCCAAGATAATTGCAATTGCAAGAATTAAACTGTACTCTGACCAATACTTCTCAAACTTCATGCTCATATTAGTTCCTATCTTGTTCATGAAAATATCATCATCTTCAATGGCTGCCTTGATTTGGTGTTGGATTATGAAGATCTTAGGGAATAATAAATTTGATGTGGGGTACTTTGTTCTAGAAAATAAGCATGTTACTTCATAAAAATACCCCAAAAACTTGGAAATCTTCTCTACTTTAATCCACTCTTGGGGAGAAGGGCAACTACTAAAATTGGAATCAATCAACCCTAAATTAATAAATGCACGATGATAGAAAAGTGCACTATCAAGCATGGTATAAGTTGAATTCCATCTAGTAGGGACATCTTGTCTCAATCCTCTCTTACTACCCCCAATCCCTACTTGTGCAACACAATCGTAGAATTTTTGTTTCCTTGCCTCGGATCCCTTTATATACTTGACACATTCCCGAATCTTTGTCACTGAAGAATCAATTTCTTTAAGTCCATCTTGGACTATCAAGTTTAAAATGTGGGCACAACAACGCACATGAAAAAACTTACCACCCATCAATAGAAGAGATCTAAAGTTCAATTGATTCGTCAAAATATCAACAAAAGCAGTATTTGCAGAAGCATTATCAAGAGTAATAGAAAACAACTTCTTCTCAATCCCCCACTTAGTTAACAATGTATTGATTTTTTCAGATAATGCAACACCAGAATGTGGAGGAGGCATATGACAAAAGTTGATAATTCTTTTCTGTAATCTCCAATCTTTATCAACAAAGTGGGCAGTAAGAGCAAGATAACCATCAGTATTTAGAGAGGTCCATAAATTTGATGTTAAACAAATTCTTCCCTGAACTGAGCTTAACAAACTCTGAAGTTTTTGTCTTTCACTTTTAAACACCCTCAACACACATGCCTTAACAGTATTTCTACAAGGCAACTTAATATCCGGCGAGACATAAGCAAACAAAGCCCTAACTCCCTCATATTCAACAAAGCTAAAAGGCAAGTTATGTTTTGTGATTGCCTCTATTAACAAGTTACGAAATCTGATATGATCAAATTTAGGGGAACACAATCCAGATGATGACATAAGTAATTGTTTCACATCACCATGTGGTTTCTTAAGGCAATTTTAGCATGATTCAACAAATTTCTAGTCTCACACCTACTATCACACACATAAATTGTCTCACAATTTTTACATTTAGCACGCCTTTTTTTATCTTCTCCAAGAGGCAATAAATCAAATGTTTCCCAAGCAGAAGATCTCAATTTTCTCTTACCAATATTGATGCCTCTAGGCTTTTTGCTTCTAGGGCTTGACTCTTTATCTTCTACATTTGCAGCATTTGTATCCCCACCCATTGAAACATCAGTAGACTCCTCATATGTGAGTCTCATACCTTCGGTACTCTCTGTAATATCCATGAGCTTCAAAAGAAAAAAAAATGGACATAAATTCAATATCAATTACAGTAATATAAAACTCACAGATGGAGTGTTTCAAGAATCAAAATAATAGCCTAGTTTGCAGCTAATCAATCATTATCATACCCATTGAATATCCAAAAAAACAAAAAAGAGAAGATAAAATACTTGTATAGAAAATCCATCATATCCACTAAGATATTTGTTTGTGCCTAATAAATCACGGTCATAAACTGACCGAATGGACTTCCTCTCGGCCCTAGCACCTACTCATGAACTGAAATGGCCACGTTTCGTTAGGCATTTTGCCTTCCTGAAAACAAAAAAAAAGCTGCGAAGGCAGAATCCTCTCGGCCTCTCGACCGCGGTATTATAGGCCGAGGCCGAAGGCTGTAAGAGACACGGCCGAAGATACTGTGGTCAAATCGCCACGTGGCCTCAGGGTCCCACGCCCCATTTAATGAAGTAATGCCTCTGACTATCGCAGCAAACCCACTAGTCGCAAGAAGCATTTAATGCACGAGGGAAGAAGGGAAATGACTGAAGTCAGGATTTGGTAATGGAAATTAGAGTGGTTAGGCGCAAACATTCTCACAAGTATTCTTACAACTTAAGGTCAGATCACCAACCACCAGACCAGGGCATTAAATGCGTTCCCACGGCCAAGGGGGTAGAACCCAAGATCAGGGCGGTAGCCGAGATTTACCGGGATTTATGAGGGTCACACCACCACGCTTCACGATCCCAAATTCCGGTTTGACTACCTACTTGCCCCGATCAGGCTCCACCACGCAGATCTTTTCAGCCTCAATTGTCCCTCCAGGACTCCTTCTATAAATACTAAGCTCAAGACTACATTCAAACGGTTCAAACACCAAACCAAAAGCCTCCCACTGAGCAAATTATATTTTCCTGTAATGCACTTTCAATACCTTTATTTGCTTTCCTAGGAGTAGTGGTAGACTGTAAGGAAAATCCATTCATCAATATATCATACGACCCTTGATTTTCAAGGCGTCGGAGCACCATCTCTGTTATCATCTCATTCACCCTATATATCATACGACCGTCGCTCTCTGAGCAACGCGCCGGAGCACCGCCTAAAACCCGCCACCAACACCACCACTAAACGGCCTTGTAGCTCAAGCTGTGAACCTGACGGCCGAGATCAGTTCCTCTCTCGGCCACAATCGTTTGATTAGGAATCGAACTCAAAACAGGCGCATCACTCAACCATCTTCTACCCAAACCTCATAACCATCTCGACGCACGGTAGACCGTGTTGGCACGCCCGCGCACAACCGCACCGCATCCAAAAGAAGGACGTCACGTGTTAACGCACATCCCCTCGGCCCGGAGCACCAGGCCGTGAGATTTGCACAGCTGACAATATTTTATGATATCTCAATCTTGAGACATAAATTTAAATAATGGCAACATGCTGTCCCCTATAAACACCATTGAATGAGTTTATTATAATACACATATTTGTATAGCAATATTGCCAAGACAAAAGTAGAATAAATTCATTGGTTTTCGAGTTGCAATTGTTAATTAGTTTTTTTAATTAGCAAGTCTTCATCTAAACCAATAAATAAATCAAACAAAGAACATAATGCAACAAGTTGATAAAATAGGCAGAAGCCACTAAACAATTAAGGACTGAATCGGTTCTTTTTTTATTCTATTCCCCAATTTCTATGAAATAAAGGATGCTCATTGAATGAATCAATGAATCTTAACTTGAGCCTACTTTGCTAAGAGAAAGACAGAGAAGGGAAAGACAGATGGCAGAAAGCAATCCTTCCAACTCAATTTGGTATTGATATAATTCATAAATGAAAATTAAAACGCTTAAATACTTGAGATTTTCATACCTTTTCGTTGGAGAAAAGGAAAGGTAGGTAGTTGATGTTGATGGTTTGGTTTGGATGTAGAGAGAAAGTGAGAGTGTTTGTTTTTCTTGAGAGAAAGAGACAGAGAGCGGCGTGAGAAGGGTAACGAAACAGAAGCTTCAATTCAAGCTAGGTTAATTTTATAACGAAAATTACAAAAATGCCCTTGCTCTTAACGGGTTAACGGGTGATTCGCAAATAATACTGACACGACCCGTTAGCTTAACGGGTGAGTAACGGGTCCACCCGTTTTCAACCCGACCCATTAAGCTCGACCCAAATACTGTTATTTTCGTGCGAATTCGTGTTGTGTTAACGGGTCATGTCCAATATTGCCAGGTCTAGTTTTTGGGTTTTAAGGGCAAAATGCTTGGTGATGAAGATGGTGGCTGGCCTTGGTTCAAGGTTTGGATCTGGTATTGTGGATAGGTTGAGTCTGTCACAGAGGAGAGAGAGAGAGAGAGAGAGAGAGGAGAGAGAGAGAGAGAGAGAGAGAGAGAGGAGAGAGAGAGAGAGAGAGAATGGTCAGCGAATCTAAAGTTTCGGGCTTGTTGGATCTGGAGAGAGAGAGAATGGTTGGCTTGGGGGTTGGGGCGTTGGGATGGAGGCCATTCCTATCCCTTCTGCCTTGAAAACCTAGCCTACCTTTTACACCATAATCATCAAAATCACAATCATGAAGGACAATCATGATCTAGGCAATATTTTAAGGCAATTCCCTATTACAAGGATACCGCATTTTATAGATACTAGGCATGAAGGGATGGGGTGGGGGATGAGGGAGGAGATCTATTAGTTCTGATGGTGAAGGGGTGGCAGGGTGTGGAGAAGACTGTGTTGCTGGTTTTTTAATTTCCCGTTAATTTTTTCATTTGTTTTTCCTCTATTAATAATAATTGAATTAAGTTTTTGAAAATAAAATCTTCATTTTATTTTTTTACGCATGGCACCTCCATGGAATCCAATTCAAAAAAATTATGGGTCCTATTCATGCCACGTCAACATTTTTAATAGAGCTTTTGACTGACTTGATGGTGGGGGGCAAATTGAGATGCAAAATATCGGTCAAGGGGGCAAATTGGGCCATTTTAACTTTCAGATGGTAAATAAGATTTGACCAAAGTTTCAAGGGGCACTACAGTACATAAGCCTAGATATTATAAACTAGAAGATGTATATGCTTCTTCATGGGCAGAACACAACCTTATAGTTGGTACCGCCAGGGCATGTAAATAAGCTTGTTTTGTCATCCTGAGGGTAGCTATAAGCATCTGGGTGCCGCATCTTAAAAAACCTAGACAAGTCCGTAGGGCCACAGCTCCCAGAATTGCAGCAATATTGATTAGTCTTGAACACAGTGCAAGGGTTGTTGCAGCCTCCAGGCACTACTACAAAAAACACTTTCCGCGACGAAATAAGTTTGTTGTGCAAAGTACAATTTCGTCACGCAAAACTTGAGCGACGAAAATTTCGTCGCGCATGATCCGTCGCCCAAAACTCGTGAAGAAAGGGTTTGAGCGACGAAAAATATTCTTCATCGCTCAAAGTATCTTTGCGCGACGAACCTTAACGTCCCGCAAATCTACCTTGAGCGACAAAAAATATTGGTTGCGCAAAGTTTTGTACGATGAAACCTTATTGGTCGCGTAAAGTTTTGAGCGACGAAACAATATTGGTCACGCAAAGTTTTGCTCAACGAAAAAATATTGATTGCGCAAAGACTACAAAAAATTAAAAAATTAAAAAAAATCCATCATCCCATTTTTGGTACCCGCCCAAATTTTTAAAGTTTTGCGCGGCAAATAATAACGTAGCGCAAATATTTGCGCGACGAAATATTTTCTGTGTTTTAAATTTTTAATTAAAATAAACTAATTTAATAGTTTGCTCGACGAAATATTTTGTCGCGCAAGGTTTTTGACTTTTTGTTTTATTATTTCTTTAATATTAATTCAATTATATTAATTCATTCAAATTTGAGTGTTTAAATTTAATTTAATTGTATGATTTTTTTAATTACTTTTATTTAAATTGACATATTCAAAATAAAATTACATATGAAAAATAGTGATCAAATTATCCAATAAATAAATAAATATATAATATTCAAAATGTACTCATAAATTAACAACGTACAATAATAAAATCCTAATACAATCCTATTGTGGTGGTAGTGGAGGAGGATATGTTTCGATGGCGTCCTAATCCTCAACTTTAGCCGTCAAAGTCTCGACGATTCCCTACAAAAAAAAAACAAAAAAACAAAAAAAACAAATATGGTTAAATAACAAAAAAGGAAAAAAATGGGCATAATCTCCCTTAAAATTGTTATACCACAAATCCAACCCAAACTCGAATCCTCACCGTATACTCAACCCCAAACCCCACACAAACTCAAAACTAACTCCAAAAACACATATTAATGAAATTTTTTTAAATTTTGAGAAATTATACCTCTTGGCAAGATTGAGAGAGAGTGAGAATGACGAGTGTGTGTGTGAGAGAGAGAGAGAGAGAGAGAGAGAGAGAGAGAGAGAGAGAGAGAGATGAGAGAGTGAGAGATAGTGAAAGAGAGATGAGAGAGTGAGTGAGAGTGAGGGATAGTGAAAAGAGATATGAGAGAGTGAGTGAGAGAGAGAGATAGTGAAGAGAGAGATGAGAGATTAAGTGAGAGGAGTGAGTGTGAGAGAAAGGGTGGGATTTGGGGAGAGGGAAAGAGAGAGGAGAGGTAAGAGTAGAGAAAGACATTGAGAAAATGGTGGAGGAGTTATTTTGGTTTTAAAAACTGTATCACTTTGCGTGACGAAAAATATATATTGGTCAGGCAAAGTTTTGCGCGACGAAAAATATTGGATTATTGGTCGTGCAACGAAAAATATTGGTTGTGCGAAGTCTAAATAAAATAAAATAAAATAAAAATTTCCCGCGTCCCATTTTTGGTATCTGCCCAAATTTTTAAAGTTTTGCGAGACGAAAAATATTCGAATATTGGTCGTGCAAAGCTTTGCTTGATGAAAAAAATTGGTCGTGCATAATCTAAACAAAAAATTTCCCGCGTCCCATTTTTGGTACCCACAAAGTTTTAAATTCAAATAGTCTAAAAATCCCATTTTTGGTACCCGCCCAAATTTTTAGAGTTTTGCGCGACGAACTGTTGTCGCGCAAACTTTTGAGAGACGAAAAATTGGTTTGTAGCGCAATATTATAAAAATAATTGTTATGAATAATAAAAATAAAAAATATTTTATTTTACGATTTAAAATATAAATAAGGTTAAAGCTACTTAATAAATTTAAATATGTATACTATTCAATTTCTTAAGTGTTATACGTACAAATAAATAAATTTAAAGCTACTTAATAAATATATATATACACACACACACACCATTCAACGATCCAACCGTCAAACTTATTTGTATATACTTCAAGATCGTATGCCCCAAAAATCACAAAAAATAAACATTCAGATATCTAGTAACAGGACAAAACTTTTCGATGGTTATAAATGAAAAATCACGATTTAATGGTTATTTTAACTCCGATTTTGATATTTTTTACAGCTATACTCCTTGACCCTATATGAATACAATGACTAAATTTGATCTTCAATTTAAAATATTTACACTAGTAGATACCACAAAATCTTATGTTATATTTAACAAAAGTATAAATAAACTCTTAATTGTTAGTGAATATATTGTTTTGATGGCATACACATTCTACGAAACTAGTTTCAACGATCCAACCGTCAAACTTTTTTTATTATACTTCAAGATCGTACACCCCAAAATCGTAAAAAACAAACATTCAGAGATCTAGTAACGAGACAAAACTTTTCGATGGTTATAAATGAAAAATCACGATTAATGGTTATTTTAACTCCGATTTTGATAAATTTTTACAGGTACACTCCTTGACCCTATATGAATGCAATGACTAAATTTGATCTTCAATTTAAAATATTTACACTAGTGGATACCACAAAATCTTATGTTATATTTAACGAAAGTATAAATAAACTTTTAATTGTTAGTGAATATTGTTGAGGCCCAAAAATCCAAGGGGTTAAGCCCAAATTAATTCCTGGCCCAACGCAGAAAAGAAGATACAAAAGGAGCTTAATAGGAACAAAAGGGGATTTGTGGGACCCGCTAATACATGCTACCAGCCACGCGTCATGCCAAGTAAGCCATACAAAGGGGCCAAATAAAATACACCAACTTTACAAAAATCACACTCACATGCTCATTAGGTGTTACTTGACCCGGAATAATAAAACTCAAGCGCAAGCATAGGCATCATGCGAAAAGAGCCATTATTCTAGCACCAAGCTATGACACAAGTGGACCCAAGCCACAAAAATTAAACCGGGGCTTACTGAGAAGGTTGTGGCATGGAGGGGAACATGCAATCACAAGGCCCATTGAGAGTTCGAGGAACGCACATTTTAAGCCACTTGGGGGCGTTAAAACTCAAGCCCGTTCTTAGAACCCAAACACATGGGTTAGCATGAGAGAGAAGAGAAAATGGTCCAAAGCCTTAGGAAATCATCTAGTAGCCCAGCCCATATCAATAGAATGCCTAAAAAACTAAGTCACTTCCAGCAGCTTGACGAAAAGCCCATTAGATGCTGGAGATAACACGCTGATAACCCGACACTATAAACACAAGCCCAGGCCAAAGCCTTCTAAAAAAGCTGGCGTCGTGCTCCATCCCTGTTAGGACTCCAAACAAGTCAGACAAAGAGCCATGACAAGAACCAGCGGAGATTCATGGGTGAAGGACAAATACCCATTGGACAAAAGGCTCTACCCGTCCCCTTTTCCCATTACGAGCTTTGTTCCGAAAACCAAAGAGCGAAAGCAGGTGGCGCCTCACCCTCATGGGGAGGTCCAGCTGCGTCAAACCATTGGAACCACAAAGGGTCCCTTACCCATGCATCTCGAATGAAAGAATTTCACCCAAAAGGTAAGTGGAAGGAAGCAACAAGAAAGGGAGGGAAAGGATTAGACGAAATTAGGGTTCTTCATGCCTTTAAAAAGGGGCTTTTGCTACCTAGAAAACCAAACCCATTCAGAGGCCTGACCAAGCTTTGTCAAAGCATCTGAGAATTCACTCAAAACACCCAATCTCCTCTTTCGTTCGTTTTCTTCTCCCTCTTAGGATAGGAATCGTTCTAACCTTTCTCTGTTCACTTCAGGCTCTTGTTCTCTATAAGAAATTCATGTCTCTCTCTCTCAAATTGCTAAACTTGTGAAAGCTTAGCTCCCATGCCACAGGCTCCTCAGGCTAAGCCGTTAATCGATTAATCATGCTTATTGGTGTTAGTGAGATGAACCTAAGAGTGTTTTTTCTAAAGTCTCATCAGATTTTATAAAAACCCTTTTGGGAGCTTGGTTTCGAACTCAGGCTTTTTGGGGAATTTTTGTTCGTTGTCTTCTTACGGCAGCCCAAGCCCATTCGTCAGGCTGCTGGAACAAAAAGACCCCTACAAATATATTGTTTTGATGGCATATGCATTCTACGAAACTAGTTTCCACGATCCAACCGTCAAACTTGTTTGTTTATACTTCGAGATCATATACGCCAAAAATTAGAAAAAATAAACATTCAGAGATCAAGTAATGGGAAAAAAAACTTTTCGACAATTATAAATGAAAAATCACGATTTAACGGCTATTTTAACTCCGATTTTGATGATTTTTTTACAGTACACTCCTTGACCCCTATATGAATACAATGACAGAATTTGATCTTAAATTTAAAATATTTACACTAGTGGATACCACAAAATCTTATGTTATATTTAACGAAAGAATAAATAAACTCTTAAGTGTTAGTGAATATATTGTTTTGATGCATACGCATTCAACGAAACTAGTTTCAACGATCCAACTGTCAAACTTGTTTGTTTATACTTTGAGATCATATACGCCAAAAATCGGAAAAAATAAACATTCAGAGATCAAGTAATGGGACAAAACTTTTGACGGTTATAAATGAAAAATCACGATTTAACGGTTATTTTAACTCCAATTTTGATGATTTTTTACAGCTACACTCCTTGACCCTATATGAATATAATGAACTAATTCGATTATCAATTTAAAATATATATTTTCTAACAAAAACCCAATCCGAACTACAATAATATATTTTTCTAATAAAAATCCGATCCGAACAAAAATAATAAATTTAAAGCTACTTAATAAATATATAACATTTAATTTCTTAAGTGTTATGCATACAAAATAAAAAACAAAAATAAATGGGTTTAGGCGATGAAATGTTTGGATTATGTTATGCAAAGATTTTAAAAAAATAATTTTATTATTATTTATTTTTGTAAGACTTTGTGCGACGAAACACACTTAGCGCTAAAGACTTGTGCAACGAAGTTTATTGTTTCGTTGCGCAAGTCACTTTGAGCGATGATTACTGTCGTCCTGCAAAAGTTTGGTTTGCTCAAAGTCACTTTGCGCGACGAATTGTTTTTCGTCACGAAAAGTTCGGTCGCGCAAGACTTTGAGCGACGAAATATTGTCGTCGCACAAAGTGACTTTGCGCGACGAATTATTTTTGGTCGAGCAAATTTTGGTCGCACAAGACTTTGAGCGACGAAGTTTTTAGTTTCATCGCCAAAGTAACATTTAGCGACGAATAGTTTTCATCGCGCAAAACTTGGTCGCGCAACAGTGTTTTTTTTACTAGTGTGTGGAGCCCTCAGTTGGCCAGGACACTGCCCATTAATAATCAACCATACATTTCATATCCCTAGTGCACCCATTAGACATGGAACCAAATTCCATGGGAACATTAAAGCATCAACAAGGGAAATGTCAATGAAATCCAAGTTGTTAAATTGGTTAAGGCTATTCAGAGGGTGTTTGGGGTTGGACAAAGGCTTGGCATTGGGGACACCCCCACAATCACCTGTTTGGAATCTCCCCCGTCCAGCTCCATCAAAGCTGCATCCTCAGTCAGGGCCCAAATGCGAGCCCCTTTGGCTCGCCAGCCATGGCTAGGCACCAACTTTCGCCTCTATTAAGTTTGTGTCCGCGCCTGGCATGGCGGTGCCCAGGGTAAAGGGGCATTGTTTTTGGATATCGAATGAGCTGCAATTGTTGATGCAAAGAAGAACGCCGATTTTTTTGGCATCAACAATGCAAGCTAATTTCGATATCAAAAACAAACTGCCCCTTTACCGTATGGGCACGCCATGCCAGCAGTCGTATTCTCTGACCTCAACAAGATCGCGCCTTGCGCGGTACCCAACTTAATTAGAGAGGTGCGTGATTAGGATTTGTAGGTTCCGATGCGAAACGTTGGGGGGCTGAAGTGTCGGAGCCAAAGGGCTCGCATTTGGGCCCTGACTGGATTTTGGCCAGCGGACGTGGGAGATTCCCACCAAAACAGGTGTGATAGGTCGAGAATTAGTGGGCCGGGTGTCCTCCATGCCAAGCCTTTGTGGGCCCACCCACAAAACACCCTAGCGCATAGGCCCTTACCAATTTAACAACGGATTTCATTGACATTTCCTGTTTGATGGCTTTAATGTGCCATGGAATTGGTTCCATGTCTAATGGGATGCAACTGGGATATGAGTGTATTGGTTGATACCCTTAATGGGCAGCCATGTGTCTCGGGGCCTGGGCACAACTGAGGGCGCAACACTACTAGTAAAAAAAAACAAAAAAAAAACAAAAAAAAAAAAACGTGCACACAACAGGCGACCAGAGGGTGCTCCTGCCGTATGAACAAAAATTGGAAACGAAAAACTACATTCTGCTCGATTAAATAGTACATTTGGCGAATGACAACTAAAAAACGCTCATTCAGATCCGACTCAGAGAAGGTCTTGTAGGCGACCCATTCGGTACGCGCAAAAGTGTGCACTGTTCCCTTGGTTATATAATAGTGCGCATATCAAGTCATCAAAGTACTAAACGAAATAATTTCTTTTCGCCTAAGTCTTAGCGCGACCGAACCTTCTTTTCGTGAATGAAAAAATTAGGAAGTAAAATAAAAAAAAAACAGATCGTAAGCAGATATCGCAAAAAGAAAAGAGCGAAAGTTAGCGGGAAAGTGGGACTTGATTGAGCAACCAAAAAATATATTGCAGGACGACAGCAAAGGGAGAGACGAAGCATCGCTTTTTTTTTTCAAAGTTTTTGGAAGCCGACAGACTTTGGAGCAAGCGAAAACAAATTAACATCGTCCTTGCCACAAGTCTTTGGAGCAAAAGAACGACTGCCACGTAGAGGGGAAGTAAAGGATGGTTGTGTTGGTTGGTTTTCGCGCACCAAAGTCGTTACCAAAAAACAAAAAAAAAAAAAAAACAAAAACAACAAAACATACAAATAATAAAGAAAAAATAAATAAAAATATTTTTTGTAAAATCTTTGATAAAATAATCCACAACATCATGCTAAACCCATTTATTTTGGTTTTTAGTTTGTATGCATAAAACACTAAGAAAAGTAAAAGGTTATATAGATTTATTAAGTAGCCGTGAACTTTATATTTTGTGCGGAAGGAATTTTTATTAGAAAAAAATATATTATGGGTAGTTCATGGTTGGGTTTTGTGTAGAACATTATTATTTTAAATTGATAACGGAATTCATTGAGCATTATTTCATATAGGGTACCCCCCAGGAGTGTTGTAGGGCGTTAGCTGTAAACATCATAAAAATTGGAGTTAAAATAACGTACAATCGTGATTTTGGCATTTATAACCGTCAAAAATTTGTGCCCATTAACTTGATACTCTGCGAATGTGAGTGTCTTTTACGAATTGTGGAAAACGATATTTGATCTCAATAGTTCTGAAAACAACAACCAAGTTTTGAACAGGAGATGGAATCGTGATCTATGGGTAGGGTGGTGTTGAAAATAGATATAGGAGTTGAAAGAAATTGGTATGCGTATCCAGCAAAAACAAAACACATATCACTAACACTCTTAAGAGTTGATTTATTCTTTCGTTAAATAATGTTTTAAATAGAACATAAGATTAGTGGGTAAGCATAGTGTAAATATGGTAAATTTAAAGATCAAAATTATGTCATAATAGGGGGTATGATCAATAGTAAGGAGTCAAGGGAAGGGAAAGTGATGCACGGTAAAAAACAATCCATCAAAACAGGAGTTAAAAAAATAGACCGTAGTTAAATCGGAATGGGTGTTTCATTATAATTGTCGAAGGAAAGAAAAGTTTTTATTTCCCATTACTATGATCTATGGCAATTGTTATTTTTTCTAATTTTTGACGTATATTGATCTCGAGTAAGTAGAAACAAACAATAGTTTGACGGTTGGATCAGTGGAGGGAAAACGAGCATTCGTAGTAAGATGCCAGTATGCCATCCAAAACAATATATGTTAGGGTTTTTGTTTGCAGCAGAAGACGAATGGGCGTTTTGGGCGCCGCGTAAGAAGACAACGAAACAAAAAAAATTCCCCAAAACGCTCCTGAGTTCGAAACAACGTCCCAAAAGGGTTTTTATAAAATTGATGAGACTTAGAAAAAAACACCCCTTAGGGTCTCTCACTGCACCCCCAAACAAATAAGCCGATTTAATCGATATATACAGGCTAGACTGAGGGCTGGGCAGGGACTACGCTTTACAAGTTAGCAATTTGAGAGAGAGAGACTGAATTCTTAGATGCCAAGAACAAGAGCCTGAAGTGAAACAGAGAAAGGTCTTTAGAACGATTCCCTATCCAAGAAGAGGGAGAAGGGAAAACGACACTTACGAAAGAGGAGATTGGGGTTTTTTTTGAGGTGAATTAGAGGCTTGGCAACGCTTGGTCAGGGCCTCTGAGGTTGGTTTTCTAGTAGCAAAGCCCTTTTTAACGCAGAAAGAAGAAACCCCAAAAAAAAAAAAAAAAAAAAAAAAAAAAAAAAAAAAAAAAAAAAAAAAAAAAAAAAAAAAAAAAAAAAAAAAAAAAAAAAAAAAAAAAAAAAAAAAAAAAAAAAAAAAAAAAAAAAAAAAAAAAAAAAAAAAAAAAAAAAAAAAAAAAAAAAAAAAAAAAAAAAAAAAAAAAAAAAAAAAAAAAAAAAAAAAAAAAAAAAAAAAAAAAAAAAAAAAAAAAAAAAAAAAAAAAAAAAAAAAAAAAAAAAAAAAAAAAAAAAAAAAAAAAAAAAAAAAAAAAAAAAAAAAAAAAAAAAAAAAAAAAAAAAAAAAAAAAAAAAAAAAAAAAAAAAAAAAAAAAAAAAAAAAAAAAAAAAAAAAAAAAAAAAAAAAAAAAAAAAAAAAATTTCCCATGAGGAGGGAAAACAAAACCCAAGTTAAGAGGAGGGATTCACTTTCCCCCCTACTTTCCCATGTGCCAGGAAACCATTTCTCATGCCTAGACTTACCAAACATGGGAAAACAATTACATTCCCCATTCCCAAGCCTCCTTTCCCATGAACCAAACGGGGCCTAGGTGTACTCTCATCACCCCTCCCAAAAGTTGACACATGTCCATGGGTTTAACTATAGTTAATTCTTTATTTTTTATTTATTTGATGACATTATTATGAGAGAGAAACAATACTTCAATAAGATTTTTCCTAATTTACCCTTATTCTAACCTAACAAACTTTCCACTTTTCTAAATTAATTAACAACCCAAATAAATAATTGGCAGTTGGCTTTATGTCCCGTGCTTTAATATGAATCTCAATTCACTGGCTTCAATACTTTGAAGAACATGCCCAAATACTTTGAATTTCAATTGGCTTTAGTTAACTCCTTTTATCCACGCCCAATAGTTACACTGCTCTTTAATTGCAGGCTTCCTCCATTTGTTCAAGTGAAAAATATGTAATATCTATGCTGCTTTTTTTTTCTTTCTTTTTTAGTACTCTATATTGCTTGATTATTTTTTATACTTTGGTGATTGCTCTGCATTATTTAGTTTTTGAGTATCAAACCAAATTCGAATTTAACAATTCATGTCCTTTTTTAAAAATCTGAATAAACTTCCATAAAAACAAAAAAACAACAAGTAATATTGGCTGTTAAGTTTTTTTTTTTTTTTTTTTTTTTTTTTTTTTTTTTTGGTTATTGATTGGATTGCCAATAGTTTCATGGAAGTGGAAGACTAATATTGGCTGTGAAGATTAAGTTCATCTAAAAGAAAATGTTCGTCTAAAAAAAAAGAGCAGCATAGATATTACCTATCTTTCACTTGCACAAATGGAGGAAGCCTGCAATTGAAGAGCAGTGTAACTTTTGGGCGTGGATAAAAGGAGTTAACTAAAGCCAATTGAGATTCAAAGTATATGGGCATGTTCTTCAAAGTATTGAAGCCTGTGAATTGAAATTCATATTAAAGCACGGGACATAAAGCCAATTGCCAATTATTTATTTGGGTAGTTGTTAATTAATTTAGAAAAGTGGAAAGTTTGCTAGGTTAGAATAAAGATAAATCAGGAAAAATCTTATTAAAGCATTGTTTCTCTCTCATAATAATGTCATCAAATAAATAAATAAAAACAAAGAATTAACTATAGTTAAACCCATGGACATGTGTCAACTTTTGGGAGAAGCGGTGAGGATACACCTAGAGTTAAAGTGGTGAGCAAAAATGCACCCTTTCCTTTGGTTGCCATTCCCTCTAACATATCGCCCCTAAAATTGCAAACAAAAAAAAAAAAATCTGTAAATTACATATCCAATAATGTACCTATAAAAAATATAAATATAAATATAAATATTTATTTAAATAAAATATTGGTATATCATTTGTGATTTTTTAAAAGCTGGGTTATCCTTGCTTTGAAAAAACAGCGATCATTGACCGCAATTTTTTTTTAAAAAACTGATTCTTAATGTTTACCAAACACCATATAGTTTGGAAATTTTTTATTAAAGCAGCTTTTAAAAGCTGGGTTATCCATACAGGGATATCACTGGTTAGTTTTTTAAAAACTATTTGAATAACTGACCAGTGATAACCCAGCTTTTAAAAGCTACTTTAAAAAAAAATTAGCTTTTCAGTAATCAGTTGAATTCGATTTTCTTTTATGTTTTTGTTTTTTATCTTTTTTTTAGTGTAGCAGTCAACATCTATCCATTGGGTCGAGACTGGTAATGAAACCCATATGATTGTCTAAAAGGAAAAATGAGGGGTAAAAAAGAAGATGAACTTTTACTATAAAGGAAATAAAAACTAGATTCACAAACGAATGCATGTGGAGAGGGACCAAGAATATTGCATTATTAACTAGACGTCACGCGTGGTATGCTTTGCGTGTGGGAAAAAAGTTGCTTTTATAAAATATGAAAAATAGAATTGTTGCAATGCATGTTTTGAGCATATAAAATGATAAGATTGCACAGAATAAAGCACAAATTGAATGTCAGAGTTGGATCCGAGGAATATATATATATATATGGTTGATGGACCAAAAGGATATGGTAGAAATGATTGCTTCTCGAGAAAGCTACAAGAAGGAATTAAACTAGAAAAGATAGAGATCGATTTGAACCCCAGACCAACCCCCAAATGTTGTGAAGATTTTATCCATGCATCCCATTTGTTTGAATGGAATAATAGTGAAAGAATGGAGTGGTAGATCATTAATAATTCCATTTGTCTAAGAGTCTTGCATGAAGAGGTGGAGAGTAGATATGAGCCGAGGATGACTTGCCAGAATTTCAAGGCTTGTGTCCTTTTTCTGAGAGGTTGTCTTCGATTCTCGTTTGCTCTCTTTTATCTGATGCGAGATTTTGAAAGACCATGCAACGGCTGATGATGAATTCAACACAAGCTTTGATGAGATTGAAAAAGATAAAAGAAAAAGGTACCTCAAGAACTGAATTATTTTCTGACAGCATATATTGATTAACAGTTTTTTATACGCATTTTAGTGTGTTGCATATGTATAATTCAAAAAATATATAATGTTTCAATCACGCAATTAAATCTGTAAATTTGAAGACAGGAGATGTGAAAATCAAAATTTTGTCGTGGCCACAATTTATTAAGGATTCATATTAGTACACATCTTACAAACGCCACACAACTTAACTTGGAGAAACAACGTGATTCAAGGGCAGAACACAACCTTGTAATTAGTCCCACCAGGACAAGTAAAAGTGCTAGTTGGATCATCTTTAGGGTAACTATAAGCATCCCTACACCGATCCTTAAAAAACTTGGATAAATTTCTTGGCCCACATCTCCCAGAATTGCAACAATACTTGTCAGTTTTGTACACAGTGCAAGGGTTGTGGCAGCCACCTGGAGCCTTCAACTCATTAGGGCACTGCGTTTTGATATCTTGAGCACATTTGATCCCCCTGGTGCACCCATTAGACGTGGGACTAAATTCCATTGGAACATTGAACCCATCTACAAGTGAAATGTCGAAAAAGTCCTTGTTGCCAAATTGGTTTAGAGCATACTCGGCTAGGGTGTTTTGGGGGTGAACCATAGACTTGGCATTGGAGGAGTCCTCCGCAGTTGCCGGTTTGGCACCGGCCACGACCTGAGTTGTTGAAGGCACAATTGGTTCGGGCCCAAATTCGAGCCATTTAGTTCCAGGCTTCACATTTAGCGTCCATGTTTGGCCGTGGTTGAGCTGTGTGCCACTGCCGGGCACAGCTGCTGCCCAGACGGTGTAGGGGCAGTTGTTTCGGATGTTGAAACTGGCTGCATGGGACAAGATGGAGTAGAGAGGGATGAGGAGGAAGAAAGTGATGGGTAAGTAGCGTTTGATGAAAAGACTCATTTTGGTGATTGGGTTATGTAGTGTTTGAGCTTGTGTAGGGTTTTATATAAAGAGGGTTTGCCGTTTTGGGTTGGGGTGGTTTCTCGTGGAGGTGTGATTACGTGGTTGACATTGGTACAAAATATTAAAGAGATGATGTTCATATAAGCACAAACATTTACACGTTTATAAGATTAGTTTGGCTTGACATGATCGATGAAGTCACGTCCTCGATGATCACAACAAACAAAGCCACCTGAATTTGGCAACAAAATCATCCTTCACGTTATGTTTCAGGCCTTATGTTATCATTATTAGGCTTCTCACGGAAAACATGTGATGACACTAAGAAATAATACTTTGTTGCAGAATTCAGTATAAAAAAATTTCTACAATGTGCTTTCGAATTTGACAAATGGCATGCAATTATATTTTTCTTTTCGAACAATAGAGTTTGAACTTACTCCTATCGTCATGCTATCTATCTCATGTCAATTGAATTAAGACTCGTGAGCGAACCATTTATAATAGTACTTGGATGAGTACATTAATATTATTGATATTGTGTTACACAATGCATGTACACTGTACATGCTGTGACAAAGCCCTCAAGCTTTTAATTATTGCATCACAAACATACAATTGATATTATCAGCTAGCTATTGCCAGCAGATTTATGTCTACTATAGCAGAGCGAAGTGAACACCTACTTCATGGGCAGAACACAACCCTATAGTTAGTCCCAGTAGGGCATGTAAATGTGCTGGTTTGGTCATCCTTGGGGTAACTATAAGCATCCGGGCACCGATCCTTGAAAAACCTAGAGAAGTCTGTAGGGCTACAGCTCCCAGAATTGCAGCAATATTGATCAGTTTTAAACACAGTGCAAGGGTTGTTGCAGCCTCCTTGAGCCTTCAATTCGTTAGGACACTGCCCATTAATATCAGCCGTGCATTGTATCCCCTTAGTGCATCCATTGTCCGTGGGACTAAAGTCCATTGGGACATTGAACCCATCAACCAGAGAAATATCAAAAAAATCTAGGTTGTTAAATTGGTTAAGTGCATATTCTGCTAGGGTGTTTGGGGGTTGGCCATAGCCTTGGCATTGGAGGACACCTCCACAATCACCTGTTTGGCAGCTGCCACGTCCAGCTCCATCGAAGCTGCATCCCGTTCGTGCCCAAATGCGGGCCCCAGTAGTGCCGGAGCTCACATCTAAAGGCCAAGATTCGCCACTGTTAAGCTGCCTTCCACCGCCTGGTGAGGCTGCTGCCCAGACTGTGAAGGCACATTTGTTTTGGATATCGAAACGCGCTGCATTGGTTGAAGTTGGAAAACAAAGGGTGATGCATATGATGGAAAAAACTGAGAAGTTTTTGAGTAGGCTCATTTTGGGGCTTATAATTAAGCAGTGACAATATTGCGCAATTGGTTTTTGCTTTGTGGCTGTGTTTTGAATTATGAGGGAGTTCTCAAGTAATTCTTATATATAGAGGAATATGCAGGCAAAGAAGAAGACTTTGCATTCACACGTTGAAATTGGAGGACAGTTTCTTATTTTCCATTCTTTCCAGAAGAACAAGACTCTTTCGCCAAAACCGAAATCGTGGAAGATAAGTACTTTGAGGTTGATGACTCACAAATTGTGATCATGATTCCATTATTATTTTACAAATTAAATCAGTGAGACACCAATTAATTATCTTTTAAGCAGGCGCCGGTTGCTTCTTAAAGCTTCCTAAACTCCCTTGTTTTTAAATTAAGCAGCCCCTTTTTACCAAATAATTGGGTTGTTAAATATTTCTAAATATTTTTTTTTTTTTTTTTGTTTTAGCAACTCGATCAGCTGATGGCACTCATATAATAAATCCCTAAATTACATAGTTATTAGGGGGTTTTTTTTTCTATCTAATTTCCAAACAGGTTAATTGTTGTGTAAATATGTCGTTTTGATTCATAGGTTAACAAGATAATGCACAGTCTTCACCCAGATTTATATTGAACTTTGAGAAACGCCGGTCCAGTTAAATTTAGCAGCAGGCTGGCACAATATATGGGTCAACCCTATAAATTGTTGTGATATATTATATATCATGGGTCGATATCGATGGTCAGTCCATGCTGAAAAAAAAGTCCTCCCCTATATTCGCAAGGAGACATGATATTTTGGCATATTCTTCCACCCTCAATTCATGCAATATTTCTACCCTCTATTTGTCGTTGGTCGTTTTTTCTCGGTTTCACCTTTAACTGAAGGGATTTGAGGCCAACATTGTCACTTCATTGTTGGAAAATTAGGGTTTAAATGCTATATTCATAGAAAATAAAGATTCTACGTTTACACAAATAAATATAAAATTTACTGCATCAAAAAACACAAATAATAAGATATAAAGTGAAAGTTAGGATTAGGAAAACCATAATAGGGTCGAACTTCTATTGATGGATGTGTGCTCACAAACAGTGAGGCACACACCCGCATCAAGGGTTCAAAGTCACCCTTGTAAATGTGAATGATTCTTTTGTTTTTTGTTTTTTTTTTCAAAAATGTGAATGATTCATGAAAGCGAAAAATAGACTAACAAGACAATGGGAGTGAAGAAAATTGAGTGGCTCTACAAAGTATTCAACAAAAAGGAGGGATTTGTACGTAATTATTTAGGATAAACCCTTTTATTATACCCTGAATTTAGACCCAATTTACATTTGAGTACCTCAATTTCAAAAATGGTTCCCGTGGTACTTTAACTTTAGTTTCGTTAGGACAAATGGTCCTGCTGTCAATTTTATTAAATTTTCAGTTAAATGCAGGGGTAAAATGGTATTTTTGTATCAAAATTGATTAAAATATGAATAAAAAATTAAAATTAAACTCTCTCTCTCTCCCCCTCTATCCCATTTTCTACTCCCCCAAACTTGATTTTTTTTTTGTTGGTTTTTATTTGATTTGATTTTATTGTTATTTTAAAGATATGATTTTTTATTCATTTTTTCGGTTCTAATACAAAAATACCATTTTCCCCCTGCATTTAATGAAAAAAGTTAACAAAATTGAAGGCAGGATCATTTGTCCAAACGCAACTAAAGTTAAAGGAACAAGAGAACCATTTTGGAAATTGAGGTACTCAAATGCAAATGAGGTCAAAATTCAAGGACTAATAAAATGATTACAATGGATTACTTAAAGCGATGGTATATTACAATGGATTATCCTGGAAAGCAGTGGCGGAGCCAATGCCATTAACGGACCAGTGTGGTCCAGGCCCCACTCCATTTTTTCCAATTTTATATATATACTATACATAATATATGATATTGTAACATATTAGATTAGTTTTAGGATATTTATTTTAAAATAAACAATATATTAAGCCATGGTGATATTCAGCCATGGTGTATGGGGGTTGATCAGAATCTTGGCATATTTGAGGTGACCTCCACAATCACCTGTTAGGCATTTGCCGCGTCCAGCTTCGCCCCAAATTTGGGCAGGGAAAGTACCCCTGTTCACGTCGGAGGACCAAGTTTGGCCTGGAAGAAGCTTCTTCCCACCGCCAGGTATGGAGGCTGCCCACACGGTGAAGTGGCATTTTTGGACTTCGAAACGTGTTGCATGAATGGTTGCAAAGTAGAGGGTGATGATGATCAATATCAGGGCATGTTTACGTATCAGTAATGGAGAAACTAAGGAATCAAAGAATTTAAGAATCGGAGAACTACTGAATCGGTATGGGAAGAATCATTCCCATTAAGCTGTTTACTAAACATATGGAATTAGCAATGGAATGGGATTGATTCCCATTGTTATTGTTTACTAATTTGCATGAATCAGAATCCAATTTAATTTTAGAATTATGGTAAAGTGATAAGGGTATTTTTGGAAGTTATTAAGAGAAAACAGGAATGAGAATCGTATCGACTACTCCCCCCTAGTTGATTTGATTTCTAGTTTTGAGAGAATGTGATTACGGATTTTGAGGTGGGACCCACTTATTTTTTCATTCCTGATTGCAAGTAAACGCAGGAGAAGTCAGGAATGGAAATCATTCCATTTCCTTCCATACCCATTACTGATACGTAAACATGCCCTCAATGGGATGGAGAAAATGGATGAGAGGTATTTTCTGATCAGTAGCAGGCTCATTTGGAATTGAATTGTAAGGATGCTATAATGAGGTTAATTGTATAGATCAAAGAACTGTATCACTGAATAAAATGGGCATCCCTTTCTTAGGTCATTTCTTTGTTTCCTAGTCTATGTGCACTGCACATGGAAATGAAAGGGAAAATTCTTCTTTACTTTTCGTTTTTCCACAAAGAAGAAGACTTCGTTTCACTCATTGAAATTGGAAGACAGTTTCGTATTTTCCATTCTTTCCAGAAGACCAAGACTTTTTCGCCAAAACCGAAATCGTAGAAGGTAATTACTTTGAGGTTGATGACTAACTAGGTAATGTCTCATAAATTGTGCCGGTTGCTTCTTAAAGCTTCCTTAACTCCCTCATTTTTAAATTAAGCAGCCTCTTTTTACCAAATACTTGGGTTGCTAAATATTTCTAATATTTTTGTTTTTTTTTTTTTTTTTTTTTTTTGTAACTGGATCAACTGTAATCAATCCTTAAATTAATCAAATCTAAAGAAAAGGGGATTCAAACTTGGGTGCAAGTAGAGTCTCGGTCAATTTGGCCTATATTATTATTACAATAGATAATCATGGCAAGACTTTGCTGCCCAAACAGTGGAAGGTCAATTGCTTCGTCTTAGTGATTATTCCATACCAATATATAAAAGGGATATTTCCTTCCGTTGCACATGATTTAAAAAAAAAGGTCCTCCCTATATTCGCAAGGAGACAAGATATTTTGGCATATTTTTCCACACTCAATTACATCCAATATTTCTACCCTCTATTTGTGCTGGGTCGATTTTTCCCAAGGGATTTGAGGCCAACATTGTCACTTCATTGTTGGAAAAAATAAGGTTTAAATATTATATTCATAGAAAATCAATACATTTACAAAAATAAATATCAAATTTATTGCATAAAAAACACAAATAAAGTGAAAGTTAGGATTAGGAAAACCATAATAAGGTCGAACATTTATGGATGGATGTGTGCTTCATAGACATTAAGTCTCAGGCCTTTGAAATCTCAGGACCAGCTATGTTCCTCATTAATTCAATAAATTATGGGCAAAAGACAACTCTATAGTTAGTCCCACCTGGGCATGAAAAGAAGGCGGTTTCGTCATCGTGAGGGTAAGAATAAGCATCAGGGCACCGAGCCTTAAAAAACCTGGAGTAGCTGGTAGGGCCGCTACATCTACCAAAATCATAAGCATTGTTGAAGATGTTTACACCATAATCAACCGAGCATATCCAGTCTCAAAACAACTAGCACCAAGGCAGACACGCCTTCTCTCATGCCGAAGGAAGACACTCTTCCGAGGTGCCAAGCACCTGCCGAAACTCCCGACTGCCAAAGCTCACAAACTGCTAAACCTAATTCTCATGACACGTGTCACCACCGCGGCGACTTGCACAAAGTCCCACATCGGAAATCTACACCAACCTCCCACTTTCACTTCCCTATAAAAAGAGAACAGTACCCCAGTAAGAGGGGTAACTACTTTTCTGCCTTTTACTATTACTCTGCAAAAGTTACCCTTCTTAGCTGACTTAAGCATCGGAGAGCCTTCGGCTGGCACCACACCGGTGCCCGGAGCTTGACGACTGCTTCCCTTATTTTTGTCTTCTGCAGGCTAGCCTTTATTGAAGGCCCAGACCCTTTCCCTGCTGAAGGCAAATCCCTTTTTCTCTATGTTGACCCTCTCCGAAAAAGAGCATCAACAGTTTGGCGCCGTTTGTGGGAAGCGATACTTGAATCCCATTTTTCTCTACCAGCCCAGCTGGCTCCTTCTCCTATCCGGCCCCGTCGCCTCTTCTTCACTCCACATTCAGCTATGCCTACTGAGGATAGCCAGGGGACTCAGCACCATATCCCCCATGGGGGTACCTCCCAGAGGAGACCTTCAGCAGATGCCAATCTCCAGGCAGAACTGGAGAGCCTCCGCGCCAGTGTCACCAGGATGTCTGAGAAATATGACCATCTTCATGCTAAGAACGTCGAGCTCGAGCATGACTTCCGCACACTGAAGCGTAACTGGGAGATGAATCAGACCCAAGGCTCCCAACACAGCCAAACCAGCCGGAGCACTCCCACCACAATGTCCCAACCCAGCCTAGGCCCAGCAAGGGTAAAGGCCCCCTCTATCCGGAAACGACCAAGTCGCGGCTTCTCCGCATCTCCCCGCCAAGGAACCGGCCCCATGAACCAACAAAGGTCTACATGGATTGCAGGGACCGTATCCTGGACCGTCAAACGGAACCCCCTCTTATCTCTGTTAATCTCCAAGACCCAAAGATGAAACACATGGGCCCCCCGCCAAGGCCTACCCAACTACCCCTTGGAGAAGGTATAGGGGACTCGGAGAATTGGGGGCAGGATTACTTAGAAGACTACGAGTCTTATCACACCGAGGCATCCGAAGAATTCTACCCAGCCCATGGCCACCCACACACCAGACCCCCAGCACCCTGAGACTCTCCCTCATACCGACCCGGCAATGAGGCTTCTCTTCGAGAAAGTCCGGCGCCTGGAGAGCGAACAACAGCGCAACCATCAACCCCTCTGGGCAAAGCCACGACCTGGGCCCTTTACCGAACGCATCCTTAATTACCACCAGGAGAAGGACATCTAGCCACTCCGCATCGCCTTCTACACTGGCACGGAGGATCCTCTCACTCACATACATTCTTTCCAGTCTGCCCTGGGGTGCAAGGGTCTCACAAACGAAGGCATGTGCCTTCTCTTCCCTTCCACTCTCAGTGGCGCGGCCCTGAACTGGTTTTACAGGCTGAACCCCCGCACCATCAACACATTTGACAGTCTGAAACAGGCCTTCCTGGACCATTTCATGATCCAGACCGATCGCCTCTACTCCGCGGACGACCTATACATGCTTAGACAGGGTGAGGACAAGCCCCTTCGGGAGTACGCAGCCAGGTTCAGCCACGAATACTCCCGCTGCCCAGATACTGATGATCGTGCCGCCTTCGGTGCTTTCAAGAGTGGCCTCCGAGAGTCTAACTTCCGGTACCTGGTCCACAGCAACCCTTGGAACACATATGCCGAGCTGATGAAGCAGGCAGCAGTTCATGCCAAGGCTGAGTACTTCAACTCCAAGCGCAGCCCAGCCATTCCCGGCGCATAATCCTTTTGCTGATCCTCCACCTGCTTCAGTACCCATCCCATCTCCACCCTCAACATTTTGCCCCTACACCAAGCACCCCAAAAGGAAGGATAGCTACCAGCATACCTTCAGCAATAACAAGTGGGGCAGACATGGGAACCACCACCAGTCTAGTCGAAGCAACCCCCCCAGGACAAATGACCGGGCCCCACTCTCATTCTCACCCAAACCCAGGTTCGAGGTCTTCACCACCCTCAACACTACCTATGAGAATGTCCTAGTGCACGAGGCACCTATCATACCTCAGCCTCCACCCCGGAAAACCAGGCAGCAAGCCTATGCCTAACACATGAGTCTTCTGTCGCTTTCATCAGTTCGGTGGCCATGATACCGAATCTTGTGTTGCCTTGCGCAACATCATTGAGGGACTTATTCGCGAGGGGAAGCTGGATAAATACGTGCACAACCTCCCACCTCACCCTCACCAACGGCAGATCAACATGATCTCAACCATCAGTGGTGGCCCAACCATGGCTGGAACCTCCAACAACTCCATCAAACATTATGTCCGCTCCACCTATGCGCACCAGGTCTTCAGCACTGAGCAGGGACGCTTGCCGAAAGACACAAAAAACAGGCTGGGCCTCCATTACCTTCTGCGAGGATGAGGAGCGCGGCGTTATCCTCCCTCATGATGACCCAATCATTATCTGCGCCGACATATCTAACTTTGACGTTGGGCGCATCTTGGTAGACACTGGTAGCTCAGTCAGTGTGATGTTTGCTGATGGGGTGAGGCCCTAGCGGTAACCCAGGCCCTAGCCCCACCTCGAGCTGGCACTGAGCGCCCAGAAGACCCCAGGGAGGAATCTGCCACCCAACAGGCCGAACCTGTGGAGGACCTTGAACTGGTCACTCTCCATGAGGATATCCCGGATCGACAGGTCAGGATCGGCACCTCCCTCTCACAAGAGCTTCGCTCTGATCTTATTGCCTTCCTCCGCCTCAACTCTGAAGTCTTTGCTTGGTCTTACAACGACATGCCGGGCATATCACCTGACGTCATCTCCCATAGGCTAAGCATTAATCCTGTCGTCCGACCCGTTCGGCAGAAGCGTCGTGCTTATGACCCAGAGCGGTATGAGGCCATGAAGGCGGAGGTGGATAAGCTGAGCACCATTGGTTTCATCAAGGAGGTGGATTATCCCACTGGCTAGCCAATGTGGTAATGGTACGTAAACTAAAGAAGGGTTGGCGCATGTGCGTAGACTACACAAATCTCAACCGGGCCTGCCCAAAGGATAGTTTCCCCCTACCCCGCATTGACCAGCTAGTTGACGCCACAGCTGGCCAAGCCCTCCTCAGCTTCATGGATGCTTACTCAGGGTACAACCAGATCTTCATGCATCCTGAGGACCAAGCTCATACATCCTTCATCACCGACCGTGGCCTTTACTGCTACAAAGTCATGCCATTCGGCCTCAAGAACGCCGGGGCTACATATCAGCGTCTGGTGAATAGCATCTTCGCTCCACTCATTGGCAACACCATGGAGGTTTATGTTGATGACATGCTGGTCAAGAGTCGCACTGCTGACCAGCACATCCCCAACCTCTCTGCCACGTTCACCATTTTGAAGCAGTATAGGATGCGGCTCAACCCCACCAAGTGTGCATTTGGGGTGGCCTCCGGCAAATTCCTTGGCTTCATGATCAGCCAAAGAGGTATTGAGGCCAACCCAGAGAAGATCCAGGCTATTTTGGACATGACGATACCCAAGACGGTCAAGGACATTCAGAGCCTTACCGGGCGTGTCGCAGCCCTGACCAGATTTATCTCTAAGGCCACTGATCGTTGCGCCCCATTCTTCAAGGCACTTAAGGGTAGCAAGCGCAACATCACCTGGACTGCAGAATGTGACCAGGCATTCGGCGAGCTCAAGGCATACATGAGCCGAGCCCCTTTATTGTCAACCCCTGAGTCTGGGGACGTCCTCACCATCTACCTTTCTGTCTCGGCTACAGCGGTTAGCTCAGTGCTCATTCGACCACATGAAGGTGCTGAGCATCCGGTGCACTATGTGAGCAAAGGATTGCAAGATGCGGAGATTCGATACCCAGACATTGAGAAACTTGCTTTCGCCCTGGTGGTTTCGGCTAGACGCCTCCGGCCATACTTTCAAGCTCACACCATCCATGTCCTAACCAACCAACCACTCAGGCAAGTGTTGCAGAAGCCAGAGACTTCTGGGAGGTTAGTCAAGTGGGCCATTGAACTTGGTGAGTTTGATATCCACTACAAACCCCGCCAAGCTGCAAAGGGCCAAGCCGTGGCTGATTTCATATCTGAATTCACCGAACCCCATACTCTGGCCAGTCCTCAGATTGCAATCACGCCTACTCCTACCTCGAACCAGGTCCACGTCGCCAGCAACGGCTCCCTAGACTTAACTCAGCCCTTGTGGACCTTGTATGTGGATGGCTCTTCCAATGCCCAGGGATGTGGAGCTGGCCTCGTTCTCATATCCCCAGACAAGGTTGCCCTTGAGTACGCCCTCCGCTTCAAATTCCACGCCTCCAACAATGAGGCCGAATACGAAGCACTCTTAGCCGGCCTTCGCCTAGCCAAGGAGATGGGCGCCAAGCAAATCCAAATATTCAGCGACTCGCAGCTTGTTGTCCACCAAGTCAACCAGGACTTCACGGCCAAGGACATCTCCATGACAGCCTACCTCCAACATACCCGCCACCTGCTTACAACTTTCAATGCTTATCTCATAGGCCAGGTGCCACGCTCTGAGAACAGCCATGCTGATGCATTGGCAAGGCTAGCCTCGGCGATGGAGCAGGGCATAGGTCGAAACATCCACATCGAGTTCTTGGACCAGCCCAGTACACGGGCACCACTCATTTGTGTCATTGATCAAAGCCCTACATGGATGGACCCCATCACTCAGTTCTTGCAGAACCAGACACTACCTGCTGATCCTGCTGAAGCGCGGCGTGTTCGCTATCGTTCCGCCCGATACTTGATCATCAATGGTGCCCTATACAGGCGCGGCTTCAGCCTCCCCTATCTTCGATGCCTGACCCCAGAGGAAGGTACCTATGTCCTGAGAGAGATTCATGAGGGTATCTGTGGCAACCACTCAGGCGCTCGCTCCCTAGCACACAAGATCATTCGGCAGGGATACTTTTGGCCATCACTTCACACTGATGCCCAGACCTTCACCCAGAAGTGCGATAAGTGTCAGCGATTTGCCAACATCCCACAACTTCCAGCTGAGCCATTGACAGCCATGGTCAGTCCTTGGCCATTCGCCCAATGGGGACTTGACCTCATTGGACCTATGCCTGAGGGCAAGGGCCAAGTCAAGTATGCAGTTGTAGCTGTGGACTACTTCACCAAGTGGGTTGAAGCTGAGGCCTTAGCCACCATCACTGCAGCCCGCATTGAAACTTTTGTTTGGCAAAACATCGTCTGTCGCTTTGGCATCCCCAACACCATCGTCACAGACAATGGCCGGCAATTTGACAACGCAAAGTTCAAGCAATTTTGTTCCAACCTCAAGATAAAGCTTTGCTTCGCCTCCCCAGCCCATCCTCAATCTAATGGCCAGGTGGAAGCTGTGAACAAGATCATCAAGAAAACTCTAAAAACTAAGCTTGACAAAGCTAAGGGTTGCTGGCCGGAGCTACTCCCAGAAGTTCTCTGGTCTTATCGCACCACCTTCCGGACCTCAACAGGAGAAACACCTTTCTCTCTCTCCTTTGGTACCGAAGCAGTGGCACCAGTGGAAATTGGCCAGCCCACATACCGCACCTCCACCTATGAGGCCGAGGCCAATGACGAGCAGCTAGCCCTGAACCTCGACTTCATTGACGAGCTTCGTGACCAATCCAACATGCGCAATGTCGCGTACAAACAGCGCATCGCTAAGTACTACGACTCCCGAGTCAAAGCCCGTGCTTTCAAACTTGGGGACTGGGTCATGCGCAAGGTTTCCTTGGCCACCAAGAATCCCACTGAAGGTACCTTGGGCCCAACATGGGAAGGTCCTTATGAGGTTACCAAAGTCTGCCGCCCCGGCACTTATCAGCTTCGTGACACCAAGGGCAAGACCTTGCCTCATCCTTGGAATGCTGATCACCTCAAGTACTACTATAAGTAAACATACCTAGACTCTAGGCTATTATGTTTTCTCCTACTTTGGTCTCGAGCCTTGACTCAACCAACTCTTGTACTTTTTGCCTTCCGGCACATATTTAATGAACGCCCGACCCTGGCTCATTTTCATCAATCACATGGTTCCCATTTTGCTAAGCACAATTGATATCAAATGACAACAAGTCTCATATCATAGCACATCAAAATAACCTTGCCCCAGGCAAGGCAAAATGTTCATACATAACCAAAATAAACATCAAGTGTTTAAACTAAAAAGCTAGAATACATAAAGAAGGCAACGCCTTCAGGACTCAGTCGATGGAGCATCCGTAATGGCTGGCTCTGGCTCTGGCTCTGGAACGACATCAGTGGTACGACTAGATGAGGGAGGCTCGCCACTCGTGTCAAAGTTAATCTCCACTGAAGGGTTGAACATCGCCACCCTCTCCTCCCAACCCAGCTGCATCGCCACCATCTGATCCATGATGTAGTTCCTCAGCTCATCCGAACCCCGAAACGACTCGATCGCTTCGACCCGGGCAGCAGCTACCTCCTCGGCCCTCGACCGCTTCAGCTCTTCCATCTCCTTGGCCATCGCCGCTTTCTGCAGCACCAGGGTGTTCTTCTCTCGGATGGCCTCCTGCGCCTCCGCTACCTTATCCTTGGCCATCTCATTGCGCCTCTTCAACCTCTGGATCTCTTTATCTGCCTTGGCCATATTCACGTACATCTCACCATAAGCCTGCAACACACAACATTATCAGTTCAAGGCAAATTCGAATTATATGAACAAAGTCTTAAGGCAAGCCAACTTACATAGGCCTGGGTCAGGAGCGTCTTCTGGGCCCGATCTGCATAGGAGGTAGCCGGGGTCCTCGCCAGAACCTCTGGGTCACTCTTCACGCCTTCCAGGAAGACGTTCACCAAGGGAACCTCCTGCCGATGCATGGCCAGGTTCACCTCCTTCTTCTGCCGACGCAGCCCAGAGAAGTCCACCTTCTCTACCCCCTCGGCGTAAACATCATCCATACCAAAGGGGAGCTTCGGCGGCGCCTGCGGGTCAAAGGGAGGAAGCCTCGGCCCTGTCCCCATCACGCTCCGGTGAGCTTCCTCCAGCGCTCTCTTCTTTCCCAGCACATCAGAGACTAGGCCCTCATCATCTCTGGAACGCCTCCCAGCAGCCTGTTGGGCACCTCCCTTCTCTGCCTTCTTGGCCCGAGACTCCCTCAGCCGTTTTCTGCATCTCGGGATCATCCAGATCCATGGCCACCTTCGTGCTCCCCCCTTATGATCCCTGCCACTGCACATCAAAAGCCAAGTCAGTTTCAACTACAAAATGAATCATAAGACAAACAACAACAGTGACCCAGGTACTTACTCCCTTGCAAGAGTCCGGACTCGTACAGGTTCTTCTGGGTGACTAAGTTTCTACGCTCACGCTGGGTCTCCGACAACAGTGACCTCACTCTCTCAACCTCGTCTTCTCGCTCCTTGGAGATCGGTCCCCACTTCACCGAACCTGCACCACAGTTCAGATATCAACTTAGCCATTTATGCTTGCACAAGCAAAACAATAAAACATAAATAAAGACCCAAGCGTCAAAACACTACAACACAACTAGTCTTAAAGGATGGGGCTAAGGACCTATCGACTGGAAGTGGGTTGGAATATGTCTGGAGACGGTCTTCCCTGGAGGACACTCCCAATCACCATAGGCCAAGCACCACCTGTTCCGCCAAGACTTCTGCGTACTCGGCTTATGCCCAATAAAGTAACCTCTCTCCTTTGCCTTCCGGCAATTGGCTTGTACCCAGCCAAAGGTCCCCTGTTGCTTGGAGATCGAATACAGGTACATAAACTGCTCAAATGTTGGCTCCCCCAACCCAACCAACCACCAAGCAATGTAAACTCCATGAAGAAGTAGCCAAAAGTTGGGATTGTATTGCCCCGGCGCATACCCCAACTTGGCCAGCATCATCTGTACCCAGGGATGAAATGGCAGTCTGAGACCATGCTGGTACATATCGGTGAATATCATCACTGAACCCTCCGGAGGATATCTCACTACATCCGCAGCACTAGGTAACCTCAGGCCCACATAGGATGGCACACTATAATCTGTCCGAAGCTCAACCAACTTGGCTTCTGTGAGTGTATTCCGATTTCCCAACGGGACACCAACCCGGATGTCCACCCCCTCTGAAGCTGAAACCATGGCTATACCCACAGACTCTGATGGTGATGTCTGATTGCTCGAGCCCACCTCCGGTGTATGTGCCAAGGCTAGAACCCGATCAACATTGGCTTCTAACACTTTATACTTCTTCTGCATCTTCCTATATGCCTCTGACCCAGACTCTACTGATGGCCCAGCCATCTCACCCTCATGCACTCCCATCCTAGCTTCTATAAGCCCTTCTACAAAACTATCTGTCTGGGAACTCTCCTCTTCAGAACAAACATACTCACTGGCCTCTTCACTCTCAGACATCTACAACATGCAGAAACAAGAAAAAGGAACTAATGCACATGCAAAGAGGATCTAAGCACAAAAACACAAAATTGGACAGCCTCTACATGCTTTTTGATCTAGATGCATACATTCAACATGTTCATACTCATGCTCAAGGTGTTCATCATACTCTTCAACATGTTCATACAAAAAGTTGAATTTCATTTCAAGAATTCAAGGGAAATGAGGTCTAACCTTGTTTGCACCACCACCAAAATCTCACCAGAAATCTTTTTCTCCTTCTCACTTTCTGACAATCTTTCTCAAAAAATCTCCAAGTATGATGCCTACGTCACTCCAAGTTCCTATTTATAAGGCCCTAGGGTTACAAGAGAAACCCTAGCACCCTTTCACCTTCCCTCCCAAACCCTAGGCCCTAGGGTTACAAGAGTACCTACACAGCATTTGGCAATTTTAAAAAAAAAAAAAAAAAAAAAAAAAAAAAAAAAAAAAAAAAAAAAAAAAAAAAAAAAAAAAAAAAAAAAAAAAAAAAAAAAAAAAAAAAAAAAAAAAAAAAAAAAAAAAAAAAAAAAAAAAAAAAAAAAAAAAAAAAAAAAAAAAAAAAAAAAAAAAAAAAAAAAAAAAAAAAAAAAAAAAAAAAAAAAAAAAAAAAAAAAAAAAAAAAAAAAAAAAAAAAAAAAAAAAAAAAAAAAAAAAAAAAAAAAAAAAAAAAAAAAAAAAAAAAAAAAAAAAAAAAAAAAAAAAAAAAAAAAAAAAAAAAAAAAAAAAAAAAAAAAAAAAAAAAAAAAAAAAAAAAAAAAAAAAAAAAAAAAAAAAAAAAAAAAAAAAAAAAAAAAAAAAAAAACATTCAAACCCTCATATTCTGCCTCCAAAGAATTAACATCAATTCCAACATTTCGAACAAAATTTAACTCACTCTCCACATCCCCAACGTTCGCAGCTCGACTCCACTTGGGTAATCTGTAATGTTTAAGGAAAACTCCAGGCGAGCCTTCTTTCATGGAGAAACGAAGCCCAAAACCACAACGAACATAAGAAAATAATTAGATCTACATCGGGAAACCACTTTAGATGGCAGTTCCCAGTCAGCTGCGATGGAAAATGAAAACTCATAAAAACTAGGCTTGCGCGTGAAGCGCATGTAAAAATCTTAAATTTTCATATTAAATAAATCCTCAATTTTTTTTGTCTCATATTAAATCTTCAATTAAAAATTGCTACAAAAAATCTTCAATTTTTAGTCTCATATTACATATAAGAAAGATATGAACATATTATAATTTTTTTGTTTATATTTAATATGCTAACATGAGAAGAAGGCTGGAAATCTGGTACGAACAAGGCCCAAAGACTACTGAGCCCAATAAGTTTCGAAATGGGTCAGCATTGTCCAGAGCCCAATAAGGGATTGCTGCTTCTGCCGAGCCTGACTCAATTACCTTTCGTAGTAAGTAAGTAAAAATTATATTTTGGAAAAAATTATGAAAAAAGAGGTATAAAAAGGATAAAATGGGTTGTGATAAATCACTCCTTATCTTCTTACCATTTGGGCCGGTAAAAATATTGGTAGCTGGTAATTTCCAGACAGCCTGAGACGGGTGAAAATTGCAGGGGACAGAAAAGAAAAATGTTACGCTCATTATTGAACTCCCATGGAAACTCGGGGGGGGCTCTATCAACGATGATAGATCTTCACCTTCCCATCGCTTTCCCACTTCACCACTCCCTTACGGTTAGATCTTCGATCAGGTAAACCCGCCACGCCATGGAATCAGCTCTCTTATGTTGTTAGTTTCCTGTTTGAGAAAATGCATGTAAGATTATGATGATGGGTCTCTACAGACGATGGTAGAGATAGAATTATTGTTACCGGAGATGAGGACTAGAGGTCTAATAGGGGCGTTGTTGAAATATTTTGGTCCAAGTGAGCATGGCACTCGCCTTGTTCGTAAAGGAAGAAGGTTGGGTCGATTTGTCAGACACAAATTCTGGCTCTAGGGTGTTTCTCTTTGCAGCAATCTTTTTGATTTACTTGCTACTCTTCGGCCTCAACATGCATTTTGCTGGTATGTTCAAAACTTGAACTTTCGTTTATTTTCTTGTCTAATCATCTTGGTATTATAATGGGATATTTACAGATGTAGTTTATTACTCATTGCAGCTAAACTAGAAGGTAGTGGTACTAGTATCCGTATTTCAGCACGGCAAGAAATTTTTGCCATTTCATGTTGTTGGAAGACCACCCGGATGCAAGCATTGTAAGCAGTGTAAGTGTGAAGTGTTATATTTTCAATGTTTCATATCACAACCCTTGAGTTTATTATTGATTTAGTGCTTATGCATATGAACATGTGATGTCTTCGTCTTTCTTGTTCGTTGGATTGTACAGAGATACAAAATTTAGTTTATCCCTATGGCTCATCCCTCCCATATAATGATTTTCCAGATTTCCCTTGCGAGGTTGGGTTTTTGGAATCAGTTGAGTATCTTGTTGAACCTAAGGAAGTCATGAACTTCACACTGTTTTCACTAGAGTTCATTGACCAAGAGGAAGAGGGAATACCTTCCCGTAGTAATATATATGAACCTAGATTTGGAGGACATTAGACACTTGAGGAAAGAGAGCAATCTTTCTTTGCGAAGAATCAAACTCTACATTGTGGATTTATCAAAGGACCCCCTGGATTCTCAAGCACTGGATTTGATATAGATGCGAAGGACAAGGCATACAAGAACGAGTGTAAGATTGCAGTATCTTGCATTTTTGGAAGCTCTGACTTTCTTAGGAGGCCTACAAGCAAAAAGGTTAATGAGTTTATTGAACGTATTTGTCGTCTCATATTCATATAAAGCATATAATCAAATGTTTTTGGTTAAATAGTTATTTTTCCTCTTTCTGTTGGTTATGTATGAAATGGGATGATGCTAAAAGAACTTGCCATCATCCTGATATTTTGTTTTTGGCTAATAAACATTGGAGTTAGTAATTAGACCCCTTTGTGTCGGACAAGAAAATTAATAGGTGTAGAGTTGAAGATGACGAACCAAGTCCTCAGAAGAAGTAAAGTTTTCTTTCAGACAGCTCTTTTCATTAGTTTAATTTTACATAAAGGCAGCGTGATGACGAGGCATTAGAGGGCTTCTCATGAAGTATGGAGATAAAAAAGCAATTAAGTGAAGTTGTTATTCATGGAGAGCTTTGGTGCTATCTATGGTATGGCTGCGGATGAGTTTAAAGTATGATCTGATTAATGGCTGAGATACCTGCTGGGATGTTGTGAAGGTTGTGTAGATGATGTCTTATTTTTCCGATGACCTACTTTTGTTCTCAATCATCATATTGATTATTGATTGATAAAAAGCATAACTCAGCATACTTTTCTTGCACAAGGAACAACTAGATTATTTTATTAAGTTCATTCTTTTTAGCAATTTGCATGCATTTGTTGGCATTCTAATCATGTATTTTGAGTTTGTCGAGTTGAACCGTGTCCTGGCTGCATAATGCAGAACATACAATTGAATGTTTTTTAATGAGACAAATTATTAATTGAACTACTTCTCTTTGTTAAATTTTTTCAGGACTGTGAGCGCAGAGCACTACTAAAGCTATTCTGGCATAGGGAAGAGCCATCTCCTCCAGGACCTCCACCACCTGTTACTTGATCAGTAGTTATTATCTGCAGTTATTCTGGTAAGGTTAATTTGATGTTCAGTGTTTAGATTCCTAACAGTTTCTGATTGGACATTAGTTTGGTAAAAAGCCTCTGGTCCTATTTACCAAATTCATCAAAGTTTATGAAAGACCTTCCTCTGGTTTATGCATGCTGGGATGGAGACTGAAGTGAAAACCAAGCTAATGTCAGCTGCTCATCTCGCGAGATTGAATGGGTTAACTCGTTGTAGGCTTGTAGCTGTTGCTGAGCCTGAATGGCTGGTGGGTATTGTTGTTGTTGCAACTTGCACCTGACCATGTAGCACACAGAGAGGAATTTAATTTAGCATTACAAAATGATCCAAAGATCGAACGGCCACAAGTCTCAACTGCTGTTTCAAACGGGGAAAGGCAGACCAAGCAATGTTGTTGAGGACATTGGTAGGGAAAGGACATTGGTAGAGAAACTAACAGGTTGTAATATTCGTTTGTATATAACCCTATACATTTTTAATGTAGAAATTCTTTTAGCTCACCTCCAACACACGAAGGGATGAGAGCCGTTCTGTACTTTGTAGAAATTCATTAATATGTGACATTCATCCAAATATCTATGAAAACTCATGTGGTTCTAATCTCATCTGCAGCACTGGCGGACCCAATTAAGGACAACTGTAGGCAGCTGCCCACACTTACCAAAAAACCTTCAGCCATATAATCCTACTTAAATTCATAATTTTTAATTAATTTTAGGTCCCTTCCAAGTAAAGCCCCCACATAGCCCATTCAATACACACTTAAAGCCCAAAACTTATATTAAAAAAGAAAAACCCTAAATCCTATGTTAAAAAAGAAAAATAGAGATCCCACCAAGTTCACTCATTCTGTAATTTTGTGGAGAACTCAGCAACCAAACTCGTTATTTGACAGAAGTCTACAACCCAACAAATCAAATGGGAGACCAATGGATATTGTGAAGAACAGCATGCGTAATCGAATAGGAGACCAATGGATGAATGATTGCATGGTAGTATATCTTGAAAAAGACATATTTAATAGTATTGATAATGAGCTTATTATGCAACGTTTTCAGAATATGAAAAGTCGTCGAGGACAATTGTAAATTTACTTATTAAACAATGCTATTAATATTTAAAGTTTGAAATATTTTTTGTTTGATTATATTATGGTTAAATTTTTTTAAGCCCCCAGATAAACGAAAGTCTGGGTTCGCCTGCTTGCTAGAAATACATACAAGATAAGTGGGCAAAAAGGTTTCCTCAATTGAAAAGGCTTTTTTTTTTTTTTTTATTATTATTTATGTTTGTTTGAATACTTAAAATGTAGTGAATAACTAAAAATATGTCCATAAAAGCAAAAGAGCCTCACATAAAGTTACATCAAAGATTTAGAATTTAGCAGCTTCGAGTTTAAGGACACTAAGAAGGACATATCAACTTATCACTTGAAGTTTTGAAGTTGGATTCCCTGTCAACTTATCCATGGAACTTGGAAGACATATCATCAACTAACTCAACTTATCACTAGTGTAAATATTTTAAATTGAAGATCAAATTCAGTTATTGTATTCATACAGGGTCAAGGAGTGTAGCTATAAAAATCATCGAAATCGAAGTTAAAATAACCGTTAAATCGTGAATTTTTCATTTATAAACGTCGAAAAGTTTTGTCATGTTACTTGATCTCTGAATGTTTATTTTTTTCGATTTTTGGCGTATATGATCTCGAAGTATAAACAAACAAGTTTGACGGTTGGATCGTTGAAACTAGTTTTGTAGAATGCATATGCTATCAAAACATTATATTCACTAACAATTAAGAGTTTATTTATACTTTTGTTAAATATAACATAAGATTTTGTGGTATCCACTAGTGTAAATATTTTAAATTGAAGATCAATTGAGTCATTGTATTCATATAGGGTCAAGGAGTGTAGCTGTAAAAAATCATCAAAATCGAAGTTAAAATAACCGTTAAATCATGGTTTTTCATTTATAACCGTCGAAAAGTTTTGTCTCGTTACTAGATCTCTGAATGTTTGTTTTTTGCGATTTTTGGTGTATACAATCTTGAAGTATATACAAACAAGTTTGACGGTTGGATCGTTGAATGGTGTGTGTATATATATATATATTTATTAAGTAGCTTTAAATTTATTTATTTGTATGTATAACACTTAAGAAATTGAATAGTATATATATTTATTAAGTAGCCTTAACCTTATTTATATTTTAAATCATAAAATAAAATAATTTTATTTTTTATTATTCATAACAATTATTTTTATAAATATTGTGCTACGAACCAATTTTTCGTCTCTCAAAAGTTTGCGGGACCAACAGTTCGTCTTGCAAAAATCTAAAAATTTGGGTGGGTAACAAAAATGGGATGCGGGAAATTTTATTTTATTTTATTTTAAAATTTTAGACTTTGCGCGACCAATTTATAATTTTCATCGCACAAAAATTCAAAAATTTGGGCGGGTATCGAAAATGGTACGTGGGAATTTTTTTTATAATTTTTTTACGCAACCAATTTTCCAATATTTTTCGTCACGCAAAACTTTAAAAATTTGGGCAGATACAAAAAATGGGACACGGGAATTTTTTTTTACACTTTGCCGACCAATATTCCAATATTTTTCTTCGCACAAAATTTTGCGCGACCAATTTTTCAATATTTTTGGTCGCATAAAACTTTGAGCGACCAACAGTATTTTTCGTCGCCCAAAACTTTGCACAACCAATATTTTTCGTCGCACAAAGTGATACAGTTTTTAAAACTAAAATAACTCCTCCATCATTTTCTCAATGTCTTTCTCTACTCTTACCTCTCTTCTCTCTTTCCCTTTCCCCAAATCTCCCCCTTTCTCTCACACTCACTCCTCTCACTTAATCTCTCTTCTCTCTCTTCACTCTATCTCTCACTCTCACTCACTCTCTTATCTCTCACTCTCACTCTCACTCACTCTCTCATCTCTCTCTCACTATCTTCTCTAATTCTCTCATACTCACTTCTCCCTCTCATTCTCACTCACTCTCAATCTTGCCAAAAGGTATATTCTCTCCTAATTTTAAATTTTTTTCATTAATATGTGTTTCTGGAGTTAGTTTTGAGTTTGTGTGGGCTTTGGGGTTGAGTATAGGTTGAGAATTGGAGTTTGGGTTGGATTTGTGGTATAACAATTTTAGGGGAGATTATGCCACATTTTTTCTTTTCCTTTTTTGTTACTTGACCATATTTGTTTTTTGTAGGGAATCGTCGAGACTTTGACAGCTAAAGTTGAGGATTAGTATGCTATCGAAACATATCCTCCGCCACTACCACCATAATAGGCTTGTATTAGGATTTTATTATTGTAATTTGTTAATTTATGTGTACATTTTCAATATTATATATATATTTATTGAATAATTTGATCACTATTTTTCATATGTAATTTTATTTTGAATAAGTTAATTTAAATTAAAGTAATTAAAAAAATATACAATTAAATTAAATTTAAAAAGTAAAAATTCGAAAAAATTAATATAATTAAATTAAAGTCATTAAAAAAATCATACAATTAAATTAAATTTAAAAAGTAAACATTCGAATAAATTAATATTAAAGAAATAAAACAAAAAGTCAAAAACCTTGCGCGACAAACTATGAAATTAGTTTATTTTAATTAAAAAATTTTAAGACACAAAAAATATTTCGTCGCGCAAAACTCGAAAAATTTGGGTGGGTACCAAAAATGGGACGCGGGAATTTTTTATAATTTTTTTTTAGACTTTGCGCAACCAATACTTTTCATCGCTCAAAAGTTTGTGCAACCAATACTTTTCGTCGCGCAAAACTTTGCACAACCAATACTTTTCTTCGAGCAAAGTCTTTCTTTACGATCTTTGCGCGATAAAGTTTCTGTCGCTCTTAAATTTGTGCGACTAAAATGTACTTTGCGAGACGAAGTTCTATTCATCGCGCAAATTGTAAAATGTAGTAGTGTATTTAGTCTGCCAATCGTCATATAACTATGTTTAATGTTGGATGTTATTTCACAATTCAGAAGAATAAGATTATTTTTTTTTCCTGGACCATTTTGTTTTGACAGGAGTGGTAGAGACAGCAGCTATACCATCTTTAGGACTTTGAGTTCAAGATTTGAGTATAAATGAAAAGTGTCACGGGATGAGTGATCGGCGCGGTGCGGCAGAAGCGAAACACAAATTTCGCCACTCAAAGCACACCTGTGAGGCCCAGGATCCCTTCAGATCCCAGTCAGCCTTCTCCCACTTCATGATATTCATGACTCTCACAACTCCGCGAGAGGTTCCCCTTCAAGTGTCGTCTCCCACTAGACAACGAGTCACATTACCTTGTGACAATACAATCACTCCGCATCCAGCAACGAACCATCGACGCCCATACATCAAGCGTTGCATAAGACACGTCAACTGCATTGACCACGTCACATGCTTAAGTCATGGCTCGCTCATGTCCAAGTCAAGACATAGCGATCCAACACACCATCGGTTTACCCACACTTCTGTCGGTCATTCATTTAGCGTCCACGATAGCCCACATCCTCAAGCTATACACGCAAGCTGTTATACTCGCATGTCGCACAAGGCTTGGCGACATATGTCTTCCGAATGTCCCACATAACCATTTATGCATTGCATGGGGTCACACCCATGCGTACCGGCATCCGAATATCTTCCTTTCATCTTGGACAAGGCCGAACCCAAGCCAAGTCCATCGAGTATTGTCAAATGCCTCTCTAGCCGATGGCATAGCGAATGTCATACGTTGACCTCACTCTTTACAACGATGCGCAATACGAACGGCTCCGCGTGTTCGTACTGTCCTCGGGAATTCCTTTCCCTCGGAGACACAGATTATCCTTCAACAATCTTATGCCCGCCCTTATGACTACCTTCAATGTCATAAGGATGCTCGCTTAGTGCCACAAGGGTGTAAGCACCAGGGGTGATGGAGAGCATGACACCATGTCACCCCCTATATAGAATTTTATGCATTTAGCCTTCTGCCAGGAGGGAACATCACCTATGCACGATGAGTCATAATTGGGCATAACTCCCTCATATGAACTCCGAATGGCGAACCGTCAGTTGCGTTACCTACGTCTCAATATCACGAACATCCCGGTATTCTTAGCTTCTTCAGGGTCCTCCCGTAACCTTTAGAAATACCTAAAATACCCTTCATAAGTGCAACCTAGCCAACACCAATCACTCTAGCTCTTAAGCTCTCGCCCTTCCACACTTAGACTACCTCTTAAGCGCATAGATGTCCCAACGGAGTCATGGTAGCACTTGTCTATGAGCGACTCATGACAAAAGGCAGAGATACTGTTTCTTGATCAAAGGTATGTATTATCACATTGTAATTCTACTTGTAATGCTGTGTGTTGGAATGATAATTTTATGAGGGTCTAATTGATTCAGTTATTGTTTTGCTAGTATTACAACTGCAGCTGTACTTGCAATTCTGTATACTGTTGCCAGCACTTTCCAACCGCTGCCTCAAGATATTTATCGCTATGGTACTGATTTTTCCAACTCCTTTTTTTACTTTATAGTAAGACAACAGAGACACAAACACACACACACACACACACAGAGGTGAGAAAGGGTTCATGTCATCCCGTTTTCTTGTAGTTGTCTCAATGAGATAACACTTTTTGTAGCTTATATATGGACTGCGATTGATGCACAATACTGAATTAAGGATATTTGAATTTGGCTAGTAAGTCATTATAACTACATGCTTTGTCATTAAGTAGATACAAACTTTTACCATATAGTCGCAAAATTTTGATTTGAAAGCCCATTATTGCCAGATTCTGGTTTGTTTAAGCCTATATCTAGACTGTGATCCATCGAGCTAATATTAGCTATTGCTGTTTTAGATTTGAAGGACCCTTTCAGTCTACGGAAGGGGTGGCTTTTGTGGGCAGAGATTGGTCTTGCTGGTGCAATAGCTACCATCGCAGTGACAGGGGCTACCGCGTCCTTGTTCAAGGGGGAGAGCCTAGAGAGAGAGGTTTGAATTGATTCCTACCTATGATTTCTCTCTCGTTATAAAGTGCAGTGGACACAAATTCTATGATATTTCAGGATCAATTCCACCATGTAAGGAATCATATATGTGATTTTTATTAATTTTTACTTGGTTTCAGGAGGACGCTCTAGTTAGCTTGTTTCCACTGATTGCATCTTCAAGTGTCAGGCACTTTACCAGGTCTTTTCATTTTTGTGCATGTTTTGGGAATTATAGTATTCATAGGCTTAGGTGTTGAAACTTTTCAACACTAGGACTTGAGGATTCAGCAAGTTGATTCAGCTGTTGTTAAATCTACATTGCAGCACTGCTTGCTTGTTGGGTGTCACTGGAGTTTTGGCTCCGATTCTTGAGGAAACTGTATTTGGGGGTTTTTTTTATGTTCTCCATGACTCAGTGGTATTTTTCCCTGTTTTCCCTTTTATGGAGTTGCATAATATGCCTACAATGATTGATTATTTCTCTCTACATTTCTCTAAACATGCATGGTAGCTTCCCTAAACTTCCTTACAATTATTTCGAAAGTTTTCTCAATAATTTCTGTCCATAGATTTTGTTATCAATTTTCAGAAGTTTAAACTAGTGTGTTGGAAAGTGGAGGCTGGATTAACTAGTAATCTGCCACCTAGGTGACATTGTTTGGTTCACTCCTAAAATTGCTTTGCTTAATTAATTAGCCAGATTCACAAAATTCTACAAACAAGAGTGAAGTTTGAAGAAGTGTACAAAAATATATGGTAGAAGAAACTGTTTTTGTGGCAATTATGTAGTAAAAATAGTAGAATCATCCAAATATTTGATATAAGGTTTTGTTGAGTTGGCTAAGGATAGGATTAAAATTCATTGGCTTTAGCTAGTTTTAGTATAGTTAGTTATGTTATTGGTGTCAACTGTTCATTCCTGGGTATCTAGTCCTTACAAGTCCTTTTTGCAGGGTACCTACTCCAGTTGCTATTGGAATAAGTGCAGTTGTATTTGCACTTGCACATCTCACTCCGGGAGAGTTTCCCAGTTGTTTGTGCTAGATAACATGTTTACTTAAAAAATTTATAAAAAAAAAGTCTACATCACCTTCAACATACATTAATGTGGTTTAGATATCCTCGAGCACAATTTATCTCATGTACTATATGATCTATATAGGCTCTGCTGTGGGATTGTCATATGCTCAAACTCGCAACATTTTAACCCCCATCACAATACATGCTCTCTGGAACTCAGGAGTGATATTGCTTCTGACCTTCCTTCATATAAACATGATGATGTTCGAGTATTGAAGTTATGACCATGTATAATCTTTCTCAACAATGATTTGTTTCAGTGTGGATTTACTAAAACCGATCGTGCTTGTTGTTTGTGACAACTACAAGGGTACAATATCAAGGAATTGTTGCAGACAACCGGATAGAGGTTGAGTTTCTTTTTCATTGATGATACAGAGCATTTCCTAAGAGGTCCATAAAAGTTACAAGCATCTATAAGTCCTGCAAGGATTACTTAAAACTTGCCAAAGTTCAGAATTTTTATTTTTCTTTGGTTTTTTGTTTCTTGGTGGTGGTTACCCATATCCCACAATCATGAGTTTGTATTAGAGACCTTGAACCTACTTTTGGCTCTAACAATGGAGAGACGGAACATTGATTTGTATATTGTGAATTGAAGACAATAGTGAGGGGTTTATTGCATTCTTGGACTCTCGACAATATAATACTATTTAACTTATGAAGATTAGGGTTAGAATGGCTGAAAAGCTTAAGTAGCCGAGTATCTTTTAATTAGCCTATGAGTTGTTGACTAAGTTTCAACGAAGTACTACAAATTAAATAGAAATTGCCGAGGCCTGGTTTCATATGCACGTTTGAAATAAAGAACAAAAAGTATATATAATACATTAATTTAAACATTTTTAACTCTTTCAAAATTATTATTTTTTGTTGAACATAAGCGATAGTTTAAACTAAAGGGGAACACACACAACCAAAATGCCATGGAGTTCAAACCTAAGACGATGAGACCTCGCAAGTCAAGCCTTTTCAAAACCAGTTTCAAAAATGGCCTTAATTCACATAATAAGTGGACATTGTAATTATTAGATGAATAATAGTTATTATGAAGATTAGGCAACCGCGTAATGGTTTGAAGTGAGTGTGGTTGGTAAAATTCATGACTTTGGTCCTTAGAATTGGCCCTTTTGCAATTTACATGGCAAAGAGAGTTACGAGTGAAATTGAAAAGCTTATTTTTTTTGTTTATTATTATTATTTATGTTCGAGTGGGAATTGACAAATGTTTCAGGGGGTACTGTAGCACTTAAGCCTTAAATAAATACTAGTACTTATCTTGGAAATTAAACTTTGCTTTGTCTTCATTTGCAATGGATAGACCGAAACTTCAATTATAAATATATAATATTTGAGAGAAATAATGAATAAAAATGTGTTCATAATCCCTATACTATAAGCTGATGATATATACAGGGGTGGGGTGGTTCCTTAAGATTCCACAACTTGGATTAATAAAACAAACCCTAAATTGGGTTGATTAAAGGTTTTCTCTTGTGGGATTAGAAATTAAGCTCAATAGACCGGGTCGGCCTACTGCTCGATATGGGCCGTGTTTGGCCCGAACCAGCTCCAAGCATGGCTCACTTAATTTATTTATTTTTGTCAAGGACCACTTTACATAAATCATCTCTTAGCTTCTTTCCCCTCTCAATATCTACATTTAAGGACTTTGATTTGGTGGCTTATTCTTCCAACAAATCATAAATTTTCATATTAAATAAATCCTCAATTTTTTTTGTCCCATATTAAATCTTCAATAAAAAAAAAGGCTGCAACAAATCCTCAATTTGTAGTCCCCATATTACATATAAGAAAGGTATGAACATATTATAATTTTTTTGTTTAAATTTAATATGCTAACATGAGGACGCAGTGACCGGTCGTTTTTTAGCAAAGCGACGGGTCGCTTTGCACAAGGACTAACTCGTTGCTCTTGGGTTTGGGCGAACGGTCATTTCCAGAACTAACGACGGGTCCCTTCTGCTCCAGACTTCCTATTTCTGATTGGTCCACTCATTCGGACACTCTAAGGCCCCATCGGACAGAATTCATATGACTGTAGCTGACTGATATTGAAGAGCCCTTTGAACTGGATCTTCGGACATGAATATGAGAAGATTACACTTATCCAAATGCTCCCATTTTTGGATATGTTATACTAGACATCAGGGGGAACAACTCTCATGACGGAGTCGACTTCATTAGATAAGGGAAGCAAGTCCGATTGCTCTCTCGGACACACTGATCGTCACTAACGACATCCCTTTGAACAAGCTTCAGTGCTTAGCACTCAGAAAATGATATACTGATCAGATGGCTCCCATTGTTGGATATGTTGTCGTAAACACTTGTGGGAACATCGTTCATGAAGAAGAGAACTTCATTTGAAGAGTGGAAAATTTCTTTCGGACACAATTCATCTGACTGACGGTCATGTTATAAAAAATATAGTTTTCCTTTTCCGTAAAGCCAAATACAAAAACATTTATATTATAAATAACTTATAAACAAATTGGAAAGCTTTTAAGGTACAATGAAATTTAAGAAAACAAAATAATAGGTAAGTAAAAGCAAAATAAATAATAAGTAAGAAGGTGAGTTTGGTAGGTGAAACACATCAAAGACGCTGTCCTAAAGCCTTTGTAGCCTCCCTACATGCATGCACTGACGGTCTACAAGACTCTAAGATATGACCCCTTGTACACAAACTCAAGATACGCTATGAGCACGTTCATAGACGGATATAGGTATCCAAGTCACAGAACCATTGCCAAAATAATAATATAAAATAGAGAATATATGTAAAGGTAGAAAAGGAGAGAATTAGTTTGTGGTGGTGATTGTGGTATGTGATATTCTGATGGTGTATTGTGGTTTTTTCAAATGTGAAGGAGGATTGGCCTTTTATATGCATCCAATAGCATGTAACCTTCACCAACTAGAAAATTAAGGCATTCAATATAGAAATAAAATATGAATATTAAATATTTATAATCCCCCACAATAAATAAAATAAAATAGCCAAAATAATTAAATAAATAAAACGGTTAAATTTTTAAAACCTTTTTAAAAATTCCAACAATCCCCCACAAGGTTTTCAAAATTTTACCGTGACAAAAAAACAGTGAAAAATATATAATATATATGGGCAATATACTGTGTAATAGGTGTAGGTGTCTTCCGGGCTTGAACCTTCACTTAGTGATGACACTCTCCATTTGAGGAACCTGAGCATACAAAGTATTGAACTCGGCACCTTTGACCAAACTTCAACATATCCCACACATAGTATTAGTTGAGACTTGGATGCGAGGTAACGCTATTTATGGCCATGCGCTAATCTTGATTCTCATGAGAGTTACTAGAGAATAGCCCAATTCTCACAGTCACGGCCTCACGACGTCTCTCACTTAGGTGAGTTCTCCAAGAGTACATGTGACCTGCGGGAGTTTGCCCTCCTCGAAACTCATTCAGGGATAAATCCCTTCCTGACGTCACATAAAATAGCACTTTTGCCTTAGGGATGAGCAGAAGAATATCTCAAAGATATCTCCATAGTTTTATGAGTGCTATATGAGTCACGCAGTATGGATTGTTTCTACCACATTGAACTTCCTTCATGGGATAGCCAATCACATAAGTTGGGTTACCTCCCTAGGTGACTCCCTTATGGGCTTAAGCACATGCCCCTCGACATTTTGCATTAATGGCCTCCTCCACGAGGCATGCATATCAAGACTAGCTAGCCTTCACAAGGCATATGTAATGTAGGTCATGTCTTTGTTCTCCATTTTAGCGAGCTTTAAACCTGCATGTTATTAAAATATTTCCTACACAATCTTGCACACAAATAATTAGTGGATTTTGACCTTAGTATAATTGGAAATATAATACGCATTGGTATACATTTAAGTATAACGGAAGTACATCATACATTAAATATTATGATCAAGAGTACCTCTCAAGTCCATGAAACTTTGAGTACACCTGCTACCACTTATGAGCAACAATATAACAAATAATTCATTAAATAATTTTAACTATAAACACTGAGTATTTCAGGATACTCTTACTCCCTTTTGTGCACTCTAAGTGGCTGAATCATGATTGCATATCCAAGTTGAAATTGGATCTTGTCGATTCTCAGTATGAACCTATAAGACAATAAGAAGTCTCTACCAAAATTGTATACCAAGGTAATCATCAGTTGCACGCATTTTCATAAAATTGAAAACAAGTTAGTCTCATAATAAAATTTTATAATGAAAATAAATTTCACACGGACATAACATGTTTGCCAAGGAAATATAAAAATTATTATGTCACTAAATGAATATAATGAATTTTCCCATGAGAGCATAAAGAAATTAAAAACACACACAAAATTATGGGAAAGAGAGAAGGAAATCCTACATAAAAGAATCTAATATTTTTTAGGTATAAAAGCAAAAACTGCTTTATGTTAGTAACAAATAAAATTACAGCATTAAAGTTCCCATTTAGGAAAATTCAACTTCCACAAATTGGTCTACATAGAGTACCAGCAAGTCATGGTTATGTTTGCATATATCAGAAGTGCTAAACTGTGAAGTATTATTCCTGATATATGAATGGTCCACTTTATAACCACTGAGTGGTTTAACTTTAATGCTCAATATATATAAAGAGCTCCTTAATATTTATAATCAGTCCTTACTCATATTGCAAAATTCAACAAAATCCGAGTCAAAATATTTATTCATATTGTCAAATAACATGAAGGCATAGTACCAAAGCATTTAAAAATAAGAACACAATCTAAGACAACTCCCACTAAAACAAGGCATCTTCAAAGCTTGATAGCACTCCCATACTGTTGACATGCCTATGAAAAACTGAATTAGGCACTGCCTTGTTTAATGGATCAGCTATCATCTCTGTAGTGTTTATGTAATCAACATTTATTTCACCATCTCTAACTTGTTCCCTAGTAGATAGGTACTTCACTTTCATTTGTTTGACTCCTAAGGATGTCTTGTTATTTCTACAGAAGAAAACTGTTGCTTTGTTGTCACAGTACAACTGAATTGGTCTTTCTATGGAACTTACTATCCTCAAATCATGTATAAAATTCTTAAGCCAACTACTATGGTTTGCAGCCTCATAAAAAGCTATAAATTCTGCATACATGGTAGATGTAGCTATTGTCGACTACTTCACACTCTTCCAAGCAACAGCTCCACCTCCCATCATAAAAACAAAACTAGAAGTTGGTCTAGCTGTGTCTACACATCCTGCAAAATCTGCATCACAATAGCCAACTAATTCTAATTCATCTGTCCTCCTAAAAAACAACATGTGGTCTTTAGTCCTTTGCATGTATCTGAGAACCTTCTTGGTAGCCTTCCAATGAATTAAACATGGATTAGCTTGGTATCTTCCCAAAACATTGATTGAAAAAGCTAAATCTGGTCGTGTACACACTTGTGCATACATGATACTTCCTACAATTGAAGCATATGGCTTGTCTCTCATTTCTTCCTTCTCAAAATCATTCTTTGGACAATCTTCTTGACTCAGCTTATCTCCTTTTGAAATTGGCACTTTTGCTCCATTAATTTGCTGCATATTGAACCTTTTCAACACCTTTTCTATGTAAGCTTTCTGCGATAAACCTAACAGCCCTCGTGCTCTATCTCTATGAATCTCAAAACCTAGGACATAGGAAGCTTCTCTATGATCCTTCATTTCGAAATTCATGGATAGAAAATTCTTTGTTTCATATAAGAGGCTCTCATCACTGCTAGCAAGGAGAATATCATCTACATAGAGAACAAGAAAGATAAATCTACTCCCACTATTCTTCAAGTATATGCACTCATCCAACCTATTCTCAACAAAGCCAAATGATGTAATTATCTTATGAAACTTCAAATACCACTGCCTTGAGGCATGTTTCAAACCATAGATTGATTTCTTCAATTTGCACACTAACTGCTTACTATCTTCTTCTACAAATCCTTCTGGTTGCTGCATAACAATCTACTCACTTAATTCACCATTTAGAAAGGCTGTTTTTACATCCATTTGATGTAAAAACATGTCAAAGTGCGTCACAAGTGCCATAATAATCCTAAAAGCATCTTTGGTTGAAACTAGGGAGAAAGTTTCAGTATAATCAATCCATTCTTGTTGTGTGAAACCCTTAGCTACAAGTCTAGCCTTATGCCTCTCAATATTGCCCTTTGAATCCCTTTTGGTTTTGAACACCCATTTACACCCTATAGGTTTCATTCATTGCTGTAATTCAACTAACTCCCACACTTTATTGGCTTCCATTGACTCCAATTCACTTTGTATTGCCTCAAGCCATTTTTCAAAATGTTCACTAGTTATAGCCTCATTGTAACTCATTGGGTCATTAAAATCACAATCATTAGAATATGTCTCATTCAAATAAACAAAATCTAGCAATGTATTAGCTCTCCTTTCTCTTGTGGATCTTTTAATTTCTTGCTGATGTGGTTGTGGTTCTACGGGCAGGTCCATTTCATTTAGTTCTTCTTGTATTTCCCCAGCATTTTGGTTTTCATTCCTAAGCTCAATTGGTGCCTTAGGTTGTGACAAAGTTTGAGTTAACTCATAGGTTATGATAGGAATATTGCTTGGATTGCAATCTTCTGCTCCTATTTCTTCTTCTTCATCAAAAGTAAAATTCTTGTTTGCCCCTTCACTGTCCTCATCATACTCTAGAAACTTAGCCTTTCCTGTCTCAACAACTCTATTGGTATAGTTGGGGCAATTGAAATGAAAACCCTTTGATCTCTCTGCATATCCCATAAACCTACAACTCACAGTCTTGGGATCCAATTTTCCCAAGTTTGGATTGTAAACTTTTGCCTCAGCTTTACCACCCCAGATATGCATATGGTTTAAGCTGGGCTACCTTTTATTCCATAGCTCAAAAGGTGTTTTAGGCACTGATTTACTTGGACACCTATTTAGGATATAATTAGTTGTCTTGACAGCATCTCCCCATAAAGAAACTTGGAAGGTCAGTGGTGCATATCATACTTCTCACCATATCCTTCAAGGTTCTATTCCTTCTTTCTGACACTCCATTCTCTTGAGGAGTTCCAGGTTTGTGTATTGAGCAACTATCCCACAATCTTGAATATATCGAGCCAATGGTGATGGATGTCTGCCTTGCTCATCATACTTGCCATAGTATTCTCCTCCCCTATCAGATCTTAACACTTTAATCTTTAACTCAAGTTGGTTTTCAACCTCAGTTTTAAATATTTTAAAAACTTCAAAGGCACTAGATTTGGTCTGGATTAGGTGGAGATAGCAGAATCTAGAGAAATCATCAATGAAAGTGATGAAGTACCTATGTCCTTCTAGAGTTTCAACTGGAAAAGGACCACAAATGTCAGTGTGAATTATCTCTAGGAGTTGCTGACTGCGTGTGGATCCCAATTTTCTAGAGTTAGTCATTTTTCCCTTTATGCACTCAACACACTCAGTGAAGTCTGCAAAATTCAAGGAAGGAAGAATTCATTCTTGAATTAGCCTTTGCATTATTTTCTTAGACACATGACCTAATCGTTTGTGCCATAGTTTTGTAGACTTCTCATTACCTAGTGATCGTTTCTGTCCTACAGTTTCAGTGGTGAAAACAACATTGTTACTAGAAAGATTTAAACAATACAAACCATCAATCAAAGAGCCATTGCCTACTGAATTTTTATTAAAGACTAAATCAAATCCAACTTAAGAGAAAACAAAACTGAAAAGTTCCTTAGTTAATCTAGAAACTGAAATCAAATTCCTTCTCATGGAAGGTACAAAAGCAACATCTTTCAAAATTAAAGGAAAGCCTGAAACTAATTGGAGTCTAACTGAGCCTATTGCTTTTACTGGTACTCTCTTCCCATTCCCTACGAACAGATGGTCTTGGTCTCTACTTGGTTTCCTCTGGTTTGCGAAGTCCTGCAAGGAATTGGCACATGGATTGATGAACCAGTGTCAATCCACCATGAGTTAGTAGGAACTATGACATTATCAGACTCAAAACAAACTAGGACAGTTTCAGACTTATCTTTGTTTCCCTTTTTCTCTACCCAACGCTTGTATTTGTGGCACTCTCTCTTCATGTGACCTGCTCTGTCATAGAATTAACATTTAAAGACAGTAGTTTTGTTGGTTTTAAAGTGTCAGACCTTTTAGGATGAAGATTAGCCTTAGAGTTCTCTTTGTTGGCAGAAGTATGTGAGCCAGGCTTACAAAAGTGACGTTTGGGAGCATTGGTGGTAAGGTGCACAGTTTTAACTTATTTTTCCTTCTTGATCCGAGCCTTCTCTTGAACACAAATGGTTATGAGCTCATTGAGATCCCACTTATCTTTTTGAGCATTGTAAATTACCTTAAGTTGTCCATATGATGAAGGGAGAGAGTTCAAAGCAAGATGAACGAGAAAAGGATCGGCTATAGGAACATTGAGTGCCTTTAGCTTGCTGGCAGTCTCTACCATGCCTAGAAGATACACCCTCATATCTTCCATACGATCGTACTTCATAGTAGCCAGCCTATTCATCAGATTTCCAGTTTCAGCCTTATCTGATTCTTTAAACTTCTCAGCCACTGCCTTCAAGTACTCCTTAGCATTTTTAGAATAAGGAATGCCTCCATAAATGGCTTTAGTCATGGACTTTTTCGTTATGAGCAGACATATCCTATTTGCCTTCTCCAATCTCTCAAGTTTTAGCCTTTGCTCAGCAGTGCTCTCATAAGTGAGCACTAGTTTCTCTTCTCTTAAAGCTATGTCGTGATCTAAGAGACCTAGAGCTATCTCTAAATCACGCTTCCATTTCTTAAAGTTGCTACTAGTCAAGGGTTCAATCGAATTGATAGGGGTAGGGTTCATAACTAAAAACACAGAATTATGCAATATGGTTAATCTTTTATCCTAAAAATCTTTATACGTATGTGATAAACATCTGTGGACAGAATATCAAATATGCTTGAGTTTCTTTCACAAGTCTAACGTCATAAACTGTCTATGATAAGCTCTTATCAAGATCTTCCCATTTGTGAACAGAAAAGATCTTTTTCCATCCTAAGGCATAATCAAATGAGGTTCACACTTGTAAGCAGAAAACCACAGTTGATGTGTCTTGTGATGCAATTTTGTCATAAAAAACCTGGAGATGATTTAAAATAATTGCCTCATGTTCATCTGTGGACTGAACATCAGACAATGATTTTCAATCAAAACATGACTTCCTTGATATGTTTACTTGATGCGGAATTTCATTATGTTCATGCTTAATTGATTTTAAACCTAGTCATGATTCTACGTGCATCTGCAGCTAGATATGCTAAACAATATAAATTGGTTTAATAATTAAAAAACACGCACAGCAGTCCCAAAATACAAATTTTAATTCTTGAGTTTAACAAACAATCATTGCAGCAAAGCACAAATTGCATAATTGGAAAAACAGTCTGGAGTTTATGTTTTATCTTGATTTAGACTTGTAGATGCCACATGTTAGACTTTAAGATCAAACAAGCTATAAGTACTAACCTTGAGAAGCCATGAGAACTGGACAGAAAAGATCTTGAGTAGCAAGCAGAGGTCTTCCAATCTTTCTACACGCCTTATGCACTCCTAATATGGGGTAGGATTTGTATGCTTGAATGTGTATAAGATCGGGGACCTAAACCTTGTTTTTATAGATGATTTGACCTAGGTTTCTTGCCTATAAAAGATTACCTAAATCATGCCTTAATCACCTCTAGAATCCATGACAGAATAGGATAGATATTTCCTTTTATTTCATTCCTTCTTCACCTCCAAGTATTCGGCTAATCAAATAAAAAACTTTCCACTTTTATTCCTTAACAGATGATGTGCCTTAAATAGATGCAAACTCAATTAGGGTCTTACAGTTCTGACAGCTACTGCTTGTTTGGATGGGCTTCTTGCGGTTCTAAAAAGAGTTGGAAATGGTGCATTGATGTTGTATAGGCTTGGCATGAGAGCTTGCTTCAATGAATCAAGATACAACTAGGCTTGGCATGAGAGGCTTATGGTGTGAGAGCTAAGAGCTTATAAGTTTAGCGAGAGAGAGAGAGAGAGAGAGAGAGAGAGGTGGAAAGGGAAAAGCTTGGAATCGTAGCTAGACTATATCTTCAAGCAGCTTTAGAATTGCTTCCACCAACCTGAACGGATTTCTTAAAACAAAGAAAGTTAATTCTAGTGCTTGAATCTTAGGATGGTGATTTGTAGAAATGCTTGGGTGATGTTTAGGGCTTGGCATGGTGTTCTAAGAGAAAAATAGCAAAAGGAAAGCATTAAGGGTTGAGATTTTGGGTGATGAGAATGGGGTTGCTCATGCTTTGGGTTTCTCACCAAGAAGGTGATGACCATGATTTCAGCTTGGCTTGAGAGGATGAGTGTTTCAGATTTGGAATAAGGCTTTCTGAGAGAGAGAGAGAGAGAGAGAGAGAGAGAGAGAGAGAGAGAGAGAGAGAGAGAGAGAGATGGAAAGGATGGTGCTTAGGCTTGATGTTTCTGGCAATTGGAGGAAAGGCTTGCTCGCGCTGCCTGAGTTGGTTCTTTAGGATTGAGAAGAAGGAGATGGAAGGGAAAGTGCTTGGGCTTGATGTTTCTAGCAGTTAGAGGATAAGCTCACTCCACCACTCTGGTTGAGTTGAGTCCCCCCTGCTGGGTAGCCAATTGCCTCCTTTTAGAGGTGCTAGAGCCTCTTTACCCTAGAAAGACTAGATGGTTTCTTCTCATTTGGCCAAGTCTTCCTCTTTCTTTTCCTTCACTTTCTCCAATATAGCATTAATTAGTTAAATCTCCCTAAAATCAGCTGAATCCAGGGCTATTGAGACAAAACATTTTGGTGCCCCAAAGCCTTCTTGTAGCTGGACCTTGTACAAGCTTCCTTTCCTGGAACACTCCAGCTTGGTTGTCCTTGCTCCAGCTTGGCTTTCCTTTCTCTTTTCTTCCATGAGCTCATATAGGTAAAGATGGGTAAAGGTGATGGTCAAACAGAAAGGTTGAGGCTTATCTATTTCATCAGCCTAGATATTTATATAAACTGGATTTTAAGGGTTTTGGTTTGAATATGCAAGGCTAGTCTGATCTCAAGGGAAAGGGTACTAGAATTTCTCTTACTTACCCATGTGTTGGGCTCAAGAAAGTGGGCTTGGGTTTTGGTGCTCCTAAGCAGCCCAAAACCTCCACCTTTTGAACCCTCAATGGGCCTTATGGACCCTCATACCCATCCACACCACAACTTGCTCAGTAAGCTCCAGACATATATGTGTGTTAGGCCCACTTAAGCTTGTCGGGTGGGTTGGCACTAAAGGGAGTCACTTGGCATGGCATGTTTTTTGTGCTTATGCTTGGGCCATATTGTATTGCCGTGGTTTAGGGTTGTGTTAGATAATGCTTGACGAAGAAGTGGGCTAGGTGAGCTCGAGCATGTGACATTGTTAAACTTGATAGGTTTGCATGTGAAATTGGTAAACCCGTATCATGACCTCCCCACATGCCAAATTCTAGTCTCACTTGGCATGGCGCGAATATCAAAGCTTGTTTAGGCACTTCATAGCCGTATTTGATGGGCATCTATGTCCCTTTTATAGCACAGTAATAAATTAGGTCTAAAAATATGCACGAACCTTCCTTGAGATTTTTTGGGCCTCAAGAAATTAATATTTATATTATGTTAATTTTAAGTTAGAAATTGTATCTCTAGTTTAACTTTATAATGTACTTCAGAAATAAACTCATAGTGAATGTAAGTACGGTCTTTGGTTATAATGCAAGTTAGATTGTTTGGTTTAACCTTAGTGGTTGGCGGTGTATTTTTTGTTGGTTTGTACAATGAGCCGGCGATCACAACAAGATCCCCTAATGCAAGCAACTATGCATTAGAGCACTTCCAGCAGTTGGAATCTTGCCATGGCAAGGGGGGGCTAGGGTTGACACTATTCACGGGAATAGTGTCTGCCCTTGCAAAAAGTAAGTTCCACTTCCAGCAGTTGCCATGGCAAGGGGGGGTACTATTCAATTTTTTGTTTTTTTCACAAATTTGTTTACCTAAACAATTAATTTGGACAATTTATTCGGATGAGATTTTTTGATAAAATATTCGGATAAGATTTTCAGATAAGATTTTCGGTTTCAAATTTCAGATAAATTTTTTTTCAAATTTCAGATTTTCAAATTTAATGTTTTGGTTGTGGTTAGTTTTTTTTATACATTGAATGTTTTGAATAAAAAGGAATTTTATTTAATAGTTTCTTTGGTAACTCAAAGAAAACCAATACTACTAATACAATAAAATACATGAATTCCAACTAATTTTTAAAACAAAACATTAAAATACAATGAAATGAAAAGGCAAGCAAACTAACTTCAGGGTTTTCATCATTTAACCAATCTGTATTGCTAGGTCCATCATCATGAAAAAGTTTTCGTCTCATAATAGCCTTTCATTCTAGCTTCCAATATTGTTTTGTTTCAGGAGACATGTGGCTTGTATCCATGGCCATGGTTTCCCGATCCTTCTTTTCTTCATTTTCTTTGCGTCGATACTCCCTTTCTTTGCGTACATACTCCATTTCTTTAGCAAATTCTATTGCCATTGCCCTATCATCTTCTTGGACTTTCTTGTCTATTTCAATTCTCAAGGCGCTTTGCCTTGCAATTTCCTCCAAAAATTTAGAGGTATTACTCGTAGAATTAACTCCTCTCTTTGCCTTCGCCGCCTTCCTCCCCATAGGCCTCGGCTCCTTTTGAATGGGTAAGTCTTCACTCATAGGGGATTCCATAGGTGAATCCGAAGCTTGTGAATTATGAAGTGGCATCTCGTTTAACACCACCATTGGAGCCGTTGGAATAATGCTAAATCTCTTACAATGCTTCACCACCTCCCAACATTGGGTATGGGTGAAACTTTTTTTCCCTAGTCCAGTAGCACCATAGAACATTTGAGCTTGCACAATCTATATAAAAAAAAATTGAATAAGCAAGGAACTTAAAAAAAAATTGGTAATGCAAAAAAGATAAACATATGAATGAAAATCCAAGAAATATTAACAACATATAAAGAATGCAAGAAACATTCAAATAAATATTAGAAATACAAGAAATATATAAAAAAATATATAAAAATTGCAAGAAACATTCAAATAAATATGGAAATACAAGAAATATTAAAAAAATATAGAGAATGCAACAACCATTTATATAAATATTAGAAATACAAGAAATAATAACAAAATCTAAAGAATGCAAGAAACATTTAAATACATATGGAAATACAAGAAATATTAACAAAATATACCAATTGCAAGAAACATTAAAATTAAAATTAATAGGACATTAAAATTAATAAAATGAAAATTACAAATAATTACCTCATCGCTTAGATTTTCCCCGCTTGCATGGTTATTCATCGCTTTTGTGAGGGCATCTCTCCATTTCCCCAACTCTTTGTTGAGAAGTTTCCACCGACTTGACAATGCGCTTTCCGTATGGGTGGAACCCGATCTTTCAACAAATTCGTGAAGAATTTTTTTCCACATTTGACTGAATTTCATCTCATTACCCGATATGGGATCATGACTAATTTGGACCCAACACTCACACAACAAGACATCTTCCATGATGCTCCATGCCTCTCCAGTTTCTTGAGAAAAAGCCATAATGATAGAGAAAAATTATACTTAAAAATGAAAACAATTTAGAGTAAAAAGTGAAGAAAATATTGAATAGAAAGTGAATAATAGTTGGAGAAGGAGAAGATGTATGAGAATTTGTTGTTAAAACTGAAGAGTAGGTGTTGGTATTTATAGAAAAAAAGTAAGTATTTTTTGGGATTTTTTTACAAATTTTTACGATTGTTTTTCATCATTTTTTGCCTGAAAAAATTCCAGGCCGTCGGATTGGCTGACAAGGCGAAATCGGAAGGACGAGAGGTTGCCACGTCGCACGTTACCGTTGGGCGCAAAAGCTGACGCGCGATTTTTCAAAGGCCCGAGTCTTTACAACTCAATTTCATAGGTCTCATCTTCTAAAGTCTTTCTCATTCTCTTCCTTGTGTCTTTATTAGGGTAACACTTCTGAAGCATCTCTTTCGCTTACGACACTCATATGTGCGATGGGGTCATTGATTAATATGGTAGTGGCAGTGGCACTTGAGGGCAAATCAATAGGGTCTTGGATGCTAGGCTTGAATTGGAAACTTGCTTGTTATCTATATTCGGTGACTTGTATTAACAAATGTAATAGTAGTAATATGACTTTGTGCTAAACAATTTCTAACTTTGTCCTTGTTCATTGAGGGTATTGTGGTTCCGGGTTAGTAGTTTTGCCCAATTCGGAAGCATACCAGCAACAGCGAAAGCTGATAACAGTGGCAATTCGAGCCTAATTATGGCCCAATTCGGGCCAGCTTCCAGTCCTCAAATGAGTATTTGTTCTTCATGAAAGTTGTTCATTTGGATGTCTACTACAATATATCCGAATTTGGTGTCATTTGCACAAGTATTGAATCTTCAGAACACTAATCATGATCTCTGTTAGTGAGAGCAGTGTATGACGACCAGTCAGTTGCAACCATGCTAAATCAAATTTTCCATTTCTCAAATGGAATTAATTTCTTTATGAATGTTGTTCCTACTTGTGTGGAGAACAACATATCCGAAATTTGCAGCAATTGGATCAATCTAGCATTCCCAGTTCATTATGCATCAAGGCATGTTCGGAGGAGAAACTCAGTGGCTGCAAATCAAGTTTCACTTTATCAATGGAGGGACTTCATCACAAGTTATGATGCAGGAGCATAGGGGTGGATCAAGATAGATATTTATCATTTAATTAGTTATTTCATGATATATTGTTATTTTCTTATTTAGGTAGTTTTAGGATATCTTTTATTATTTATGTGTGATTTTATAATTAATTAGTTTACTTTTGGACCAAGCAGTCTTGGTGCCCAAGTCTTGTAAAGCCTATAAATAAGGCTATTGTAATAGTTGTAGAAAGATGGAATATTGATGATTAATGAAATAGTTTATTTGTGGCATGGATTTGCTACGATATATGTGAGTTTGCACTAGCCCTAGATTTCGGTGCTTGTGTATGTGGTTGGTGACCTGTGTCCTGACCCCGATCCCCATCAATAGGTATCAGAGCTATGGCTCAAGATCTACTTTATCGGGGAGGTTTTTGGATGGAGGGAATATTGATGATTAATGAAATAGTTTATTTGTGGCATGGATTTGCTACGATATATGTGAGTTTGCACTAGCCCTAGATTTCGGTGCTCGTGTATGTGGTTGGTGACCTGTGTCCTGACCCCGATCCCCATCAATTGGTATCAGAGCTATGACTCAAGATCTGCTTTATCGGGGAGGTTTTTGGATGGAGGGTCGTGTTGACAACTACAACGACATGGAGGAAATTAGGAGGATGCTACGGCAACTTACGGAATGCGTCGCTCGCATCGAAGCTCGAACCCAAATAGGTAAAAGTTCTGACGGGGAGAGATGCGTGAACCCTTATTTGAATCGAGTAGCTCGCATCGACACTTTAAGCCGTGGGAGTCTCGACGGGGAGTACGAGGGGGATAGCCCTTTTCATTATTGCGCTTCGCTGTGTGAGTCAAGTGAAGAGGGGCACGATTATTCTCATTGTGTCTTTGAAGGTATAAATAGATTTGGTAATTTTGGTGCATCTTGTTATTCATCAAAGTTATTAAATTTGGATTTGCCTCCAATATTTGATCCTTGCAACTGTGAAAATTGCAATGAAAATTGTTTGGGTGTTCAAAGCAATTTTGATAAGCAATTTATTGATCAGAACAGTGAATAGATGAGAATTGAGAAAACTTTCGAAATATTATTGATTTTATGGGCATTAATGTTTTCACTTGGAAGGTTGCCAAAACTTTGGTTGATTTTGTCAATCGGTTGAAGATTCTAGAGAGAAACATTTGCATTGTTAGAGGGAGTAAGAAGAAGCTAAGAATAACGAAATATTCCAAATATCTTTTTATTTGGAAAGGAAGGTTTCAATTGTATGCTAAAAGATCCAGAACTAATATGAAGCAATTGAAGATTCTACTCGGATTTTCCTCAATCAAAGGCTTGAATTCGAGGACGAATTCTTTCCAACCAGGGGAGTCTGATGCAGGAGCATAGAGGTGGATCAAGATAGTATTTATCATTTAATTAGTTATTTCATGATATATTGTTATTTTCTTATTTAGGTAGTTTTAGGATATCTTTTATTATTTATGTGTGATTTTATAATTAATTAGTTTACTTTTGGACCAAGCAGTCTTGGTGCCCAAGTCTTGTAAAGCCTATAAATAAGGCTATTGTAATAGTTGTAGAAGATGGAATATTGATGATTAATGAAATAGTTTATTTGTGGCATGGATTTGCTACGATATATGTGAGTTTGCACTAGCCCTAGATTTCGGTGCTCGTGTATGTGGTTGGTGACTTGCGTCCTGACCCCGATCCCCATCAAGTGAGCTGATTCAAAGAAGAATAAAATGAACATGTGGTAGATGGAAACAATTTAATATTCTCTGTGAAGAATATTAAAACAAAGCCAAAGTTCAACATATGAAAAGTCTACACAAAAGTTGAAAGAAGAATAAAATAATATTCAAGTGGGCTTAAAGAATGAATAAAGAAAGAAGTAGAGATGGTGGTCATTATCTTTCCATCTCTTTTTTGTCTTTTAGCCGGCTAATTTTGGCTGTCACTCACCAATCAATAGCAAGTGGACCAATAATTTGGATTTCTTTAAGTCTAATAGTGATAGCTTCTGTCAAATCACATCAAAACCTCTTAACAACTTTTTTGCGTTAACTTATATTTTCAGCAACCCACTCACCAAAACCAATGGCAAGTGGGTACTTCAAATTAACTGCTGGTCCACTCAACGACCTCCGTTCTTTATAAATTTAATGAGAAATCATCAGCAAAGGACACACAACTCAAGAAACAAAAACCAGACTCAACGTCTATAAACCCAGCTCAAAAGCTTGAAACAACCTTCCTTTTTCATTCTCTGAATTTCTCAGTTGACAACTCCTGAGGAATTTTCTTTATCTTGCTCTGCCAACTCTTGGTATGATATTTCCTTGTACAAGATTGAATAGAGAATTCTTCAATCTTCATTTTAATTTTATTTATTTACTAGGTATGAATATAGAAATCTTCAGGCTGTATTGTTTATGTACTTCCTTTTTATTTCAAGTTTTCTGAATAGATAAATATTCCGATAAACTTCTGTCATTTCCATTATCGTTCAATTTCAACTTCTGTCACTTACCATTTTCACGCTAGATGAATATTGAAGTCCTCTTAATTGAGGCATAGAAAAGAACCTTGTATTGGGTCAGTTCCCGCCCAATCCACAATCAATTGATTAAAGTCAATATTGGTGCGCATTTTCCAGTCTTATAATTTTCAGTATGTTGGAGTTTTTCACTGCCAATAGTGGCACGCCTTCGCAATTGCAACAAACAAACTCCACGGCCAAACGCCAACACGAATAGCCGACGGGTCCTTTTCAGGGTAAACAACAACTTATTCTTCAACCACTCAATTTCTTCTTCTTTCCTTCTCTTCGATCTTCTTCCCCACGATTTCTTGTCCAGCCAACAAATTACATAAGGAAACACATCAAATGGGATGGATTCTTCGATGTACAGTATTGTATTTTTTGATCACGTATGTTGATGCGATTTTATGGCAAATTTCGTGACAGATTATATAGAATCATATTTCCTTCTCTTGCTGCACACCTCTCCCCCTCTATTATCATGCACTTTTGTTGACTGTTTCTTATCTGCCACATTTGTACCTCTTTGTTTTCTTAACTTCTCTATTCTATTCCCTTACATTTGACAATTTTTCTTTTTCTTTTCTTTTTTTTATTTTTTATTTATTTATTTTTTTTACATATGACAATTCTTGACAAGTACTCTACTACCATTTGACAAGTACCTTTGTCATATGATATTTCTTAATCGGTTACTCGATAGACAGTCAAGTTTTGCTTACAGCTGTTGGATGCTGTTGGATGATTTTAAAACAAATCCAACGGTGACTATTCCCCTATGCCGTTGGGTTGTTGCTCCACCCAGATTTTCTTTGTAATTGGCCCATTGAGCCCAAAAGAAGAAAAAAAAATTAGTGTAATGGGCTGGGAACTTCTCTCTCTCTCTCTCTCCTCTCTCTCTCTCTCTCTCTCTCTCTCTCTCTTTGTGTTGTGTACAGGTTTGTAATTGAAACTATAATAATAATAATAATAATAATAATAAAATATGCATAAATACTAAGGGTGGCATTTTAGACCGAAAAATTGCAAAAATCAACTGAAAATTTACCGTAATGGAACTGCAATCGCGGGAAACCGAACTGCATTTGAGGTACGAAGAACCGAACCACATTTGTTGTATGAAGAACTGAACTTTATTTGTGGTTGCGGTTGTGGTATTTGATTTTCAAAACTTGCGGTTACCGCAAACCGCGACTATATTTATAAATAAATAAAAATTGCATTTTGTATATAACATTGGTGCTCAAACAACACAACGGGGTCCTTCAAATCCACTCACCACCATCAACACTTGAGTTTGTAACTTTAATTTGTAATTGGTGCATTGCATTTTCCTTTTAGTTTGTAACTTCAATTAACTTTGAATTGGATTTTTCCTTTGGGTTGTAACTTTAATTCATTTTGCATTGCATTTTCCTTTTGGTTTGTAACTTTAAAGGATTTGGAATTAGAATGCTTGAGAAGTTGAGGTTGTGAATGCTTGAGAAGTTTAACTTTAATTTTATTTAGGTTGTGAATGCTTGAGAAGTTAAGGTTGTGAATTTATATTTTTGGGTTAAAGTATGCTTGAAATCAAAAGGCTTCAAAAGAATCATCAAAATTAGGCATAAAATGTGGAAGATTAGATTTTTATAACACAAAAAGAACTTGCGGTTTTAAACCGCTAATTCATGGTAACTGATCACTTTTTGCAGTTTCAAAAATCACCATAACGCAAATAGTTGGTCGGTTTGCGGTTTGGGCAAAAATTCACGGTTACCGAATAACAACCACTCCTAATAAATACCACATGAAATTTTGGGTATGTGCATTATTACTACCTAAACTTTTTATTTTTATTTTTTACCATCTAAACTTTGTAAAGTGTTATAATTCACCACATACATCAAACTCTGTTAAAGTTTCCGTTAAATCAAGGTATGCACATATGATTTTTTTTTTTTAAAGGGAAATTTGCATAAATACCACCCGACCTTTTAGGCAAGTGCGGCAATACCACCTTAACTTTTAATTTTAATGATCTTAGTTTTGTAAAGTATTGCAATCCACCACTTATGTCTAACCCCGTTAAACTTTCCCTTAAGTTTAAAGGTATTTTCATATGTTCCTTATAACTAAAAATAAATTTTAAAAACATAATATTAAAAAAATTAAAGAAAGATGTCATTAGTGTTAATCCACCCTATGCATCAGTGTTCAACCAAAATTTATTTTGGAACACATGACCAGTAGCCACCCCACACCCCCCCTCCCATTCCACAATGTATGATTCTCTTTCTTCATTATTTGTATAATAATAAGAATATTTCTCTCTTTTTTTTTTTTTTTTTTTTTTGTTTGACACAAAATAATAGGAATATACTTAAGCAATGTATGACGATTAAGAAGTTATAAGATAGAAAATTTAAACACTTCTCTTTCACTTAATATCAGATTGCCATGATCCTATTATTAAATCTTTCGCCTTCCTGCATTTCTTGGCTTGTCGTTCAATTCAATGAAATTTATTAATTTTGAAAAAGAAAAAAAATTCAAATTGCAATTACTCTCTCTTCCCCTATATCTAGTGAATTCACAAAATTTAACATCAAAGACTAGAACTTGAATTTTATAACTTCATCATAGTTTTGGGAAGGAAACAGTTTTCTTCGTATTACATACTTCTTGCTAAATATCCCAAAAATTTCATAAACATTTGCCATTGGCAAACTAGTTCTAAAACAAGTGCAGTCCTTATAATGGACATGCCTATAATAAACTGCAAGTTAATGGAAAAAAAACATAAAAATAACCAAGCAGTTAAGCCTTCCATGATCTCCAAATCTTTGTCTTTTTAGTTGGAGATTTAAGCCTAAATTTCCTTGTGGTGTGGGTTGTCACAGAAGAAATGGGTTGTGATTCCATTAGCAAGCTAGAGCTTGGTTGGTCTATAACTGTATTTGCAATTCAATTTCAATAGCCCACGTCAAGATTCCAAGAGATAGAAAAATATATAAAAATTCTGTTTTTTACATTTATTTTTAGTTATAAGGAAAGGATGAAAATACCCTTAAACTTAACAGAAATTTCAAAGAAGTTAGACATAGGTAATGAATTGCAATACTTTACAAAGTTCATGTGGTTAAAAATAACAATAAAAATTCAGGTGTAATAGCACACATGCCTAAAAGTTTAGGCGATGTTTAGGTGAATTTCCCCCAAAAAAAAACAGGAAAAAAAAAGAAAAACGAAAATTCTTCCTTTATGGTCAAAATTCGAACATCACAACTGGCTTTGCTGTGTGGAGGACTCTCCGACTAAAATAGCCTCTTCATCGTCTTCAAGTCTAGTTTCGAAGCAAACCCAATCTTGGGTTTGGTTTATTGGAAGAAAGGTTTTTATGATACTAAGATATATAGTTATAATTCGATAATAATTCTTCATATTGAAGGCAAACCCGATATGATATACGAATAGATGGGGAATTTATTCGTGAAGAAGCCCAAGATCACCGAGGTCGATCGAGCTATTCTCTCTCTCAAGACTCAGAGACGCAAGCTTGCTCAGTACCAACAACAGGTACAGTTATTACTATTTTTTTTTCTCCTTATGGTCAATTATCTCGTAATACTTTCACGTTTTGTGAATTGCGATTTTTCTTTTTTAAAATTTCTGTTGTGGGTTCTGTGTAAAATTTTGGTTTATGTTCTCGTTAGTCAGTGGTAATATTGAGAAAAGGAAAACTGTGGCTCTGATCTCAAACGGGCAACAGGAAATTAACAGTTGAAAATGGTCAACATAGTTTGCGTTTTAAAAGTTTGTTTTTGTTTGTTTTTGGTAAGTGGAGAAAATTAGTTTTATTAAGGATGTGAATTTGCGTAAGCTTTTGAATTTTCGATGAAGGATAATAATTGGGTTCACATATCTAGATGATTTTTGACAGCATTTGTTATAATTTCTTATGTTGGTTCCATTTCTGTTATCCACCTTTTCCAGCTTGAAGCTGTAATTGAAGCCGAAAAGCAAGCTGCAAGAGATTTGATTCGCGAAAAGAAAAAGGAAAGAGCTTTGTTAGCATTAAAGAAGAAAAAAGCACAAGAAGACTTATTGAAGCAAGTTGATACCTGGGTTATCAATGTTGAGCAACAGGTGAGTAATATAACGCAACCGTGCAACTTCTTTTGTTTGTTTCAATTTTGTTTGCTCTTTTGTGGTCATTGGTAAGAATTAAGCCTATGAACACTTCATCCCATTGAATACTTTTACATTTGTGCCTAGATTGCTATGATTTTGTTACTGCATGTGAGCAAGTAATGACTTAGTTCTGTTTGTTTCTGCTCTACTTAGAAGTTGATATTTTTTCAAGAAAAAAACATGTTGACAATCCACTATACATTTTGGTTCAGTTGCTAGATATTGAACTGACAAGCAAGCAGCAAGCTGTATTTGAGAGTTTGAAGGCTGGTAATAATGCGATTAAAGCCATACAAAGTGAGATCAACCTTGAGGATGTTCAAAAGCTAATGGATGATACTGATGAAGCTAAAGCTTACCAAGATGTGAGCTTGATTTATTCTCTTTTATTTTGTTGGTTTTTATTTATTTATTGCGCACTTCAAAATTTAGTATTTCAACTGAGCTTGCTTGGATTGCATTCTTAGAATGATCTTCTCTGTGAAACAATTTTTTGGCCATTTGTGAAGCTTTTTTTTATTTCTACAAAGTATTAAAATTTCTGGTGTTGGTTATGTGCCAATTCATATTCTCTCTCTCTCTCTCTCTCTCTCTCTCTCTCGTATTAGACACTTATAAGGGTACTTTAGTATCTGAGGTTTTCCTTCTTTTTCTCTTTCTTTGGTATGGGAGACTAAATGCTAGGAATGGTGTTGTTTTTTATTATAAATGAAGAGTTGTGGAAATATTTCTGGGTTGAGTTTGTTTCCCAACTCTTTTCCTCACAGGAAGTGGAGGATATCATGCCCTTGTTTTGAGTTTCCGAAAAAAAATGCACCATGAATTTCTTAAAAAGGGTGTTGAACATGTAAAGGATCATATCTCTGCTCTGGATATATAGGCATGCTGTGAATTGAAAATAAGCCATATGTTCAAAATTGACATGACCTTCAGCTCACCCAATCTCCTAGTGTGCCCCCCTCCTCCACCCCCCACCCCCCAAAAAAAAGTCATCAAAATCTGGTTTATAAAAAATACAGAAAGATGTGAGTGCATATTTACCTCTATGTTGGTTTTGTTTTCATGAACTTCTTGTCCCCACAAGCAGTGGAGGAAACCCTGGTATAGTTTGGTATTTTCACTTATGTTTAACCCCTTATATACTGCTCTTGTTTTCAGTCTCCAAATAAAATTGCATATGGATCATTGTGAATTGATTTTCTTAAAAATGTATTACATGTAAGGGATCATATATATATGCTATGGTTTAAGTAACCATGGAATGGTGAACTGAAAATAAGCCATATGTAAAGGATCATATCTATAAGCTATGGTCAGCCACCTTGTAAATGCCGTACTTTCCATCCCCTCTTTGTTTGATGAGAAATACCTACTTTATTTGTTGCTCCTGTGATCTCATAAAAAAATCACTGCTCCTGTGTTTTTCACATCATTTGTGCATATTGCTGTAATGGCCTTATTATAAATCAATGATGACATCAAAACTTTAGCTTCATCTTTGTGTAGCATCTTCTCTGTCTTAATTTGTTCTTTTTAATAATTTCTGCCATTTCTATGATAATTTTGATAGGAAATGAATGCAATCTTGGGGGAGAAATTATCAGCAGAAGATGAAGAGGATATTTTGGCAGAACTTGAGAATTTGGAAGCTCAGGTATGGTATTTCTGTTCTAATAACAATCTCACCAATCCTAAGAACATTGCAATTTGGTGTCTCATCATCCCTTTTCCAGCAGTGCAGGACTTCTAAGATAGAGAATAGGTAGATGCGCAGTGCCATATCCCACTTGCTTGTCACTTGCAACTGGGATGTTCGGTAACTGGTGTTTAAGCCTTTACAAGTCTAACATATATTCTAATCTGAAATTTACATCTTAAAAAAAAAAAAAAAAAAAAAAGAAAATTGAATTCTTGGGAACATTAAATTGTTGCACAATGTACAAGGCATGTTTTATCCCTCTATTACCTTAATTAACGGTGAAGTTAGTTTTCTCAGCGAAAAAGTGGTAAAGTTAGTTTCCTTCTCCTTCACTTAACTCTTCACTCTCTTGAAACCCTCCTTTGTTCTCCTTCTTCTCTCTCCTTGTTGAAATTCTTGAGAAACCAAACTTGTGGTATGAGGGTTTAGTTTCTGGGTTCGTTAACTTAGATACGTAAATCAATAGTATGAAAGGGTCTATTAAAAATATCATTTTCAAATTAGATACATAAATTTAAAATTTTTCCTTGATATTTTTTCTTTTGTCTTCTTCTTGTTCTTGTTAGTTTTCCCTTTAAGTTTCTGGGTTGTGTTTATAGTTATTTTGGGGACACTGAGATGCAAAGGGCAAAGGGGCGAGGTTGGAGAATGAAAATTTAAAATTTGGGAGTTTTTCCTTTGCTTTTAAAATCTTGTCTTCATATGTTGCTTCTGGTATGGAGGCAAAGTGTCGGAATGAGTGGAGGGTGAACTAAGGATGGACAGGACATGGTCTATGATGTTTTTTTTTCAATAAAATAATAAAAATACACACTTTATATATTGTGCAACAATGTAATGTCCCAATAACTAAAAAAAAAATGCCGTTCTTTTCTTGTGAGACCCATTCTACAATGTGGTCCTATGATCCAAACCATGGATTTTCACCACTTATTGTATACTTGAAGCAAAATTCTTACAGAAATCCCCCAAGAGGTTAGTTCTTACCCACATGGCTCTCTTACCTTTCAAACGAAACACAGGATGAATATGAACTCCTTGTGCGGGCATTTTGTTGTTTTACAATGACTGCTATTGAGCCCTATGTTTGAGGTCTCTGAATGGATCTTCATGTGTTTTCGAAGTGGATCTCGCAGATTTTCTGTTACCAATTAAATCATTTATGAACTATTTATATATCAAATTATGGCATGTACTTTCCTTTTTTAGGTTGTCTTTTGTTTTGATGGTTTCTCTATGTTGGCACATTGCCACCCACCGCATAGCACATGATTGTGTCTAATCTAAAAGTGAAACTCCCCGCCCTTTTTCAGATCACTGTTCAAGATCTGCCTAAAGTTCCTGCTTCTGTGGTGTCTCCTCAAGAAGATGAGAAGTTGGACCTTCCCGATGTACCAACCAAAGCACCAGATGCACCTGATGCAATCACATATGATACCGAAGTTTCCTCTAAGAAAAAAGGTCTCTCTCTCTCTCTCTCTCTCTCTCTCTCTCTCTCTCTCTCTCTCTCTCTCTCTCTCTCTCTCAATTGCAAATGCAAATGCTTGACAATATTTTTGAATATGCAGTTATGGAAGAACCATTGGTGGCTTGATTGGATTGAGCAGTTGAATTAGGTTTACATATTGTCAAAGCTGTTTACAAACTTAAACTGTCCATCCATTCTGCATCCAAGCATGTACCAGTAAAAATTATTTTTGTGTGGAGAACGTTGATTGTGTGCTTGTTTCTTTCGCCCCAAATTGGATTGTACAGATATGTATTGCTCAACTCAGGCCTAAGAAAATAAACTCTCACATCATATATTTCTTCACATGATGAACAAAGAAAAGAAACAGGTGTGCTTGGAGATGAAACTTGTCCAATTTGAAAATCAAATCATTTGCGAAATTGTTACGTTGTGCTGGGATTTCAAATATATTAGTTCTTGTTTGTTGAGGCCCAAAAAATCTACGGTTGGGCCCGAATAAATTCATGGCCCAATACGACACCTTATTAAGAAAAGACCCAATTTGGAGCACACGAAAGTCCACCATGCACAAGTCACAGTCCACGTGCCATGCCAAATAAATAATTCGTCATGTTAAGGATTGAGATAAAAATCATAAAATACACTAGTTCTATGAGTTCATGCTAATTATTCCGTCAAGCATCATGATAAAAAGCATGGCACGCCAAGCGGGAAATCATTATTTCCTACCCCAATCATGCTACAAATCTAAGTGGGCCCAAGCCACTCAAATGTCCGGGGCTTGCTTGAGTGGGTTGTGGTATGGATGGTAATGAATTGTCATGAGGCCCATTGATGAGCCGAGAAATGGAAGTCCCGGGTTGCTTGGGAGCCCCAGAACTCAAGCTTATTTCTTAGGCCCAAACATGTGGGTGAGCATAGAAGAGAAAGTAAATACACCCATGCCATGAGAATTTTAGGCTTCTTTCATAAGATTTGAAATCTTATATTGGATACTTACTTTTCCACCCATGCCATGAGAATTTGAACGAACCAATTCGTTTCGAAGCTTATTGCATCTCGGTCTTATGTGCCCACAAGTTCCACAAAAGTGACAAATTGGAATAAATTTCTTGACTTCATGAGAGGCAGAAGGTTCAACAAGTGAAGTGGATTTGACAAACTTTGTTTTAGACACAGCGGAAGACTTATTACTTGGTTCAAATCCCAAGCCTCGTTTGTCACCATCTCTTTGTCCCATGCTAATCATCTTGTCAATTTTTTCTGCACCAATGGTTAAAGAAACAATCCTTTCTTTTGAATTTTTAAGTTCAAGTTCAAGGGCTTTGTTGTCAGAAGTTAGAGAAGCAATTAATTTATTCTGATCAGTCAATTTTTTCTGCAAAAACATCAATTTTTCGTTCATATCTGCACTTACCTTTTCGGAATCTGCATCAAGGGATTGAAACTCGTTTGCAATCCTGCAATTTTCCAGCTTCAGCACAGCAACTTCTTTGACGAGCTCACTATTTTGTTTACTGAGCTTCTGAGATGCAGCCAACAAATCATCATATTTGTTCATGATAAACTCAATATTTATACCTTTACAATCATCATCCTCACGTGATTCATCCAAGCTAACTGTGGTTATAAGTGCAACCGTCTTTTCATCATTCTCGCATTCCGATTAACTATCACTCCAAGTAGTATGCATTGCCTTATTCTTGCCATCCTTTTGTTTCTTTAAGGTGTTGGCACATTCCGAAGATATGTGTTCATAGCCTTCACATTCGAAACATTTGACCTTTTCTCTTGGATTCTTTCGTTCATTTAACCTGCGAAATTTAGATCCACCATCAGTATAGTTAACAAACCTATTTTTTGAATTTATACCTTTTGAATCTCGGCTCCTTGGATCCTGATTCTTGAGAAAGTTCATGAATCGTCTTGTGAGAATCGTTAATTCCTCATCACTGCAATCTTCATTTGAATGCCCGTCATCTTCTTCATTCACAACCTTGAAAGCAACATTTTTGCTCTTTTTAGGAGGTAGATGTTTCATCTCATAGGTTTGTATGGACCCTATGAGTTCTTGAACTTTCAAGGTGTTCAAGTCACGGATCTCTTCAATAGCCGTGATCTTTGGTTGAAACCGTTGAGGCAAGGATCTCAAAATCTTTTTCACAACTTTATCTTCTGGAATTTTTTCAGGTTTAAAGTTTCATTCTCATCCATCATAAGTGTCTCAAACTGTAAAGTGTACATTTGAAGCTTGGCTCCCTTGACAATATCTGTTCCTTCATGAGTAACTTGCAAAATATCCCAAGCTTCCTTAGAAGTATCAGAAGCAGATATATATTCAAATTGATCGGAAGAGACGGCAGTAAATAAAGCATTTAACCCCTTTTGATTATTAGTGCTATGTGTGACTTTTGCAGTGGTCCACTCCTCTCTAGTTTTGAGGACTGTGGTTTCTTCATCTCCTTTTCCAATCGTCTTTGTGGGTTTAGGAAATCCATGAACCACTGTGCTCCATACACATTCATCTAAGGACCAAAGAAACGACTTCATTTTGGCCTTCCAAGCGCCATAGTTGTTGCCATCGAAATATGGTGGATGTGCAATTGAGCTCGAGGCACGATCCATCCTAAGGTATGTTAGATCTTGCTGAGTATGTCCAGCAACCTGCTCTGATGCCAATTGAAAATACCTGCAGGATGACTCAAAATGCCTAGAGAAGGGTGAATAGGCCAATTTAAGATTCTAATCAAATAAATAAAAATAAACTTCGGTAGCAGGATTGATATGGCTTATCAATCCTGTAACGTGCTGGGCATAAAATAAAAGAACACGCAGAGAATTATTTTACGTGGTAAAACCCCACCTCTGGGGAAAATTCACGGGACTCTTCAGTCCAACACAAATCCACTATAGAACGATGATTACAAGAAGTACTCACACACTTATCCTAGACACATTCTAGATAATGTTTACCGACTTCTTCGTAACTCAACTTTTGTCACGGGATGATCTTCGACACTCCTTATGTTGAACGCAATACTGGTCACGATTGCTTCAAGCTCACCGGAGGAAAACCGCCACCACGGTCTTGGTGCCCTCAACCGTATGAGTCACCGACATGCATATGAATGCAATGTGAATGATTAAAGTGTTTGATAAATCACCAAGTAAACATTGAACACTTGATGATTTATCTCAAATATACGCACAACAGCTTTTCTTAGAATTCTATATGCTCAAAACAAATATCTCAAAAGCTGTACAAATAAAAGAATGGCACATGATCTTTTATACAAGACTTGTTCTCTCTCATGGGAGAGAAACCCAATAGGCCATGAATATTAAACTTCCTATTGCACCACAACCTATCATCAATAAGAGATTTGATTCACCTTGGACTCAAAGTAATGACGCCTCTCTTTAAACCAAATTAACTAAGAGGTAAGCAACGTGCAAAGTCACAATAGGAAAAGATAATATTTTAACTTCAATTAAAATAGAGTTGAACTATGAAAGTAATCTCAAGAGATAAAATCTAATCTTATTAAAAATAAGATTAACATAAAAATACTTGAGTGAAAATAACTCCAACTAGGAATCCTATAATGAATGCGTGATTATGTCATGATTTACCTGAGGTCAAGATTCTCATATGGTCAGGGCATGCCTCGGAAGTGTGGGGTTGAAAGAGTAGTGACAAAGCGTTCAATAACAATTCCTCACAAACTAATTTTCACCCTATACTAAAGTCTAGGAAATGCCAATACGAATTTCGTACTAACAGCTTATAAAAAAAAAAAGCATTTCCTACCCATCATCTAAAAAAAAAACCTACATCTAGAGAGCAAGTTTCATCTCTCATCTTTGAAACTCTGCAATTTCGTGCCTATTCCTCAATCTCCTTCCATTTTCTCTTATGGCAAGTCATTCCAGAGTCTGACATAGCTTTTGTCAGGCTGCTGGAAAATTACCCAAAACACCCAATACTTCACCACTAGCCACAACCCACATCTAGAGAGCAAGCTTCATCTCTCATCCCTGAAACTCTGCAATTTCGAGCCCCATCCTTCCATCTCTCCCCATTTTCCTTTTTGGTAAACTTTTCCAAAGTTTGACAGAGTTTTTGTCGAGCTACCGGAAACTACCCAACACACCCACTACTTCATCACTAGCTAAAAACCACCACTTCCAGAGAGCAAGCTTCCTCTCTCACCTATGAAACCCAGTGAATTCATGCTCTATTCATCCTTTTCCCCCCAAGAAACACATAGCTTTCTCTTCAGTGCTAAACTCATGACAATTTTGCTTCCATGCCACAAGCCTCTCATGTCAAGGTAAAAAATCTATCTGCAAGATGTTGTTATTTTTGTTGGTGAAGGTAACCAAGGTGTTTCCTAAGGCTTCACTATCCTTTTGAAGCATTTTTGGGGCTTGATATTCGAATTCAGACATAGGGGATAATTTCATCAATCCGCTCTTTAAGGCAACCCAGCCCATTTATAGCTATCGAAAGAAAAAAGCCCCTACACTATTATGAAGTTCTAACTTTCAGTAGTTACTCTTAGGCCTTCTCCAACCACGGGAGGCAAAACCCAAAATTTGGGATTTTTAGCCCAAAACCTTCTCCAACCAATGTAGTGGGGGGAGGGGGGGGGGGGGGGGGGGGGGGTGGGGGGGGAGGGAAGTGGGGCAGGGGTGGGGGGGAATTTGGTCCTAGATTCAAGTCCAGCGAAATTTTTGTGGGGCCTAATTTGCAGTAAACAAGAGCCACATGGGGCATCATTTAAAGCAAATGATGGGTTGTTGCCCACTACTCCAAGTTCCTGGTCACGTATCAAAGCTTAGGCAACTTAAAAATTGCACTTCAATGGCTGCATTTCAAATGGGTTGTTTTCAATATATCTTTTTTCAAACCTAAAGGCTAGAAATCAATGGTTGATATTAAAATTTGGCTGGATACAACCTCAAAACATATCATAAACTCTATAAATACCCATCAATTTGTTAATAAAATTATCTTTGTAAAATTTCAAAATGTTGACGTCAAAATGTTCGAAAAAATAAATCACGGGGTAATATGCAAAAATTAACTAAAAAAATTTAACCACAAAAACAAAATAGGATTATATTATTCTTTAACAATTTAATAAAGTTGCGGTCTCAAATTATGAGTTCGCAAGGTTGGAGGAAAAAAACAGCTTGAGTCCTAAAAGTATAGAAATAGTTGTATTTTGGAGGGTGAAATTTTGGATTTGAGTCCTCTAAGGTTAGAGACGGCCTTAGAAGGGGTTTCAAGAATCAACCTGTTTCTGTTTGTTGGCGATGTGACTTTAAGTAGAAGTAAAATGGTATGAAAATTTCTTTTTGGAGCTCATTTCTTCCATTCACTTTTGACTAGCCTAGAGATAAGGGCAAAATAATTGTATGCATGAGAGCATCCTTTATGTTTGGATGGGCGCTCTAGAAATATACAAACCTACCAATCTCCAAAGCAATGATCCAATGTGAAACCTGCCATGAAACTTGTGGACAAGCGACACAAGGCATATGGGATTATGCAATGCAATGCAAGACTAGAAATTGGAGCCTGCACCACAGCTTGTGCCAAAGAACATGTTGAATATCTAAGTTTTGAATACAGTAGTGTAAACAACTTGTGAAAATTGACTTGTTTTTTTAATGAAATCAGAGACCTAGTTTAAATAGGCTTATTGAAACAACTGAACAGGAAAACAAGGAAAATAATATCATGCATCTAATAGTCCTAGATTTATGGGGTTCTCCAAAAGAATATATCAAATGCTAACTAAGTCCCTAAGAAATAGGGATTATTAACACAACAAAACAACAGCTAAATATCTAACAAACCTTCTCTTAAACTGAATGCTACTCAAACAATCAGTTTATAGAGGAAATAGAATAGACTCCAAGCAGTCCTTGTAGCTTCACAAACGTTTCCAGCTTCAACAGTTTGGTTAATATATCTTCAATTTGATCTTGCCTCTGACAATACACCAGCTTAACCACTTCTTCTTTTGTAAGGTCGCGAAGAAAATGAAACCTAACGTCTATATGTTTACTTCTCCCATGTAACACAAAATTCTTTGAGAGTTTAAATAGACCAATGTTACCCCAACCTAGTTACAATGTATCTCTTTAAGAATTCTTCTTAACCGAACAGCTTGGCAAGCACAAGAAGTTGCTGCTATGAATTCAGCTTCAGTTGTAGATAAAGTAACAACCTACTGCTTCTTTGAGGACCATGAAACAGCTCCTAAACTTAGCATAAAGACTTGACCAGATGTACTCTTTCTATCTTCCAAATCTCCTGCATAATCACTATCACTAAAACCAATTAATTGATTTCCTTTTCCTTTCTTGTAGAACACACCATAATCAACAATACCTTTCAAGTGTTGAAGCACTCTTTTTGCAGTTTAAAGATGATGTTTAGTTGGAGCTTCCATGAATATGCTGATGAGACTAACCACAAACATCATGTTTGGCCGAGTGGCTAATAAATACATTAAGCTGCCAACAATTTGTTTATAAAGAGTGCTGTCAACTCTTACTCCTTCTTCATCTTTCGTGAGCTTACAACATGGAACAATTGGATTTTGAACATAATTGCAATCATTCATTTGAAACTTTTCTAAAACTTCTTGAGCATACTCCCTTTGGCCAATGAAAAGTCCAGCTGATGATTGCACCACTTCAATACTTAAAAATAATGCATCTTTCCTAGATTAGTCATATCAAACTCATCCATCATAGATTTTTTGAACTCAACAAACATTATTTCATCATTCCCAGTGAATATCAAATCATCTACATCCAGACAAACAAGCATAAAATTACCTCCTTCTTTAGATTTGACGTACAATGTATGCTCATAGGGACATTTTTGGAAGCCTTCCTTTGAGAAGTAAGCATCTATACGACTGTACCAAGCTCGAGGTGCTTATTTCAGTCCAAATACAACTTTTTTTAGTCTATAAACTTTATGCTCACCCCCTTTATGCACATAACCTAGAGGTTGGTCAATGAAGACTTCCTCATTCAACTCACTATTAAAGAATGCAGATTTTACGTGAAGCTGATAAATGGGCTAAGAGTTATGTGCTACCAATGAAACCACCAAATGAATGGTGTCATGTCTTGCAAGTGGTGCAAAAACTTCAGCATAACCAATGCCATACTCTTGTGTATACCCCTTAGCCACTATCCAAGCCTTGAATTTGTCAACCTCTCCTTTCTCATTTAGCTTTGTTTTGTAGATGCATTTAACCCCAATGGTTTTTCCTCCTTTAGGAAGATCAATTTATTCTTTATAATTGCTTCTATCTTTGCATCCATAGCTTTCCTCCATTTTAAATTCTTGACAGCATCATTAAATACTATAGGATCACTATCTGCAAATAAAGCAAGATAAGCAATAATTTCTTCATCATATAATTCATCCCCACTTACATAATCTGTCATCCAATAGGGCCTTTTTCTTGGACGTTGATCATCTGAAATTGACTTCAATTTCAGCTAGCTGATTTGATGGAACATCTGACAACCTACCTCCTTGAGATTGCTCTTCCTCTTCAGTCCCGCTTTCATCATTAGTATCTAAATCAAGATCTGATTCGTTTCTTATGCTACTCCAATTTGAGTTGTTAACGTCACGACTAATGATTAGTTTATGAGTGAGTGGATTAAATAGTCTGTATGCTTTGGATTCACCCATTTGTCATCAAGTTTGCTTCTCTTTGCGTTAGGTACATTTGCATAGGCCAAGCATTCAAATATCCTGAAATGATCAACTGATGGTTTATGCCCAGCCCATACTTCCTTTGGTGTCATGTTCTTTACAGCAAGTGTAGGACTTCTGTTCAACACATGAATGCTCCATTTTACAGCTTCAGGCCAAACAGTCTTAGGAATGTTCTTTCTTGCAATCATGCTTCACACCATATTCAGGATTGTGCGATTTTTCCTTTCTGCCACACCATTCTGCTGTGGTGTGTATGTTGCAGTAAGCTGTTTACGAATGCCATTCATCTCACACAAGTTAGTGAATTCATGTGAGGTAAATTCACCTCCATGATCAATACGAAAAACCTTTATGGTTTGGCCAGTTTCTTTTTCAACTTGAGATTTAAATCTTTTAAATACAACAATAGCCTCAGACTTTTTCCCAAAAAAATAAACCCATGTTTTTCTACTGTAGTCATCAGTAAATGTAATGAAGTACCTTTTGTTACTATTCGGTGTGGGATTAATTGGCCTGCAAATGTCTGAATGGACTAGCTAAAGTGGTTATGTGGCTCTCCATGTTGCTTGCCAATGATACAATCCTCACAAACCTTTGAGGGAAATTGAATATGTGGAAGTCCCTTCACCATTTTCTTTTGCTGCAAGGTTTTTAGCCCATTAAAGTTCAAATGCCCATATCGATAGTGCCACATCTATGAAGGATCTTGTAATGTTGATTTGTGACATATCTGATTGGCATGTTGAATCTGAGTGTGTAAGGAAACATTCGATGTGGATGATGAATTTGACAGCAATCCTTTTGAATGATGATAGCACAACCCTTTTCTTGTAATTGACGAAGAATTATCAAGTTACCTTTGAGTGCTAGAACATAGAACACGCTAGTAATAGAGTGCATGTTGTTATTAATCATAATTTTAATATTACCCTCCCCCATGACACAAATACTAGTATTGTTTCCAAGCTTCACATTCTCCCTAAAAGTCTCATCTAAATCAGAGAATAAGAGTTTGTTACCACTCAAGTGATTGCTGCAGCCAGAGTCTAAGTACCATGTATCACCTGAGTTAGTCTCTTTTTTGTCGATGTAATCAAAAGCATCTATTATTTAGTTTCAACAAAGTTCATGTTTGTTTCCTTCTCTTTGTCAGGACATTCATATTGGAAATAGCCAAGCTTATAACAATGATAGCATTTCACACTTGCCTTGTCAAATAATGCTCATTTACCTCTTCTTCTTCCTCGAAAGCCACTGCGTCCTCTGCCTCTCCCAGTGGATGTTTCTCTATGAATGTTAACTTTCAAGGCTTGTTCCTCTACAAGATGACTAGTCATTCTCTTCTCATGTACCAGTAATGAGCTTTGCAACTCAACACACCACATAATCAAATTTGGAAGTCATTGATCGAAGAAGTTTCTCTATGATTGCAACATCTCCCATTTTCTCGCCATGAATACGCATCTTGTTTGCAACTGACAGTGTTCTTGCAAAATAATAATCGACTGACTCCTCTCCCTTCATGTGAAGAGTCTCAAAATCTTTGCGAAGAGCTTGAAATTGTGCTCATTTGACCCTTGTCTTGCCTTGATATTTCTTTTTCATGGAGTCCTATATCTCTTTGGTAGTGTCCTTCTTGAGGATGGTTTCCAGGATGGTACGATCTATTGCCTGGAACAAGGTAATTCTTTTCCTTCAAATCTTTCAGCTTTTGGTCATCTACCACCATTTGTGCATCAATCAAAACTACACCTTCTGCTGGTTTAGCAATCCTATTCTCAATAAGATCCCAATACTCTTTAGATCTTAGAAAGTTCTCCATTAGCATGCTCCAATGGTCATAGTGACCATCAAAGCGGGGATTTCTGGTGGGGAAAAACTATTGTGCTCTGACGCCATGTGATCTTGTTGCTGCAAATGAGAAGCCTGCAGCTTCCATGATAATCAAGCCCCTTGATGGAGCTCTGATACTAGATGTTGAATATCTAAACTTTGAATACAATAGTGTAAACAACTTGTGAAAATTGACTTGTTATTGAATGAAATCAAAGACCTAGTTTAAATAGGCTTATTGAAACAACTGAATAGGAAAACAAGAAAAACAATATCCCACGTCTAATAGTCCTAGGTCTATGGGATTCTCCAAAAGAATAGATCAAATGCTACCTAAGTCCCTGAGAAATAGGGATTATTAACAAAACAAACAACGGCTAAATAGCGAACAAAACATTAATGTCACTCGAACTGAACGTGAATAAAGATGATCATAGAAAAACAAGTCATAGTCTTTTTCTATCTAGAACCAATTGATACCATGACCTCCATAGTGCAAGGGCCACAATAGAAAGCAATGGGTGGAGTCGTCTATGTTCCTTGTTAGGGTTTTTCCGGTGACTTTTGTATTCATTGGAAACTTGGAGTTCAGGTTGTATTTCTTTCATCTTCCCTTCGGCATCTCGATGTCAGGATTACTTTTCTAAATCATATGTTACGAGATTTATTGGGTTTTATGGCCATCTAGATCCTAGTCAACGACCTCATTCTTGGGAATTGTTACGTAGATTGAGTCAGGTGGACTCTGGTGCCTGGATGTGCTATGGTGATTTCAATGAAATCCTTTCTGTGGATGAAAAGAGTGGACCTCGTATTCAGTTGGCTGGCCAAATTTATGAGCTCCAACGTGCTATTAAGGATTGTCACTTGCTGCCACTTGATTTTGTGGGTTATCCTTTTACTTGGACGAATAACCGAAAAGACGCTGCCAATGTTCAAGCACATTTAGACCGGGGTTTTGGTAATTCATCTTTGTGTTTAGACCGGGGTTTTGGTAATTCATCTTTGTGTCAACAGTAGGGCAATTTTACCATTTATCATTTAGTGGCCTATTCCTCAGATCATCAACCAATTTTGTTACTTCTTGACACACAACCCAATGATGCTACTTAGTGTAGGAGGGGTCCACCTTGTTTTCGTTTTGAGGAGCAATGGGTCACAGATAAAGAATGTGAACATATTATTCAGGCGGGATGGCATCTTAGGAATCTCCTATGGCTAATCTCTCCCGTTATGCTCAACGTCTATCATCTTGGAAACAACAGAAATTTAGCCATATGAAGTCCAAAATCCAATCCCTGTGCGATTCTTTGAATTAGTTTCAGGCCATAGCTCCCACAAAGAATATTCTATGGAGTAAGAAGTTGGTAGAAAACGAGATGGATAGGTTGCTGGAACTGGATGAACTATATTGGTGGCAACGATCTCGAGTCAATTGGTTAAAATCTCGTGACCGTAATATCTCTTATTTTCACAAGATTGCACATCACAGAGCAAAAACTAATTCTCTGACAGGGATTTTAGATGCTAACAATGTCCTGCAAAAGGATCGTGTGCCGATTGGTAAGGTGTTCTTGGATTATTATAATGGCTTATTTTCTTCTGCTGGTGTCACTATGAGTAGTGATATTTTTGAGGCAGTCACTACATGAGTTCCCCAAATGACCCAACATTTTTTGTCTCTGGCCTTTACTCCAAGAAGGAACAAATGACCCAGCATTTTTTGTCTCTGGTCACTACATGAGGAGGTGGAAAATACCATTAAAGCCATGGGGCCGACCAAAGAACCTGGTCCAGATGGCATGTTTGCATTATTTTACCAACATTACTGGCATATTATTGGCTTTGATATCTGTCAACTCTGCCTTGGTGTTCTGAATGGAAGTGGAGTGGCTACTTTCAATCATTTGATTACCGTTATTCTGAAAGTTAACTCTCCTTCTTAGGTAATAGAATTTCGACCCATTAGTCTTTGTAATGTTCTTTGTAAAATAATCTCCAAAGTTCTTGCCAAGAGGTTGAAAAAAGCTATGCCATATGTTATGTCGGAATATCAAAGTGTTTTTATTCCCAATCGTATGATATTGGACAACGTTCTTGCGGCCTTTGAAACTGTCCATTGTTTGAAACGTAGAGGAAGGATGGGGCGCCGGAAAATTATTCTAAAACTTGATATGGCTAAAGCTTATGACATAGTGGAGTGGGCTTTTTTAGAACACATAATGCGTACAATAGATTTTCCTACCGTTTTATTTCGTTGATTATGTGATGCATTTCTTCTGTTTCTTATTCTTTATTACTAGGGAGCTTTCATTTTAAAACACTATATAGTTTACTAATTTGGAAGATAGGAATACAATTTCACCAAATTAGCATGAGGCCAAAGACTAAAAAGTAGTACAAATTTTACAATAATGTAATTAAAAAACATCAAAATTACACACAATGCCACTCCTTTAAAAGCAAGCACACTATGCCACATGTCCACCTCCGGCAATCTCCCCTCCGGTCAGCTACCACCACCGCCGTCGCTGGCCAACCACCACCACCTATGGCCTGACAACCTCCTTCAGGCTAGCTGTCGTCGTCACCGGTCAACCACCACCACCTGCCATCGGCTAACCTTCTTCCGGCCAACTGCCACCATCGCTGCCACTAGCTAGCCACCACCGCCGCCGCCAGTCAACCCCTTTCAGGCCAACTGCCATCACCGCAGACCAACCGCCGCCACCTACCGCCCATCACCGGCCAACCACCGCCACTTGCCGTCGCCCATCTCCGACCAACCGGGGACTAACTCCATTGCCCTTTATTCACCCTAAAAAAATAGAAGATTTTGTGTTATTAAAGGGACTCAAACTTTAACTCTCAAAGAAGGAAGCCTCACTCACAAACCACTACACCAAACTTGTTTTTGTGATATCTATTCAATTACACAATATTTATATAAACAATCATCGATTAAAAAAATATAAAATAAAATTATTTCAACACAGATTCATGCAAAAACTATAAATAAATAAAACAAAAAAGTAAAACAAAAACAAAAACCAAAACTACAAACAAAACACAAAAACAAAACCATCAAAAGGCCTCGTAGAAGAAGAATTACACAAGAAAATTGTCGTGGCAAACAAACCAAAGAAAGAAAAGGCCAACACAAAACAAAAGAAGAAAACAAAGAAAGGGAAAGCAAAAAAAGAAGCTGGAGAAGAAGAAGAGGAAGATGAGGTTGTTGATTACAACAATGATGTGGTCAGCCTAATATGAGAAAAGATTTGTTATATATCTCTACTGTCATATAATCTTATAACTAGATGCAACAAACGGAAATGGAACAGGAAGTTGCACTGTAGTTTCTGATCAAAAACTACAACAAACGAAAATTGCAACAAACTGAAATTGCTACGTAGTTTATGACAACATTTGCTCAAATTTGCAAAGAAACCAAAAGGCAAAGCCATTATCAAAGTACTAAAACTAAGTTCAAAACACATTTAAGTCGATGAGTAGTTCTAGCATTCCCATAGATTTGGAAAAATTATTCTAAAATTGAAATATGGAACAGGAAACTGCATTGCAGTTTCTGATAAAAAAAAACTGCAACAAACAGAAACTGCAATGCAGTTGAAGAAAAAAAAATGCTTAAATATGAAAAGAAACCAAAAGGCAAAGCCATGATCAAAGTACTAAAACTAAGTTCAATACACATATTAGTAGATGAGCAGTTGTAACATTCCCATAGACTTGGAAAAATTATTCTAAAATCAAAATATGGATTAGGAAACTGCATTGCAGTTTCTGATAAATAAAAAAAATGCAACAAACAGAAACTTTAGTGCAGTTTATGAAAAAAATATGCCCAAAAGTGAAAAGAAACCAAAAGGCAAAGCTATGATCAAAGTACTAAAACTAAGTTCAAAACACATATAAGTAGATGAGCAGTTGTAACATTCCCATAGACTTGGAAAAATTATTCTAAAATCGAAATATGGAACAGGAAACTGCACTGCAGTTTCTTATCAAAAATTGCAACAAACGGAAATTGCAATGCATTTTATGACAAAACATCTGCTCATATTTGCATAGAAACCAAAAGGCAAAGCCATGATTAAAGTACTAAAACTAAGTTCAAAGCACATTTAAGTCGATGAACAGTTGTAATATTCCCATAGACTTGCAAAAATTATTTTAAAATAGAAATATGGAACAAGAAACTGCAGCACTAACAAAACAACAACCCAAAAACTTCATGAAAACAAGCATTGAATGACAGTTGCAAAGGAATATCCACGAATGAAACAATTGCATAATTTTCATTAACTTCAAAAAACATACCTCAGCAGTGTCACTTGTAAAATGGACAAGATTTGATCTAATATCCTAAGTTGTAACTTACTGGCTTCAAGGTCAAGCATTGCATGATCATGAATGTGATATTTACACCAGCAACAACAAATGGATATTCCCAAGCAGCCGGGTTTCTCCCTGCTTTTTCAATAGGCACTGGAAAGATGTCTGCAACAATACATATGTATCAAGCTCTCCTCCATTTTTTTATTATATGGGAAGAGGAGAAAAGCTACTTCTTAATGTTTATAACTTTCTATTTAGACATCAAAGTAACGTCTTACCGAAAACATCTTTGCAAAGAACAACAGGTTCTCCAAAGTAATGAAACCAGCACCTCTGTCAGGTAAAGAATCCGAACTAACCAAGTAGGAGCCAGCACAAATTGACAGAACAAGTTTGACCACAAAATCTAGGACAACATATGAGTTTTAAAGAAGACAACCTGAAATCAGTAGATGGATCTCTTCCCTGCCATCCCATCTCTTTCCACTGATAAAGCTTTTCTGTTTCTCTAGAATCGGCCAATCTGCAAGCTCTAAAGTTGTTTTCTTCTTTGGAGAGATAGCTCATCATGCTTGGAAACTTGGGAGAGGAGACCAACGTCTTGTTAGGAACAAAACTCTGCCTACAGCCATCTCCTTTATCTTGATCTCCTGCAAAGAGAGGCCGAAGAGAGATAAGGAGGCTGTGGAGTCAGCGAGGTCGAGGACCTAAACTCCCGTGAGTTTAACCTCAACTTCTAGCAGAGAGAGAATGATGGGAGAGATCTAATTTTGGTCAGGTTTTTAAACAAAAAAGGTAAAATTATATTTTAAATTTGTAATTTAGACATACCCAACGAATCTGAGTCTCCTCTTTGGCCTAATCCAAAATAACAATTCTTTCCCAGGTATTAAAACCCAAACAAAAATACCCAATATCTCAAATACTAATTAGTAAAGTTACTTATGTCTAATACCTAATTTTTCTTTAATTATATCGATGTACTAAACTCTACTCTTTTAGGAGAAAATAATGAATTTAAAAATTAATTACGATAGGAAATACAACTATTAACAAAACTAAGAAACGAGAAAAAAAACATTCAAGATATAAAGATACTATTGAAAAGCCAAAGGGGTCTAGCCCAATGAAAATGAGCATTGACTAGCAGAGTAGTTGTCTTATATTTGAACTTCCACGACACCCTAGTAGTATGTGTGTGAAAAATCCCTCCTCTACATTGTAGTTTAGACTATCGCTTATATTTATTTTTATTTTAAAAAATACATTTGAAAAAAAAAATTAATTATATGCTAAACTTGAACTATTAGTTCTTTTCATAATAAAGACTTAATTTAAATATAAATAAAGGAAAATAGAGTGATTTACAGATTATTATTAAAACCACAATCATAATTGGACATGAGAAGATGCATTAGGGTTCAATTTGTTGAGGATTGCAACGATTTTGGGATAAAAGCTGGTGGAAATAAAACTGCATAAAATGACCATTTTGCCCTTTGTTTTAAGAGAAAATGTAACAAATTATGGCGACTGAACCAAGGTTTTCACCTGACCGTCTTTGCTAGTAGTGCCATCCTCCCCAGACCCATCGGTGGATAAGATCCCATCCTCATGACAAGAGGTGTACACGTTAGCTAGGAGGACTACAAGACCAAATATGTTCAGGACCTTGCTCCTAAAACCTCTATGGGATGCATTTAAAATGACCATTTTGCCCTTAATTTCTCAAAAAATGTAACAGATATGACAACAGGAATAATGGTGCTAACGAAAGTAGAGTTGGGGGACTACAACACCCATTTTCTGAATCCAATGACCAAATGCGAATCGGAAGAAGTTCATGAACTATTGCTCTTAAAAACCCTATATGAGATATAAGGGTTTTTAACTGTAGAGGTCCATAAACTTTACCTCCAGTTGCAATTGGGTCCCCGAACTATTTTTTGAGGCAATTAGGTCATCCAACTCTCTCATCCGTTCTAATTGAGTCCTTCTGTCAATTTGGCTGTTACTTTGGGGGCTAAAACTGTCCATTTCATTAAAATATTTTAAATTTTAAAAATTGAGAAGATAAACTAAAAAAACTGAAAATAAATAAATAAACTTAAAAATAAAAATCCAAATCCAAATCCCTCTCTCTCTTAGCTCTTCCTCTATGTCTCCCCCTCTCTCCCGCAGCCCATTCCCCCTCCTCCTTAGCCCACCCCCTTAAAACCCATATCCCAACCCAACCTGCAACCCACCCCCCATCTCCCAACTAGCATAACCTAGAATCCACCTGCAACCCCATCCCCTCCAGCTCTACCCCTTCGTTGCACTCGTAACAGCATCAGCGCCCTTAGCACCAAAATGAACGCCACCGCAGCCGCCAGCTATGCCACGACGTTGGTCAACGTGGCCAAATCCAACAACACCTTTGCAACCACCGCCATCGGCGTGGAGAAGATCAAGAAGTTCTTCGTCAAGCCATCAATCTTTGACTTCTTCATCAAACCGTCTTTTGTGGTTTCTCAGTTTTTAGCTCTTTTACTCTTTATTTGTTTTCAATTTCCATCACTGTTTTAGAATATTTTTTTTCACTCTTTCAACTCATCCTATTGGGTCCTCAGGTGTCCTGCATTTATATTCTTTACATTCCTTCAAAAAACATTCTACCATTTGTTGCAAAATGCTCCTTGTCATATTTGTCCCTCTTTCTCAGCCCCAAATTGAATTCTGTTACGACATGACTTAATTGGAACTGCTTGTCGAGTTAAAGGATGTAATTGCCTTTAAAAAAAGGTTCACCGACCCAATTGCAACTGGGGGCAAAGTTTAGGGAGGTCTACAGTTAAAAACCCGAAGATATAAATAAATAATTTTTTTAATTAAATATGAAATTTTAAGCGAGCATGTCCAACGATCGTAGATCTATCCAGCCTGAAATTCATGCTGCGCTTAATTTGGCCCGTCCAAAATCGAGTACTGGTGTGCTGGGGCGGTTATCTAATGAGAACAGCTATGTGAGAATCTTATGTGAGAACACCGTTGGATTAACGACTCTGTGAAAAGCAATTGTAACAATTGTAAATGAAACAGTTGTACTAGAATGAGTCCCTCAACTTGTTCTCTCTCCTCTCTCCTTCCTAAATAGTTGTTCAACTTTTTCACGCTCCCTCCCAATTTTTTCACGCTCCGTCTCTTCTTTCTCTGTCCTCTCAATTTCTCTCCTTTCAAACTCCTCTGTATTTCTCTCTCGGTTTCTCTGCGTCGATCTCCCTCCTCCTCCTCCTCGTCTCTTTCTCTGTCTCTGTCTCTGTCTCTCTCTCTCTTCCCTTTCCCTATCACAATTCAAAAATCGAGGCCCAAAAGCCCTATTTACTGCTCTCATTTGATATCTTTTCATTTTCCTCTTCGTTGTGTCCCTCTCTTTTCGTGGTGGTGGAGGAAAATGTAGTAATCTGGCAAAGTCATACTGGTGCTCAAAGATGGGATTTTTACTGCTACCCATCTGGTTGTTCCTGCCATTCTCTATTTGCATCAATATCTTTAATTATGACTTGTTTTTTTCATTTTTGATTACTTGTTTTTCAATTTTCTTTTCTTCATTAATTAATTCGGTCTGTTTGGTTTTGGTTCGATTTTGTCCTCTATAATTAAATTTGGCAGGCGTTGTTTAAAATTGTAATTGGCTTTGAGATTGGACAAAGGTTGGCTTTCGTGATTCTGTGAAGGTTAGTAATCAAGGTTTAAAAAAAATCTTAATCTGTAAGTGCATGTATAGTTGTACAATGTATGGTTAAATAGATGATTATGATTGGTATTGGTTGTTGTGATTGCCTTAATACAAATTTATAAATAAACTCAATCCTAAATCTGTATTTATAAAAAAAAACCCAAATACTATTTAAACATAGAAACACACCCAAAATCAACCCCAAAATCAACAATTGTATATTTTTTGGGTGTGTTTATAAATGAGTTTTGAGTGTGTGTAATGATGGGTTTTTGGTGTGTTTATAAAGTGTTTTGGGTGTTAGACCATCTCCAACCATGTTGGGGCTAAACTCAAATTTCCACCCTCTAAAATACAACTATTCATGTATTTTCAGGACTCAATTTTTTTTTTCCTCCAACCTTGCAGACTCATAATTTGAGTCCGCAACTTTATTAAATTGTTTAAGAATGATTAACCCTTATTTTTTTTTTCTTGTTAATTTTTCTTGACATTATTTTTGTTTCAATACTCGTGATTTAATTTTCTAAACATTTTAACCTAAAAAAATTAAAATTCCAAAACATAATAGAATTTCACTTAAAAATAAAAACAAGTACAACACCATACGTATGCCCGGAATGTAGAATGAAAAATTATAACAAAGGGAGAAAGGAAAAAAATGATTTTTAGTGGATTATTTACCAAATGAATGGCTATTTATAGAGTTTGGAATAAATTTTGGGGTTAGATCTGACTTAGATTAATTATAAGAGTAATGCTACACTTACCACATTATTATCCCACATTTCTATACCACATGATGTGGCATATGACACATCAATTAAATGAATGAAGTGTATTTTAATAAATAAAATTAGAAAAACAAAAACTAGTATTTTACATGATGTGGTATATACACATCAGCTGCCACATCATGTGGTATAAAAAATGTGGTAAGACTAGTATTATTCTAATTATAAATATTAATTTGACCGTTGGATTTAAATTTGAGCCGTTGGATATGAAATTTTACTCTTGAGAATTGCCTAAAATTGAATCGTTGATTATCCAATATGATTATTTTTTAATATGTATTTTTAAAAAAAAAAAAAAAAAAAAAAAAAACAAAAAACAAACAAAACAAACAAACAAAAAAATAGCCGTTGCTTTTCAATAAACTAGAGGGAATCTTCATTCCCACTTGCCAACAACACAGCCCACGTGATGGGCTTCTCACATCATGCAATAAAAAAATATTTATTAAAGCAGAATTGGGCCCCACAGATTTATCAGTCCAGGCAGAATTCTTGGTGGAATTCCAGTCCAATTTTGAGTCATCTCAAATTTTCACCTCCCAAAATACATGGGTTGGAGATGGTTTTTGAAGGCTAAACTCAAAATTTGAGTTTCCACCCCAAAGGTTGGAGATGGTCTTAGGTTTTTTTATAATTTCAGCCCTCATTTTGGGTGTTTTAGTAAAACTCCCCAAAATTATTAAGATGAGAACAAATATTTTAGTTTATTGTTTTTAAGATTGAAGTTCGTTAATTATGTTATTTTGAATTCAGTTCTTCTCTTAAATTTTAAGTTCTTTATTGCCTTGTTTCAACTTCTTGATGCATAAAAAAAAATTGGAAAATTTTATTTTTATCCAAATTCTATTACTTGGTCTTCCAATGTAATCTTGACATTTGTCTCAGTTTTCCTCTGTCATTTTTACATCATAATAAACCCATGTTCTCTGTTTACTCATGAGTTCAGAGAAAATTCTCAATTTGGTTTACTTTCTTATTTTTGGCATCAGGTTTTACCAGAATTGGCTTCTTCATACTTTTCCTACTTTAATTTGATTTTACTTTTATCACTGAACTAGTGCAGGGAAAACTTTGGAGAAGTTGATGGAGGCAAGTGTTGAGAGAGAGCAGATACTTGTGGATTAATTGCAGGAAAGCATTCAAATTCTTGAAAGGCAATCCTCACCGGTGGAAGAATTGTCCCAGATTTTGAAAAGAGCAAATAATTTCTTGCATTTTGTGTTGCAGAATGCACCTGTTGTTATTGGCCATCAGGTAACTGACTGATACATTGTAAATCCTATGTTTATGTTTAAAATGACCTCACTGATCACTTTTTAAAATTATTTTTGTTGATAATTTTCTGTTTTAGGATAAAGAATTGCTGTATCGGTTTATCACCTTAATTAAGTGACACTCTTGACACTAAACCACCTTAATTATATTATGTTCTTTCTTCTTGCCATCTCATTATAGGAAGAACAGATGTTGAGATATTTACCGGGGCCAGTGTTAAGGAATCTCAAGACTTCAAGGAGGTTATGGAAAAAAGGTTACCTGCAAAAGGGAGATTACATTTGAGACACCATTATTTGGGTCAAAAACATTTTTGATATATGTGGAGCCCGTCTTCAGCAAGGCATGAGAGACATTTGGTATAAATTACATGGGGATGGATGTCACTGATCAGGTAGTTGCATTTTGTATGTTTTAGAGTTCAATTCAAGACTTTTCTTTTTATCACTAAAGGGTATTTGTGTTTCTTCTGCACAAACAACAGGCGAGGTAAAGAGAAAAGATGACAAAGCTTAGGGAGGAAATCGCCGTCCAAAAAGCCAAGGAACTTATAGTAATTTTACTTATATTTTTATAATTTTAAAAAATTATAAATTTTACAAGTAATGCAATAAAATAATAGATGTTGACGCAGAAAAATGGTTCGGTACTTTCCCGCGCAACTTAGTGATTAAGTCTCTTCGGTATCTGATGTCCTCGGTAGTGTGTGCAATCTGTAAGACAGCAAACACACGGTAAGTCCTAGGGCACCGGTGTGGTACCGGCCGAAGGCTCTCCGATGCTTAAGTAAGTACGGATTTAGTAAAGTTGAACTACATATCAATAGGCAGTATGCCGTAAGTTCTGATTGATTACCTTCAAACTGGGATGGTTGTCCTCTTTTATAGGCCTTGGGAGGTGTGCAATTTGTTTAGAGTTTCGATGTGGGACTCTGGACATCAGTTGTGGGACTGCCACGTGTCAAAGGGGGCGAGGTTGCCCTAATGTTGCGATCGGTGGGTTTGGTACCGAAGGTGGGTGCCGAAGGCACCCATGGCCCTGGTTTAGCCCACGTGTTCGATATTCATTGGCTGTTCATTTTGGTATAAACAGGAGTCCCCCAAGTCCCCTGGCGAGAGTTCTCGGAAGGGGATTTGAAGTTGTCTTCGGAAGGAACCGTGGCCCTACTGTTCGGTAGTCCAACTTGGGTAAGGGGCTAAACTTTGTCCCTTCCGGCATTATTAGTTCAGAGGCTGACGTTGGTGAAGTCAGAAGGTCGCGTTGAGCTGACGGGTGAGGGGACGTTTGAGCGCTTCGACTTCCGCGCTTCGCGTGCCGTCTGTTCCCCACAGGATGAGCGACACGTGGTGAAAGTAATGATGGCGCGCGGCGCATTAATGCGCCGTTTGGTTTTTCGAGGAGTACCGTTGCCAACCATTCCCCTATAAATAGGGATGACCCCGGAGGCGAATTCACTTTGCATCTAGTGACAAGTGAGAGCTCTGTTTGAGGCGATTTCCGACGAGGGCTTCCGGTAATCAGGCGATTTCCGACAAGTGTTAACGGTAACCAGACGATTTCCGGCATTTCGAACGGTAGGATAGGCGATTCCCGATATTGCGAACGGCGGGGAAGCATTCTGAAGAGCAGATCGCGCTTATCTTCCAGAGTACTCATTAAGGTACCGTTCGGCACTTTCCCCTTTAATCTGTTGCATGCTTTAAGAGTTACGTCCTTCCTTGGCTCGAACTAGACTTACCGTAGGGTTCCATTCGGTAGTCTAGTCGCCATAGGTAGCAATGTAGGGATCGGTAGGATAGCATCCGGCATGAGCCTTAGTTTCCTTTTTCCCTGTTTTTGTAGATGTCTGATAGCGAGTCATTCTCCGAGCGCGAGCCCAATGCGTTCGATGAGGAGTCATCGGACGGTCTCTTTGACTCCGACGGCGAAGCGGCAGGGCCTGATGCCGAGGGTGGGAGTGATACCGACGTCGAGATACTCAGCGAAGGGCCCAGCTCCATTCCAACACACGGAGTCAGAAAGGGGCTAATGACCGCTCCTGTCCCGTTGTCAATAGTCTTTAGTGACGGCCGCCACGTGAGCCTCGGTATGCCTGGGGAGGCGAGCGGTAGCCGTCAGTCAGAGACCTCTACCTCCAGCCGTGGAGAGTCGGCAGCTAAACCATCATCTGGGCCTAGGGTATCGGTAGTGTACCCAAGCAACCCTAAGGTGCCCATAGGGGTGCCGAAGGAAAATTTATTCGGCGTCGACTATCTTAGGCCGAACAAGATTACCGATCGGGAGATTGCTAAATTTCGAGCGAAACACCGCATCCCCAACTCGGTACGGATAAGGATCCCGGGCCCTACCGAATCTCTTAGTACGCCGAAGGACGGCGAGGTAGTCTTTTTTACCGACGTCCTTGTGCAAGGCGTTCGGTTGTCGTTGCAGCCGGCGGTACAGAGGATCCTAGCCCAGATCGGCTACGCCCCGGGGCAATTCAACCCCAACTTCTGGGTGGCCCTCATGGGAGTGATAACAGCCTTCGGCATGGCTGGCGAAGGGAGCCCCTCCTATGAACAGTTCTCTCACCTCTACAGCATTACCAAGTCCAAGTGTGCCGATCACGGCGGATGGGTGCAGGCGAACTGTCTCAGGGCTGCCGATCGTGGCCACTTTGTCAGCTGGGTACCGACTTCACAGAAGTCATGGAGTAATCGGCGGGTGCTCCTCTCGGGCGACTGGGAGTCGCCTTCGGGACAGCCTGTCCGATTTTGCATTCCCACAACATTCCAAATAGCCGATAGGACCACGTGCCGTTCGGTACCTTCTTTGGGTTCCACGTCTACCGTAGGTGATCTTTCCTGTCTGTTCTTCTTGTAGGTAAATTGAAGCAGCCGATCGCAACGCAGGCCGAGATCCAGCAAGTGGAGAGAGTGAGGAGAAAAGTCCCTACCGAGAAGAGGGTGTATCCGCAGTTCCTCTTCACCACCAACCTGATTCACGCCTAGCTGGTCGATCCTGCCGAGAGTAAGTATACTTCGTAATTTACAAATTGTTTCTTTTTTTCTGTGGGTCTTACCGAACCCTTTTTTCGTAGTGACGGAAGAGAGGAGAGCTGCCGAGGCTAAGAGGATGAACGAGTCCTCCAAGCGCCGTCTCATGATGGGCTTCCAGGGGAAGAAGAAGAAGAACCAGCCGCAGGGCTAGGCATCGGTAGACCCCGAGGACCACACTCTGGCTGACCGTCTCCGTCAGCTCAACACTGACTCGGCACAGGCCGGGGCGGCAGCGGTCGGCCCCTCTCCTGGCCGAGGCACCACTACCGAAGGGACTTCCTCCCGAGCTGCCGGCAAACGGCCCTTTACCGTCGACCTAGATGCCGAACCGGCCCCGAAATGCGGATAGCAGGCCGAGCCTCCTCGGGCCATCTTCGCTGCTGACAACGACGAGGAGCCTGCCAATCCTGTCACCCTGGCCAGTCCGCCGAAGACGGTCCAGTTTGCGAACCACATGATCCTTGGTTCGCAAATGGAGCTGAATGAGATCGATGAGCTGCCGAAGAAGCTCCTTCGAGAGGAGGCGGGTCACGCTTTCCGTCTTCAAGCATCGGTAAGTCCCGAGCATTCCAGATTCAGCTTGCCGATCGTTTTTTTTATACTTTGGCTGACGTGCCCTTTGTTCTGCAGGCTTCGATGGACATGTGGCTTTGCATGAAGCGAGCCATCAATGCTGCTGAGAAGGCGAAGAAGGCCTATGAGGACGGTAGGGCCAGGGTTGCCGAGGCTGGCAAGGCTATCCAGGATCATGCGAACCTGGCGAAGGATTTGCAGGCTGCCGAACGGCAGGTTAGGGTTTATGAGTCCAAGTTCGCAGATCTGTCGTCAGCCCTGGAGTCAGCACAGCTATCGGCAAAAGAGGCTCTAGAGGCGAAGGAAGCCGTTGAGGTGGCTCTGGAGGAGTCGGAGCGGGCCAAAGCTTCGGAGATTGAGGCTGCCGTCCAGGAGGCCATTCAGAAGTATCGCCACTCTCCCGATTTCTCTACCTTGCTTGACAAGGAGGTGGGCTCGGAGATGGTGGATCTCATATACCGATTCAAGCGGTACAATCCTGGGACGAAGCTCAACTTGAACTTCATTGCCGATCCTCCTCCCCTTCCCGAAGGCGTTACGGAAGAAATGATTGAGAAGTATGAAGGGGAAGACGCTCCGGGGGAGCCCGACGCCACTGGTGCCGAAGAGGCGGATGCCGAGGAGGCTATCTGAAGGCCCTTCATCCTTATCACCTGCTTTTGTTTTATGTAATTTGATGGCGAGGGCATTTTTGTAATTTCGTTGCAACTTTGATGCCGTTGGCATCTTTTGTTTGGATAATTGATGTCGTGGGCATATTTTTATCGAAGTTGCGTTTTGATTTTAATTTAATTGCATCTTACTTCTGAATCGGTAATGTTCTTAGGAAATTTTTCTGTTTAATGCCGAAGGCTCTCAAAACGACTCATTAGCCGTTGGCCAATAGGCGTGCTTGCCGATGGCTAAGCAACGGCCTGTAATTACCGAAAGCCTATAAAGGTTAATAAAGGTTGTCCAAGTTGTCCCTTAATCGGTAGGATAATGGCGATGCCAAAACGCGTAGTTCACTGCGACCGATGGTCCCTACCGTATCTTTTTTTGAACAAAAAATGAAGAGAGTTTGAAAAGTACAACAAAGGTTCCGAATACACAAGCCGAAGGCCCTTTCATTGATAAACTGCCGAAGGCAAAGGTACAATTTGGAGTGCGTTTTACAATTTAGAACCCGCCGTTGGCTAGGAAACGCTACAATGCCGAAGGCTGTGTTCGTAGAGAGGCCGAAGGCTTTTGGGATTCCTCCGTAACCCTGCCGTAGGCTAGGTGACTTTATTTGAAATAGTACTTCAAATGCTCTACATTCCAAGGATGACCGAGGGTCTTTCCGTTGGAGTCTCTGAGTCGATAAGTCCCCGATCGCTGGATACCGATGATTTCGTAGGGTCCCTCCCAGGAAGGTCCGAGGGTTCCTTCCGTGGGATTCTTGGTTGCCAAAGAGACTTTCCGCATGACCCAATCTCCGATTCGGAAAGAGCGGGATCTGACCCGGGAGTCATAGTACCGAGAGACACGTTGTTTGTAAGCTTCGTTCCGAAGGTTGGCTTGTACTCGGCGTTCTTCGAGCAAGTCGAGGCTCAAAGCAAGCGCCTCCTCATTCGCCTTCGGTGCGAAGGTTTCCATTTGGTAGGAAGGCTCTCCGATTTCTACTGGGATTACCGCCTCTGAACCGAAAGCCATGGAGAATGGTGTTTCCCCAGTTGCCGTTCGGTAGGATGTCCGGATGGCCCATAGCGCCTCCGGAAGCTTTTCCGGCCAGGCTCCTTTGGCTTTGTCAAGCTGCCGTTTCAACAGCTTCTTGACAATTTTATTCATGGCTTCGACCTGTCCGTTCGATTGGGGGTGTGCTGGCGAAGCAAAGAACAGGTTGATCTTGAGTCGGGTGCAGAATTCTCGAAAGAATTCCGAGTCAAACTGCCTGCCGTTATCCATGACGATGGCGTAGGGGATGCCGAATCGGCAGCAAATGTTCATCCAGACGAAATCTTCGACTCTGGCTGCCGTTATTGTCGCTAGGGCTTTGGCTTCTACCCATTTGGTGAAGTAGTCTACGGCAACAACGGCGTATTTGACCTAACCCTTGCCCTCTGGCATTGGACCAATTAGATCTAATCCCCATTGGGCGAACGGCCACGGGCTCACGATCGGTGACAGCGGCTCGGCAGGAATATGAGGGACACTACCGAATCGCTGGCATTTGTCACACCTCCTAACTAATGTGTTCGCATCCTGGTGCAGAGTCGGCCAGAAATACCCCTGTCGGAAGACCTTGTGTGCGAGCGATCGGGATCTAGAGCGGTCACCGCAGATTCCACTGTGGACCTCCCGAAGGATGTAGTCCCCCTGCTCCTTGGTCAGGCACTTTAAATACGGCGTTGTGTAGCCTCGCTTGTACAGAACGTCGTTGATGACTGTGTATCTTGCCGATCGGTAACGGAGTTTCCGAGCTTGGGACTTATCGGTAGGAAGGGTTCCAGTCGTTAGGAAGGCATAGATTGGAGACATCCATGTGTCTTCATACCGGACGGTACACACATCAGCCGCGGTTGTGCTCAGTTGGGATAATATCTCCACCGGTACCTTCCTTCCGACCTTGTCATTTATTGCCGAAGCCAATCGTGAGAGTGCGTCGGCGTGGCTGTTTTCCGATCTGGGGATCTGCCGTATCTCGTAGGCCTGGAATTTTCGTAGTAGTTGGTGAGCTGCCGATAGGTAGGCTGACATGGAGGCATCCTTCGCTGCGAAGTCTGCCGTTATCTGATTCACTATGAGCTGGGAGTCACTATGAATGCTGATCTGCCTCGCGCTCATGCTCTTGGCTAGCCGAAGGCCGACCAGGAGGGCCTCATATTCTGCCTCGTTATTGGAGGTCCGGAAGTTGAGTCGAAGGGCATACTTGATTTTGCTACCGTCCGGAGTGGTTAACACCAAGCCGGCATCACAGCCTTGCTGGTTTGCCGAGCCGTCCACATGCAGGATCCAGAGAGGAACGGAAGTGTCGAAACGTTCGGTATCCATTTTCTCCGGTGCAGTAGGGATGGCGTTCGGTGATGATGGTTCCGATAGCGCAAGAGGTGTGAGCTCGGAGATGAAGTCGGCGACGGCCTGACCTTTTTCCGCAGGCCTCGGCTTGAACTGTATGTCAAACTCCCCCAATTCGATTGCCCATTTGACCAATCGTCCCGATGTTTCCGGCTTCTGGAGTACCTGCCGAAGAGGCTGGTTCGTCAGAACTGTGATTTCGTGCACCTGGAAGTAAGGGCGAAGTCTTCGCGCCGAGACGACCAGGGCCAGTGCTAGCTGCTCCAAGGGTGGGTACCGAAGCTCCGCGTTCTCTGGCTTCCGTATTAACACTGAGCTAACGGCAATGTTGGATACCGAAAGGTATAGGAGTAGTACCTCTCCTGGGATCGGTTTTGATAATAGTGGTGCCTGGCTCATGTAGTTCTTCAAGTTTTGAAATGTCTGGTCGCATTCGGGAGTCCATGCGATATGATGTTTGCCCCCATTCAAAGCTTTGAAGAACGGTACGCATTTGTCGGTACCCTTGGAGATGAAGCGTGTCAGGGCAGCGACATGTCCGGTAAGGCTCTGAATGTCCTTCTGCGTCTTCGCTGGGTTCAGCCGCATTCGGTAGTCCTTTAGAATACCGAACATGAGGGCCAGGTTTTCCAGATGCTCCCCTGCCGTTCGGCTTTTCACCAACATGTCATCGACATACACTTCCATGATGCCGCCGATGTATTTGGCGAAAATCCGGTTGACGAGCCGTTGATAAGTTGCCCCCGCGTTCTTCAGGCCAAAGGGCATGACATTGTAACAGTACAAACCGTGATCGGTGATGAACGCCGTATGTTCTCTATCGGCAGGGTCCATGAAGATCTAGTTGTATCCTGAATACGCGTCCATGAAACTGAGCAGCTCGTGCCCGGCGGTGGCATCGACGAGCTGGTCGATCCTCGGTAAGGGGAAACTGTCCTTCGGACAAGCCTTATTCAGATCGGTATAGTTCTGACACATCCGCCATCCTCCTCTGGCCTTCCGAACCATGACCGAGTTGGCAAGCCAAACAGGGTACGTAGCTTCCCTGATAAAGCCGATGGCTTTGAGCTTGTCAACTTCAGAACGCATTGCCTCGTACCGTTCGGCATCATACGATCGGCGCTTTTGTCTGACCGGTTTGTGAGCGGTGGAGATGCTGAGCTTGTGGTTGATGACATCAGGTGATATGCCGGGCATATCGTCATAAGACCAGGCGAAGAATTCCGCCTACTGCCGTAAGAAGTCGATGAACTGCCTTCGGAGGTCAGGATCTAGATTGGTGCCGATCTTCAACCACCGATCGAGGAACTCCTCGTTCAGGATTACGGTCTCTTGCTCCTCGGCGGGCTGCGCCGTCAGTGTTGGGTTTTCCTCCCTGGGGTCGTCAATAGGTTCGCTACCGTTCGGTAGTCCCTGCACGGTCATGGCTTCCATTGGCAGTTTGCTAGCTACCGACTTAAGGGCCGTGGCATAGCACGTCCGTGCGCTGAGCTGGTCACCCCGGATGACGCCGGTACCGTTGCGCGTTGGGAACTTCATCAGCAGCATGTGGGGAGATAGGTGGGCTTTGACCCTGGTGAGTGCCGTTCGCCCTATGATGACGTTGTATGCCGTTGGGTAGTCAACAATGAGGAATTGGTCGTAGGTCATTGTTCTCGTGGGGGCGACGGGCAGACTGATGCTACCGACTGGCTGGATCAGATCTCCAGAAAAACTGAGGAGAGGCATGATTTGCCAATTGACCATGCTGTCGGCAATCCCCAATCCCTTGAATGCATCGGCAAAAATCACGTTCACCGAGCTTCCGGTGTCAATCAGCACCCGACCCACATCGTAATCGGCGATCTCTGCCCGAATGATCATTGGGTCATCGTGGGGGTAGATGATCCCCTCCTCCTCCTCCTCCTCCTCACAAAATGTGATGGGCTCCCATCTCACCTTCGGCACCTTTCGGCACCGATCGTCTTCTATGCCGAAGACCTGGGGGCAGTGGGCGGCACGCACATACTGCTTCACCGAACGGTTAGAGGGTCCCGCCAGAGTGGGACCGCCGCTGATCGTGTTGATCATGTTGATCTGCCGATTCGCGTTCGGTGCCGGGGCCTGTTGTGGTGGCCTGGCGAGGTATTGATCCAACTTTCCCTCCCGAATCAGACGCTCGACAATTTTCCTCAGATTGATGCAGTCCTCGGTGTTGTGGCTGTGTCCCGATTATCCTGCCGATTGGGTTTTCGGTTGGTTGGCTTCGGAATCTGGTCATGCTCGTTCATCAGAACGGTTTCGTACGTTGTGTTCAGCAGGGTGAAGACTTCCTGGGCGCGATCGTGATTCGGTAGCGGCGCCCGGTGGTCGTTACGACCGTACTTCCTGCGTCCTTTCTTCGAGTTTCCCTGACGGCTATCACGGTCGTCCTTCCGTTTGTGTCCTGCCGATGAGTCGTCGGTTCGCCCCGAATAACTCTTGGTGGCCGACTCCTCCTTCCGAGCCGAAGGCCCGGGTTTGGAATTGAAGTATTCGGCCTTCCCATGGACTGCCGCCTGCTTCATTAACTCGTCGTACGTGCGCCAATTGCAACTGTGCACGAGATACCAGAAGTGAGAGGACCGAAGGTCACTCTTGAAGGCGCCGTAGGCCGCCCTATCGTCCGTTTCAGGACACCTCGAGTACTCGTGACTGAAGCGCGCTGCGTATTCCCGTAAGGGTTCGTCCTCCCTCTGTCGAATCGTGTACAGATCGTCGGTAGAGTACAAACGGTCCGTCTGGATCATGAAGTGGTTGAGGAAAATCTGCTTCAGCTCGTCAAAGGAGTCTACCGTCCCTGGTTCGAGACGATAGAACCAGTTCAGAGCAGCTTCGGTAAGGGACGATGGAAACAGCAGACATTGCCCCTCGTCGCTGAGGCCCTTGCACCCAACTGCCGATTGGAAGGAGTGAAGGTGCGTCAAAGGGTCCTCCACACCAGTATAGAAGGGTATGCGCAACAGCTGCACCTCCCTGTCCGGTCTGGACTTCTTGATGCGCTCAGTAAACAGTCCCAGCCGGAGTTTTCCCCAATCAGGGACCTGGGACCGGGTTCGGTCATCCTCCATCTTCTGGATTCTTTGGAAAAGTAGGCGGATGGCGGGGTCTCGGCTTGGGACGCCCTCGAAACCAAAGTCTTCGGAAGTTCTCCTCGGACTTGGTGGTCTCGCCTTTGAGTACTCCGGGGGAGCTTCCGAATGGTAACTTGATTCGATGCCCCCGGTGGGGATGTACTCATCATCGGATTCCAGCGCCAAATCCAAACCCTGAACCCTCCTAAGGGGCGATTTATCCCCCAGGACCCTCATCCAGGCGGGCGTTTACTCCGATTGGGGACCTATGCCGTTCGGCATCCTTCTTGTCGTTGATCCGATGACGACAATCGGTGTACACCTTCTTCGGTATGTGAGGTTGGTCCTGGGGAGCCGGGACCACCAGCTGTTTGGAGGGCGCAGGCGTTGCCTTTGCCCCCTGCTTTCCCTTCGTCTGCCGACCGGGGGTCTGCTGACTCTGGGAAGATTCGATGGTCTGAATGTTTTGTGTTTCCTGCTAATTAAGCAACCGTTGGGTTTCGTCTATCTTGGACGAAAGGAGATTATTACGTTCTTGGAGTTTAGCCATCTCTCTCCGAAGGGAGGTCATCTGAGCTAGAAGCTCCGCTTCGACCGTGGCCTGAAGCGCAGGAGGATTACCGAAGGGGGTGCTAGGGTGCAGCGCGGGGCTTGCTCCACTTGGCATACCGTACAGTAATCCATCCTCTAATAGGAATTGTGGTCCTGAAGTGGTTCCCATTTGTTTTGTTTAGGAATTGTAGGTTGATTTTTATCGATTCCCACAGACGGCGCCAAACTGTTGACGCAAAAAAATGGTTCGGTACTTTCCCGCGAAACTTAGTGATTAAGTCTCTTCGGTATCTGATGTCCTCGGTAGTGTGTGCAATCTGTAAGACAGCAAATACACGGTAAGTCCTAGGGCACCGGTGTGGTACCGGCCGAAGGCTCTCCGATGCTTAAGTAAGTACGGATTTAGTAAAGTTGAACTACAGATCAATAGGCAGTATGCCGTAAGTTCTGATTGATTACCTTCAAACTGGGATAGTTGTCCTCTTTTATAGGCCTTGGGAGGTGTGCAATTTGTTTAGAATTTCGATGTGGGACTCTGGACATCAGTTGTGGGACTGCCACGTGTCAAAGGGGGCGAGGTTGCCCTAATGTTGTGATCGGTGGGTTTGGTACCGAAGGTGGGTGCCGAAGGCACCCATGGCCCTAGTTTAGCCCACGTGTTCGATATTCATTGGCTGTTCATTTTGGTATAAACAATAGACAAATGACAGAAGTTAGAATCTCAATGTTGAAGCATCACTTGTTTGCCACCAAAATATGTTTCGTAAAAGCTTTAAAAGGATTCACTAGAGCTTCAACATCGCTTCATTTACTATTCAATAAAGCTTCAAAATATTTTTTTTGGTTTTTTGACTAAGTCTTCATTAGTATTTTTATGAATTTTTTAGATGAACTGAAAAGACGTAGAAAGTGTCAGATTGAGTTTGTAGAATTTTTTTGGTGTGTATTTTTATGCTATTTAATGAATTATTATGATTTTTGAAAGTTAAAGCATTCAAAAATAGTATAAACGAAAGAGATTGACAAGTGACAGCACTTGAATAATGCATCGTCAGTGCTTCTAATGAGTGTCATTCTTGCATAGCGCCATGTGTCATGAGATGTTCATTTTTATGTCTTTACCTTAAAAATTGACCCAAAAAAAGTCAGAAAATTACACCAACAACAAACTTCTTGTGACATTATCTTTGACTATCATGTGAGAAAAATCCAAACTTGAATTTGGGAAATTTAAAGTAATAATTGGAGGAAGAGTTGTAATACGGAAGAGTAATGATCTCCAACATAGTGTTATTGTTAGTATAGAAGCAAACTTGACTTTGAGAAATTATTGTTATTATGATTTTTGGAAATCAATACACATGGCAATGCCTGATGGGTACGTCATCAGAGTTTCCAACATGTGTCATTATCTTGTAGCTCCACGTGTCATTAATGTTTCATTTTTATGAGTTTATTTTAAAAAAAAATTCATGAAAAATCATTAAAAATCCCGAAAAATACACCGAAAATTTCTAAAAATTCCTTGCATCATGATCTTCGACTCTAATGCATGAAAATTGAAAATTGACTTAGGGAAATTTGAAAGAATAATTGGAGGAAGAATTATAGTAATGAAGACTAGCTATCTTCAACTTAGTGTTATTGTTAGTATGGAAGTAAACTTGAGTTTAAGAAATTATTTAAATTTTTCTCTAAGTCAAATTTATATTTTACAACTAAAAAGATGAAGAAAATGTCGCGAAGAGTTTGTGGCGTTTTTCGGTGAAATTTTCAAATTTTTTAAGAATTAATTCTGATTTTTGGAAGTCAAAACTTTGTAAAATAGTAATAAATGGAAGATAATGACACATGGCAATGCCTGAAGGGTGCGTCGTCAGCTTTTCCAACGGGTGTCAGTATCTCATATCGCCACGTGTCATTAATGTTTTATTTTTGTAAGTTTATCTTAAAACAATTCACAAAAAATCATTTTAAAAAAAATCAGAAAAATACATAAAAAAATTTCTACAAATTCCTTGCAACATTATCTTCTACTATAATGCATGAAAATCAATATTTGACTTTCAAAAATTTGAAGTTATAATTGGAGGAAGAGTTATAGTGATGAAGACTAGCGATCTTGAATTTAGTGTTATTGTTAGTATGAAAGCAAACTTGAGTTTGAGAAATTATTTGAATTTTTCCCTAAGACAAATTTATATTTTACAACTGAAAAGATGAAGAAAATGTCGCAAGGAGTTTGTGGCATTTTTTGGTGAAATTTTCAGATTTTTTACGAATTAATTATGATTTTTGGAAGTCAAAACATTGTAAAATAGTAATAAATAGAAGAGAATGACACATGGCAGCATGTGATGGTTGGGTCTTCAGCTTTTCCAATGGGTGTCAGTATCTCATAGCGCCACGTGTCATTAATGTTTCATTTTTGTGAGTTTATCTTAAAAAATTCATGAAAAATCATTAAAAAAATCAGAAAAATATGCCAAAAATTTCTACGAATTCCTTGCAACATCATCTTCGACTCTAATACGTGAAAATCAAATTTTGACTTTCAGAAATTTGAAGTTATAATTAGAGGAAGAGTTGTAGTGAAGAAGAGTAATGATCTTCAACTTAGTGTTATTATATAAAAAAAACTTGAGTTTGAGAAATTATTTAAATTTTTTATGTGTCAAAATTTTATTTTATAACTGAAAAGATGAAGAAAATGTCGCAAGGAGTTTGTGGCATTTTTCGGTGAATTTTTCAGATTTTTTATGAATTAATTATGATTTTTGGAAGTCAAAACATTGTAAAATAGTAATAAATTGAAGAAAATGACACATGGCAGCGTGTGATGGCTGGGTCCTCAACTTTTCCAACGGGTGTCAATAGCTCGTAGTGGCACATGTCATTCATGTTTCATTTTTGTAAGTTTATCTTAAAAAATTCATGAAAAATTATTTAAAAAATCAGAAAAATACAACGGAAATTTTTACAAATTCCTTGCGACATTATCTTTGACAATGATACTCGAAAATCAAAATTTGACTTCGAGAAATTTAAAGGAATAATTGGAGAAAGAGTTCTAGTGATGAGGACTAATAATCTTCAACTTAGTATTATTATTAGTATGGAAGCAAACTTGACTTTGTGAAATTATTTGAATCTTTCTCTAATTCAAAATTATATTTAAGTCTCAAAGGATGTTGGAAATGTCGCAAAGAGTCCATTGTATTTTTTGGTGAATTTTTCAGATTTATTGTCAAATTATTATGATTTTCGGAAGTCAAAATATTGGAAAATAATAATAAATGGAAGATAATGACACATGGCAATGGCTGATGGGCATGTCATCAGCTTTTCCAACGGGTGTCAGTATCTCATAGCTTCACATGTCATTCATGTTTCATTTTTGTGAGTTTATCTTTAAAAATTATTAAAAAATTAGAAAAACACACCGAAAATTCCTACAAATTCCTTGCGACATTATCTTCAACTATGATACTCGAAATATAAAAATTTGACTTTGAGAAATTTGAAGGAATAATTGGAGGAAAAGTTATAGTGATGAAGACTAGTGCTCTTCAACTTAGTGTTATTGTTAGTATGGAAGCAAACTTGACTTTGTGAAATTATTTAAAATTTTGTCTAATTCAAAATTGTATTTTAAGTTTCAAAAGATATTGGAAATGTCTTAAGGAGTCCGGAGTACTTTTTGGTGAAATTTTCAGATTTATTACGAATTAGTTATGATTTTTGAAAGTCAAAATATAGGAAAATAGTAATAAATGGAAGATAATGACACATGGCAACGGCTATTGGGTGCGTCTCCAGCTTTTCCAACGGGTGTCAGTATCTCATAGGTCCACGTGTCATTCACGTTTTATTTTTGTGAGTTAATCTTACAAAATTCACAAAAAATCATTAAAATTCAAAAAAATACATCGAAAATTTCCACAATTTCCTTGCGATATTATCTTCAACTATGATACTCGAAAATCAAAATTTGACTTTGAGAAATTTGAAGGAATAATTGGAGGGAGAGTTGTAGTGATGAAGTGTCACACCCCAATTATTATTATTTTATTATTATTTGGGAATGTGAGGTAAAAGAAAAACTAAAACTAAAAATTTAATTATCAAGAAACATGAAGATTGAACGTAAACTTCCATTTAAGTCAAAGTAATTTACATTGTATTATTACAAGCAAAATAACAAGAAAGTAACAAACTTTCAACAAAACACTCAAAACTATCCATAATCCGTTCTTCTTGTTTCCTCAGCAAAAACTACACTTCAGTTTCAAATCCTGCAATAGATTCAATAAGGGGTGAGCATTACATGCTCAGTAGGGGTCCTATGTCTTATGTGATTAGTGAGATTTATAATGTACAATTTATACAATGCATGAATGAACTTCAATTCTACCAAACCTGTTAATCTATATAATAGGGCAAGCAAATCTGCATGTCACATGCCATGCATTTTACCACTGTGATTCCGAATGCCCCATTATATAAACTAACACCCATTTCAATCATCCCATAATTCCCCTTTTGCTAGTCATCTTGTCTACACCATTGATCTCCAAGCCCAAATCACCCAATCGACAATTCTACTGCCGATTTCTTAATCTACTGTGCACACGGGCTCGCCTGAACTTGGTCCCTACAATGGTTAGACTCAACTACACAAAAGATACTTCCCATTATCCTCTTTTCCATAATTTCTTTATCAACCCAAAAATTCCAACCACCACCGACAACATATGAATATGTCAAAATTCATCAAATTATAATGATAATTGACAACATGTATACATCTAATATCAAGGATAACAATCAAACAATATAACCAAGCATAACAACAATCAAATATTATCAAGCCTAATGTAGTATTTACAATATTTAATTAACTCAATGTATGCAAAAACAAAACCTTCCCAAGAAAGACCCCTACCTCAAATCCAAAGCTATTGTACACTTCCCAGTTGAGCTTTTTCCAAAATCTTATCACACTTAGTTTTCACTCTCGAATTTTTAAGAAACTAACATAACTTTGAAGAACCTATGATTCAATAACTACTAGTTAGAACTTATATATAGTAGGTTAGAGTCGGCAAAACAATAGTAGATGAAGCTTTAATATTATGCCACCTAACTAACCTAGGGATCTCTAGGCTACAATCCTATGATTTATAGACTAAATTGGTGGCTTGAAGGAAAACTGCCACTCCATTTAGTTCTTAGCTGTTGGTTTCCGGGGAGTGCTTAGTAGCACTGGCCAAATACATTTATATATATAAGAACATCTGTAATTCTTACACCTCATCTCAAAACATACCACCTCATCTTCAATTGGTTTTTGAAGTCTTCCTAATGCAACACGTCAAAGCTTAGTAAGCAAAAATCCTTTCTAAAAGCTTTTATGTGTATAGCATAAATATTAATTAAAGTCATACAATGAGGTTTGATAGGCTATAACAAGATTCATATAGCTTACCATATAACTAACTAATATATATATATATATATATAGTTTTGAAAACTAATAATTATAAATAATTAATTTTATGAAATATTAATATACATATTTAAAAATATGGGATTTTACAATCTATCCTCCTTAAAAGAAATTTCATCCTCGAAATTTTGAAACGTACCTGATTCAAGGAAAAGTTCTGGATATTTTTCTCTCATCTCAGCTTCTAATTCCCATGTAGCCTCTTCTGTATTTCCATGTAACCAAAAAATTTTGACTTGTGGAATAGTCTTCGTTCGCAACACTTGTTCTTTATGATCTAATATCCGTATTGGTCTTTCCTCAAAAGATAATTGCTCATCTATGTTTAGTTCTCCCTAATCTAAAATATGTGCTGGATCCGGTTCATATTTTCAAAGCATAGAGACATGAAATACATTATGAACATTCGAAAATTGAGGTGGTAGTGCTAACTTGTAAGATACTTCCCCAATCCGTTGTAGTACTTCAAAAGGTCCAATGAATCGTGGGGCTAATTTTCCAGACTTTCCAAATCTTTTAACTCCCTTTCGAGGTGAAACTTTAAGGAATACATGATCCCCAATATTAAACTTCAATGGCCTTGTTCTTCTATCAGCATAACTCTTTTGCCGACACTGAGCTGTAAGCAAGCGTTGTCTGATAGTTTTGATCTTCTCTGTTGTTTCTTGTACCAAATTAGGTCCTAATAACACAGTTTCACTTTCTTCCGCCCAACAGAAAGGTGATCTACATGGTCTACCATAGAGTGCTTTGTATGGTGCCATTCCGATGCTGGATTGAAAACTGTTGTTATAAGCAAATTCTGCCAAAGCAAGATGATCTTCCCAAGTTCCATGGAAATCCAAAACACAAGCTCTTAGCATATCTTCTAAAATCTAAATAGTCCTTTCTGATTGTCCATCAGTTTGGGGATGAAATGCACTGCTAAAATTCAATTGACTTCCTAATGCTTTTTTCAAAGCACCCCAAAACTGAGAAGTAAACTTTGAATCTCTATCAGAAACAATAGAAATAGGAATTCCATGTAATCTCACTATCTCTCGAATATATAATTTCTCAAGAGTTTCTGTGGAATATGTCGTTTTGACTGATATGAAATGTGCAGACTTGGTTAAACGATCTACAATAACCCATATTGCATCTTTACCTCTTGGTGATCGTGGTAAACCTGTGACAAAATCCATTGTGATATGATCCCATTTCCATTGTGCAACAGGTAAAGGTTGAAGAGGGCCAGCGGGTTTCTGATGTTCAGCTTTCACTTGCTGACAGGTCAAACATGTTGATACAAAAATGGCTACATCTCTCTTCATACCATTCCACCAAAACGGACGACGTAAATCCTGATACATTTTTGTACTTCCTGGATGAATAATGTAGGATGAGTAATGAGCTTCATGAAGAATTTCATTCTTTAATTCTGGAATTTCAGGTACATATAATTTACCTAAATACCTTAAACCATCTTCTTCATGAAAGGTCCAACCTTCTATTTTATCTCCATCCAAAATATGTTCTTGAATTGATTTACAGGAGTTATCCTCTTGTTGTTTTTCAACAACTTTTCCCAGTAAAGTTGGTCTTGTTACTAGGTTATAAAGATAAGCACCATGCTCAAGTACGTTCACATGTAAATTATAATCTTGAATACAATTCATCATCTTCCATTTATAAATTTGTAGTCCTGCGACAAATCCATTTGTATTCCTACTTAGAGCATCTGCCACTATATTAGCCTTTCCAAGATGATAATGTAGACCGAAATCGTAATCTTCTAAGTATTCCATCCAACGTCTTTGTCTCAGGTTAAGCTCTTTCTGAGTGAAAAGATATTTCAAACTTTTATGATCAAAGTAAAACTCAAATCTTTCACCATACAGATAATGTGACCAAGTTTTTAAAGTATGGACAATTGCTGCTAACTCCAAATCATGTCTTGGATAATTTCTTTCATGATTTTTCAGTTGACGAGAAGCATAAGCTACTACTCTGTCAGATTGCATCAAAACACATCCTAACCCTTGTTTAGATGCATCAGTGTAAACCACATACCCTATGTCCCGTTCAGGAATAATCAGTATTGGTGCGGTAGTCAATCGAGTTTTCAATTCTTGGAATGACTTTTCACATTCTTGAGTCCATATGAATTTCACTCCTTTCTGGGTCAGCTTGGTCATTGGTGCAGCTATTCGAGAAAAATCCTTGATAAATCTCCTATAATAGCCAGCTAATCCAAGGAAACTACGTATCTCCGAGATATTCTTTAGCTGACTCCAATTCAACACTGCCTCAACTTTGGAAGAATCAACTGAAATACCTTCATTGGAAATTACATGTCCTAAAAACTTTACTTGTCTCAACCAGAATTCACACTTATTCAACTTTGCATACAATTGATTTTCTCTTAATGTTTGTAAAATGATTCGCAAATGTTCCTCATGTTCTTCCTGAGATTTGAAATATATATTAGAATATCATCAATGAATACAATGACAAACTGATCTAAATAAGGTCAGAAAATTCGGTTCATCATATCCATAAATGCTGCCGGTGCATTTGTCAATCCAAAAGGCATAACTACAAATTCATAATGCCCATATCGAGTTCGAAAAGCTGTTTTGGGTATATCTTCAGCTTTAACTCGAAGTTGGTGGTAGCCAGATCGAAGATCAATCTTTGAAAAGAAATGAGAACCTCTTGACTGATCGAATAAATCGTCAATTCCAGGTAAAGGATATTTGTTCTTTATGGTGACCCTATTTAATTGACGATAATCGATACACATTCGAAGAGTTAAATCTTTCTTTTTCACAAAGAAAGCAAGTGCACCCCATGGTGAAGTACTAGGACGGATATATCCTTTTGCTTGTAATTCTTGGAGTTGTATCTTAAGTTCTTTTAGTTCAGCTGGGGCCATGCGATGAGGAGGTATAGAAATAGGTGTTGTACTTGGGTATATTTCTATAGCAAACTCTACTTCGCGCTCTGGAGGTAAGCCGAGCAATTCTTATGGAAAAACATCGCTAAATTCCTTTACCACAGGAATAAGTTTTATTGGAGATTTTTCTACTTCTTCAGTTCCGATTCTAGCTATCTGACTCAAATATTTATAATCTCCAACACCATATTTCTGGCTTTCCTTTTTCACAAAGAAACTAAAGGTTTCTTCCGTATGAGTATTGATGGTAATTCTCTTTTTACCACAATCAATTGTAACTTGGTAACGTGTAAGCCAGTTCATTCCTAAAATAATATCATATTCCAACAATTCCAATACCATCAAATCAACAACAATTTTATGGCCCGACATCTCTATCATGCAAGATCTACATACTTTATCAACTTCTAGACTACCACCCAAAGGAGATCCAATTAACAAAGAAGGTTTCATATTTTCAGAGTCTAACTCAAGCATTGATGCAAAAGATGTGGATATAAAAGAGTGTGTAGCTCCACAATCAAATAACACTTTAGCCCAAGAGTTGAATACCAAAAACATACCTTCTATTGTCTTAGACTCAGTTTGATCTGTCACATTTCCCATAACATATACTCTTCCTTGTGTGAATGGTCCAGATTTCTTTCCAGCTACAGGGACCCTTGGTCTAATTTGGGAAGATTGTCCTCCTGGATGTTGTGGTGATTGACTAGTAACTGGCCTTGCCCAGTCAGACTGAGGTTGAAAAGTAGTATAACTTTGAGGTGGCGGTGGAGCATGAAAAGGTACTTGTGGAGGACGATATAATGTCTGCTGTACTTGAGGTCCTTGATATCTTTGTAGTTGTGGACAAAATCTCTTTACATGTCCCACTTGTTTGCAGTAATAACATAGTGGTGGTCCGAACTTTTCTTGTGATTGAGGAGTATTAAATCTTGTCCGTTTCTTTGCTCTACTATATGTGCTCTATCAACCACATCAGCATACTTGCTTAATTTCAAAATGTCAACCTTTTCCAAAATTGATGGTCTCAATCCTTCTTCAAATCGTTTTGCTTTTGTTGCATCATCAGGGATCATATATGGTGCAAAACGCATGAGTTCTTCAAACTTAGATTGATATTGATCAACAATTAAGTTGTCTTGGACAAGGTTAACAAACTCCCTTGCTTTCATTGCTTTCATAGTACTTGGAAAATATTTTTCCAAGAAAACACTTTCGAATGCCTCCCAAGTTGTAATTTCAGTATCTGGCATACTCAGAATTGACTCCCACCAAAGGTATGCTTGTCCTTCCAGATAGGTACAAGCAATAACAACTCTAATGTCTTCAGGAATTCTTTGATTATCCATCTTTCTCTTAATTTGCCTCAACCATTCTTCAGCTGCCATAGGATTTGGTTCACCTTTAAATATTGTTGGTTTCGTCTTACAGAATTGTCCTTGTATCCTCATAACTCGATCTACTTCAGTTTCATGACGGTGATCTTGGTTACTATTTTCTCTAATTGCTGAAGCCATATCCTGAATGGCTAAGATTACTCCAGCATTTCCATTGAACTCATTTCCAGAGTCAGCCATCTTAAATGAATAAAAAGGAAATTATCTAAAAACAATATCATAAAATAGTAAAATATAAATTTAAGAGAAAGAGTAAACAAAACACTCATTTATTATATTTCACAAAATATTTACAAAAGTACACACAATTTTACAAAAACTTAAACTTATCTTACAAAACCTGACGGTTTATTTCTACAACTATAAACATTTATACAACTCTCTTTCTTCAGTACTAGTTTTCTTCGTCCGAACTGATAATAATCACTTCGGGTGGTGACTGAACCTCTATAGGCCTATTGACTGATCCGATTGACTCAGTAGGCTCCCAAGTAGGCTCATTAGTAGGTTCCTGAGCAAATTCCTCATTATCACTTGGTGGATTTGGGACCCGTTGTGGTTGGTAATTACATGGTGGCCACTGATTACCACTTTCTTCTAAAAGTTCTACTACTGCAGAATTATAAATATTGTCATTCTGTATGTTCTCATAGGCACCATCCCAGAATTCTCTCCTTGACCAGATACTATGCATTGCTACCTGTCGCTGCATTGGGAGAGGGTAATGATGTCTCTTTATGGTAGTACTCCTTATCTTTTCTTTCATACAAAATTTTGCGCCATGTCTCAGGTTGTTGTTAGAGTTTTCTAGGTTTAATGGTATCAGTCCCTCTGGGCATACATGGAAACCTCCAAAGGTATCGTCACTTTCTATTGACTCCATAGAATCTGTCATTACCAAAATATTAGTATCTAAAATGCAAATGAAAGTATATTAGAAACTCAAAAGTTTTTATACTATATTAGAAACTCAAAAGTTTTTATACTTCTAAATCTTAATTTCTAAAAAATAACTTAAATGATAACTTCTATTCTATAGGATTGTATACCTAATGCTCTGATACCAACTTGTCACACCCCAATTCTTTTTTTTAATTTATTTATTTGGGAATGTGAGGTAAAAGAAAAACTAAAACTAAAAATTTAATTATCAAGAAACATGAAGATTGAACGTAAACTTCCATTTAAGTCAAAGTAATTTACATTGTATTATTACAAGCAAAATAACAAGAAAGTAACAAACTTTCAACAAAACACTCAAAACTATCCATAATCCGTTCTTCTTGTTTCCTTAGCAAAAACTACACTTCAGTTTCAAAGCCTGCAATAGATTCAATAAGGGGTGAGCATTACATGCTCAGTAGGGGTCCTATGTCTTATGTGATTAGTGAGATTTATAATGTACAATTTATACAATGCATGAATGAACTTCAATTCTACCCAACCCGTTAATCTATATAATAGGGCAAGCCCAAATCATGCATTTTACCACTGTGATTCCGAATGCCCCATTATATAAACTAACACCCATTTCAATCATCCCATAATTCCCCTTTTGCTAGTCATCTTGTCTACACCATTGATCTCCAAGCCCAAATCACCCAATCGACAATTATACCGCCGATTTCTTAATCTACTGTGCACACGGACTCGCCTGAACTTGGTCCCTACAATGGTTAGACTCAACTACACAAAAGATACTTCCCATTATCCTCTTTTCCATAATTTCTTTATCAACCCAAAAATTCCAACCACCACCGACAACATATGAATATGTCAAAATTCATCAAATTATAATGATAATTGACAACATGTATACATCTAATATCAAGGATAACAATCAAACAATATAACCAAGCATAACAACAATCAAATATTATCAAGCCTAATGTAGTATTTACAATATTTAATTAACTCAATGTATGCAAAAACAAAACCTTCCCAAGAAAGACCCCTACCTCAAATCCAAAGCTATTGTACACTTCCCAGTTGAGCTTTTTCCAAAATCTTATCACACTTAGTTTTCACTCTCGAATTTTTAAGAAACTAACATAACTTTGAAGAACCTATGATTCAATAACTACTAGTTAGAACTTATATATAGTAGGTTAGAGTCGGCAAAACAATAGTAGATGAAGCTTTAATATTATGCCACCTAACTAACCTAGGGATCTCTAGGCTACAATCCTATGATTTATAGACTAAATTGGTGGCTTGAAGGAAAACTACCACTCCATTTAGTTCTTAGCTGTTGGTTTCCGGGGAGTGCTTAGTAGCACTTGCCAAATACATTTATATATATAAGAACATCTATAATTCTTACACCTCATCTCAAAACATGCCACCTCATCTTCAATTGGTTTTTGAAGTCTTCCTAATGCAACACGTCAAAGCTTAGTAAGCAACAATCCTTTCTAAAAGCTTTTCTGTGTATAGAATAAATATTAATTAAAGTCATACAATGAGGTTTGATAGGCTATAACAAGATTCATATAGCTTACCATATAACTAACTAATATATATATATATATATATATATAGTTCTGAAAACTAATAATTATAAATAATTAATTTTATGAAATATTAATATACATATTTAAAAATATGGGATTTTACATGAAGACTAGTGATCTTCAACTTAATCTTATTGTTAGCATTGAAGCAAACTTGACTTCGTGAAATTATTTGAATTTTTATCTAAATCAAAATTGTATTTTAAGTCTCAAAAGATGTTGGAAATGTCATAAGGAGTCCGGGGTATTTTTTGGTGAAATTTTCAAATTTATTATGAATTTATTATGATTTTTGGAATTCAAAATACAGGAAAATAATAATAAATTAAAGATAATGACACATGGATGTGGCTGATGGGTGCGTCGTCAGCTTTTCCAACTGGTGTCATTATCTCATAGCGCCACATGTCATTAATGTTTCATTTTTGTGAGTTTATCTTAAACAATTCATGAAAAATCATTAAAAAAAAATCAGAAAAGTACACCGAAAATTGATTCATATTCCTTGCGACATTATCTTCGACTATGATACTTGAAAATCAAAATTTGACATTAAAAAATTTGAAGTATTAATTTGAGGAAGAGTTGTAGTGATGAAGACTAGTGATCTTCAACTTAGTGTTATTGTTAGTATGAAAGCAAACTTGACTTTTGTGAAATTATTTGAATTTTTCTCTTAGTCAAAATTATATTTTAAGTCTCAGAAGATGTTGTAAATGTCGCAAGGAGTCCGTAGTATTTTTTGGTGAATTTTTCAAATTTATTATGATTTTTGGAAGTCAAAATATTGGAAAATAGTAATAATTGGAAGAAAATTACAAATGGCAGCGCCTGATGGGTGCGTCGTCAGCTTTTCCAAAGGGTGTTAGTATCTCATAGCGCCACTTGTCACTAATGTTTCATTTTTGTGAGTTTATCTTAAAAAATTCACTAAAAATCATTATAAAAAAAAAATCAGAAAAATACACTGAAAATTGCTACATATTCCTTGTGACATTATCTTCAACTATGATACTCGAAAGTATTAATTTGGGGAAGAGTTGTAGTGATGAAGACTAGTTATCTTTAACTTAGTGTTATTGTTCGTATGGAAGCAAACTTGACTTTGTGAAATTATTTGAATTTTTCTCTTATTCAAAATTATATTTGAAGTCTTAGAAGATGTTGGAAATGTCGCAAGGAGTCCGGGGTATTTTTGGTGAATTTTTCAGATTTATTATGATTTTTGGAAGTCAAAATATTGGAAAATAGTAATAAATGGAAGAAAATGACACATGGCAGCGCCTGATGGGTGTGTTGTCAGCTTTTCCAATGGGTGTTAGTATCTCATAGTGCCACGTGTCATTAATGTTTCATTTTTGTGAGTTTATCTTAAAAAAATAACAAAAATTCATTAAAAATCAGAAAAATACACCGAAAATTTTTACATATTCCTTGCGACATTATCTTTGACTATGATACTCGAAAATCAAAATTTGACTTTGAAAAATTTGAAGTAATAATTGGAGGAAGAGTTGTAGTGATGAAGACTAGTGATCGTCAATTTAGTATTATTGTTAGTATGGAAACAAACTTGACTTTGTGAAATTATTTGAATTTTTCTTTTAGTCAAAATTATATTTTAAGTCTTAAAAGATGTTAGAAATGTCGCAATGATTTCGGGGTATTTTTTTAGTGAATTTTTCAGATTTATTATGAGACATAAAGAATTCAAATAAGTTCTCAAACTCAAGTTTGTTTCTATACTAACTACACACCAAGTTTAAGATCATTCCTCTTCCTCACTACAACTTTTCTTCCAATTATTAATTCAAGTTTTTCAAAGTCAAATTTTGATTTTCACACATCATAGTCGAAGATAATGTTGCATGAAATTTGTAGAAATTAAGGATGTATTTTTTCAAATTTTAATTAAATGTTTGTGAATTTTTAAAGATAAACAAACACAAAATAAAACTCTGATGACACATGGCTACGGGAAATGACGTTTGTCAGAAGCACTGATGATGCACTCTTCCAAAAATCATAATAATTCATTAAATGCATAAAAATACACACACCAAAAAATTCTACAAACTCAATGTGACACTTTCCACGTCTTTTGAGTTCATCTTAAAACATTCATAAAAGTACTAATGAAGACTTTTGAAGCGTTTACGAAAGATATTTTGATGGCAAACAATTAAATGAACATAATAAAAATAAAACCAAGCTGCTAAAATTCCAATATTAAACCCAAAAAAAAAAGTCACAATTTAACATTTAGAGGAATACTCAACAAAAAATGCAGAAGTACCAAACGTGTTTAAGTAATTTTTTTTCTTTCTATATTTGATTACTTTCACAGCAATCATGAAATCAATTCTCGTCCAATCACAAAGGCAACCAAAGCTTTAAACGAGGGCTGCACAAATTAAATAAACACAATACAAATCAAACTAAGCTCCTAAAATTCCAAACTTAAATAGCTGAAATTAAAATATGCTGCACATATTAAATATATCTCCTTGCAAAATTCCCTTGTGCTTTAGCCTAGCTCTAGTTGTGAGAGGTGGAAATGGGATAATGGTTGCCCTTGTTTTGAATAAAAGGGGAGGCAGAGGAGTGAGGAACATGAAAAGAAAAAAGAAAAAAAGATGAAGTAAAGTTACCCCACATACAGCTTGAAATGATACATAAATGACACATTATCCCCATAGACAGCCTGAAATATGCAACAAACATGATACACAATGATGTCAAGATAGAAAAAAGTTTCTCACATAAGAGGTGGTTTCTCAAGGTCCTGAATTTTAAACAAAATTGTAAGGGACATTGACATTCAAAAGTAAATTTAACAGAGATGTGGCGTATGTGTCGTAGGGTGCATAACCATATCCATGATGATACATAAATGACAAATTATCCCCATAGACAGCCTGAAATATGCAACAAGCATGATACACAATGATGCTATGATAGAAAAAAGTTTCTCACCTAAAAGGTGGTTTATCAAGGTCTTGAATTTTAAACCAAATTGGAAGGGGCATTAAAAAATAAACAAAAAAACTCATAAGAAAGTAATTATTAAAAGAGATAAGAGACATTGGAAAGTTAGAAATGGATAGAAAGCAAGAAAAAAGAAATGACCATAACAAGGAGAAATGTTCCTCAAGGGATAGGTCCAGGCCACCTTTTAGCTTGGTTAGCCAAAGGATATGTTGTAGCAAGAGCAACTTGCCACAAGCATTCTCCACAAAGTAGATTGGCCCATTGTTTTTTGACACAGGATATTTGTGCCCATTATGAGACTGGAACTCGAATGAAAATTTCTATTAGGAGATGATCAGGAAGCTTTCCAAATGTGAGAACCCAAAACATGAAATGTTACTTCAACAAGAAAATCAACAATAAAATGGACAAATCTTTGTTTAAAACAAGGTCATAGTTCATGGTTCTGAACAAATACAACATTTTCCAAAGCATTGAAATTTCCAAACACAAGAATAAATCTTTATCTTTGTGCAACACCAACATATCATCTAAGAATCAAAGACTGAATAAACTCACAACAATCATCTGAACAATTCTAAATGCCCATTTCATAATGGAATTTTCACTTTTTTGAGAACCCAATTACTAGTAAAAACATCAAAATTTGGCTACAAGCTAAAACTCACCAACAAGAGCAAGACTGTGGTAACCACCAGCAGCATAATAACCCAAAAGAAATTAAGGTAGAAAAGACTATTTCCACGTCCTGTGTAGATCTGAACCCTTAAAGCCCAAAATTAACCCAAATCCACCATGAACACCATAGATTTGTAAGGATCCCATTAAAAGTCCCAAAATGGATTAATAAATAAATTTCAACAAATCTATACCCTAAACTATAAACCCATCATTCACCCATTTCAGCCCCGGAAATTTTTAGGTTGACAAAAAATGTTAAGATTTAAGGATGCCGACAATTAAATAAGAAGAGCTTGATCAATGAGAGGTAGATGAACTTGCCGAAGACGATGTCATAGGAAGTGGGAAAACCGATGTGACCATAGAGGTAGTCAGAATTGTTGGATGGGGATGACGACGATGATCGGGACTTTGCAAACGAGCACTTTGTCTTTATGACCGCCATCGACGATGGCTTTGAGAATTCCAAAGCTAGAGTTGTATTTGTATTTGGGCAAAGAGATAAGAAGAAAGGGAAGTAAGAGAGAAATGGGGTTTTATTTGTACAAGGTCTACATAAAAATGAAAGATATTGTTCACCCCATTTCGTGAGTACTCGTGAGATGGAAGGGCAAAGTTCCCCACTGCCTTGAAAACCATTGACTGGTCAACAAGTCAGCTTTCTTTGGTGTATGAGTGTGCCACTGCTAGCAATGAAGATTCTAGCAAATTCATTCTAGAATAGATAACTTGCGCCCCAATTTACCGATTTCTGTAAACAAACGATTGTGAATTTGGGTGAGGAATATCTCCCAAGTAAGTTCTTTTCTTGTCTCAGACTGGTGAGGACTTTAACAATTTATCTCAGTATAAAGAGGTTGTTCTAGCCAAAATGGTTGATGGAATTTAAGCTGTCTTAGGCAGAACTGCCTTTTACAAAACTATAAAAATAAATACCCATGCTAGAAAGATAAAAAGACAGCTGGAACTCCATTTCTGCCTGGACAGGAGGATCTGACCCGGGCTGGACTGGAAATATCTGGGCTGGACTGAACTGTCAACAACTTCAACTGCTAAGTTTCAACTACAAATCGATACCAAAGTTCAAACTTGGCAGAGCTTTAATCTACTTCAAGCTTTGGGAGGCTTTTGAGCGGGCAAAACTGCAGCTTTTTCAATTTGAATGGGCAGAAGTGGCTGTTCTTGAAGATTTAGTGAGCTAGAGACTGCACTGTAAGATTTGTTGAGGTTTTCATATTTGGGAAAACTCAAACTCTGCTTGTTTTGGCTTTGCTGAACCAAATTTGTAACGAGAGAGATATCATTTTGAATAGTTAAGTTTGAACTTTGGGAAATCTGATCTAAAGCTGGTTTTTCTTGGAGTTCAAGTGAGCTTTTGGTTGATTTTTGAGTTGTTTGTTCGATTGATGAATTCAGTGTCCTTTCTTCTCTGCGATGTTCACTCCCTCTTATATTTACAAGAAATGCAAAGGGCAGAGTTTCTTTCTTTAAAATAATGGGCGGGAAGTCTTCTCAAAGATCTGCGAAGAGATACAAGAGAGGGAAGGATTTAATTTAATTATGTCAGATAGGCTTTTATCAATCAATCTTTGAGATCACTTCCCTGTTTTTTTTTTGTTTTTTGTTTTTTTTTTAAAGAAGCCTAATTCCTTTTCCCAATTTAACTGCCCCTTGTAAGATTTCAACCTTGATGGTTAGTTTGATTTCCCAGATGAACAACTCTCCTCATCCTCATTCTTTTTTTTTTTTTTTTTTTTTGATAATATGGCCTGCGTATCTCTTGCAAGGATGGTGCCTCTTTGGAGTGAAATCAATTTTTTTGAATATATAAGAAGGATTTTGATCTTCTGGTGGCAGAAATTCAAAGAAATCCTTTTGCCACTAACCTGCTTTAATTAATTATCAATCAACTCAGTTGAGTTTGTTGACTTTTCCATTTTGGTAGTCACGTGGGTTCTGAAAATAGGTCTATTCTTTTTTTCTTTTAATCATGCTGTGCCCATTCTGATTTGTCTGGAGGCCAAAGGTGACTGCTTTTCTTTTGGGGCCCAAGTTTGCTTGCCACATTTTGATGAGTCTTGGGCTGGGCCTCTCTGGACTTTGGGCTTTGCCTTCCGTTTTGCAAAAGCCCAAACTGCTTGAGTCCTGTAGCTTTTATTCTGGGCTTTCTCTGTTTTGGGCTGGGCGCGTTCAATTTAGGCCCAAACAATGCCCCCTAAGTCTAAATTGTTTTTGGAACGGTTTTAGACTTAAATGAATTGGCCATTAAATTGGCGCGTGCCAGTTTCTTCTGTTATCCCACGTCTGCCACGTCTTCCCACTGAGCTAGAGTTCGTGGGAAACTGTTCAGTTACTAGCTCTTTACTAGCTAGTCATTTATCAGATGACGCCTTGTCTTTTCCACGTCCCTGTCTTCTCTTTCCCACGTTTTCGAGCTTCCTTAAAAGAAATTCGAAACCCACTGTTCCTGTTCATCCAAAAACCTAGTATTTCAGACTTTGCTCCTCTGAAACTCAATCCTTTCCTTGCTAGAACCTGCCTTTCCTGTCAACTTCTTTTGTTTCTTAACAAAACAAACCTGAGAAATTTCTTCCTCCAAATCCCGTGCTCAGTCTTCCTCTATTTCAGTTCCTCCATTTATATTATACAAATTTATAAATAAACTCAATCCTAGACATGTATTTATAAAAAAACCCAAGCACTATTTAAACATAGAAACACACCCAAAATCAACCCCAAAGTCAACTTTTTGGGTGTGTTTATAAATGAGTTTTGAGTGTGTGTAATGATGGATTTTGGGTGTGTTTATAAAGTGTTTTGGGTGTTGGGTTTTTTTATAATTTCAACCTCCATTTTGGGTGTTTTAGTGAAACTCCCTTTATATTACTGGGACTGGGATTCACAAACATGCGATAGCGGTAGCAAGCTCCATCCTTTTGCCTAGAACAACCTAGATGAGAATGTCCTTCATATGTTCGAGATTACCTTGGTCCTTCTCCTCCTCCTACGAAGTCAAAAAGGCTTAGAAAGAGGACGGTGGTGCGGTGGTGGAATATGTGGCCACAGAAGGAACTGCAGCAGCTCCCACCGCCACTTCTAACAAGAATGAAGAGCTCAGAGAGGCTTTTGAGGCTGTGGAGCAAGAGAAGGAGCTGGAGGGGGTGGAAGAAGTAGGAGAGGGGCCTTAGGAGAAAGCCAAGATAGTGGAAAAAGAGGTGAGTCTTGTTCCACTGGCTGCATCAGCTTTTCTGTCTTTTTATTCCTTCTGTTCTGACTTCTGTCTATCTGTAGGAGGAAATTCCTACTAAGGTGATAGCATAGAGTATTGTGCTGGCTCAGAAACAGCAGGAAGATATAAGGGCAGGGCTGACTAGCTCAGAGCTGGCCCTATTTGAGGATCCAGAGGCAGAACACTCTACTGCTGTTCCAGCAGCTGAGGAGCAGGCAGGACAGTCTGCGTCAGAACCTGTGGACCAGGCTGTGGTGGTACCAGAAGCTGGAGTGGGAGTGGCTGTATCTGCTCCTGAAGTTATGGTAATTTTTCTTCCAATTCTGCTCACATTTTCTGCAATTCTGTTCTTTTTTTTTTCTTCCTTAATTGTTGTAGTCCTTCCAGGTAGAAGTGCCCAAACCTGTTGGTGCCCCTGTCAGTGGTGACTAACCCCTTGAAGCCCCCAATTGTTGCTGTAAGTGTTCATTATATTTTTGGGTTTTTCTTTTCTGTTTCTGATTGGTTTTGACTTATGCTTCCTTCTGCAGATGCCTATTCATTCCCCTCCAGGTTCATCTATCACGGCCTCCTTTGCTGATCTAGAACTGGCAGAGTTTGAAGCCATGGACTTAGATGCCCAACTAGACAGATTGGAGATGCTTAGCTCTCCTGTAGGTAAGGCAAAATCCAAGGCAGTGGAGGAGGCTTTGGAGAGGTTGAAGATCTGACAGTCTAATGAACTGGAGTTGGATGAGGATAGGAAAGCCATTGACCAGCTGATGAAGGATCTGGACCTGCTGCACAGACAGAACATGGCCCCTAAACTCATACTCGAGATGAGCCTTAGTTTGGCAAGGGATGTGCTCAACCTTCACGACCGCTATGAGGATCTCAAGCCTACCTTCAAAACCTCTGAGTTCTGCAAGGCCACTCATGAAGCGAACTTGGCTGATTTTGCAAAGCAAAAGGCAGAACTGGACCAGATGGTGGCGGGATACAAGGAAGCCAAGCCCACTGCAGACAAGCTGGAGAAGCAGATTGAAGAGCTTACAAAACAGCTGGCAGAGTGCAGGGAAGTGCAGAACAGGCTCGGGGCTGGACTAAGCTCCAAGACTAAGGCTACCTTCCTTGTGCAGAGCATGGTTGCAGCTTCCAGGCCAGCCTTGGAGATTGCAGAGGCTTCAATCCATCAAGGGATGCTGCTTCAGAAGGAACTCTCCATAAAGAAAGTTAACTTGCAAGAAACCCTTAGGAAGTTAGGGTTTTGATTTTTAGTATTTATTTATCTTTTCAGTTTTTGCTTTATGACGAACAATTTGCCATGGGGAAGGCCCCATGGCTATTTATTTTAAATAAAGTTTATTTTTTGTTGCAATTTTTTGGTTTTCAATTTCTTTTGATGAAATAAACAGAAGTAGTAAAAAAAAACGAAAGGGAAACAAACTTTAAACAACTCAGAGTAAAAATAAATCCTGGACAGAATCTGAAACAAACAGTTTCAAGGTTGTTCCTTCTCTATCCCGGGATCTGTCTGTACAGCTTGTGAGTCCCACATAGTTGGAAAAAACTTTTTCAACCATTTGCCATTGATTGGGGTAGCATGGACTTCCCCCTCTCGATCCTGCAACATGCATGCCCCCATTCCAAGGATCTGGTTGATTATGAAAGGGCCTTCCCATGTAGGTGACCACTTTCCATAACCAGCCACATGTGTTCCAAGGGGCAAAACCGCTTTCCAGACTATCTCTCCTTCCTCAAAACTCTTGTTCTTTACTCTTTTGTTGTAGGCTCTTGACAAAGCTTGCTTTCCTACCAGTAGTTTATTGAGGGTGTCAATTCTGCTAGCATCCAATCCTTCTAGTTCTAGCAGCATGGCTTGAGAGTAATTTTCTCCAACCAGATCATGTTGGTGAGCAATTCTGATGGACTGAACAGCTATCTCCATAGGCAGAATTGCATCATGGCCATAAGTTATAGCATAGGGGGTCATGCCAGTTGCTTCTCTCTTTGAAGTTCTATATGCCCACAGAGTTTCTGATAGCTTCTCATGCCATTGCTTCGGATTTTTCTCAAGCATTTTTCTGATAATGTTGATGATTACTTTGTTGCTTAATTCTGCCTGTCCATTAGCTTGAGCATAGTAGGGAATGGATTGAAGCAGCCTGAATTTGATTGCCTCTGCCATATCCAGCATCTCTCCAGATATGAAAGAATATCATCTGTCAGTTGTGATTGATTATGGGATGCGAAATCTCTGTATAATCTGCTCTTCTATGAAGGTGATGATCTCTTGAGATGTAGTGGATTTAACAGTCTTGGCTTCCTCCCATTTGGTGAAATAGTTTGTAGCAACAATGATAAAACAGTGTTGCTGGCTGCTGGCTGGATAGATTTTGTCAATGAGATCCATTGCCCATCCTTAAAAGGCCATGGCTTCACCACTGGATTCATCATAACTGAAGGAGCTTGCTGGATTAGGCCGTGTCTTTGACAAGACTCGCACCCTTTGGAATAGTCAATGCAATCTTTCATCATGGTTGGCCAGAAATAGCCATACCTCCTGATTAACCAGCACATCTTCCTTCCTCCTTGGTGAGCTCCACAGATCCCTTCATGAGTCTCTCTCATGACTTTCATGTATTCTTTCCTTCTGAGGCACCTTAATAGTACCTTATCCTTGCTTTTTCAGACCAAATCTTCATTCCACATAAGGTAGTTCATAGCCATGATTCTGACTCTCTTTTCAGAGGGTAGAGTTGGATATTGTAAGTAAGTCATGATAGGATTTCTCTAATCATCTTCAATGATCGTGGTAGAATTGACATCTATCTCCATCCCTCTGGTCAGAACAGATGGTAGGCTTTTCTTCCCTACCTTGATGATTCTTTGCACACAATCTTCAGGCATTTGTATGCCTGTTGCTACCTGAGCCAGCTCATTTGCTGCAAAGTTTTGTTCTCTTGGGATGTGTTCCCAAGTTGTCTCTCTGAATTTTGTTAGAAGATTCCTAGCTGCTACTAAGTACACATCTAGAGAAGGACTTAGGCATTTGTATTCTCCAGCAATCTGTTTTAGCACAAGCATAGAATCTCCCAAAATTTCCACAGATTGGATTCCTAGTTCCACCAGCATTTCTAAGCCTATGATTAGAGCCTCATACTCTGCCCTATTGTTGTTGCCCTGGAAATCTAACTGGAAAGAGTAACAGTGTCTGATTCCAAGGGGTTCTTCCAAAACAATTCCTGCCCCATAAGTTATATAAGTTTTTGATCCATCAAAATACAGCTTCCAAGGTGTGAGATGAATTGAATAGATAGGATTGTTGAGGCAAGTGTGAGCTCTGGTCAATAGATCTGCATTTGCTATGTCCAAAGAGTCCATGTTTTTAATCTCCTGCCCAGGATGATCTGCTAGGAAGTCTGCCACAACTTGTCCTTTGACAGTTTCTGAGGAACATATCTAAAGGCAAATTCTGTCAAGGCCAAGGTCCATTTCCCTATTATGCCTCTCAACATTAGCCTGGTCAGCATGTATTTAATCAAATTTGTCTTGGCAATGATGTAGATGGTGTATGGCAGCATGTAATATCTGAGTTTCACAGCCGTGAAGTACAAGGCTAGGCAAAGTCTTTCAATTGGAGAATATTTTCTTTCTACTTCTGTCAGAGTTCTGCTCAGATAGTAGATTGCCTGCTCCTTCCCTTCTTTGTTATCTTGAACTAACAAACTTCCAATGGATACCTCTGATGCAGATACATAGAGCTTGAGTGGTCTGCCTCTCTTTGGTGGGGACAGAACTGGTGGATTTGAGAGGTAATGTTTGATTTCCTCAAAAGCTTGTTGGTGCTGTTCTTCCCACTTGAAGTTCTATTCCTGTTTCAATCTCAACAAAGACGAGAAAGGCTGGATCTTTCCTGCATAATTGGATATGAATCTCCTTAGAAAATTAATTTTTCCTAGGAGATGCTATAATTCTTTCTTGTTTCTAGGCGGTAGAGCTTCTATGATGGATTTTGCTTTGTTTTTATCAATTTCTATGCCTCTCTGGTGGACCAAGAATCCTATGAAATTTCCTGCTTGAACTCCAAAAACACACTTTTTTGGGTTCATCTTCAGTTTATGTTGCCTCATTCTTTGGAATGCCTTTCTTAGATTTGATATGTGGTTTCCCTCCTCTGGGGATTTAATCACCACGTCATCGATATACACTTCTAAAGAATGCCCTATCATATCATGGAAGATAGAATTCATTGCCCTTTGATAAGTAGCTCCTGCATTTCTTAAGCCAAAAGGCATTACAGTGTACTCAAAAGCACCTATATGTCCTGGACACATGAAGGCTGTCTTGGGGATGTCTTCTTCTGCCATCATGATCTGATTGTAACTTGCATTGCCATCCATGAAAGACAGCATCTGGTTATGAGCAGCTCCATCTACTAGCATGTCTGCCATTGGCATAGGGTACTCATCCTTGGGAGAAGCTTCATTCAGATTTCTGTAATCCACACAGATTCTGACTGCCCCGGTTTTTCTTTTCAAGACTGGTACAATATTAGCTAGCCAATCAGCATAGATGGCTGGTATGATGAATCCTACCTTGAGCAACCTTTCTATTTCTTCTTTGACCTTCAGTTCTGTGTCCATAGACATTCTTCTTCTGGCCTGTTTGACTGGAAGGTATCCCTCTTTGATTGGCAGCTTGTGCTCCACCAATTCCCTGTCTAATCCTGGCATTTCCTGATAATGTCAAGCAAAACAATCTCTGAACTCCTGCAAAAGTGCAATGAGCTGACTCTTAAGTGGTTCTTTCAACAGTGCGCTAATAAAAGTAGGTATTGGATCCTCTTCTGTCCCTAAGTTTATTTCCTGTAAAGGATCTTCCACTTCTGGCAGAGAGTCGTCCAGTGTTGTTGGAGCAAAATCTAACACTTCCTCCTGTAAATCTTCTTCCTCATGGTCTTCTGTACTTTCATGAGTGAATTCCGCCATATTGATGGCTGGATTCTGTATGAAGAGCTTTCTTTCCTCCCAGTATATCAACAATCTTTTTGTAATGGATCAGATTGTTGCAGCTCGATCCTTCTCTTGTTGATTGGGACTAAACATCAGAGTTCTGGAAGTTTAGAACAAAAGGTCTATTCCAGTCCTCTAAGGAACTGGTTAGACCATCTTCAATGAGCCTCTGGGCCGTGACACCATGGGGGCGGCCATTCTGGTTGACTCCAAGGAAGGTGAAAGGACCAGGGTCATCATGATAGTACCTTGCCTCAAAACGCATGGCAGAAGGCAAAAATGGTCGTGGATCGGCCTCTACTATTTCCATGTAACCTTCTTCATTCCACAGAGCTAATTGCTGATGAAGAGTGGAAGGGACACATAGACTCTGATGAATCCAGTCTCTGCCAAGCAGTGCATTATAAGTGGTAGAAGTGGTGTCTATCACAAAGAATGCAATCTTCAACTTTTTGCTCCCAACTATGACGTCCACATCTAAGATCCCATGAGTTTTGGTGATGCCCCCTGCGAAGTTGGTGACAGTCAAGCGTGTTGGAATCAAATCCCTCTCTATTCTGCCAATCTTGCTCAGCATTCTATGAGGCAGAAGATTAATGGCTGCTCCCCCATCTACCATGACCTTGGGAATGGGGACACCCCCAAAATTTGCTGTTATGAACAAGGGTCTGAGGTGATTGGCCATCTCTTTGGTTGGTTTGGAGAAGCAAAGCTGTTCTGCAGCCAGTTTGTTGGTAGTTCCTCTTGTCCTGTGACTACCTATTTGCTGTTTTGGTGCCTCCTCTGCTTCTGCCAATTTGCATTCGAAACTCTCCTGAGAGAGCACATCTCCTTCCAGAGTGCTTTCTTGTCTTTCTGCAGCCCTGAACTTTTATGGCATAATGAATAACATATTAATGCCTAGGTCTCCTTGTAACAAGTCCTCCAATTTTGCACCAAAAGCCTCAGTTTCTGCATCCAATTCTCCGTCATACTCCATCTGTTCCCCCCCGTATTCCTCTGTCCAGTCTCCCTATGCTCCTGTCCGATGAGTGCATTCTGGTCATCTGCAGATGGCTCATAATCTAATTGCTCCTCTTCATATTCCTCAGTCCAGTCTTCTTGTCCTTTTACTAGAATCAGATCGGATTTTCCCTGTGGTTGTGGAGTTTCAAGTTGATTTCCTGAGGTGGAGGCAGGATGGATAGAAGGTTTCCCTGAAGATTCTGCTTTCATCAGCTTTTGCGGCTAAGAGGTTACTTGTTCTGCCTGGGGTAGCACTTCCTGCTTTTTCCCTTTTTTGGTAGAATTGGCATCTGGGCACATCTGCGCATTACTCTTGTTATTAAGGAATGTGCAGTACTGTCTCTGAACCCTCCTTTTCTAAGTTCTGGTTAGCTCCATAGTTGGTCTGCCACTCTTCCCGACATAATACCACCTGCCTTCTATGATAGCTGCCAGAGGTTTCTCATTCCCGGGCATTTTTATTGATATTTCCTCCTTGGGTTGCTTAGTCATTCCCCTGCTGCGTCGGACAGGCCTTGGATAGTCCTCCTGCCTTGCTCTATCATGGGATGTAGTTCCAATCCAGTCAAAAACACTCGGAGTGGGCTGGTTCTGTCTGTCCAGGACCACTTCTAGCTCAACTTCACATCTGCACTTGCTACAGAGCACTACCCCAGCTGAGATGGTTGCCTTTGGTCTTTCAATAGTCTCCCTTGAAGCTATTTTGCCTCTGTTGGAGCTAGCTTCTGTTGCTAGTCTGCTCCTCTTCTGTTCTGGCCAATTTAAGTTGACCATGTTGACTTGTGGTTGGGGACAAGGGTCTGTTGTGACAGATGGAGGTTTCTCCGCCAACTTTAGCCTTCCTCTTGTTATCCTTTCCTGTATAACATCTCTGAAAATAACACAACTGCAATAGTTGTGCCATCTGCAATACTGTCTGCCTTTGAGTTCTTCTGGCTTGGGCATCCTGTGGGGCATCTCTATTGCTTTATGTAGCAACATTTCATCAAATAAAGCATCCACCTTGGTCAGATCAAAGGAATAAACCTTGTTTTGTGTTGGTTTGTTTGGAACAAACCTTCCTGTGAATAGTGGCGGCTTCTGATCTCTTGGAGGCTTTGTAAGAGCCTTACAACTGATGAGGTGTTTTAATTTTGACATTTCTGCCACTGCAATCTCTCTCTCCTCCGAGCCTTCTGCATCTTCTTCTGACTCTACCTCAATCAGATGTATTGAAGAAGAATGAGATTTGTAATATGTGCCTTTGGAAGAGTTCCTCTTCTGCTGTTCTTCCCTGAGCAGCTCCTCGTACTTGGATGCTTTATCTGCCAGTTCTGCCAGATCTCTAAACAGCATCTCATCAAATCTTTTTCTCAGAGAGATTTTGAGGGCAGCCTAAGCCATCTGGATGAAGTGTCTTTCTTCCATAGGGATCCGACATTTCATTTTGAGCTTTCTGAACCTGGTTATAAAGTCTTGAGCAAGTTCATCTTCACTCTGCTTGAGGGCAGCTAGGTTACTGATTGTGACTTCTGGTTGAATTCTATAATAGTAGTCATAAAAAACACTTTCCATCTGCTCCCAAGTTTGAACAGAATTGGCTGGCAGATTGGTGTACCAAGTGAAAGCTTGTCTAGAGAGAGAATTCCCGAAAAGCCTTAGCTTTAACAGAGGGTTATTCTCTATGGCTATGCACTGGACGGAAAATCTGCCTATGTGCTCAATTGATGAAGCATGGGGATCCTCTCCGTTAAACAAAGTGAAGTTTGGTATTTTGAAACCTGGGGATAAGGGTATCTGATCAATGTAAGTTGGATATGGCTTTCTATAGGTGGGCCTTTCTCCTCTTCTGGCTTCAGGCTCCATCATTTCTCTGATCATCCTTTGCAATGCCCCCACGTCATTTAAAGCATTGATAGGGAGGAGATTTTGCCCCTGTTCTGGTTGGGCGTAGTCAATCCTAGGTTCCGCCCTATATGGCCTGGGTAGAACCAAGGATTAAAATATCGGCCGTGTAGATAATATCGGGCCTCCAATTTACAGATATTTCGAGGCATATAGCGTTATCGTTTTAGGTATCGGGAAAAAATCAACAAAAAAGACAGATATAAGCATTGAAACACATAATTTTGGTGTAAAACTTTCATAGATGTTATATACATTATCAATGAATGTATTGAACAAATAAAACTGAAAATTTACTAATAATAAGACATACATTGATGAAATATAAGTGGTATGTAATGCGAATTAATGAAAAGTTTGAAAATAAAATTTTGATTAGAATGAATAAACCATGCATAAATCCATAGTTTGTTTAAACATTAGATTACAATTTAGATAAGTGTCCACCTACATAAATGAAGAGCTCCTATGAGGTTCAAACAATGAGGAACAACCATCCAGATTCATACAGTAGTCATACCAAGTCATGTAACCCGAGCAGTTTGTAAGCCATGTTAGAACATGGGGCACATAAGTCTCTCTCGAGCTACCTATTGTCCTCTCATATATGGGATAGTTAGGATTAACCCAACTAGTAGGTCCATAATCTGTTTCATCATCTTGAGCTCCATAACTAGTTCCACTATAATCAGACATGACATAACCATAGCCATCATAAGATTCATTTGAGTTAGTACTAGGTCTAGTTTCTATGCTCATAGATCCAAAACTGTTCCCCATGTCCTCTTCAGATGGATTGAAGGTATGTGGCCAGTGGACTGTGCATAGATTCTTCATATTAATAAATTATAGGGTTCTGGGCAAGGATTAGCAATTTTTGGGTTTCAATTTGCTTCAATTGCCTTCAAAACTTTTGAATTTTTTTTGGGTTCTGTTATGGGTATCGGGGAATATCGGGGATATCGGCAAAATATCGGAAATATCGCACTTATCGGGGGATATATCGTCGATACAGGGGAAGATATGGCCTTACCCCCCAGTATCGATGTCGATAGTTTAAAATACCGATATATCGACAGATATATCGGTGTATCGGCCGATATTTCAATCCTTTGGTAGAACTTCTTCCCTGTGTTCTTCCTGTTCTTCTATATCTGGGTGATTCCTCCAGTTTGCCCTCGGCCTGTTCCTGTCATTGTTATTGCAGGTGGAGGGAATGGATTGGGATCCATCCTTCTAGGTCTGTAGGGCAACACTGTTGGTGGTTCAGGCAGAAGTGCCAAAGGCTAATCCTGTGGGGCCACGGGTTGGGGAATAGGTTGAGGCTCTAGCCGGTTCTGCTGAATCTGTCCTGGTACAGGGCCTTCGGGCCAGATTAGGGCCTGACGTTCTTGGGTAGGAAGGGCTCATCCCCTCTGTCCAGCCTAAATTTCCCCATGTTCTAGTATCCCAGCTATCTGTGTGATAAGAGGATTCTCTTGATATGGCCATGCCAATCCTGGTGGGGGGCCATAGGGAAGGTCTAGCTGCTGGACTACAGCATCCGGATTTGGAATTTTGGCCATGGCAGCCTCACGGTCCTTCCTGAACTGCCTGTTAACCTGCCATTGCATCATGGCTGTCATGTTATTGAGAGTGTCCTGGCTCCTTTGTGTTGTAACCTCTTGTCGCATCATAGATTCCTGTATCAGGTTCATCCTTCTGGAGCCGGTCCTGGATCGTCTGCTCCCTGTGCTGCCGTGTGCTGAGTGCCTGACATCACTTTCTTCTGACTCCAGTCCTTCCCTAAGAGCCACCTGGTTTATCTCCATAGCGTGGTGTGGGTTCTGGCTAGAGCTTCCAATATTCATAAACTTGAGAAGAATTCTGTCAGAGTATGTATACTGAGAAGTCCCATTGGGCGTGCCAAATTGTTCACCCATTTCGTGAGTACTCCTTAGATGGAAGGGCAAAGTTCCCCACTGCCTTGAAAATCATTGACTGGTCAACAAGTCAGCTTTCTTTGGTGTATGAGCGTGCCACTGCTATAATAGATAACTTGCACCCTAAGTTACCGATTTCTGTAAACAAACGATTGTGAATTTGGGTGAGGAATATCTCCCAAATAAGTTCTTTTTTTGCCTCAGACTGGGGAGGACATTAACAATTTATCTCAGTATAAAGAGGTTGTTCTAGCCAAAATGGTTAATGGAATTTAAGCTGTCTTAGGCAGAACTACCTTTTACAAAACTATAAAAATAAATACCCACGCTAGAAAGATAAAAAGACAGCTGGAACTCCATTTCTGCCTGGACAGGAGGATCTGACCCGGGCTGGACTGGAAATATCTGGGCTGGACTGAACTGTCAACAACTTCAACTGCTAAGTTTCAGCTACAAATCGATACCAAAGTTCAAGTTTGGCAGAGCTTTAATCTACTTCAAGCTTTGGGAGGCTTTTGAGCGAGCAGAACTGCAGCTTCTTCAGTTTGAATGGGCAGAAGTGGCTGTTCTTGAGGATTTAGTGAGCTAGAAACTGCACTGTAAGATTTGTTGAGGTTTTCATGTTTGGGAAAACTCAAACTCTGCTTGTTTTGGCTTTGCTGAACCAAATTTGTAAGGAGAGAGATCTCGTTTTGAATAGTTAAGTTTGAACTTTGGGAAATCTGATCTAAAGCTGGTTTTTCTTGGAGTTCAAGTGAGCTTTTGGTTGATTTTTGAGTTGTTTGTTTGATTGATGAATTCAGTGTCCTTTCTTCTCTGCCCTATTCACTCCCTCTTATATTTACAAGAAATGCACAGGGGCAGGGTTTCTTTCTTTAAAATAATAGCGGCAAGTCTTCTCAAAGATCTGCAAAGAGATACAAGAGAGGGAAGGATTTAATTTAATTATGTCAGATAGGCTTTTTATCAATCAATCTTTGAGATCACTTTTTTTTTGTTTTTTTTTTTTTTTAATTCCTTTTCCCAATTTAACTGCCCCTTGTAAGATTTCAACCGTGATGATTAGTTTGATTTCCCAGATGAACAACTCTTTGTCCTCCTATCTCCTTTTTTTTTTTTGAAAATATGGCCTGTGTATCTCTTGCAAGGATGGTGCCTCTTTGGAGTGAAATCAATTTTTTTGAATATATAAGAAGGATTTTGATCTTCTAGTGGCAGAAATTCAGAGAAATCCTTTTGCCACTGACCTGCTTTAATTAATTCTCAATCAACTTAGTTGAGTTTGTTGACTTTTCCATTTTGGTAGTCACATGGGTTCTGAAAATGGGTCTCTTCTTTTTTTCTTTTAATCATGCTGGGCCCATTCTGATTTGTCTGGAGCCCAAAGGTGATTGCTTTTCTTTTGGGGCCCAAGTTTGCTTGCCACATTTTGATTAGTCTTGGGCTGGGCCTGTCTGGACTTTGGGCTTTGCCTTCCGTTTTGCAAAAGCACAAACTGCTTGAGTCCTGTAGCTTTTATTATGGGCTTTCTCCGTGTTGGGCTGGGCGCGTTCAATTTAGGCCCAAACAGATATACCAAAAGAGAAGCTAAGAGAACAAGACAGAGATGCAGATCGAGATGAGGGAAACTAAGAGGGCAGAGAAAGAGAGAGGGATTTATGAGGAGAAAGGTATCGATTCTGACCAAGGAAAATAGGAAATGGTATGTAGAGGAGAATCTAGGAACAATAAACTCTAAAAAAGAAAGGCGCGACTAGAAAGAAAGTTGGGATTGAGAACGTGCACCAGGACACAGGGGCTAAGGGAAGTGCAGCGTACCCGTTTGTATTGTAAGCTTGCTTTTTCTCTTCAGCCGTTCAGATAATTTGGATGACTGGAATTGATTCTCATATAAGGTTCTCACATAAGCATTCTCACCTGATCCAACTCGGGTGTGCTAAACCATCTTTAAATGGGCCGGGCTCGAGCCATATTCAAATCGGCCGGCCCATTGTACACACCCAACTTCGTTAAAAGGTTGAGATTTATAACTTCAAAAACGAGCCGTGCGGATGAGTTTTATAGGAAATTAGCTGAAAAACCAAGTGAGGACTAGCGATTAACATAATTCAGGGGTCGTTTATATATGACCCGTTCAGACGCTGAGAATCGGAGCCAGAGGAATAATGCATGGCGATTTCGCTTCCCTTCCCTCCCTCTCCATCTCTGAACAATAGCTAGCGAGAACCCTAACCCCAATCTCTCAAGCTGGTTCAGAAGGGGGATCTGAACCAAAAGCAAATTTTGGAATGAGAAGCAAAATTTCGATAAAACTTTTGAAGTTGGGATAAAATGGAGACTAACTTGAGCCACTGATTAGCAATCATATTCACAAGGATGGGAAGGAGGTGTAGAATTTGGTGGCCAAAGCAACTCTCATTGAGCACACCATCATCCTGCTCCAATTTCTTGCTGGGTTGGTTCATTTCGTCGTCTTCGTCTTCTCTTGACGTTGTCGTAGCTTTTGCCTGCACTGAACAAGCGCTTTCTGATAAAAAATTATGCATTCAGGTATATAATGTTATTCAGTAATGAATGCTAATCAGATTTCAATCACTTGTAACTGCAATTTAGTTGGGTAGGTTTCAATTTGTTTCTTTATCATTGTACTTAGTGATTTTGGCATGCATTCATTTGTTGCTTATTTTGTATGGTTTGGGAAATTGCTTTATTGAAATTGTATGTGTTTTTCTTCTCACCAAAGAAAAGTATTTATTATTTTCAGGGAATCCTTCATGACACCAATGGAAGGATGCCTGTGTTACTCCAGGATAAGTCAATGTTGTGTATAGTGGGTCAATTTTTTAAAGTTCACCCAAAAGAAGATCAATATCATTCATCTTGTTGTCGGTGCCACAATCTCAATGGATCACTAGAACAATGTAGGCAAACTTTTGTAGGAAACAGTTATTGGATCCAGATGCTATGTGATCCTCAAGAACAAGTTGGAACAGAAATTAGTTGGATTCCTAAACTGCATCACATCCACTGGAATGGGCAAATGGTGTTTCCATGTGATATCCACGTATGTAAGTCATGAATGCTTCAATGGCATGCGTTGGGCTTAATTTAATTTTTATTTTTAAGCATGACATCTGTTTTGATTGATTAAAATCTTGTCTTTTCTTGATCAAATGTAGTTAATATTGTACGAGACCCCAGCCTATGGTGCTCACCATTTCTCATTACATCCTTGGAATTCATTTGATCAAGTGAATGCTCCTGAGAGAAAACCCAAGTGGGTTGATGAACTTCACCAGAAGCAGCCACTCCTTGACTTGGTAAGAGTTTTTGAGAATTTTTTGTGCATCAAGACTTACCTTTGTTGTTAATATTGCAATACGACTATGATATTGTTTTCATGCAGGATACGGTCATTCTGGCAATCAATAGCTCCGCTGCTGCGGACAAAGTTTTCGAAAGATGCATGGGTCCCAAGAAATCTACTGTGCGCTTTTCCACAGTTTACATGTATTATCTTCACACATTTGTCCTCCCCACTTCCTTTGCTTTCGATGTCCTGCTTTGTTCTGTAGTATTCAAATGGACTTTGTGTGGCATTTCAGGTTTCTTGCCTTCACATGGCAACTATTTGCTGTGTCTGTGGCTTCATTGTCCATGTTATTCTATGTCATTGTTCAGTTTCTCTATAGGCTTCTGAAGTATGCATCAGATTCATGGGTATACATCATATCAGTAAAGGTATTCAGCAGTTCAAGGATAAATATCAGAATCCGTTGTTCTCAGATCTTGTATTGGCCAATCTTTCTTCAAGATAATGGCACAAGGTAATATGAAATTCTATGTTGAACACTGGAAATTTATCTGATCGATGAGTTGTGTTTAAAATGCCATTCCATATAGCATTCTAATTATTGATGAAATTTACAAATGCAAATACAGAAATCTATGTTGAATACAGTTGAGTTGTCTAACTGATAAGTTGGGTTTCAAATGCCATTTCATTTAGCGTTCTATGTTGAATACTGGGAAGTTATCTGACTCATAAGTTGGTTTTCAAATGCTATCAGATTTCACACCATTTTGATTTATGAGGAAGTTTTTCTCTGTAAACTTATGCATGTTAGTAAAGTGTTAACGTTTTCTGATCTGTACTTTTGTAGGCTGGGTTTGCTTGACTACCATGATTGGCATTCACCTGATCTCTTTCTTTTCGTCCTTGTCTGCATTGCCTTATATTTGACCCCAATTGACAGTTATCGTGATTGTGTTTCATCTTGTGTATATTTATTTCTTTTGTTGTATCATCATTTTTTTCTTTTTTGGTATTGAACTCTTATTTCTTTCATGAACAAACTGCAAATTTTTTCATCATCTTCTTCTTTATTTCAAAGGTCGCTATCAAGTGTTGAATATGCGGAGAAAGCTGCATTGCATAAGCATTCCATGTGGTCAAGTTTAGCTGTTGATGTACTTCTGGGAAACTTGTTCGGTTTGGCACTGCTGTATCATGCAGAATCTGCTTGCATGTGGGTCCTGAAATTTGCCAGTGACATTACAAATGAGTTATTGCGCTCAGGTTGTGTGTGGTTAATGGGAGTCCCCGCAGGTTTTAAGTTAAACACGGAATTGGCAGGAGTTCTTGGGATGATTTCTCTAACTGCTATCCAGATTTGGTCTACCATTTGGATCTTTTTGGGGTTTCACTTCATTTATTTCATTAGAGGACTTGCTATATCAGGAATCATTTTTGGGGTGACTGTACCTGCTGCTTTGATAAAAGACTTGATTGCACTAGCAACGTTACATGTGTCCACTCTTCACTGGTTGATATCACTTTTATATTCGACTCAGATACAGGCATTGGCAGCTTTGTGGCGCCTTTTCAGGTATTACTCTCGGATTTCTTGTTCTTGCTTTTTCAGTCTTTAAAACTTCTACATATGGCCAACCAAAAGCAAATGTACTTTGTTTGGTAATCCTATGAATGTGATAGGGTCATTTTTCTAACCGACCTATTCTCTATCCCTTAATGCTTATTCAGCACCTGTTGGTTTGGTTGTTATGTATTTAATACATATTCTGCGGTCAAATCACACTTTAAGTTGATGTAGTTTAGTCTGTTTTCTACTTAATTATCTGTAGTTAAAAAAATTTCAATTGTACCCCTATAGTTGATTACAATTACAATCAAGGACAAAACATTAATTGCGTCTAATAAATTGATGGAGTGGCAACCTGGAAACATAGGTATGTCTAAAGACATCTACAACCACATGTCTGTTAAATTGTTAGACTGAGTTGATGTTTTGTCCTCAGTTGCAAATGAACCAAAATACAGTGGTACAATTGGAAAAATTTGGGTGTACAGGAATTGAAGTGTAAAAAAGAGGCTAAAATACAGGGACTACATGTGTAATTTGATCTAGTTCTGCCAGTAGCCAATATTCCATTAAGGAGGCAAGTCCATCCATGATTGCTGTTATTGTGGAACTTTCCTCATTGGTTTGACACTGACTTTTTCTTTATTTCTCCAGCTAGTTGGGACTATGATTTTGTTTTTGCATTTTATTGTATAATTGTATTAGTTTATAAATTTTAATGCTCATAATTTAATAGATATTTGAAACATATAAGTGTTTCTTGAAGCATTGAGATTCTTGGGTATATGTGCTGGGACAAAGTTTACCATAGTGCTACCAGTTGAATCAGTCCCGCGACTTGTGACTTTTAAGTTTTTTATGTTTGTTAACTACTTCGTATGGTCTTTATGTTCTTTACACTGCCTGTAATTTATACATATCCATCTAAGAATTAGTGTGCACTCAAAACTTCAGACACTTTATTAATATCACCTCTTGAATCCCATAGCAGAATCATGTTTGTGTAAGTTGTACACCAACCGACCAAAAAAAGAAATTAAATAAATGTACACTTGTACTCCATGCAAGACATGCTTGTCTATCCAGTTGTGGAGATAATTTTGTCTCGAATTGGTTGATGCAAATTGTTGTTTTCTGAGAAAATCTTCTTTTCTTGTGCATGTGGCTACAATTCAATACCCTTTAGAATATATTCAATGGAATTTTCAAGGCATTTATTTTTTCTTTTCTTGAATGGTAAACTCCGATCAGAATTTTGATTATATATAATTGGGGAAGGTGCAAGTAAAATTTGTCCTTTATCCATGATTGTTTTTCTATTTTATAACATCTAATTGCTTGTGTACTTGCCGAATGCTTTCCAGGGGTCGAAAGTGGAATCCTCTTCGTCAGAGATTAGATAGCTATGACTATACTGTCAAGCAACACATCGTTGGATCTCTTCTGTTCACACCACTCCTGCTTCTATTACCGACAACTTCTGTTTTCTATATTTTCTTTACCATTATGAATACAACCATCAGCCTTATATATATACTGATTGAAATCACTATATCTGTTATTCATGCCACACCTTACATCAAAATTTTCCTTTGGTTGGTCATGCCAAAAAGATTTCCCTCTGGGATATGGTTTGAAATTGTATCTGTTTGGAGTGATTGCATTTATTCACATAAGGATATTAGTTCACCAGCAGATAAATTGCAGAGTGAAAAGGGCCTAACTGGAGCGAAAGCTTCTGTTGTGGTTTCATTTCTTCATAGCAACTTCTTGACTGTAGGTGAGAGCTCGATTCTTTTATTTAGTGAATTAGTGATGTTTCATTGGATTGCATCTGAATTCTGAAAGCATCATATGTCAACTACTTGGGCTTGGATTTTGAAATAATTCACCATTTTTAAGTCTCATCAGGAGTCAGGACCATGTAACATTATTAGCTTTGGCTTTAAAACTTTGATAATTTTGAGTGTAAAGTTGTGAGGCTCTGTTTACGTGTGTGCGCATGTGCTGTAGCATTGATCTTTGATAATTTGAATGGTTAAAAGGAGTAGTCCAGCTAGCTCCAAATGCAAGTTATATGCTGATTTTGTTTTAAAAGCTTTAAGGTAACTCATATGCATATGCATGCATATTCATGATAATAGCTGAAAGATGCATCTCTACTGTTGAAGTGGTGAAGTACTTATACATGTCTGTTATTTGTTCTGCCAACTGTTATTAATGGGGCATGCATATCAGGACAAATAGTCATGCCTCACTACAACAAGATTCTTTCTGGGAAACCTCGGACATTGGTTGCTACAGCAGCTTATGGAGTCCTTACTGGCAGACGGTGAGTTGAAATTTGAATATAGTTTTGATGTTTATTTTGTGGATATTTCAATTTTTAACTTTTAAAATTGGTTCCAGGATTCCATCTACAATTGGGACTGATCTTCCAATATTTCCATGGATGCTAATCTCCTACAAAGAGTATTGGCGGCTTTGCCACGATTCAATTCTTGCATGCTACAGATGATTGATTTTAGATTTTTTTATTTTTTATAATTTTTTTTTTTTTTTTTTTTTTTTTTTTTTTTTTTTTTTTTTTTAAAATTAGAACATTTCTTCATTTAACGTAGCTAGCGATTCTCTCTCTCTCTCTCTCTCTCTCTCTCTCTCTCTCTCCCATGTAACCACTCTTGCTGCCCATTGATTGCTTTTAGGACCGTTCAGGCTCCACACCTGATTCAATTTTGGAGGATTTGTAGGATTGGTTTTATGTAAAGAAAAAGTAGGTTATTTTTTCAGCTTATTAAACTTAGTTTAAGTGTTAAATCTAGAAAGTCTGCTTGAATTGTTGTTAGCTACTTATTACAGCTGCCCTCAGTTAAAGCCTACCCGACCTCTATTACCTGCGTTGCTTAGAAACATGAGAATGACTTCTAGAGCAAACATGTTTGGATTTAAACTAGCTGTATTATAATTTTCAATTCAGGTTAATTCTAGCAATGCACAGCAAAGAAGATATAACAAATCAGGTACTTAGAATTAACCAAGAAACAAGTTTACCAGCAAAAGATAAACTGCTATAATAATTTTCCAAGCTGCTAAATTCAGAAACCAAGTTGACCAACAATTTAGAAAGCAAAACGGAATCACCAACTCTGATGAATTGGGGAGATTTGACAGAATCTTGGGTGGATCCAAATCCCTTTAAAATCAGGGCTCTTGGTCTTGGATGAGGAGGATTGTTCAGCAGACACAATGCTCTCGTTCTCATTGAAAACAACAGAGTCTTCGCCATCCAACGCCCGGATTTGTGTTCCACAAGTAGAAATTGAAACGTCCCTTCCCATCCCCAGCTGCTGCTTCACATTCTTTTTGTCCAAATAACCCATTTCATCTCTCAATGATACAATTTCATCTTCAGCTGGTGCCGGAGCTGGTGCCGAAACAGGAATAATGGAAAAGCACTGCCACTGTAGGTTGCCGGCAGTAGTGACAGCGACCTGGATCAACCTGCCTCCTCCGCAGGCGAAAAAATAGAATTCTCCGTTGTGAAAAGCACCACATTCAATTCTGTTAACTGGCCATGGGGTGAAATTGCGCTGGTGTCGGATCCATTCATTGGCTCCGCGATGAAGAACATTCAGCTCCAGTTCTAAATCATTGATACGGCTAATGACAGAAACAATGCAATCTTGACAAGTGGGAGGGGATGAAAATGCTGCAACATGCTCACATAGTTGTGAGGCTGGCAACTTTGGAAGGTCGATTTTCGCACGAGAGAAGGGGCAAAAGAAGAAGATTGAGCCGCATGATGGCTCGAAAAGAAGTAGCCATCCTTGGTTTGATGCAAGGCAAGTTGCTCCTTTTAGTTCAGGAATATTACTGATGGTGTACTTTTTACCACTTTCACATATTAGCAACTGGCATTGATCAGAATGTTCCTCGTACAGTAAAAACCAGGGTTCATATGAGGATTCATTCTGAGCTGAAGCTGTTGAAGAAGCAGAGTTCCAAGCCTTGCAGACACTGCGGAAACTCAGAAGATCGATTAGGCTTAGACCATCTGCTATTTTTGACAACAGTTCAGGAGGAAGAAGATCGGACAAGGGCGGCGGGGGACAGCTTTCCATGCACACTTTTTCCTCATTTTCTCCTCAGAAGATCACCTTTGGTGCTGCATATCAAAATGGGGCAAAAAACACAGATGGAGGCAACCACATATTACTATTCATATATACCAAACAACAATATCTCATGCATTTATATTAGATGAACATATAACATTGCATACGTCTACTGTCTACACATAGATATCAGTCCTAGTACCCTTCTATAGGCACACCCTTTGACGTATTCTTCGTTCATAGATTATCCTTACAAAAGCTGGACAAATTGAAAACTTTAAGGCATCTAGTTGCAGACAAATACGGTGCTTCAATAAAAAAGACTAAAATAACAATCATCTAATTGAGTGATCAAATAGTTTTGCATTCAAGTGATTTTTTTTGTAAAGATGATGTTTGAGAGAATATCTAAAAACTAACGGTTCAAATCATTGAAATATAATGCGTGGTGGTCAAGATCCCTCAATTGAAGCTCACTATATGTTTATATATATATACATTATAACATGATCATGGAAAGTTTGGAAAGAGAAAAAGAAAACCCAACAACAATAAATCAACAGCTTCCAAGAAGAAGCAAGAGATGGATGAAATATACTAACACCTGAGAACTAGTTGAACAAAAGTGGAGTCACCGGAACGACACAGAGCAAATTTTGTGCTTATTTCGAAGGAAAACGTTGTATATATTTCTGCCTTTAAGAGCTTCTGTTAAGAGTGTTTTGTATGAAAAAGAAAAAATTTATAAGTAGATTTATAAGTAGTGTTTACTGTTTTACATGAAATATTCAAATAGAATTGGGTGTTCTAATTTCAGTAAATCACAATAGCCCACCCAAAATATAAATAAGGATTAACCATATTTTACTCCAATATGAAATCCTAAATTTGATCAAATTACTCACTCTGTCAATTATATCATTTGATTTTCTATTAAATTTATAACTTTAATTTTATTGCCTGCGTAATTTGACAACAATACTCTAACCCGCAACTTCACCGTTTGATTTTCTATTAAATTGATTACCTCACTTTTAATACTATAAATAAATAGATTTTTTCTATTTAAACCCCACACTTGTTCACCCAAATACTTAAATTATTAAGCTCTTAAGTTTTATTATTGTGTAAAAAGACAAAAAAGTCATCCAACTTAATACTTAACCTTAGTACATCTATACTCATACCTCACACACCCCACCACTCTTCATAGTTTTAGAGAAAAGGAAAATGCTAGGGAGACCAACTTTAGATACCAATTGTTTCCCTCTTTTCGGCCGGGTAGGACGATTGAATGAGTTTTTTGTCCTTCTTCTTTTAGATTGCATAGGCGTGCCACCACCAAGCCACTGATTGGCTCGAATGGAAAAGGTCGGATTGTTGTGTTCGTACTTCTAACTTCTAACCAGCCAATTGACCGGCCAAGTAAGGAACCTCATATTGGCCTAGGTTCTTTCACTTCCTCGAAGTCGAGGATGGTTAGGTTTCGTATAGGTATTTTAGTATTTTTGAGATTTTTAATGATAATTATGCAAATTAAATTAAAATATGTGATTAAACTTAAAGACGAGAATTGAAGTGCGATAAAGTAAATCAAAGCGATAGATAAACTTAAATTAAACGAAGAGCGAAATAAGAACGATATAAATGATAAAGGCAATAAAGACAACATAATGAAAAATACAATAAATTAAACTTACATTAACGAAAATGAAGAACTGATCTAGTCTACTTGCTTGGAAAATAAAAACCTAGTCTAGGGATAGAAAATTGAAAAACAAAAAGTAGGTTTTTGTGTCTGATGTCGGGTGTCTTCTTCCTTCATCTAAAGAGGTTTATATAGGAGCATTCGTCAACCCATTGGTTGGCCATTAAATGGCCAAAAGTCAACTTCATTCAAAATCTTTCCTTGTGAAACCTTCAAATCTGTGGGATCACAATGATGGAGACTTTCTGATTGCTTGATTCTCTATTCTTTTGGAATACTCCGGATTGTCGTCAATCTCCTTGATTTCCTTCCTTATGAAGCCTCCATCACTTGCATGCGATTCTCCGAAAATCTTGGGCTCTAATATGTGCCTTGGGCTTGGACCTCCAAGACTTTAGCTTGACATCTGGTGAGACATTGTAACTTATGGGATTTTGATCTTGGTTAAAACACCCACTGATGTTAGTGACTTGGAATTGCTTGACCGGACTTGGAGTTGGGTTTCGCACCTCGACTTGAAGTTAGGTTTCACACCGATTTGGGCTTGCTCGACATCGACTTAGAGTTGCTCGACTTAGACTTGGAGTTAGGTTTGATCCGACTGATCGAAGGCCTTGATCTTGGCTGATTAAAGACCTTAACCTTGGCTTATTAGAGGACTTGACCTTGGCTGATCAGACGACTTGATCTTGGCTGATCAGACGACTTGATCTTGGCTGATCAAACGACTTGACCTTGGCTGATCAAACAACTTGATCTTGGCTGATCAGAGGACTCGACCTTGGCTGATTAGAGGACTAGACCTTGGATGATCAAAGGACTAGACCTTGGCTGATCAGACGACTTGATCTTGGCTGATCAGACGACTTGACCTTGGCTGATCTGAGGACTTGACCTTGGCTGATCAGATGACTTGATCTTGACTGATCAGAAGACTTGACCTTGGCTAATCTGAGGACTTGACCTTGGCTGATCTGAGGACTTGACCTTGGCTGATCTGAGCACTTGACATTGGCTGATCAGATGACTTGATGTTGGCTTATTAGAGGTTCCAGATGTTCCGACTTTGGAAGTTAGATGTTTTCAACCCGTTGTTGGAAGTTGGGTTTCGACTTCTAAGTTCTTAGTTTGAATAATGGTGGAACATCATGCATTTTAAGCTATATACTTTATTGAAGATTAAACGACATAGGGTGCATGATGACCCCTAAGTCCAGCCTTCTTGTTTCGATTTGGCCATTAGGCACCTTGAGTTGCCAATTTGCATTTTGGCCTATTGGTTTTCCAAGATACATGGTCGGACTTCGACCAGGCTCAAACACCAACTTATGTACCATATCTCTAATAGAGTGTGGGACCCATTTTATTGGTGGAGTCCACTTTTATTAGAGAGATGGTACACAAGTTGGTATCTAAAGTTGGTCTCCCTAGCATGACCCTTTAGAAAAACACAAACTCATCTACATCTTATTGCCAAATTACTCTTCTCTTTTAAATAGGTAGAACGTTGAGGAGCCTACCTCTTTAAAAGCTGCGTGGTGAAAACATTAAAGAGAATGAGAAGAATATGAGAGAATTGAAGAAAAAGATTTTGTTTTCTATTTATGTTTCTTTCTAAATCAATCAATTACCAGTCTACACGATTCTTATGTATTGTTACATTGTAATCTTCTCAACTAAGCAATCTAACTAACTCAACAAATCATGACATGACACTTGTCATCTTATAATAGGTACAAGTGTCTTTATATCCTATCACGTGGGAGCTGAATGGAGTGAGAAGAAAATTATGACTTGTAATCATTGGGACATTTTGGAAAAAGCAAAATGAGAGAGAAAAATTTTAAAAGAAGCAAAAATGGACAAAAATGCCCTTATTTATTTTTAGATTTCCTAAGGAATCCAATACATTTGCATGTCTTTGATTTGAAAGTTGAGCGGTTTTTTTGTCTTTTTTGAAAAAGTTTTGGCTTTTTCCAAAAGTAAAACTTTTTTTATGTCTAAAACCTAAAAAACCTTTTTTTTTTATTCGCTTGCAAATTATGTTCAAACGATTAAGGGTGTTGAGGCATTGAGATTATGAGGGTTTAGGGTTTCGGTCTTAACTTCTTGTGTTTTCCGTAATATATTATCTACTTTTTGAGATGCTTAACTTGTTGTGTTTCAATGCAATAAAGTGTTCAATTCCTTCACCTATCAATATCATCTACCTATAGTAGAGTATTATTTTGTATCACGTCAATAGTGCGTTCCAATCACTCCGTCTAGCCTGAAGAACAATAAAATAAATATCCAAAGTTAAAAAATTGTCTTTTTACATAATAATAATAAGATAAATATGATCCACTGGTAGAAGCCTTGGAGTAATCGTATTCGTGTCCTTTTTAAAGTTTTTATTCCCAAGTCAACATGGTAGTCGCATCTCTCCCCCAGTAACAACAGAATTAGAAGTCAGAACGAAGCAGAGCAAAATTGCGGACTCTCTTACATACATCTAATCTAATTAAACTTGGTTCACTGTACAATTCTCAAAAGAAAGGAAAAGATGTTGTCGGCAATGGCACCATCAGCTCCCACAATCAGACTCGGTAGTAGGAGCTTAATATTCTCACTCTTCTTCCTCCTCCCACTGTTGATATCAACACTTTGCTCAAATGCAAATGAAAATGGCGACGCAGGCTCTGCTGTTTCTATTTGTATCGTCGGCAGCGGCATTGGTGGGTCCTCTGTGGCCCACTTCCTCCGCCGCTACTCTCCCCCTAATCTCGACTTCACCATTCGGATCTTCGAGCGAAACGGCGTCGTTGGGGGTCGCATGGCCATTGTCAACGTCTCCGGCCAGACCTTCGAGGCCGGCGCCTCCATTCTCCACCCGAGGAACTTGCACGCCTTGAGCTACACGAAGCTCCTCAACCTCACCATCAGCACCCCTCCCGATTCCGAGTCCTCTTCTGGTTTTGCAATTTGGGATGGCCACAAGTTTATATTCAAGACTCTCAGCTTCAAATCCAAGCTTCCCTTTGCTCAGAAGATTGTTTCTCTTGCTAATTCACTCATCATGCTCCTCAGATATGGCTTCTCCCTTGTCAGGATGGAGAGATTTGTTGAGGTTCTCTCTCTTTCTTTCTTTTTTTTTCTTTTTTCCTTTTTATTATTCTATTTTACGTGGGATTTAGCTGTTGATTGTGATTTTTCTGGTGCAGAGTGCTGTGAATAACTTCTGCAAGTATTATGAAGGCTTTGAGACAAGACCTGTTTTTGAGACAGTGGATGAGATGCTTCAGTGGGCTGGTTTGTACAATCTCACCACAAGGACTTTGGCTATGGAATTGGCTGATGCTGGCTTGTCTCCCTTATTGATACAAGAGCTTGTCACTGTAAGAACCTTCCCGCTACAACACGTTTCGAGGGTGTTTGCTTTTCCTTAGTTTTCTTTTTCTTTTTTCGTCATATATGAAAAATATGGTATATTTCTTTGTGCATAACAATTATCACTAGTTTCACTTCAGTTAGATTGTTATGAAGAATGCAGTTTGGATTATGTTGTGAAGTGAATCTAACCTGACAAAAAATTATATTTGAATACACATGTTGTATTTCTCTATAAAGCATAGAGTATTTTGAAGTTTCAACTCATGTTAATGTTATAGAAGTAGCTGTGCTGCACTCCTTTCAATTGATCTACGATGGTCACTTTAGAAAATTTCTGTCCTGTTTTTCTGATTGTTATTTCCTGTAAAAAGGTTAGGGACCTGCAAAACGCAGGACATCTTATGCTTTGTTATGAGTGGTTTTAGATCCGTGCAACTTCAAATTTTTACGAAATTGTCACAAATTGTTTCAGTGTTTTATAAACTGTATCATCATGCATGGGATTGCTAAATTTGCAGCACGTGCGTATTAGAATTGTAAAACTCGGTTTGATGATTTAAGATGATATCCTTTTGGATTTCGGTTCTTACTAGGAAAGGATATAATTTTGCAAGACAGGGGATTTAGTACAATGAATGGATGTATAACCTCAAACAAAAACACGAGCATATGGGACCCATCTTACCGTCTTTTGTTGGCCTAGATTCACGTTTGAAAAGTACTTTATTTGATTTTGATTTTGCTTTTCTCGTTTGTGTATTACATATTTTCTCCTCAACAAGGATTAGATACAAGCTCATTTGCATATTATTGGACGTAGGCCATGTCATTCATTTCCCTTGTGTAAAAGTGCTATTTCAGTTCTTGTATGTTTAGGTTTTCTTAGCATACAGGGCTTCTATTTTTTCTGGTTTCCTTTCAGTCAGTGTAAATGGAAACAAAAGCATGTTTCATAGGTGTGGGGTGAGGTTCCACTTCATTTCAACTTGAGGAAAACTCTTGGTTTGTTGAAATGTTGATACTTTGAAGTTTGAACTATGAAATTGGCTTACAAGTGCAGTGGTGTTTGAGATTTTCGAGATTTCATTAGAAGTTAGTTCTCTGCTGAATTCTGCAGGTCATCACAAGAATCAATTATGGCCAAAGTGTCAATATGAGTGGACTTGCTGGTGCAGTTTCATTGGCAGGATCTGGTGGAGGATTGTGGTCTATTAAAGGAGGGAACTGGCAGATGGCTGCCGGATTGATTGATCATTCAGAGGTTGAATTGCACCTTCATGAAGAGATAGAATCTATCTCTTCAAAGGGAGAATATTATGAACTTAATTCCACCCAGAGAAAGAGTTATACATGTGACGTTGCAGTGGTTGCTACACCTTTAGATGAGTCGAGTGTTCAGTTTACTCCTCCAATCTCAATCCCTAAGAGAGAGTTGCAACACACACATGCAACTTTTGTTAGGGGCCTCTTAAATCCTGTAAGTAACCCAGCAATGCTAAATATCATGTGTGACTTCTTTTCTTTTTTATTCAGTTAGGTTTTGGGGTTTAATTTGTATGTTTTTTGGGCAAGGTATATTTTGGCCTGAATTCTGTGGCAGAAATCCCAGAACTGGTTGGCACAATTGAGGATCCTGATCTTCCATTCTCAAGTATCTCGGTTCTGAAGCAACATAATGAGAATGATTTCACTTACAAGATATTCTCTCGTAAACCAATGGCGGATGCAACTCTTGATAGTATCTTCAGGTAACAATCTAAGTTATAGTCATCACTCATTTGCATTATACAGGAAAAGAGAATAGGACAACCCTCAGAGTGTGATCAGTTTTTCTCTCTTGTCCCCAATCGTCAAATGTCAATAATGTTAACCTTGAATGCTTAACATTGTTTCACTGTAAATCTTCCATCTGACATCATTATATATAGTGGACTTGAGAAAATCTTGAAATTTTGAACCCAGGTTCAACATTGAAAGGAATTAAAACTGAATAACCTTAGACATGCCTTGTTTGTGCTAAAAAGTTCTGGAAACCGACCAAAAAATCCTTGTTAAAGAATACATTTTTTGTATGTATTTCACAGGGTTCATAGTTTTTAAATCCACCCATTGACTGCAATCATCATGATCCTATCAAATTGTACAAAACTCATTAAAACCATCCCTCATCACGGTAGTCCATTGATCCGTCCAATTAGGCATGGCCTGACCAATTGATAGATAGGCCTCTTTGACAGTTGACATAGATGCACGTCAACAATGTTAATTCCAGTGATGTGTTAACTCACATTTCTCTCTTAATCTTTCCTTTATAGCAGTTCTCTCTCTCTCTCTCTCTCTCTCTCTCTCTCTCTCTCTAAATGTTGATTCCAGGGATGTGTTAACTCACACTTTGTTATGATTTCCTGTAATGTCTGTAATCATGGCTTGTTGACCTACTAAAATCTTAGTTGAAAATATCTCCAAATGCATATCCTGGTTGATCTCATGAATTTGGTCGTAGAATATTGTTTTAGTTTCTGTATGTCATTGTAGATGGAAAAATAACATTTAAGTAACTTCACTGCACTCTGCGTGGAAGTCACATGACTGTCACATGCTACACTTGTGTTCAGCTAACAATTTCAAAAATTCAGGGTCGCCATTGTTGAAAGTGAGCCTAGGTTTAAAAAAACTCAGGATGTCTGTTGAACAAAAATATTTATGGTCGTCTAGAGCACTAAGTAGTTTCAAAGTCGGTTTATCCAAATCTTACCCAGACAACAACTTTGAAACTTTTGGTGTAAGTCAATGCAGGTCCACAGATATAGTAGGTAACTTATGTAGTTTTCAACAGAGGCATTTTGGTAATTTAATATTTACTTTTGGGTTTGCTTGGATGAGTAGACTGACTGCCTGACTGTTCCCTAATAACAAAATCCAATAGGTGGAAGTGGTATCCATTTATTTGCCAATCTTTCCATAAACTGGTGGGATCTTTATCTGGTTTATTAGGCCCCGAGGGCAGGTTTACTTTTAATCATTTGAATACTGATTATCGTTTGCTTCTGCAACTACTAGTGTGCGGACGGAGACAATTCGAATAAATTGGGGTGCATACCCCCATTACACTGCTCCTGAAGTGTTTGCACCATTTATTTTGGATGGTCAGCATTTGTACTATGTAAATGCTTTTGAGAATGCAGCAAGTACAATGGAGACGAGCACTACCGCAGCTGAGAATGTTGCAAGACTCATCCTGTCAAGATTTTTCACCAGTGAACCTATAAGTTTGGCAAACTTGAGCTCCAGCTCCGATGGAGGGGTTCGCCATGTAGATCTGTGAATTGTGTTTGTGGTCTCTAATCATTAGTTACAATTGTAATTCAGATTAGGTAAACACATGTAAAAATTTTTAATTCCTTGCAAAAAGCGAACCAACTCAAAGAGGTTATGGATTGATTAATTTGTAAGCTTTCATTATAGAATGTGACTTGAAATGCCCCTAGAAATGGCATTACATTCACACATAACAATTTGTTGAACAGATTCAGCATGAGTTAGGCCAAAATAATTAGTTTGAACAATTTGTTGATACTATTTTGATTTTTGATGATGAAAATAAGATTTGTTCAGATTTACAATAACAATTTACTTAGATTTCTCAGAGAGTCCAGGAAGATATAAGGTTTATATAGAATTAGTTGTGCCTTTTTTTCTTTTGAATTATAACCACTACAAATTGGCCACTAATTGCAGGTCGTATAGATAAGAAAATAGGGCAGCCAACATGAGGGAGGGGCTGATCCTGTGTTCAACGCCAATGAAAAATCCAGTGGTACTAGAAGAATTTATGTGTTCGAATCCCCCATCCCTCAACGCGTAGCATATGAACTGCCATTTATTCCAAGTCGTCCTGGTGAATCAAAAACTCTTCCTTTTCTTTTTTATTCTTTCTTTCCTATTAAATTTATCTATAACATTAGCAACAATAACATAATTAACCTCAAGTCTTGTTTTTCCATAGGTCAAAATGTGTCAAAAAATAAACTGCTCAACTTTAAACTGTTCTGTTCTTCAATGTGAACATTATATTTTTCAGCAATTAGTTCTTTTTGTGTGTTTTTTTTCTTTTGGCCATTTCAGCAATTAGTTCTCAGGTGTGTGGGCTGCAAACACGCGTGTTTAAAAGGGACTCCACTAAACTTTTTTTTTCTTTTTTTAAATTTCGATGCCCTTTAATCTATCTATATATTTAAACCAAAAGACAGAGAATTGTGAAACATTTAAAACACCAGAAAACGCCCTTGGTTAATGCAAACATTAAGAATTGAAATTATTAATTGAATGATGATAATATGATAAATTCACACTTTTTCATATTATAAAATTAAAAGAAAAATCAAATAATTGATCATATTTTTACGGAACACAACTAACCATTATTATTTTTAATTCTAAAATAAATTTACTTTTTTTACATTAGGCTAGTTTACATTATTAGTCAATTAAGCCATCTCTAACCCAAGGACCTAAACCCAAAATATCCCAAATTATTGCCCTAAACCTCTCCCAACCCAAGAAAATGAATGGGCCAAAATTTGGAAAAACCCAAATACCAGACCGCTTATTGCCTGGACCCAAATTCTTTAGTGGAGCCCACGTTCATATCAAACAACCCCCATGGTTTATTAGGCTTGATTGGGTTTCTATCAGTGAAAATGGGGCTATTGGCACCAATCAAACAAGCGACACATTTTGGAAGTGTGTATATCAAAAAAGTCTAGAAAATGATCCGGGCATTAGTGAACCCGAGCGACGAACATTTCAAGTCATTGCTTCTTAGTTTAAGACTATCAACCAACATTGTTCTCTTTGGAAGGCATGCTTGACTAAGGCCAATACGAACGAAGTGGCTCAAATTTACATGATGTGGTAAGTAACCATTCTTATTAAAGCTTTAAATTTATATTTGTAATGTTATTCAACTCCAAACTTAAATTTATTTTTTCATACGTAGGACATATATGCAAAAAACAATATTTCTTAATGATAATAAGCCTCAAAATAGGCCTTTTAAGTTGTACCATGTTTGGAAAATCTTAAAAGATTGCCCAAAGTGGAACAATATAAATGAGCCTCCCGCACAATGTTCTTCTAAGTATGGTGAATTTGGATGACGATGCAGACGATATCACCATGCCTAGTCCAAGGCCTAAGGGGGCGAGATAAACAAAAGCTGCAAAAGGAAAGATAGGCTGACCCTTCTCAAAAAAAAAAAAGGATAAGTACTTGGAAACATAGTGGAGCAGGGTATTGCTTTTGAGGAGGATAGGAGACAAAAGCTCAATATATTGGACAAGTTTGTCCAAGATCAAGCTGATGCTTATGCATATCATAAGCAACAAGATAAGAAAGCCCAAGAACAAAAAGTAATGTCCATGGACGTGTCCAAATTTACTCCAAGAAAAAAGAAGTATTGGGGGGATAAACAAGATGAAATTATGTAAGAATATGCAAGGGGTCAACAGTCTACCGTTAATCCTGAACTCAGGGGACTATTAATAGATACACAAGCAATCCTGGACATGATCATTGGGAGGCATCAATCAAGGTGTTATGATATTTGAAATACACCCAACATTATGGATTGCATTATACAAGATATCCACAAGTTCTAGAAGGCTATAGTGATGCAAATTGGATTTCTAACAGTACAGAAACCAAATCAACTAGTGGATATGTATTTACATTAGGTGGAGCTGCAGTATCTTGGAAATCCTCTAAACAGACATGTATAGCACGCTCTACAGTGGAATCAGAGTTTTTAGCCTTAGATAAAGCTACTGAAGAAGCAGAATGGCTAAGAAACTTCCTAGAGGACATTCCAATATGGCCTAAGCTTGTGACAGCAATTTGTATACACTGTGATAGTATGGCAACACAAGCAAGAGCCAAGAGTGGTGTATACAATGGAAAGTCAAGACATATCAAGCGTAGGCTTATCAATTGCTCTCAAATGGAATTATATCCATTGACTATGTGAAGTCAAAGGAAAATATTGTAGATCCTTTGACAAAAGGCCTACCAAGAGAGCAAATCAAATTTACATCGAGGGGAATGGGATTAAAGCCAATCCAATGAATCAAACCTGGCGGAAACCTAACCTAGTTGATTGGAGATCCCATGGTCTAGGTTCAATAGGCAAACTGGTTGGGTAAGATTCAAAAGTTGAACAAACAATTTAACTCATTCCTAAGACGGTTAGTGTGTTGTCTGTTGATGTGAAGGTTATGCTTTGCATTTAATGACACTAATATCTTATTAAGAGGAGTTGGGGCAGAAAACTCTTAATTGGTGTCACCTATATGGGAGTAAATGTGGGGTCGCATTTATGAGAACGAAAAAAATGCTAAGTTCTCTAAAGCTCTCATGAAACCTGGGATATGTTCAGGACCAAAATGAACAAAAACGTATGAACTAACGTTTGTTAAGATGTTATATGTGTGAGACATATTGTCTAGGTTTACTATAGCGGTGAACAGTTCAAGATCAATTATATCCACTGCGTCACCAAGTAAATCTGATATGTTTTCACTAGGGTAAGTTTAAGTCCAAAAGACAATTTTCCTGATGTATATAACATCTGCTTCCTCTCAAATCCATTACATTCATTTAGCACTATAAGTATAACATTTCAAATGTGGAGTATTGTTGGAAGTTTGAATGAAAGTTTGAATAAAATTCAAGAGCCTTTGTCCCACATTGGTAGAAAGTAGAAAGAGTGAGGTCTTTATAAGTGTGGAAGTCTCATACTTAGTAAATGGAAGTGGGCCAAGTGGAAGCAAATTGGGCTTCAAAAACGATTTGAGCTTTGAATATTATATAATATTTAATGGTAAAAAAAATGGCCTTGGGCCTTGGGCCACTTGGGCACTTTCATATTTAAATTAATTTTTTGGTTTCGAATTAATACTTTTTTATTAATTCGGATTAGTTTAATTAACTATTTTCTAACAATTATGACTCTTCTGATAAGGTTTCGGAGTTTTATTTAAATCAAACAAGGCCTCATTCGTTAGATACAGAAAAAGCATTCTACAAGCATTTTACATTGTCTGAGAGGAAAATAAACAAAGTTCGCCAAATTCTAAGTCCGAGTGTTAGGGCTTAGAATACAGATAGTTGAATCCTGGGAGGCACCTGTAGAACTTCAAGCATCGAGAAGGGGTGAAATTACTGTCTTGACATTGCATCAAATTTGCAAGCCTCTATCTCGAATCCAAGACAGTTTTATTAATTTTTGTTTATTGGATTCTGTATTAAAGTTTGTATCTATTTTGTTCATATTGATAATATATAGTTATTTTAAATAGTCACTGATTAATGTATTTCCAACAGTTATTAGTTTATTCTAGGGCTGGGCTCGGTTCGGTTTTGGGCTCAACCCGACACCGAACCGTAGGCTTCGGTTTGACTATTTTGAAAACCAAAACCAAACCATAATTGATGAAAACCGACCACTTCGGTTAATCGGACTTGGTGGTCTGGTTTAGTTCGGTTTCAATTTTTTGGCTTTCTTAGAGAGAGAGAGAGAGAGAGAGAGAAAGAGAGAGAGAGAGAGAGAGAGAGAGAGAGGAGAGAGAGAGAGGGGGGGAAATAAAAGCAATGGAGAGGAGAAGAAGAAAAAAAGGGAGAGATGGAGAAGAAGAAGAAGAAGAGGAGAAAAAGAAAGGAGAGAGAAGAAGAAGAGGGAGACGGGGAGAGGGAGTGAAGACATATATAAGAAGAATGAGAAAATAAAATAGTGAGAGAGGGACTGATGAAGACAAGACAAACGGAGAGATTGAAAGAGAAGAAAAAGAAAATATTGAAACTATGTATTATATATATATATATTTCTTATAATAATATTATATATAATATTTTTAATATCTTCGGTTTGGTTTGGTTAAACTGTAGTTTGAATATTGCAAACCGTACACCGAACTATATATTTTGGTTTGGTTTGGGTTCAAACCGATGACCAAAAAAAATTGAAAAAAAAACCAAACCAACCCAACCCATTGGTTTGGTTTGGTTTGGGCAAGTTGGCCGGGTTTCGGGTCCAAATGCCTAGCCCTAGTTTATTCCTATTGGGTTTTCATATATGGTGAATTTTAAGTATTGTGTGTTTTTCTTTTAGAATTATGTTGTGTGTTTTCTTTTGAAATAAAATTATATTTGTGGAATTTTAATTTTTTTTATGTCAAAATTGTTCAAAATTTTTAATTATGAAGTTATTTAAAAAGATTGAATAAAGAAAAAAAAAAAAAAAAAAAAAAATAAAAAATTAACTTAAAACAATAATAAAAATTAAAAGTTGCAGACTTAAAATTTAAGTCTGAAGGGTTGGGAGAAAACACAATCTTGGCCAAACCCAAATAGTCACTTTTTGGAGGGGGAATTTTGGGTTTAGCCCCTCATGAGTTGGAGAAAGCCTTAGAGCAACTCCAGGAAGGAGTTGAGCCCAAGGCTGGGGGGGAAAGAAAAAAAAAAAGATGTTTCCAACAGTGAGCCCAGGCCCGGGGGTGTGGGTCCCACGAACTCGGTCTGGCCCGAAGTCTAGTTCAGCCCGAGGTCCAAAACGCGGGGGGTGACGTCAGCGCGACACAGGCTCCAACGGTTGGAAGCCATGTGTCACTCCCCCAACGCTCCGATTTGCTTCTCAAATCCTCATCCAACGGCTGGCGTTTTTCCAGCAATAAAATTATGAAAAAAAATACTAAAAAATTCTGATTTTTTTTCTTATAAATACCTATCAATACCCTTCACTTTCAACACCAATTCTCATACATTTTATTCTACTTCTATTATTACTCAACATTTTATTCACTCTTCACTCAACATTTTCCTATCTTTCACCTTGTATTTTTATGGCTTCTTCTATCGAAACCGGAGGGGCGTGAAGCACCATGGAAGATGTTTCTTTGTGTGAGGCTTGGCTCCAAGTTTGTCATTGTCCCGTGACAGGCAATGAGATGAAATTTTTCCATATGTGGAAAAAAATTCATGCCGAATTTTGCGAAAAAATTACGGCATCGACTCGTACGGAAATTAGTTGGCATACCTTTTATGTATTTTTATTTTTCATGTTTTTTATTAAAGTTGTTGTACTTCATGTATTTTATTTTAGTAGTAGTAATTCTTAATGACTTGTATTGGATTTCTTTATTTAATAAACAAAGCATTCAATAAAAGACCTTTTTATTTAACATATTCCATACATCAAACAAAACATAATTAAAATATAAAAAAACTACAAACAACGCACAATAATAAATAAAAATAACCACAACCAAACCATAATAAATAAAAAACAACACAACCAAACCATAACTAAATAAAACATAACCAAAGCATCTATGCTCCATCATTCATCTTCATTGCCTTTCACCGCCCATAGATGCTCCATCAAGTCAAGTTGACGCCTTTCATAAATATACGAAGATTGTATCTCTGTATATCGATCTATCATCTGGGTCATGAAACGACTGTCCCTCACCAACGATTCTGGCTCAAACGGTTCTCCATTTGGCCCCATGGGCCTTTCATAAATCCAGGTCAAGGTCGTGTTCATTGGATCCGGTTCGTAGACCTCTACAGCATCATAATCGTACTCATCCTCCACAACTTTATTATGGAGGATGATGCAAGTCATCATAATGCTTTTGAGGATCTCCTCATCAAACATACGGGCCGCACCTCGAATAATCAACCACCGAGCTTGAAGGATGCCAAAACACTTTTCGACATCTTTCCTGTATCCTTCTTGATAGGTAGCAAATAATTTTTTCTTCTGGGATCGGGGATTCGAAATGGATTTGACAAATGTGGTCCACCTTGGGTAGAGGTCGTCAGCTAGATAATACCCCTCTAGTAGACTGTATTGTTGACTTGATAGGTGATATTGGGGCCATGGCCTTTCAAAACATCGTTGAAGACCGGAGATTGACCCAGCACGTTGAGGTCATTTTGGGATCCGGCAACTCCGAAGAAGGCATGCCAAACCCATGTGTCGAATCCAGCAACGGCTTCCAGGATGATACTTTTTTGGCCTTTTCTATTTCCATAATCACCTTGCAAGGCAGTTGGGCAATTCTTCCATTGCCAGTGCATACAATCGATGCTACTAATCATTCCTAGAAATCCTCGAGCTTCGGCTTTTTGTAGAAGCCATTGGAGGTCCCTGGGAGTAGGTCTACGCAGGTAGTCCCTAGTGTACAGATTTTCAACTGCATCACAAAATCTTACCAAAGCCTCCAACGTAGTGGACTTCCCCATTCAGGCAATCTTATCCACCTGATCAGCAGATGCTCCATACGCTAACATTCGTATAAAAGCTGTAAGCTTTTGCTCCGAAAGAAGCCCCAAAACCCCAGCAGCATCACACTTTTGAACAAAGTATGCATCATAATTGCAAATATCATGCATGACTTTATTGAACAAATGGGGTTGCATTCTAAATCTCCTTCGAAAATCAACATCAGAGTACAAAGCAGTTGGGATAAAATAATCTTCCAAAAGATTCTTACCCCGAGAATGCCTATGTCTGTCCACATTCCGACGACGGCCGAGTTGTGAACCACGGCGGCGACCTTGGTTCTCTTCCTCTTGCAAAGCCACTGCTATGAGAACTTGTTCATCGACTTGTCTTGGCAACTCATTGATTTCATCGGCTCTACGGTTTCTCTCATTTCTTTCTCACTCTTGGCTCTCCAAGCAACTATATTCTTCCATTGAGAATGAATGGAGTATGAATTCTAAACTCTAAGAAATGAAAATATAGAAAGATGTGGTGTGAGAGGTATGAGCTGAGCCTCTGGTTTTATAGAAAATTTTGGCAAGATAAAGATGCCACGTGGCTTGATTTGACTGGATGAAAATCTTATCTGAAATTTGAAATTCATCCGAAATTTGAACCCAAAATTCTTATCCGGAAATTTTATCCAATTATGAGTAGTCTTGACATGTATGAACCCGGAAATTTTATCCGAAAATATTATCCAAATTAATTATTGAGGGAAAAAAATTTGTGAATAAAACAAAAAAATAAATAGTAATTGCCCTTAGCCATGGCAATGGGTGGAAACACAAAATACTATTTGCAAGGGCAACCACTATTCACGTGAATAGTAGCTGCCCTAGCTCCCCCCTTGCCATGGCCAAGGGTAAATGGGTGGAGTTGCTCTTAGAGTAGTCAAATCCACTAGTCTTTGCATGGAGAAAAACTTCCCTGGCACGGGGATGCTAGGTAAGTATTTCCCCACCCAATGAGCTTTTGACAACTGTCACCCAATAAAACTTGGGTTAAAAAAAAAAATTTGAAGCCTGTTGCTCCACCATCCTCCGCCTACTCTGCAACTTCACTTTAACACTCACCCAAAAAAAAATAACAGACAAACTAAGTCTTCTCTTCCATACCGCTGCTCCAAGCCACATCCACCAACGTCGGCGACAAAGTCCACACCGCCATCATTCATCCTCTGCGTCCCTCTCACTCCTTCATGCTCCATCGTTGTTGGCGTCGTCTCCCTCTTCTCGTCGGTTCTCTCTCTCTCTCTCTCTCTCTCTCTAGGGTCAACAACAATGAGGGAGACGACCTTGCCAGCCTCCATGAGGTGGCTGACTTCAGATTTAGAGGTCAATCTCTCCCTCTCTTTCTATCAACCTCTGAGGGAGGGAGGGAGGAAAGAAGAGAGAGAGAGAGAGGGAGGGATGAGCGAGAAAAAGAGGGGGTTTGATTTCAGAAAAAAAATAAATAAATAAATGGGTTTGAGTTGCAGGGTACGCGGAGGATGAAGGAGCAAGAGGCGACAAATTTTTTTTTCCCCAATTTTTTAGTGGGTGACAGCTGTCAAGAGCTCATTGCATGGGAATACTTAGGTGGATTTCTTACCCTGGCATCCCCGTGCCAGGAAGTTTTTCTCCCCTTTTTGCATACGAAACTGCTTACTCTGCCCTGCAACTGCCTTCACCAAAATTCTCCAACAACGTGGGCACTTTCGTCACCACGCCCCCATTCTTTTCCTTGAAAATCTTAAAACCCAAAAAAAAATACAAACAAATCTTTGACCAACTTCTAGAAAACACTAGAAGCATCCTCCCTCCAGTACGTATATAGGAACAAAAGAATCAATAATTTTCTTCTTACAAGGGTTGCTGCCCTCCACCATGAAGAAACAAATTTGATTTCTTCTTTACAAGGGTTCTTATACACGTGGGTGCAATTTGAGCCAACAAAGTTAACAAGGGCTCAACACAAAATTCAAGGGATTTCCAAGAACATTTCACTATAAAAGAAAAGAAGGCTCCTTCTGTTTAATACACATCTCAATTCTCACAGACCGTCCCGTTTCGAATCTATCAATGGCAGAAGCAACAAAGAGGTAGCACTTTAGACTTCTTTATTCTTCGTTTCCTTGTCCGATTTCCAATCCCTTTAATTGTTTTTGTTTCTATGAATTTGGTGTTTGTGTTTTCTTAGGTATGCAGTTGTTACTGGAGCAAACAAAGGCATAGGATTGGAAACTGTAAGGCAGTTGGCCTCAAATGGGTTCACCGTAGTCTTAACTTCCCGAGATGAGAAGAGGGGTCTTGAAGCTGTTGAGAAACTCAAAGAGTCTGGCCTCTCAGGTCAAGTGGTTTTTCATCAACTTGATGTGGCTGACCCTGCTACTGTTGCTTCTTTGGCAGACTTCATCAAAACCCAGTTTGGGAAACTCGATATCTTGGTATGTATATGATCATAGCTGCAGGTTTCTTGAAAAAGTTTATATCTTTTGAATTTAACTCTTAATCCGAACGCGATTTAATTGAAGGAGATGAAATATGGAATCATATAGAAAATGTAATTGGAGAATAAAAATAGCAAACCAAGTAATAACTAGCTTAATAATATCATCAACAAGTTATCTTTGAAATAAGTAGAAGTCTTAGGCTTTTTGAAGAACAAAACAAGTTTCACATAACTACCAGTTGTGGAAGGTTTACTTTCAAATCTAACTCTATGTCTGCCATTCTGTTTTTTTTTCTTAGAATCTTTTCATATATGATATGATCCCTTTCTGTACAATTTACAAGTACCCTAGAAAGATCAGTAGCTGGAGTTAAGGGGTTTGGCAAAGTAGCATAATTATTGTGTTTCTTTAAAGGCATTGGCCTTTATGGTTGGTAATATTATGGTTGTAACAACAAAGAGTTTGTCATAGTAATCAGAGGATCTATCAACTTTCTTTTCATTTCATTTTCTATATAAAAAAATCTCTTCTTTTCTTTGCTAAAAGAAAACAGAAAGTGTAACAGTTGGACTCTGCACAGGTGAACAATGCAGGGATTTATGGAAGCATATTAGACGGTGATGCTTTTAAAGCTGTAATAGCCTCTGGTGCCGTGGTAAGTCTTTTGCATAATTTTTATCAATAGTTATCAAAAACTAAAAGCTTCAATGCATGTGCCAAAGTGAGAATTTAAACTGACCTGTGGTTTGGCAAACTTTAATCAACATTTTTCGTTTGGGGTGTTGCGTAAGTGGTGGGCAATAGGCACCATAATAATAAGTTTGTTTTTGCTGATACAGGAAAGAGGAAAAGTTGATTTGAGTAAACTAGTGACTGAAACTTATGAGTTCGCAGAAGAATGCTTGCAAATAAACTATTATGGTGCTAAAAGAACAGCTGAAGTACTTATCCCACTCCTCCAGTTATCTGACTCACCGAGAATTGTCAATGTTTCATCTGTCGCCGGGAAGTTAAACAACATACCAAGCGATTGGGCTAAAGGAGTTTTTACTGATGCCGAAAACCTAACAGAAGAGAGAGTAGATGAGGTACTGACTGAGTTTCTAAAAGATTTCAAGGAGGGTTCACTTGAAAGTAAGGGCTGGCCTTCTTCTATGCCTGCCTATACAGTCTCAAAAGCAGCACTGAACGCATATACAAGGATTCTAGCAAAGAAGTACCTCAATTTTCGTATCAATTCGGTCTGCCCTGGCTTTGTCAAAACAGATATAAACTGCAATGTCGGCGTCTTGCCTGTCGAAGAAGGTGGTGCTAGGATTGTGAAGTTAGCATTGCTGCCCAATGATGGCCCTACTGGCTCCTTCTTTGTTCACAATGAAGTGTCAGATCTTTGATTGAAGATGATCCATTTATGCAATTTTAATAGGAGTCACTTATTGGGCAACATCTTCTATTGTAATGTAATTTTAAGTAGTTTGGTATGTATATTGATTGAAGGATAAACCCTACACCATTTAATTTATATAAACTAACCCAAAAAAAACTCAAAAAATAATAACTGGCCTATTGAATTTATTTTTGACATATGTTTTCTTACTAGCACATGCCTTTATTAAAGTTTTTCTGCATAATGCTTTAAAATACAGTGCTAAAGGAAAAGAGCTCGTGCATGCAACCATGAATTCATGTATTTTAAAATCCACTGCTAATATTTCTCTCGATCGTATATAGAGTTAGAGGGAGAACGGGATTGACGAAGGAATTAGAAAGAAAAAAAGTTTCCGATAGTAAAAAAAAAGAAGAAAAGGTTTTGACCTTTTTAGTGCTAGTTTGGCATTGCTTATTTGGGGTAATAAGTGATTTTTAAAAAATTTTGAGAAGCCCAACCCGTTTGGTAAACTGTGAGAAAATCACTTATTGCTAAAAATTGCTGTGAGAGAAAGCTATAAGGGAAAGCAGCTAATGAGGTGCTTTCATTTTCTGATTATGCAGGAATTAGTTTCGAAGAGGCGCTGGGTTTAATGATTATGCGACAATCATTTTTTTATTATGCGTAAAATCAATACCAACAACACTTTTAATAAAAATTTTACCAAACGCCAAACTGCTTTTTCTCACAGCTGATTTCTCCCACAGTAAATCTGACAGCGATTATTTTCACAGCATAGCAATGCCAAACTGGCCCTTAAGTTGGAAAATATTTTAAGCGCAATCTAACTAAACATAATCTTGTAGTTAAGATAAATTTGTTCCCCATATAACCTCATTTTCAGATCCTTATGTGAGTAGGACTCATCTTATTCGTGGCTTATAAATTGAGAATTATCGTGTTTTCTTTTGCAATTAGCGCAACACAAGTTTTTTGTGTGCCTATTTTGTGGTTTTGAAATCGAGATTATTTTTGTTGGGATAATTTAGACTAGTTTCTCTACACGCTCTTCCACACGTGCGATAGTCTTTTTTTTAATCATTCGTGCTACGCGCGACTTACAAAGTTTCATAAATATTTTTTCCCAATTGTATTTATATAGATGTCCGTTTCAACAATTTCATATTTTAATCGCGCATGTGTGATAAATCGTCGTCTTAAAAGTTTTCTTTTATCACCCGTATCTTTCTAGACGTCCATCTTAACAGTTTACACGCTATAAAAGAAAAACAGAAATTGTTAAGATGGACTTCTAGAAAAAAACGGGCGATCAAGGAAAACTTTTAAGACAAGGATTTATCACACGCGCACGATTAAAATATGAAACTGTTGAAACGGACATCTATATAAATATAATTGGGAAAAAATATTTACGAAATTTTGTAAGTCACGCGTAGTGCACGTGATTAAAAAAAAGTCTCTGGCACGCGCAGAAGAGCGTGCAGGGAGGCTAGTCTAAATTAAAAGGACAAATAAATATAAATACTCCTAGGCCTGGACAAATAAATACAAATACTCCTAGGCTTGTACCAGTGGATATGTTTTGATATTTATTTATATTTTGGGTGGGCTATTGTGATTTACTGAAGTTAGAACACCTAGTTCTGTTTGAATATTTTATGAAGGGTGGCTTCAGTTCAGCAACCGAATCTAGCTAGGGAAGCCGACTACCGAACTGGAGAGAAGCGGATTGCCTAAATAGAGACCGGTGTCAAGACCGCAATTCTCGGTTTGACAGAGACTTTCGATTGAATCCGTTCGGCCCTAATATGTACCAAGTCTTACTTATTTCAATTTCTTCATATTCCTTGTAGAGTTCAATCTCATCTTCTGTTGGTTCCTTGTAGAAGTTAAATCTTTCGGTCCTAAGCCAATCACTAGAACACAGTAATGCCTCTACCATTTTAGGTGTCAAGCAACTTCTAAAAGGATCAACAACCCTCTTACCTAGGCTAAATGCATTCTCACTAGCCATGGTAGAACTTGGAATTGAAAAAAATCATTGGCAACCTTTTGAAAGGAATGTATATCTCAATTGATTCCCTTTCCATCAATCTAAGAGGTTGAACCCTCTATTCTAGGGTCTTCAAAAGGATCTGCAAAATATTTATCTACATCATTAGAAATTACCACAAGTTGTTGTTCTCTCCTTTCTTGCAACATGTAGCCATTTGGGATTGAACATTATTACCATAAATGTCATCATCAGTTGTATCATCAACTACCTCATTTGATGTTCAACCTCAAGGGTACCATCAACCCGTTTATACTCATTATACAAAATGAGCAAGCACTTTTTAACCTCACTAACAACTCCTTCAACCCTTGTCTCATTTGCTCTAAGATTATGGAAACTAATTTTGAGGAATTCTAGTTTCCACCTAGGGTCTAGAACATGGCCTAAAAACACAAGCTTGTTCACACCCTTAAAACTGCCCCAATATTTATCAAATTTCAGCTTCATTGAACCATCCACCCTTTGCATTATATGATTAGCATCCTTCATTTTCTTCTCATCAATTTCAATTTGTAAGCCAACCAACTTGGTAAAAATTAGATTGGATGTTACTGTTTTGGTTGCACTAAGCTTGAGGGTTGTCTCATAAAACTTTGGACAAACTACATAAAACCCCTCAATCTATATGGTCATTTTCAAGTTCATACCCAATTTTAAGGACATTTACGAGTACATACTCAACGTCACAGAAACCCTACAATTTGCCCCCTTTGTTAGCTAAACTGTTAGTAAGTCTATTAAGTGCTTACATGGAAACTTTGGGTCCCACCTTTATGCTTATGTACAGTCCATGTAGACAAAATAATATTTAAAAATTTGAAGATTCATTTCAACGATTAGAATAGTAATAAACCTAAAAATCTATAGAAAAAAAAAACAGCAACCCCTAATGCTACCCCTTTCTCTCTCTCCCACCCTACAACTACTGTCTTCCCCAATCAACCTACACCAACCTCTCCCACCCTGCGTCAATATTCAAAGCTCCCTCATTTACCCATTTTTTAATTCATAACCTTCATATTTTGGTAAATATCCAAAGGTTAATAGGCCTTTCAATCTGAAAAAACAAAACAAAACAAAAAGACCGTTCAAGTTTTCGGCGTTGTTAAGGCGGACATGTCTCCAGTGAACCCAGTTGCCACCTCGATCCTAATCTATCTATCGATCTATCTATCTATCTCTCTCTCTCTCTCTCTCTCTCTCTCTCTCTCTCTCTCTCTCTCTCTCTCATCTAGACTTCGGTGTCGCCATTTCTGTGAAACCCTATATTTTTTTAAATATGTATACTAATATTTCATGGAAATTAAATATTTAAAATTAATAGTTTTAATACTATACATATATATAAGTTGCATGGCAAGCCACGTGAAAGCTTTTGCTATAACCTATCAAATCTATTATATGGTTTTAACTATGCCAATTCACTTCAATCTTATTTAATATTATACACAAGCTTTTAGAAAAGCTTTCTATTGCTTACTAAGGTTTCTCCTAAGTTTGACGTGTTGCTTTTTAGAGTCCTCAAAAACCACAATAAGCATGAGGTGGTGAATATTAGCATGAGGTGTAAGAACAATAGGTGGTCTTGTATATATAAATGTAATTGGAAAGTGCTTACTAAGCACTCTCCGGAAGCCAGCACCTAAGACTAAATGGGGTGGCAGTTTTACCTTCAAGCCACCCATGTAGTCTATAAATCCTAGGATGTAGTCTAGAAATCCCTAGGTTAGTTAGGTGGCATAATGTTAAGCTTCATCCATATTTTCTTTACCAACTCTAACTGACTATAAATAGCTCTAACTAATAGTTATTGGATCATAAGTTCTTCAAGTTATAGTAGTTTCCTAAAAAAATTGTAGACAAAAGAAAGTAAGAGAACTAAGTGTGGTGAGGTTTTGAAGAAGTTCAAAGTATTTGAACTTACAAGTGGGAGTTATACAATAGCTTTGGATTTGAGGTAGGGGTTTTTCTTGGGGAGATTTGATTTAATTAAATATTGTAAATACTATATTATGCTTGGTAAAATTATTTGATTATTATTGTAAATCCTATATTATGCTTGGTAAAATTATTTGATTATTATTGTAAATCCTATATTATGCTTGGTTATATTATTTGATTGTTATCCTTGATATTGGGTGTTTACATGTTGTCAATTATCATTATAATTTGATTAATTTTGACATATTCATATGTTGTCGGTGGTGGTTGGAATTTTTGGGTTGATAAAGAAATTATGGAAAAGAGGATAATGGGAAGAATCTTTTGTGTAGTTGAGTCTAACCATTGTAGGGACCAAGTTCAGGCGAGCCCGTGTGCACAGTAGATTAGGAAATCGGCAGTATAATTGTCAATTTGGTGATTTGGGCTTGGAGATCAATGGTGTAGACAAGATGACTAGCAAAAGGGGAATTACAGGATGATTGAAACGAGTGTTAGTTTATATAATAGGGCATTCGGAATCATAGTGGTAAAATGCATAGTATGGGACATGCAGATTTGCTTGCTCTATTATATAGATTAACGGGTTGGGTTGAAATGAAGTTCATTCATGCATTGCATAAATTGTATACATTATAAATCTCACTAATCACACAAGACATAGGACCCCTACTGAGCATGTAATGCTCACCCCTTATTGAATCTATTGCAAGCTTTGAATCTGAAGTTTAGTTTTTGCTGAGGAAACAAGAAGAACGGGTTATGGACAGTTTTGAGTGTTTTATTGAAAGTTTGTTACTTTCTTATTATTTTGCTTGTAATAGTACAATGTAAATTATTTTGACTTAAATAGAAGTTTATGTTCAATTTTTATGCTTCTTGATATTTAAATTTTTATTTTTAGTCTTTCTTTTACCTCACATTCCCAAAAAACAAAAAACAAAATTGGGGTGTGACAATTTTAGCGACAAAGAACTTGGCCAAGAGGACCTTTGGCTTCGATGGTTGGATCTGCGATTGAGATTGGGGCTGGGTCCTCTACGGATCTAGAGTTTTGGACTCACTGGATCTGTGTCGGATCTATGTGGTACAATGGTTGGTTTGGACTGGAGGAGCGGGGTGGGGGAGGAAGATTTGGGTTAACGATGGGGTGGGGCTTCGATGGTGGTTGGAAGGATGTTACGATCGTCGCTGGATGGAGGCAACAACTGTAATTGGGTAGCTGGGGTGTCCCAAAAAAAAAAACAAAGTTCTTGCATTCTTTCACAAAGAGAGAGAGAGAGAGAGAGAGAGAGAGAGAGAGAGAGAGACGGGCTGAGTGGTTGGGAGGAGTTGAGGGATAATGATTTTTCTTTTTCTTTTGATTTTAAATGAACACTAATTATTTAATATAATTTTACTTGTTTTGTATAATAGTTTATTAGTTTTTTGTCCACATGGAATCCCATGTCAATTAAAAAATAGGTCTCGCAAATGCCACATCAGCATTTAACAGACTTATTAACAGTTTAGCTAATGGAGGGGGCAAATTGTAGGGTTTCTGTGACGTTGAATATGTGCTCGTAAATGTACCTAAAATTGGGTATGAACTTGAAAATGACCCTATATGTTGGGGGGTTTTATGTAGTTTGTCCTAAATTTTTTTAAGGAAATGCACAAACAATTGTGCATTCTCCATATCCTCCTCTATTGGAGGCGCCACTTTGTTCACAAGGTTTTTCCTTGAATCCTCAAGGGGAGCATTATCTTCCCCCATCCTCCTAAAAACAATCTTATATTTAAATGCACCATCAAGCAACTTGTAGGTGGCAGTCCACCTTGTGGAAACATCTATGGGGATATTTGCCATCTTATCTTCTTTTTTTGTATAGGATGACATAATCCCTAAACTTGTCCGACCTTAATGGTGAGGATTGAATGTACTTCACACAATTCCTTATTGACTCAATTGAGCTATAAAGCTCCTATAAACCATCCTTAACAATTAAATAAAGGATCCGACAAGCACACCTCATATGCAAGTACTTCCCTTCAAGCATAAGAGTGTTCACCTTCTTGAACCTATTTGCCATGTACTCAACAACCCTGTCATTTGCAGAAGCATTATCCATAGTAATGCTAAACACTTTATCAATCCCCCAATCATTCAAACACACATCCAAGCACTTCACTATGTCCTCACCCTTGTTACTTGTGATCTTAGTTAAGTTAATGATTCATTTATGCAACTTCCAGTCACTATCCATGAAATGGGCAGTGACTACCATGTAGTTAATGCCCTGAATGGAAGTCCACGTATTGGTGGTGACACTTACCCTTTGATCACTTATCACATTTATGATCTTAGCCTTTTCGACCATGAACATATCTCGTACACCATCAACTACCTTCGTTCTATCAGGGATCTTAAACCCGCACCCTCAATTGCCCTAAAATTTACCTCTTCCATAATGACATACTTCACACAATTCAATTCACTCCGTTTTTTATTAAATGTCTTAAGGACTAATCCCCCACCCATTGTTTCAGTTCTTAAGAAAGTTTGGCTGCCACCATATTCTGTAAAAAGTGGAGAACCCTTGCATCTCAACTTTAAGTGGTTTTTTAAACAAGTTGTCTCATTTTTCTTAGAATAGGTCGGCAACTCTACTTTACAATAATTGCAAACCCCAGTAACCCTCTCTACCATATTAGCATCTTTTTTTTCTTTTCTGTTTATAAAGCGATCCTACACTATAGATTTAGAGGATTCTTATCTCCCATAGCAGAAGGTGTAGAATCTACTTGTTGGTCTTGTGTTTGGGTTGGGGTTTTTGTTTGGGTTTAATAGAAGGTGGTGGACACATTCATGTAAAGGCATTTAGGGCATGTTTGGTAGGCCTCATTAGCTTGGATTGTGCTAAATAAGATTTGAAGCCCATGTCTAGTAAGATGAAGGACTAAGTTAAATGGGATTGTAGAGTCCAATAGTAAAAAAACCTCCTCACTCGCTCTCCTTATACAGAGAGCCTGAAACTACCTTCGCAAATAAGCCATTCACTAAATTGAAACAGCGAATCCAGATATCTCTTATTTGCAACTTCAACTCTCTCTCCTTCACTACTTTGCATCTTCTTCGCACAAAGCCAAGATTCTGATTCATGAGGTCTACGCTTTGTTCTTCTTCTCAGAGCTTCGATTTTCAAGATTTCTAGTTCTATTTCTTGTTTCTTATTCTTCTCATTGTTCGAATCGAAGTAAGTGATTTTTTTTTTCATTTTTTTGCAGTTGAATCATACCTAGTTTTTATTCTTTGTTTGACATATACAAAAACAATTTGTTTGTGATTTGTGCAAGTTTAGAGTTTCTATTTGCTTTCAATATAGGATTCTGATTTTGAATTGCCATTAGTTAATTTTTATCTTTATAGATTTGAAATTTCTATTTATTTTAGATGGCTTTTTTCTTCTTTATTTTTTTCCGAATTGATCTAGATCTGATTTCAAGATGTAAATAACATTCTAATTAGGTTTTGGTTTTCATTTGTGTAGGTTGAAGTTTCGTTCTCTATCCTAGATTTGCAATTGTGTGATTGGTGAGATTTTTTCTTGAGGACGTTTATTCTCATTGGATTTTCAGTTGAGCTAAGGTATACATGTTAAGCTTCAGTAATCAATTTATCTTTTGTTGCTATTTAATGTTATTAATCTCGTATTTTATATCCGAATTTGGTTATGTGATGTTTACTGCTTGTTGCCTCGGAAAAAAGTTTGCTAGTATCTTATATGAGAATGATTGAGGAGAAAAGCTTCCTAGTATCTTTTGGATGATTTTGGGTCAAGTTGGGACCTTTGGGGATTTGATCGAGGAGAAGGGTCGTTCTTCATTCAATGATCATTTTGTTTAGTAGTGCAATTCTTCCACTACCCAGGTCATTATTATAGGATTTGTTTGTAATTGTTTTTCATTTATTTCTTATGTTTCTTTCTAATTTCTAGGGTTTAATTTATTTTTTTATTTTTGTTAAGTTCAATCTTCACACACATTGAAGAAACTTGTCTTCAATCTCTAGTTTCTAGTTTATTTTCCTATTATTGGGAGTTTGATGGGTATTTGCAGTGCTTGGTTTATATGCTTTTGCTATGATTATTGTTTTTCGTTTGATCAAAGCTCTAGTTATTGTTCATTTGTATGCTTTTGCTTTGGTTTGTTGTCTTGTGCATGGAGTTGTGTTTTCTATTTCTTTGGTTGATTTTGTCTTGGTGACTTGTGCTGCCATCCAAAGTTGGAAGTCCTATTTTTGCTGGCAATTTGAGAACACAGTTTAGGACTGAGATTGACAGTTTTTTAGTTGACCCTTTTCTCATTAGTTTAGGACTGAGATTGGCCAACACATTGACTACATATCTTGCATGTGTTTATGTTGTAAATGGTTTTCTAGAGTAAAATTAGTTTAGTTTATATATGATCGATTGGAAGCCTTTAGTCTCTCTCATTCAATTGGGTCAGCCATTTGGCACCTATTGCGATAGTGGGAAGGATTGGCTTTGTTTGGTTAAGTGCAATAATTCTTTTCTTGTCTTTGTTTGACTTATGTGAACTTTGTTCTCACATCTTCTTGCTCTTTTTTCTTTTGCAGGCCCCTTCTTCTGTCCTTTCGTGGCCATAGGCGGCGCATAGGCAAAACTAGCAGATGCTATGGACGTCCTACAAGAAGCATTGCTTTATGTGTTTAGTTCAATCCAATAGGATTTTTTATGTAACTAGTTAAGCTGTAGTATGGTCATTGACTTGAGGACCTGGCCTAGCTAAATTTGATGCATCTATATTTTTGGAAACACCACAAATGATGGATTGATGAGATTGACTTCATTTTGGAAACACCACAAAATGGTATAACATATTGTGAGCATTAAAGCCAAATGGTTCATGGTTGTGGGGGTTCTTAGTTTCATTTTGAAATTGTGGATGTTTATTTGTATGTATTAATGATATAATTGTGTGCAGTGAATTGAACAACTTTGGCATAGATGAAGAATTTCTAACTTTTTGCATATATGAAGAAATTCTGACATTGACATCTACATATAAATTCTAAGTTTTGCATATATTCATCTCTTGAAATTCTTGAAGCATGAGTTGAGGTAGGTGGTTGTTATTGATACATTAATCAAATTTTTTGTGTTTGCATACAAATAAAAACTCAATTATACATAAATTCAGTGGAATTTGTAACTTTAACAATAACAAAAAGCCTTTGGTTTGGAAGAAAATAAATGTACAAGTCAATTTGGTACTTATAGTAACAAAAAAAAAAACTTACATTTAATTATTTAAAATTATTATTTTTAAATATTAAAATAATTATTTTTTAATCCGACATAGCACCAAACATAGGTCTTCACTATTTTTGCAATCCCGCTTCTTAGTTCGACACAGCACCAAACGTAGGTCAATACTTAATCCAACCTAGGCCAATCCAAGCTAATCCAAGATAGTCCCAAAATTTAGTCCAGTCCATGACAGTCCGCCGTACCAAACGACTCCTTTGTGTACGATGCCTAGACTCTATATCCATCCTATGCTAAACACCAAACAAAACAAAAAAACAAAGATCAATATCATCAAACATCCTAACCAACCATTCAACTATAAACATGCATTCATACTAAGCTAACATCGAAACATAACAAAAAACACAGAAAGCGAAAAGACCCCCGGACTGTAATACCCCGAAAAATTCAAGGTGGATTTTCATATTTAGTGAAAAATAATATTATGGTGGAGAATGATTATGGGTATTTTATCAAGTGATTTTGGATGGAGATTATTAAATTAAGTGTGTGTAATTTCAAGTTGGACAAAAATGACCAAAATACCCCTATGTGTGAAAGATTACCAAAATACCCTTGTAGGCAAAAAATAAATAAATAAATAAAATATTTTAAAAAAAAATTCTGAAACGTGGAGGGCATCTAACCACCCTCCTCCCATTCTTCCCCCCTTGCCTCAAGTTTCAAATTCACCATTTATTAAAGGATGAGTCACCTATTCTAAATTGACAACTCACCTAGCCTAAGATTCTTCAATCATGAATTTATTCTCTTCCTCCCCATTCATTGTATCATCACTCTTTTCTAAATTGATGACTCACCTAACCTAAGATTCTTCAATCATGAAATCATTCTTATCCTCATCATTCATTCTATCATCTCTTTCTTCCTCATTCACCTTA